AGCACAATGCTCATCTCATCAGCATAAAGGGGAACAGTTCGAGGAAAATAGTTCAGGGAATCTGATGCTAGACTTCACCTAAATCCGACATTGTAGATAAAACCTGCATTCTTGCTTGGGGTGTAAACAGCTGGGCTTAGTCCACAGTCCTGTATAGCACGTGATCTGCCACTTGTTGAAGGAAGCTAATGCTGCAGGACTGCGTGTCGATTGTAAATACAGTGTAGGGACGCTCTTTGCGCCTATACCATGGCCACTATCCACAGCATATGCCTCGGGAAGCTCAAGGACTTGCAAATAATACGGCAATCGGTGCCAGAGTGGGATGGCCCAGTTGATGCAAGGATATTTCAGGAAGACGAGGTGGACGATAACACTCAAAACCCTGGGCCACTGATGGGAGCGGACGACGACCACTTGGATACTGCGTCCCAGAGACGGCCGTCCTCTGGTCGTCGAGGTATAAGTACTCCTCAGACTCGTCGTCCTTCGTCTACCCCAAGCGCAACCACCCCGCTCGCACCTCCTCCAGCCCTAATAACCCACTTGAACCATGATGCATGTGAAACCATTCTATTGACGTCCAAAGACGACCCATCCCTCCCTGCTCTGATAGTACGTCTTACGGACTTTGTTCCCGTCAAATTAAGTAAACAGGATGGCGAAATTATGCAAAGAAAATTACGCAGAAAAAGAGGGCATGATGAAATTACCTGGCCGGAAACCGATATTTCACGATGTCCTGCTTGTATGCACGACGTTGAACGAGGATACCTAGTGTATGAGAGGCTTCTAGCTGTCATGGAAGATAAGGTATGGTGGAAATTAAGCTCTAGAATGGAGCGGCCGTATGTTCGTAGCTGAGAGTTAGGGGTCGGTTTAGCGTTTGGAAACATCTTAGACTGCAAGTGCTACAGGATAACCTTGCGACTCGAGATTTGAATCTTGCAAAAGATAGTTGTGAATATGTCTATGTCTAATGTACACTCTCGTCCTACATTTGGCAGTACCAAGGCTTGGCCTTTCGGTTGGTTCCCCGAGCCATGTGCACGTCTTGCCATGACCGGTTGTTCACTCAACTCAAGGAAGCTCAGCCTCCTTCACGATCTTCTTTACTATCAACGGGCGGGTTACGTCCCCTGGCTGATGTTTGGAATGATCCCGATACCAAAGCATTTGTTTGTTCATATTCCCATCACTGGTTTGCCACCCTCTCGCGAATGAGCCAAAAACGAGTACGAAGGCTTGAGGATGAAGACGGACGGTATCATCTGCAGTCAGCATCTTCGCACAACGATCATGTTGGTGGAGAGGAAGGGTCACGACACACTGCTCCATCATCCCCTGCAATGTCCTCAGACTCAAATATACCACGCATTCGCGTTGATTCCGGAGACGACAGATTAAGAATCGGCTGGACAATTTGTTTCGGTATTTGCAGTCGATGTCGCAAACCTTGCAAGTGGAAATGCAGCCGGTGCTGGTCAGCGTACTACTGTGGCCGAGCATGCCAAAAGAAAGATTGGCCTGTCCATCGCAGCACGTGCCATGAAAGAATGGCCGTACAGGGCGAGACAGAGTCAAACGATATTGTTCGCGGCGACGAGTCTACCGAGACGGAAACTGTGTAATAACCTAAATCAGTTTGCTGCTTTCCCTAGCGTCAGCCTGAACCGTATACCCGTTCTCTAGCATACATTTTCGATAAGCCAGGACCGTACCATAAGATTTATCCATTGCTTCATCAACTCAATCTGTAATATATCCGCACCTCTAACAGATTACATGTCTTTGCAAAAGTTGTAACAAATGCTGCCATATCGTTCCCGTGATATAAAGAAAAATACGACTCGGAGTCATGGCGCGGCAAATGCCAGGATGTGTTTGCACAGCGGAAATAGGCCATGGTTTTAACAGGTAACGGCGAATTAGGGCTCAATTCCGGAGAGGGAGCCTGGGAGAAGTGGTCAGGCTATTGGGAAAGGTCAAATTACCCAACATCAGTCCCCTTTCTTGATCTTCATTCAGCTGTACTTTTGGTAATGACTTGTCGGCGGTCTAAAGAGCAACTCTTTATGCATGCAGAATCACTCTTCTAACGAGCACCCTTCGGACAGCCCTTTTCTCTTGCCAGTTGGGTAGGATACAGCAGAGAGTATAACGAATATGCTTTGCACACTGTTTGACGCTTTCGTCCAGTGTCTCAATTGATTAATTGCTCATCTTAAAGTTAATCATCATTCTTAACCTCCCCCATGTAGTCCGACCTTAAACGCTCAACATTGAGATTCGACCATATTTCTCTTTTTTGGTAAGTACATGTAGCATCATTCCCATCTGAACTGGCATAGTGTTTTGGCTCACCTAATAGCGGAGCACAAGCTGGTAAATGTCTCCCCCCATGGTTCGACAGTAAAAGAACATTCGAAATTATGACTCATCATGTCAAAACCTTAAAATGCTCCAGCAGTCGGCCCCATATACTCTTGCATAGATCAGTTATTTTCATTTGTTCATTCGCACCTATGGACCAGCTTTTTGCCAGTCTTGCCATATCAGGAGGTATTGTTTGTAGTACTCGATCGCAAGGGGTTTCTTCGTATATTGTACATTGGATGTTTTATGGGTTACGTGATTAACATGACAGTTACTGTTTCCATTGGCAGCGTCCCTGGTCTCGAAAGCTGCATTTTCCTATTGTCAAGGATATGCAGTGAAACAAATCTCGACATTTGTGCAAAATACGACTGATAAATCTCGAAAAAAGGGAAAACTTGCACGACTGCAAACCATCCTTGAACGCAAGTTGGCAATCGTGACGCCAGGTACAATCGCAAACTGGGCGAATCACAGCCTGGAGTATGAACCTAATGCTTGGTGCTTTATAGCAATTGATACATGCGAAATATTGGCAGCTCGAGGCAATACGAATCTTGAAGCAGTATTGGAATTGGCAGGGGACTTGAAAAAGGAGCTCAGGAAATTAGGAAATCGCGTGAATGGAGTAGAGGAAAGTGCGAATGAGCTGACTGCGAGTGTTTTGGAGGATGTAGAACAAGTTCTCAGAACGATAGATGATCTGGTCCCTTTCCTACAACTGGCGCTTCAATCATGCGGTGCACAGCTGACGGGCGCACTACCCTCAAGCATATCACCGAGCCGACTGCTTCAAGCTTCCACTGCGGTAGCTCTAGCGTCCAGCCGCTTTCAAGCGCATAAGACGTTCGGCCCCACACAACCACCCGATCCAGTGCAAGTCGGACCGTCCTTTCCAGCTCGCGTTTACTCACTGTTTCAATCTTCGGCTCGAGCCAAAGGGGTTGCGGACTGGACATGGAAGGAGGTAAGTTGCCTATCACCGTCTTCTCATTAATACGTCGCTGATCAATATGCACTTCTTGATGTACGTAGGATTATGCAAAAGCATCTGTGACAGTGCAACGAGTCCCCGCTGATCTTCAAAACCTGACGGAGGATGAACGAGCGTCTGCAGAGGCTGCTCCACTACGCTCTCGAATTTCTTACGAACTGCTTGTCACTGAGGACCTAAATGATGGACGCTATCACGACGAGTTAGAAGGTGTTTCAGTTACGCCTGGCGAGATGGTGCCTGGCCGCAAAACGCGAATACCTGTGACGGACCTTCAGCGCCTTTATTATTCCAGATCAGGTGAACTATTGAATATTGACACAAAATCATTGAAGGCGGATCCCAGCCCAGTTTTGGTTGTCAAGATAGTCAAAGGTACACGGTTTCTCTCCGCACAAGAAAATGAAGATGGTACGCCTTTGCGGTTGCAAGACTCAGGCGCCAGAGTGGAATACCTGGCATTTGAGTTGTATCGCGAGGACGACGCAACAGAAAGTGAGGAAGAAGAGGAAGACATTGAAGGTGAGGAGGAGGAGGTAAAAGATGCGAGGCCCGATCAGGACAAAAGAGTCAAAGATCGCTACTATCCCGCGTCCAACCCTCCTCCTGCAATTGGTCTTCTGAGCGTCCTTGAATATATTCTCCGCTTGACAGCACTGGAAGTTTCTGAGCAGCGACCGCATCTCGACGTACCCGATGAAAAATTAAACCTTTACCTTAGCAATGAAGCAGATGCAATGAAATCCCGAGAGATTGATTACGGTCGCACTGAAACAGCGCTGGCACCTTCCAATTCCCTTCGTAGGTCTATGGTAGGGTCAGGATCAGTGGGAATGGAAAGCCCATTGGCAAGGAGGCCAGGACAAACCAGGTTCATGGACAGACTGCTTGGAGCAAAATCCAGTGAATCTGGAGATAAATCTGAATAAATTGTGTAATTCTTTTTACTTTATCCCCTTCTGTGTTCGTGGTGATGTTTGATACGAGGTATTTCTTACCAGTATTATGTGCGAACGATTTATATAAGCTCATCATAGCATCGGCTTGGAGGAAGCATTCTATCTTCGGGAGATTAATATAATTCTCTATTTACGGAAACTCCGTTATTGTCCCCCATCCCGAGACTCGCTGAATTGCATGATTCCGGTCACGTGTTGCGGGTTTGACCCAGGACACTGCCCTGCCATGCGATAAAACCTGCCAAATCGCACTTTCATCTTCACTGCATCTGCAAACGTATGTTATTATTGATAAGGGTATTCTCGAAACTATCATATGCAAATTGATATTGGGTACTGACTGGCAGTTTGCCTTTGGCATTAGTTTCCATGATACCATAGGCGCACCGTACATATTTGCATAATACCGTAATGGCAGGGTATAAGTTGGAAAAGTTAGTGACTCTCGAGGAGGATATCAACACCTATAGGTTTCGAGGACAATGGGAAATTGTCATAGAGCTTGCGGACAAGCTTTTGTCTAAATTGGAAGTCAGAGAAGGACGGAGATTCGGTAACATAGGGAGTTGGGTTTTTTATATGACCCATGTATGCTCACTGACAGGCTCCCTTTAGCATTTGCCTGCATAGCAAAAGCTGATGCGATGCTCAATCTTGCGTATGAGCCATATTTCAAGCAAGATAACACTGCGGATGAGGGTTTGAAGCGAAGAGGATTCCATAATGCCATATTTACAATACCTGACAATGACGATGAAGAAGGTGGAGACTCAGGTGGATTTAACTTGAACTTGAGTGACGAGTCATACACAGCCTGCCACCGTGCGCTGCTGTTATTGGATGATGCAGTCATTGCATTACTTGATAAGGAACCAGAGCCTGGGAGCCCGCTCATGGATCTGTGCATGGTAGGGTTCGGAACTTTTTCGGACGATTTGTTCTTTCCGATGTCACCACCGAGATCTTCCATTATTTACGATTACGGTCCCTCACTGTCAATTTAGGAAGCTGAAGTCCTTGGATGTCTCCACGATCTGGTGACAGGAAGTGAGGGTGAATGTGCATGGAAAGTCAGAAAGGCAAAGTTTGGATATGAAGCTCCCCCACCAGAGCCGCGCTCCTTTGCTCATCCGTATGATCGCGTCATGTATGCAATGTATTGGATTGTGACTGGTATGTAAATGGCGAATTCGAACTTCGTGAGCAGGACGTCATTTTAAAGCCGCATCTTTTAGCTTTGGGACATCATGTGGATGATTGGGACGTCTTGGCGTGCGAGTACATGAACAAAGCTGTCGATTTCTTTGCTGATCAAGGAACGTTTTCGACCCCGACCCCGACTCGCCAGCGATCATCCACCCGCGTGGATGATAATCAATGGGAGAGATGGTTTGAATTCTCTCATTTTTGGGCCACTTTGTACAATGCAAGACTTGGGTAAGTTGTAGAGATGAGCCAAATTGCACATCCATTGCACACTCTTACAGAATGCCGTACAAAGGAACCGGGAATGCTCGATAGAAATTGCCCGCGAGTATTTACAGCGGCTAGCTGGTAAACCGGTCAGCTATCGGCCACAGCCACGGGTCGCTGTTCTGGGCGTCTTCATCCGTCAACTCCTTGGACTGCAGCCCTTAGCCCCCCCGCCCCGTCCGTTAGAAGGCATTCCAAAAGATACCGTGGATACCGTATCGAGCGAGGTCTTAGCGGAAATACGCTCTTACATACCCTTATATGAGTCCCTCACAACCCACCTCCTACCATTCCCGCGGGGCGAGGACGCTCTACCGATAGAGAAGGGCAGGCACAGCCGCGTCCTCGAAACCTTCGATTGGTTCACATACATAGGGATGCAGGCAGAACCTGGCGAGTCCATTGGCGAGGCCGCAGATCGACATTATCGACTTATAGAACATTTGTACCGAGGAACGAAGTACACGTTTCATTCAATGCGACTCCTCAGATATTTGGCCCATACATTCACCTCTCTTACGAGTTTCTTTGGGGATAATATGACAGCTGATGAAAAGATTGAAGCTGAGGCTACCATTGAGTCATATGCTTTTTTTTGGAACAAGCATCTTAAGCTGAAAGTGGAGCTTGAGCGCAAAAGGCGCACAAACCCTCGTTTGTCGACGGATGCACCACCGGGCGAAAACGGGGAGCCCAAAAAGAAACGCGTCAGTTATGATAGACACAGAGAACGTGTATGGTTGGATGCGCCGTCCAGGGATCCCGTGAATGATCCAGATGGAAACTTCATTCTTCCCATTTACCTGGAGGATTACATACAGAAACACCCTGATCTCGCCGAACGTGAAGCGGGAAAGGACACTGAAGATACCGTTGTAATGGAGGAAGTTGATGGTGAACGCATCGTTGATGCACTCGGCGTCTTCTTCGCCGGGGTGCGCATGTGCATCATGAATGCAGACGGCAACGAAGAAAAGGTAATGATAAGCGTGCAATCTCAAATTTCTGTGAATGAAGCTAATTTGTAAATGTATATGTAGCTCCGCAAGGGTCTTGAATACGCTGAGACTGCACTTGGACTACTGAAAGAGCACGGACGATCATGTGGCCAAGACCTCCCCGACCTTGAGTATCAAGCATTTAAATGGCTCGGCATAATAAATAGCGAGCTTGCGCAGGAGGGTATGCATTACATTGCTACCGCACTTTTTTCTCCCGTATGCTGAAGTTGTATACGCAGTTCGTGACAGTCAGCAACGACGAAAATATCAGAAGCAAGCGCTAGAAGCAATGAAGAGAGCCAGAACAATAAAGCCTAGTTCATGGGAAGCGTCCTATCAACGTGCCTTACAGTTAGCTGAGGCAGGAGAGGTATGTACCCTATTAAAAGAAGCAAGTTATAATCTTCGATGCTGATTACTAACTTTGGTACAGATCTCGCAAGCGATCATTAAAGTCAAAGACTCCTTACAGGAAAACAAGGCACATGCTGCATCCTGGAACCTGCTTGCTCTGCTTTTCAGTGCTCGCAAAGATTACAACCAGGCTCTAAGAATTTGCAACATCGGCGTGAAAGAATGTTTTGCTAAAATAGAAAAGTCCTCGATCTTGAAGGATAGACTCGCTGTGCCAACAAATGCGGTGAACGGTAGATGGTCATGGGAGGCGGTGGACGATCTTGACAAGATTGGTCTGATCAAGTAAGATTCGTAGCCAGTGACTCTCCGTCTCAGGGTCTTGCTTACACTGCTGCACGATCTTTGTAGTCTAAAGTTAACACAAGTCGCTCTTGAAGCTTGGAAGAATGGACCTAAGCCCGCGTTGGAGATCATGAAGCAGATTCTCCGACTATCCCGAAAATTCTTTAGAGGAACAGATATCCCAGACGATGCGGGTTTCCGTATGAGTACTGAAACCGAGAGAAGTGGATCAGCCGTCAACGGGAGTAATGGACTGGGGGAAGCCGGCGATTGTAAGTGACTAAACTGAATATTTACACAGTATGAATATCTCACCTTCCCGTTCTAGACCGATCGCGTAATCGATCGCGTAGCTCTTCTTTCGCATCAGGGGCGTCCTCCGATACTGCGTCGCCATCACAAACAAGCCTAGGAGGGTATTACCGGTTTCGAGTCCATGACTTGTTTGTCGGTATCTGGCTTACGTCCGCTGCCCTCTACCGATGTACTGGCCACTTCCAACAAGCAGAAGGTGCTGTGCGGGAAGCACATCGATTGGCCGAAGAAATGGCCCAAATGGACGCGTTGATACAAAGGATACCCTCACGTCTGTACAGTGGTATTTCAATGAAAAAGATATTAGTGGAGCAGGGTAATGTGCGGGGACTCCTGAAAACCAAGCAGCAAAAGAAACAACCCATCAACGAACTTGTTCCCGGATTTCCAAAGTGGGGTCCCGTCGGGGCGCGTATCCGAAGAGTCATAGCAGATGTTGCTTTTGAGGTGAGTAAAACAAATGCAGTACAGCGGATCACCAGATTCTCGTACTTAAATGATTCACATCCAGGCCGCGCTGATACGACAAGCCCGTTATGACAAATTGATCCAACCGCCAGAGGCACCCAAGTTTGCTCGGTACATAGCTCCGGCGGTACGTGTAGAGGCAGAACGACGTCTGCGCTCGTGGAACGCCCAGGTTGCGGCAGGCGGCTTAAAACCCAGTCCATCACAAGTATCTCTGGTTAGCTTGCCCACACCAGCATCCACAGTAGGGAAGACTTCGGGGCGGGATTTAAACAAGAGAGCTATGGGAGTACCGATACCTACAGCGGCGGAAACCGGCGATGTTGCAGTGCCGCCACCTGTGCAAATGCAAGTGAACGGAATTGCAGTAGGAGGGATTGCAATAGACGCGGTGCCGGAGGATGAGCAGACCACTAAGCCGCCGGGCACAAACTCTTTACTGGACGCGGAAGAAGAACCGCTAACACTATCGTCTCTAATTGAGACTTTCACGCGAGTCACATATATAGACGACGATCATCTCGGTGCGCGAGTGCACTTGGGGAAATTATACATGCAGCAAGGTCGAAGTGATTTTGCTGAGAACATTTTTGAGAGGGCTTGCAAGAGTTCCAAGGCGAGAGGCGGCGGAGGGGGCCGACCCAGCTGGTATGGAGGAATAACCGGTCGATGGAACTGGGAATCATGGCGAAATTTGAGCAAGTGCCTGATGAATACCGGACGAACGCAGACCGCACTTGAAGCTATTGCTTTTGCGGTGAAAATTCAAAAGTCGAGTTTTGCGAGAGGACTGGAATGCTTACGATGAATGGTTAGATCTGAAAGTGCAAGGATGAGGAGGAATGCCGTGATTGATTTATGGATTGAGTTGATGGATGTATTTCTTTTTTTTTTTTTTTTGGAACTGATTCTGCAAATGAAGCATATTTACACATTTCAATTACGGATTTTGTATTGCAAATGTTAGATGGTGATCGGTGCTGACCTCATCAGATCCTTCCCAGTGACCTTGCCATTCACGTGTCGCTTGTCAGTGATGTCAGGTCGCGTCCGTCGCCTTTGGCGTCTGCACTTGCTGCTATCTTCCCTTACAGCTCAACGTCGAAAGATAACTCAGTACATGCATGTTTAAGATGGCACAAGGGTTTGATTTGACACCAAAACCAGAAGCGAGCACAGCTGCTCAGATTAGTGACGCCGAATCAGATTCCGCTGGACTCAGTCCTTTGAACGGGGTTACCTCGGACGACTCCCTCCCATCTACACCCGGTCTTGTGCCAGTTCCCGATGTGCATGTCTTAGTTGGCACCTGTAAGTAGACATGATCTTTAAGTGCTAGTAGGAGTATACTGCGGTCTGGTTTGTGTTTGCCGGTGCTCATGATATTCCCTGCTAGTTAACCTTGCAACTCGAATTCCCAACCCGACTATCAATGACATTCCAAATCTTCTTCCATGGCTCAGTCCACCGCCGTCCACTTCTGGAACACCCACGCCTGATCTAGTTGTGGTGGGATTTCAGGAGCTACTCTCTCAGTCGCGAGCCGCTTGGCTACCAACCCGCGAATGTTCGCACGGGCTTGCGAAGCTAGCAGTTAAACACGATCAAGGGCGCCTGAAATGCCTGGACAATTGGGTTCAGCTTATTCAGGATGCGCTACAAGCAATATATGGCGGAAACGGGACAGTTGATGATAACAGCGACGCGAAAGGGCAAAATGAAAATGTCACGAGAGTAGGGCATACCAACAATACGTCGAGGTCGAATGGCGACAGCGTCTCGTCGGAAGAGAACAACGACACTACTCAATCGTTGCGTAGAAATTATCGCGAAGGGGATTCTTCAAACGCAAGGGAAATTCGATACGAACCCTACTGCATTAGCCGTATGGTTGCGTTAGGTCTTTTAGTGTTCATCCGTGTAGATCGGCTCTCACATGTTAAAGTACGGGGAGTATGGGAAGCATCTATGGGGACAGGGCTAATAGGGACCTACGGTAACAAAGGCGTCGAAGGTATCGGATTGGATCTTGACATTCTCGACACGCACTTCTACAGTCGCAGCATATCGATTTGCTTTGCAAACAGCCATTTAGGACCGCACGAAGGGTTCTGGTATTACAACTGGCGGAATGAGGAAGTCCGACATCTCTTCGAAACCTTGCTTTTTACATCTACTGCCGCACCGTACAACGTCCGTAGCGTGCACGATTTCAGTGCGACGTTCTTCTTTGGAGATATGAACTACCGTTTGGCTGGGGCGGGCGTAAAGCCGAAAGAGGTGCGTAAAGCTTTTCGGGATGGTGTTATCAAACGAATCGACGAGGGTGCCGTTAAGGATTTACTGGAAATGGACGAACTATCACTTATCCGCGAACGGCAACGGTTTGAGCCTCTAGCTGGGTTCTTGGAACCACCTATCACCTTTCTACCATCATACAAGTTTAATGTCGGCATAAATGCGAAACTGGGTTCCACCTCAGCCGCTGATCGCTACTCAAAAACGCGCATGCCCGCTTACTGTGATCGAATCCTGTTCCGCGCCACTGATTTGTCGCAACCGCGACCGTTCAATGCACTTGTCACCCACACACGATCCCAAATGATCACCGAGGACAATTGGAAGGCAGCGCGGGCATACACGACAAATTGCATTCAATGGCTATATTACCACTGTGCATCTGACGTAGTGTGGAGCGACCATAAACCCGTTGCGGCACTGTTCTCCTTGAAGCTTGATCGTCTCTCGACTGAGCGACATGCATCGAGGGCCTTGAAACCGGAGGAAGAGGACAAGCTAATGGAATGGGTGACAAAAGAGAGAAGAAAGCGATTCAAGAACGCTCTGTATGGCAGCTGGGTGTTCAGATTGATTGCTGTGGTGTTCGTTGGGTGCTTGGTCTGGTGGATACCAAATATGGCCGATTGGAAAAGATTGTGGGCTACCTACATGCCTAACAGGTTGATAGACGAACTATCCTTGGGAAAGAGATGAGCTGGACAATGTCCTAAAAGTGACAGTCCAGCAGTAGAGTACAAATGTAAATTACAATAAGCGTTTCGCAGCTCAGAAAATCCTTTGACCAGAGTCTAGGGCCCTGTACAGACAAATTATACAAAGAATGACTTAATGCTCTCGAGCACCAACCAACAAATGTCGTCCCGTTATTATTTCAGCAGATTACAACTTGTCGATCAGCGTTTTCATGTAGTCATATACCCGCTGGTTCGACCGAATATCCAAGAATTTTTTCCGCGTCTTCTCCCGCATCAACGCAATATCATCTCTGAGTTCAAGAATGGTGTGTTCATCCTTTGTTGCGATCAAATATGTGGACATTATGAACTCGATAGGCTAACGAGCGCAGGTAATCAGCGAAGGTGGCAGTAGAATCGCCGGATCTTTAAATTGTCACTCACCGCCATTCTAGCTGGTGTTCTAAACAGATCTGGCGCTTGGTCCATGAGCGTAGCAAACACTTGCAGCACGCTTTCTACTAACGCCTTATGCTTCGATGGAACGGGTTCCGACCGTTTCAACACCTTATCTAGGTACATCGCCGACGGTATTTTGCTGGGCATTTCGGTGACAACGCAGAAGATGGTCATCAGGATCTGGAATGCCAGCTTGCGTTTGGACTCTACCAAGCTACACAAGTCTTTATATTGCTGCTCATTTGAAACGAGAGGATAAGGATCAGGATCAGAGGTATCGACTCGGTGCAGATACACTTTCACTCACTTCCATTAATTTACGAACAAAATCCGCGACTGGTCCCGGTCTCGCAAACATTTTCTCGGCCGTCGTTAGTGCAACGCCTATTGTATTAACGGCAAAGGGTTATAAAAAACCCTCAAAATACACGCCAATGGAAAATTCATACCAAGCTGAACTCGCCGGAAAATCTCCTGCTCCTGCTCTTCATTCAAGCCACGGTACTCGACACAAGTGAGCAACTTAGTCTCGAAAGAGTGGCGTTCTGCTGCAGTTAGCACGCTCCCCTTTTTCCCCTTAGGTTTCTTGAACCAAATCTTTGTCGCCGTAACGGAGTCAATTTGAGGTATTTCTCCTTCAATAAATCTTTGGAGCAATATAATAGCAGTAGGGTAAGTATCGTGCGATCTTGTCCCGCTTAAGATTAAATTGTCAGAACGCTTACTTGTGTATTGATGTTAATCGCTGCTTGCCGTCAATGGCCACCCGAATTTCTTGATTGCGGTGAGAAGGACGAGTATCATATCTATCCAATCGCTGAATGACATGTACCAGGATTGGAAAGGAGAGGAAACGGGTGATACCTTATGGAAAAGATAACCGGAGGAACATAGTAGTTCTTTACGAGGGCTAGTAAAAGGAATGTTACGACTAACGGCGACAACGAAGTCTCAAAAGCGACAACGTACAATCAATAAGATGACCCTGTTTCGCCGCTGCACGATTCTGGTGAGCTTGCACTCTGGATAATGGGAAACCTTACAGGAGACTTTACCATTCCATACCACATCTCTCTGCATTGACATGGATCAGGAACATGATTCAGACGCAGTAGCACAAGAGACTGAAAATAATACCTGGTAAGCAGCATTCAAGTCGATAATCTCTTTCTTTATATAATCTACATGTCCAGTGAAGATCAGAGACGCAAACATAGAAGTCTTTGTCGAAAAGGCAGCAGAAGCTCCTTGCCGGCTTACCACTCAAGACACCGTATGGGAGTTGATATGTGACAGGAGCTTTGAGAGCAGCTTGCGCGGCTGCTTCCTGGGTAGCTGCATAGTCATCGTCGTCTGAATAATCTTCGTAGTCTGCCATTCTGCGGACAGTATCTCGAAAGCTTCTCGAGTCGCGTTGTGCGACGGAATGTTTGCTGCAGGGTGACAGTCCGTTTTTGGACAAATTACGTGAGGATACTTGGTTTTCGCGAGTTGCGTGAATAGTTCATCACATCATGGTAAATCGTTGAGGTTCAGATTCACAGCTATATATCCTCACAACAATTGATATTGCAGCGTCTCAGGTGCCGGACTCCCAAGGGTCAGCAAGTGGTCGGAGGTGCTTTGGGATCTCAGTCAACCCTCCTTGAACTGAAACGTGAGATTGAGAAGGTCAGTGGCATCCCAGCTGCAGTTCAACAGCGTAAGTTGTGGTGCTACTGCTGGAAAAGGGGAATGCCAGCTAAAGCAGGGTGTTTTCTGTCGATAGTACGCTTTGGCTTCCCTCCCAGACCACTCCCCTTCACCACACCTGATAGTGCCACCCTCGAGTCTTGTGAAATTCGGGATGGAGAGCAGTTAACGGTGGAGCAGGCTGCTGTCTCAGAGCAGCCAGTTGCTGGTGTGACAAGTGACCGGAAAACTGGCAGCGATGCGGGCACTGGTACCCCAGGGCTGCGCACGTTGCCCAACGGAGAGGGAGTACCTCTCGAAGATGGCTTTTTGGTCGTTCGAGTGAGTTCGGAGAGCTTTATGATTTTTCCACGTCCAGATCATTCTTGCGAAAAATGTGACGAAATCTCGCGAATTCTTGTTGCAGGAGATGAAGGACGATAACAGTTGCCTGTTCAGATCGATAGGGTGAGTATTTCCTCACACTATTCGAATCTTCGAAGACCAGAACTGACGATCTTACTGGATCCAGATATGTTTTAGAGCGATCTCCAGAAGCCGCAAACAAACTCCGAAAAAGTATATTTTTTGAGATGTCCACATGCGTCTGCTGGGGCAAACCTCTCAATTTTCATTATCAGTCGTAGCTGATACAATAGTCAACGACCCCATAAACTACAACGAAGCCATACTTGGGCGTAATCCACTAGCATATCGAGAATGGATTTTGCAACCCAATAGTTGGGGCGGGGCCATCGAACTGGCGATATTTTCTGATCACTTCCAAGTAGGTGAGCTGTCTCCGCATCTGATGTTCCCATTTGAGCAAACTGATCGACACCCCACCGTAAACTCTAGAAATAGACTCAATCGATGTAGCAACGCTCCGTATAGATCGATTTGGTATGTAGAAGTGCTACGATATGATGTCCGCCTCAACTTAATCTATACGTGGAACGGATGAACATCAATAGGTGAAGGAAAATACACTCGTCGTGTCCTTATATTATTCAGGTGGGTCTCCTTATGTATAGATGCACGGAGCTATAGTCTGACTTGACGGACGTCGATGAAGTGGCATCCACTACGATGCAGTCGCGCTTTCACCTGGAAAAGACGTCTCTGAAGATTTTGACCAGACCGCATTTGAAGGTGGCAATGTAGAAAAAATATTGACAGCTGGAGTTGAATTGGCGCGTATTTGGAATGAGGTAATCAAGCGCTGGACACTGGTGTATAATTCAATATTCTCAAGGACAAGCGTCCATTCCAGAAACGCAAGTTCACGGATCTGGCCAACTTCACCTTAAAATGCGGAATATGCAAAAAGGTGAGGGTTGGTACACAGACAAACCTCTTCAAGGTCTGCGGATATTCATTAGTCATGCAACAGGGTTTGAAGGGTCAAAAGGAAGCCCAAGCGCATGCTCTGGAAACCGGTCATGCTAGCTTTACCGAGTATAGCTGAAATGGACACATGGACCTGCCCGAAATCGTTGACCTGTATAATATACCTCGTGGTTCCATAAAATTTCCTGCCCTCTGTATCTATATAACTGTACCCAAAAAAAAATCACTTGGACGACATATGTAACTGTCAGGATAGAAGACACAATACATTCAGATCCGATTGCTTTGGGTAGAAGTGTTTTGAGATCAACGCCGGAATAGAGGTCCTATAATGATTGACCGGGCGAAACAGAACGTCAATCCAGAATTTTAAGGTTTCAAGTGCATGTCCGGCCTCTCAATAACAACGTTGCCCCTCTATTGAATAGTGTTAGAAGTACATTTGTACAGAGAGAGACAGAATGCTTCTAATAGTGTACTTGTCCTTGCGACTAGTATGTGGGCAACACTTCTACAAACCCCGACTAAGGACCACCAATAATCGTCGCGCACCGTTAAATGGTAAGGAGAGAGAGACTACCTAAACTACTTGTGAGTACCAGGTACTATACTATTGCTGGAATTTGCCCTAGGTGCCTTTATGGCTCGGGTGTGAGATGAAAGCCCAGACAAATCTTGCATCGAAAATGGTCTCTTAAAGGGGGCACGATGATTCAGCTGCAACGGTTGCTTTGCGTGAGAGAACACTTTGACAAGGGCTGCTCTTATATGGGCGAAGGAAAGTCGCTTCCAGTCACCTGGACCCTGCTTCTCTTCGGACAGTTTTGGTCCTTCAAGTACATTATTTAGTTCTAAAGTGTTTAGAGTGTCCAGGTAAGCTTTCACAATCATAGTGTTTACGCAATATAGGTGTTACCTGATATAAGATTGTACTTCCACAATAAGTGCATAAATACGGAAAACTGATGCATCATCGTTCTCTCCACGTCGCTAACAGCAGGGTCTGCACAGAGCAGTTTATGCGTAAAATCCTGAGTAGCTCGCCAAAAAGATTGATAAAACTTACCCAAACTACTGAAATCTCTTATTGTTCTGATCTCCACATTGTCTCGATTCTCCACCGCAACGTCGATTGTTTTGAATTTGCGAGACGCTTGGACAGAGGGAAATAAGTGGTTCGCCGCAACCATGGCGAGTTCGGAGGCCAGCAAATACTTGTTTTTCACGAATGCACACTTGTCACAGCTGTGTAAAACCTGAGCGTGACTAGTTAGGCTTTTTGTTCGGGCTGAAATCTCTCTTCTTTACCATGACTTCCACGACTGGATACCATGCTGGCAATTAGCAAAGAAATATGCAGTAGTCTACAAACGCCGGCGTGCCTACCGCCTTTATTCTGGAAAGCCCTCGTCCCAGCAAACTTGGATGCAGAAAATAAGGTGAGAGGAAGAGAAGGACGAGAAGTCATGGTAAAATATGAGAATTGGTAAGATAATGATATCCGCTAATCGAAAACTATTCAATGCTTCCGATGCCCGCTTACGAAATCAAGTGGCTTGCTGCTTACGAGGCGCGATCACAACCTGTCTAGCTTCAGGCCTTACGCTGGCCATGAACAAAAACAACCGTATGGCCAACAGCAGCGAAATTCTTCGGATTCAAACGAGCCCAAATAATATTAAAGTTCTCTCTCACCATAGACAAGTCTCATGTCAAATATCAACGTCACGGAATCCAATAGCACCATCCGAAAATTCTATTTTAGTGGTATAGACGTATCACCAGCCTGCCCATTGATAACGTTTCTCATAAGAGATCATCAGTAGAGCCAATATCAAGGGCGCCGCCAGTAGGTTGTTACAGCTGTTTGTTGATACACACATATGCAAAAGCTGACTGATGCGATATGGATCTCGCAATTCTTTCGCGGTCTGAATGATTTTACCGCCACGAGCAGAGGGATCAGCATTGTGCTGTAAGAGAATCGACACAACTTCAGTGTGTCCTTGCCCAATTGCATGTGAGAGTGCATACTCGGCACCAGCATGAACATCTGCTTTCCCAGTGTCCAAAAGTATCTGCACAGTTTCGTGGTGCCCTTTTGCTGCTGCGAGCCGTAAAGCTACATTATTTTGAGCGTCTACTTGGGCACCTGCCTTGATGAGAGCCTTCACAATCTATAATTGATTTACAGTGAGACATCAACTCGACAATAAATATGAAGTGTGCAACGTACGTCAGCTCTTCCAGCAATTGCTGCTTCCCGCAGAGGACTCCCCTGTCTCTTACTGTTTCTTCCGCATAAATTTACGCAGGCACCTCGCTCGATAAGAGATTGAACCACATCAAATTGTCCATATCTGGCAGCAATCCGCAATGCTGCGTCCAGATCACCATGGCGGTTGCCGCGAGCTCGCAGTAGATCCTCCGTAATCTCAACATGTCCAAAGCGTACGGCTATTTTAAGAATCTCTAGTGTAGCTTTGAGCCCGTAGCCCAGCAATTCTGAAACAACGACTCTATGGCCAGCCTCTACTGCTTCTCGAAGAGCCGTACGATCATTCGGATTCGATCCTGTAGCGACTAGCTCCCTGATTATTCTCAGATGCCCAAGCGAGGCAGCAAGCTGAAGGATGGTGTGGTCGTCTTCCCACGGCGTCCTGCTCCTCATGTGCAATTGATCTAGGTGTGTTTCTGCGCCAGCCATTATTAAAATGCGGACAACGTTCACATGACCTTGGGCGACGGCTGCTCGCAGTGCCTCCTCGGCCGCTTTTCTCATTAACGGTTGAAACTTGAGGATCTCTTCTACCACCGAAACATTCCCATTGGCAGCAGCCACAACGAGTGGGTCGAATTCTCGGGACACTTGTGACATGCAGCGGATTCGCATCTGATGAGTCAGGGTGATCGGAACTGGGACGTCTGTTGTAACCACAGGATGTGCGGCCTGCATCAGAAAACGGACGAGTTTAAGGTCACCTCTCGCTGCGGCAGCTCTGAGGGCACCAAACCCGTTGTCGACAAATCCGCGACGAACCAAAATCTGCACGGCTTCGGTCACCCAGTCACGATGAGTGTCGGCATGGTGTGTCCTCATAGGGTCGCAGTAGTTCACTCTCAAAATCTTTCCAAACCCCTCATCTTCCGGCACTACTTTGCCGAACCCTGGCCATGAGGTTCGTACCGCCTGGGACAGCGCTTTCTTCGGATTGCGGCAGAGGTATGCTAGTTTAAGCTTAAATAAATCTAATGTGCTGACCACCTCCCACAGGATTCGACAGCATCTTCTGCTTCGTGCTGCGACATCTGGAGAGCTTTGCAAGGCAATGAGACGAATAATCTCTACGGGAAGCTCCATAAGTCTCTGTGGAGAAAGGATAGACGGGGTACTATCTCTTATGGGTTTTAAAAGCACTATTTCTGGCGCCAACGATATGCTAGTAGTGGTTAAAAGCAGAAATAATTCTGATCAGTAGCTTTTTTTAGTAGCTCGCAATAATGATAAATTTAAGAGTGCCATTTTCGGTGAAAGTCAGCCCAAACTTCCCCACATACACTGCGGTAAGTCACAGAGCGCTTCCCAGTAAGCTAGCCCTGATACAGGAAATGGGGGAAGTAAAACCCCGAGTGAGTTTCCCGCACCACTATGTGGAAGGCAAACGCGCCCTTGCCAGTTCCGTACGTATTGTACTTGAACCGGGGAGCACTTACGAGTGCGTAATCATTGGAAAGCTAGTGACGAGGATGGGATGAAATAGGTTCTCTCCAGTATGAAAAGCCACATACAAGGCAAGGTATTATACTGTCTTTGTTGGCGGTGGTGGGATCTTCATGTTTCAATGCCAGAGCCAGGAAAGATGGGATCAACCGATCTTTAATTGAGAAAACAATGGCGGAAGGCCGATGGACGCTCTAAGCTTGTAGATGGCCTGTACACCATAGGACCGCAGAGCACAGGAGGACAAACTGAGCAAGCGTCGAAAATCGTGCAAAACTATAAATCTCGGCTGGATGATCCTGCATGGGACATGTGGTTTGCCTATATATATTGGAATTTAATTATGTAAATGATATTTTTTCAGCCCCATCGGACCCTTGACAAAATGCAAATTGCCTGAGTTCAAATGCATGCGCCCCGAGTCCTGCTTCAGGAAGCAATTCCCGCTTTTCCACAAGAAGCTGTTGACGTCCATGAATCAGAGTTCCCGGGACACCACAGCTGACGGAGTACTCAGTGGACAGTGCTGATTTTTGTACAAGACTGCCTATTCACAGTAGAGTCTTGATTATTCTGATACACCCACAAGTGGCTGTTTGACTTTTTGCTTCTCAGCTGCCTTTCCAATGTCTATGTCTTGCGTGCCGTTTCCTGTGCACACTGGGATCTTCTACCTATCTGCTTTGCCGGAATGCATGGGATGAAGTATAACGAGATCTCATAATGATGTCCCTTTATTGCTTCTATCAATAAAGAAATCTTCATAAACACGGCACGGCATACCCAATCGGTGAAGAATAGTGTGCACCCCCACCAGCTGATACTATGACTTTTAACCTGACGACGCTGGACCCGTTGTTAGTCCATTGAGGTCGGCTTGTCCCTCTTTTTTGGTTGATCACCAAGCAGTCGCCGCGCTAGGGATGGGGAGGATATCGTCACCTCAAAATTAGATATCAGAATACCAGCAATTGGGTATCATGGAAGGAGGGTCAGGTTAAGATACCTGAACCTTCCTCATTCTGTTGCTGCATTTGAGTGGCGCATTCTTGGAGCATCTCCATTAGAATGGTCAGAGCATCTTGAGTGGCCGAAGCGGCAGTGTCGCCACTGCTATGGGCACTCGCCAAGCGTCGATGAATATACTTCTCTTGAAGGTCAACGAGCACAGCAGATTTGTTCAATTCAATTTCAAATTGGGAGTCAAGATTGGAAGCATGTGTATGTGCCTTCGGTGCCGGGCGAGTAGGTGCTATTGGAAACGCCGGTAGAGGTACAGCAGGAGTCTCGAAAGGAACTAAATCTGTGCGGAACGAGACAAGAGCTTCTTCAGGTGCCGCTGGAGAATCCTAGCAGCGGCGACAATTCAACTACTGTAAGTTCCCTTGGACCAAAAAATATCGTCAACATACGGTGCTTTCCCAGCCCAGTACATCGTCGCCAGCTTCCACGTTTTCCATTTCAACAATGTCGCTATCATCGTCATCATCATCGCTCTCTAAGACTGCGCGACCTCCGGGAATATGCTTTTTGGTGTTCCGCTCCAGCTTTGTTGTACGACCAACAGAAGCCGAATTGACGAGTGGGTTTCGGTTACTTGTCATGGCGTCCCTTACACGGGAGACACAGGCGTCAACCAAAGAATCGTACGGTTCATAGCTTCCTGCCGTAGTATTTCTGATTACGGTACTCTTCTGCATTGCGGAGAACGTGGCCAATTGTTTGGTGATGGTGTTGGGGAACTCCAACCTTGACAGGACTGCGTCGTCGGCAGATGCGGGCAGCATCGCTTACGTACTGATTCGCACCGGATTGAGTGCATGAAATGCATATGCCAGTGAGACCCAACGCTTTGACCACCTCACAACCATCCAGCCGATCGCATCAACCAGATATTCGGGCTTCCGTATACAGTCCAAAGATGTAAGAGACGAATCCAAATCTTACACCTCATGGAGCATACGGTTAACATATGGTATTTTGTGTTGTACTGGACATACAGGAAATCGCCCACAAACCGAACAGTGTCCAAACCAGCCAGTGACTCTCGATCTCGATCACGGTCTCGCTCGCGAGGCCGCTCGAGGTCGAGGTCATCCCGGTCAAGGTAATGGAAGAGCTAAGGTTGCGCGTTAATGGTGTCCGTCCCCCATCGTATAACGGTGTTCTCCCCAGGTCGTCATCGTATTCGTCCCGCTCCGGTTCTCGATCAAGTTCCCGGTCCTCTCGCAGCTATTCCTCGTATTCCTCTCGATACTCTTCATCTCGCTCACGATCTCGCAGCCGATCACGTTCACGCAGAAGAGGAAGCTCGCCACCGGCGCTTGTTCGAGTCATCGTTGGCGGGCTGACGAGGAACGTGAATAAAGAACATGTAAGCGAACCTCAGATCCGGTAATTCCTTTCATGCTTTTTTAACTCGTGTCAAATACGAAGGTGCATGAGATATTTTCATCCTACGGAAAAATTGACCGAGTAGAGCTCCCACTCGATGAAAAGAGTATGCTATAACAGTCACTTTCCTGTCTACGTCTGCTTGTCATGTAAACAATTGCAACTATTTAGGTGGTGTCCACCGAGGCCGGGCTTACGTTTATTATCACAAGCAGGCTGATGCGAAAGAGGCCTTAGATTATCTAAACGGGGCCCCAATAGATGGTTGTCAAATCACATGTGTGATTAGCACACCTATGACAACGAATAAGGATCGCTACAGGAAAGACAACATTGTCCAAAGGAGAAGATCTTCCCCACCACCTGTCCGCTCAAGCTCGGGTCGGGACGGACCACGCAGACCGGTAAGACGGTCACCTGTATATAGGCGCAGTGGTAGTCGAAGACCGTCACCTCGAAGAAGTAGGGCAGAACCGGCTACCCGATCAGATGTAGCAAGAAGATAAGTTTTAGATAAATCCTAGGCTTACTCTGAGGCCATTGAGCTATTGGTCAATAAAACATAGTGTATGGGAACATACAAATGTCAGTACCTGTAGCCTTCCGCCAATTCATTTAATTACATATAACGAAGATAAACAATGAAAACAGATACCACTATACTACTATAATGACAGGTGCGCGTTTGTGTGGAATTGCCTCATGCTTGTTACCCAGCCTAACTCCGGTTTACTATATATCCCGCAATTAACCAAAAGTTTTGGAACAGGGCTGCCGAGGATTTCTCTCAAGATACTGGATCCTAATATACCTGGTTGACCAATCATTATGCTGTGTAATTAGGCTCAGTACTAGTTAGCCTATCGTCGCTAGCGCAGGTGGTCAATCCAAGCTGGTGTAGTGTGTGTGATATCTGTTATTGCCGTTACAAGGTGTCGATTACCATGCTATGAAAAATGTGGGGCTTGGTTTGGCGTTTGTGGCGTTTGTGGCATTGGTTACGTACACTTGTCTTGTTGCGTGAAGCTTCACTAGCACATACGTGTCACTACTTCCTCTGACCACTGACTTGTCCTTTCAGCCCGATCCTTTGCAAGTAACGTACTTTGGAAACTTCTTATAAACACTTGTCGAGCGCTAGAGAGAAATGGCTACCGTTCCGATGGATATTAGCGAAGACAAACTCACCATGTCGCTTGGTACGTTTTGACGGGGCCGAAACACGATGACCCCCCGCGGTGCGAAGCGGATCAAAAAGGGTGCTCATATCGCTGCCTGACCTACTCTCAGATGACATTATCAAAACTACAAAAAAGGCCGGAAAGAACGCACCTAAGAGGGGTCGGGGAGGTCACTCTGCGGGAAATGCCGCTGAGAAGCTAGCCAAGAAGAAAGATGCTCTGGCAGCTAGTGCCAAGAAGCAGGGCACGAACTCTCGGAGAGCGGCCGTTAACCAGAGGCGAGGCATACGGGTGAGTTACAGTTCCGTTGTTCGCTGCTTTCTTTGAGGAATCCTCCAGCTCACAATTTGTGGTTAAGACTGGCGTCTCTACCCAACCTCAAGCTCCAAAGCCCAAATTCTCTACACCACAATTCGTCAGCAAAGCCATTCCTCCTGCAAATGTCACGATCAGCATCGTGAACGACAATGTGAAAGCCCCCTCAAATGGCACCAGAAGAAGGGCCTCAAAGTGTGTAGGCTCCTTGTTGTCGGGCCGGATTCCCACGCAACTCCCAACTGACTATCCCCATTGCCAGAAACGGCACTCCCGATTATCACGCATCCGAAGTTCCCCAACGTAACACGACGCCTGTCAGCCGTCCAAGGATCGCGGCAAAGAATATTCCCAGCGGGCCATTGTCCTCGCGTTTTGCTCAGATGCAAAGACAGCGTACCAACGCGTCCGCGCCAGTATCGGGCATTCGGAAGTTCTAAACGCTGCATTTGTCGCGACGACGGCGCTTTGAGAAGCGCTGAGGTGTATGGCATGTCAGATGGTGGGCACATGCCGATGCTATGGTGTAGTAATAGGATGTGAGGCATCAGTACAGTGCATAAAACAAAATGCCGCGCCGTATTGTTCAATAAGCAGGCCAGGGCCATGACAGCGTTGGTTGCAAAAATACAATATCTGAGAAAGGGGTTTTACTTTACGGATAATTCATTGTTGATCATAGACCGCTGACATGACCCCTGAACGGTATTCTTGAATTCTAATTGGTACGGCAGGGGAACTATCGCCGTGTATGAATATTGTAGCAAAATTCAGTCCATCATGCTATATATTATCCAGTAGCAGCCATGCAGTGGTTTCTTTCGTACCAAAGTGTTGTCGTAGTCTCGTATTCGGTAGCTCACCTCCCTCAACTGAAGGCGTGTTCCTACTTTGTAGCGCGTCCTGATTGAAGCCATTAAGCGATAACAACGAATTACAATCATCCCCATCTGCCTACAATTGTCTATGTACCCAAAATATATTTACACATCCCATTCTCTATGCTAACCCTCCATCATGTGCAAAACCCGATGCATACTCATTCTTTAATAGCCGCTATAAGAAGGCCCGCTACTGCTATTGGAGGTGTTGGGGTTGTTCTTGCTACTGCCCACTCCATCTCCGTCAGTCAAATCAATGATCGTTCCTGTCGACACAATTTGTTGTGTAACCGCCTGCGTACCCACATTACCCTGCTGGATGATTCGAGATTGCTGTTGACCCTGCACACCGGAAGAAAACGTAACTGGAAATGGCGAGGAGCCCACAGGCAGAGATCCTGGTATTTGATGCGAATACGTAAAGTACTGAGCTTGTGGCCATGGATTTTGCAGTGCAGCTAAATGCTGCTCCTGCCTAATGAACGCATCCATACTGTGGGATGACCCACCAGAGCCTGCCCCAGCTTGACCAGCACTTGACGAACCTGCGTTTTGCGCACTTGACGGCCAGGTTTGAATGTTCCCTTGCGGGTACGAGAAAGGTCGAGGATCTACCACCGATGACCGGCTGAGAGTGAGAGCTCCAGTGCCAATCGCGGATGGGTTTTCATTTTTATTCGACGTCCGCGTCCTTTGCTTCTCATAATATGACGCCAGCAGATCCAAGTCAGTGACCTGTTTTATGGAAAGGTGATTTACATGACCCTCCCGAACAAATTCTCGCAGCTTTCGACGGTGTTCCGTCGGATTTTGTTGAAGTAGTGGGCAGTTCTTGTCTTCCGTTCGGTGATTTGAAGCACCGCAAAACAAGCACTTTTGTACGGGATATTCCATTACGGGGTACCCGGTTGCCGGCCTCTGACCGTAGGTCATGAAAGCGTTGGGGGCCATATTTGTTGCTATGATTCCTGGCACAATCTGTGTCCAATTGGAAGGAACTGTTGAAAACTGCTGCTGTGGTAGCGACCCAACAGATGGCACAGAATACTGCCCTACGCTAGAAAACATCGACGTCATGCCATTTGATTTCTGAGGGCCACTCATCAAAGGAATCGTTGATTGGACAGGTTGAAGTCCCCCGAATGACGCCGCCGGTGCTGGAGGGGTATAATTCCAGGTACCTGGGATTGTCGACCCTACAGTTGATGAAGAAGGCAACAGTGCTAAGTTTGCACGTCGTATGGACTCGTCACTACTCGTTGACGACTGTTGCACGTGTGATGACTGCACGTTGGACGTAACGTTTACCGGAGTTGTGTGGCTCAACGATGATGTTCCAGTGGCTTGGAGAGCAGGAGAGGCTGTAACGACTGGGAATTGTGGCAATATCGTACTGGGCCATCCCGTCAAAGTCCGAGGAGTCCCGTTCGGTGGAGGTACTGTGGATGGCATCAAAGATGTAAATTGCTGCACCGAGCTCCTCGGAAGGTTATTCAGCGTAGAGACACTGGCCGGCGTCGCCTGCCCATGAGGGCTGGGTAATGTCTCGATGCTCGCTGTTGGTTGTGGCGTTGGTACCATGCTAGTTACTGCCTTCGTGGTCATCACCTCCGGTGATTTGCGCAGGGGTAGATCTGGTATAGGACCTGGGGCTTCGTAACCGAGCTTTTTGAAAAATAAGGCTATGAGCTTCAACTTTACAGCAATCCCCTCGGTGACTTCCTCAGAGAGATCAAACTGCAGTGCCACAGTCATTTGTTTAAAGACGGTACGGAGATACCCTTCGTTGTTTCGCATTGGACATTTCTCGATAGGGTGAAACTCGTATAGGCAGAGCCAGCAAGTTGGTGCGATGCCTGGAGTGGTATAAAGGTTTACCATAGTACGAGCACTTTTCTCCGCCTCGGGCGAGATTTCCTCCGGTAGTTTCTTTGCTGGTACTGTAGTTGTCGGAGGCTGTGTTGACATGGAATGCGCTGCGTGTAGGGAAAACACTTCAGCAGATGCATGTGGTTCTGCTGAAGTATGGGTTGAGGCAGTTGGCACCGAAGTTTGCTGCCCCGGTACGGAAGGGACCTTAGAGATGTGTACGACCGTCGGCTGTGGCACGCCTAAAGGAACCGACGTCTGCACTATAGGGCCTGACGTCCCATTATTGCTATGAACAGCTTGCGAATCCGCCTGCGAGTCGCGTAGAGACGGCGGTTGTGCCGGCTGTGATGAAAGCCCTTGAGTGGAATTTTCAGGTGGAGCTACGGGCTGTGCAAACTGCCGATTAGGAATATTGGAGCGGTCTGGTGGACCTTCGGCAGATGTACTGGGTGTCCACGTTGGGGGCTTCGAATAGTCACCCTGAGAGCGTTGCGGTTGCGGTGGTACTGGTGGTCTTTGAGCGAAGTTGCTGGGTATTTGCATTTGTGGAAAACCGGCCCCGTATCCACTTTGAGAAAATTGAGGACGCACCGACTGTCCTTGAGAAACGTTACCGGACGTTGGTAGAACGCTTTTTCCATACCCGGTGTGCATATGCGCCGGCTGCTCGTGAATGATCTTACCAGGCGGTTGCGCGGAACTTGTCCCGTAGCCGCTCTGCGAATGCGACGGTCTTTGCATCAAGTTACTAGGTCCCTGCATTTGTGGAGAATACGCCGCATTTCCCGGTCGAGGGGGGCCCCATCCCTGAATGAAGTTACTGGGTACTGGTCGAAAACCTGACCCATAGCCGCTTTGCGGTGCAATCGGACGCGCGGGGTATCCTTGGGGGAAGTTAGGCGGCAGGTGTGCTGGCACTGGTCCAAAGCTGCTGGGAGGCAAATGGGGGCGCATCAGTGGCGATGGTCGTGGCCAACTGTACTGGACACCATCCGAGTTTTGGACAGGCATGGCCTGGAAGTTGGCTCCATAGGTAGTCTGCTGAGGAGGGATCGTTGCTGACGTTCCCACAGGAAATCCTTTCATAGGCAATGTTGCCATCATTTTTGAATGCTTTGGGGCCCGCGCTGCCTTGGTCGGCTTTGTAGCCGTGCCCAGAGGTGCACCAGGTACCGAAATAATGGCTTCTTCCTCCACGCCATCGGAGTCATCTATATCTTCTTCTTCGACTGCGGGAGGGTGGAATTCCGGATCCTCATGGGTTGTCTCCGGCTCTTGATCTTCTTCCGGTTCCAGCCCATCGCTTGGCAGGTCCTCATACAATTTGCTTCGCTTAGTTGTTTTATCCTCAAAATAGGTGACCTGTTTTCGTTTACGCCTTGACCGGCCGTGCTCATCAACTTCCGGGTCAATCGTACCACCGGCAGCAGCCTCCTTGAGGAGATTATTCCAAAATTCATCATCATCTTGACCCTCGTCGGGTAGCTCTGCTATGTCCTCCAACTCTTCATCAGTATGCTTTTCAACATTCCACACCTTTGCAAAGGCAAATGCGCCTGTTTTCGCAGGTTCAGCCGGATCATGGGCCGCAGCAGCTTCTGCGGCGCGCTGGGCGGAGAGATTGAGAAGATCTTCAACCGCTTTATCGTCATATTTAATTTGACGAGCCTCGGTCGCCGGGTTTACGCCATCACCCTGTTCATTGCCCTTCTCCTCTTCGAAAAGTGCCTTTGCTCCGAACTTGACAATAGAAGAATACTCTTCCTTTGTTACTTCCGTCCTGCTCATTGAGCTGATGATCAGATGATCCAGTACTAGTTTTTTCTTGGCCACCTGTATGATTTTTTCTTAAAAACAAAGCGGAAATCAGCTCTCCGCTCAAACCCGACGTATTCGCGGACATCGCAATCTACCTTCCACCGAATTGCTTGTAAAGAATCGATACACTACAAGAGGCTTCGTCTGTCCTATGCGGTGTGCTCGTGCCATCGCTTGAATATCTGCACAGAGCGTCCGTTACTATAATTGTCTCTCATAGCCGGAATCAGAATATATATTACCTCTCTGTGGGTTCCAATCCGCTAGATGCCAAGAGACAACAGAATGAATAATGGCTTTAGATTTGCCCACGCAACTTCCAAGGGCTCCAACGTACCATCGTAGATAATGATCGTATCAGCCGCAGTCAAATTAATTCCTTCCCCACCCGTCCGCGTAGTCAGCAAAAAAACAAAGTAGTCTGAATCCGGCGCATTAAACTGATCAATCATCGGCTGCCGCAGCTCATTCTTCAATTCACCGTCCTGAAATTAATCTTAATATATATCCTCTCATTCCGGTGATAGAAGTCCTAATGCCCACCATGCGAAGGAACTTGTATCCTTCCGTGACCATATAGTCCTCCATGATATTCAAGCTCAACTTGAATTGTGAAAAAATAAGGACGCGGTGACCTCTAGCTTTCAGCTTTGGAAGCATTTTATGCAGGAGAGCCAACTTTGCGCCGGATTCAATCAGCCTTTTATGAGCTTCTTCTTCAGTCAAATCCTTTGGTTCAACGTCTGTGGGTTACAACGTCAGATTTTCGATCGTAGTAGACTACTGTGAATTTTCGCACATACCGGGAAGAATATATGGGTGATTGCAAATCTTTCGTAGCTCCATCAGAATACTTGTCAAGATGAGCATGATGTCCCACGCCTCCAAAGCATACAAGGATGCGACTCACTTTTGCAGTGGACTGACGCGGGCATCATCCTTTCCACTAATAACCACTCCGATAGATTTTAAAATGTCGGAATTTTTGGCTAAGATAGCTCTATATAACTCCTTTTGTATCGATGTCATTGACACCGGGACTAATGTTTCTACCTGTGAGCAAAATACCGTAAGAACATAAAATTAACTAAGACGATTTCAAGCGTACCTTTGGCGGCAATTTTAAGTTTACGTCACTTTTTGTTCGTCGAAGAAAATATGGCTGGAGAAGCTAGATAGATGTTCAGCATCCAGCAAATAACCGAGGCAACTCCCCAACAAACCTCATGCAATTCTTTCATAGATTCATCATTGAGCTCATCCGTTTCATATTTTTCCTCCCACTCCTTGGGCGAAGAGAACTTTACAGGATCCTGCACAAAATGCTTAACGACTACGGAATCACGAGATTGATTTCAAAGAAGATCACGTACGAGGAAGCATAACAAGTTAAACAGCTCTCGAACATTGTTCTGGAGTGGCGTGCCTAGTACTCAGAAGGTTAGCAAAGTTCGCAAATCTCATCAGATAGACAAACTACAAACCAGTCATAATGATCCGATGCCGAACCTTCAAATTCTTTTTAAAGGAGGTGAAAGATTTGGCGGAATCATCTTTCAATCGATGTCCCTCATCGCAGACCAGGACCTCAAAGTCAATATTTCGAAAGTATGCAGAATCACGCGACAAAGTTTCGTAATTAGCCAAGAGGACATGGAAGCGAACGTTTTTGTCCTGCTTTCGGTTCTCATCTTCTGGTCCGTGAATTTCGTGTTCGCGGATTACTTTGCGGGCTTCCTGGCTTCCGCTATAGGTAGTCACCACAAGATTTGGTGCCCATCGCTGTAACTCTTGTTGCCAGTGGCCAAGCGTAGAAGACGGAACGGCAATGAGAAATGGCCATCTGTAGTAATCGTGGTGAAGACACGCTAGAAGGGACACTGTACCGTAACATTGGGATTTGAGCCAGCGTGATGCAACATGTCCAATATATGGAACATACCTATCTGAACTGTTTTGCCTAGACCCATATCGTCGGCTAAAATACATGGCGTCTCCTTGTGCCATTTATACAGAAGCCAGCTGGAAATTGCATCATGAACGGTGAGGGCCTATGCAACTGTAGTATAAGAGAAGCAACCCAAAACATACTTGAGGCCTTCCAACTACAAAAGCAAGAATGAAGTCAGCAACCGTGCTGCGGTAAAGCAAGTAGCGACTCAATTCAAAATAACCTGATAAGGCTTCAGCTGACCATAACCAATAAAGTCTGGCTGCTCATCATATTCCTCGAAAGCTTTTTTGCGAGTGGGAACGCTCTTCCAATCACCTATCTCATCTCTCTTCAAATATCGCTCATACTCTCGAACAATGTCAGGATACAGTGGGTCGTCATCGGGTGGTAGTTGCTCCCAGTAGCACTTGTCGTGGGGTAATCCCTTCCATTTAATATAAACCTCTTTCAAATTGTCCAAATCTTCTGTACCATGCAGCTTGTGGTAAGTTGCATCCAAAATCTTCTCTACTATTAGTACATCAAGGGGCAAGGCATCATCGACCTCCATTGGCCAGACAGGTGCCTGCCCTTCAGCCTTCGCCTCCTCGTTGTCTGCTTCCACCATCTTAATGAAATTCTTATATTTCGCTTGTTCATATTTTAACTGTGATAGCCACCGCTCAGACACCCAAGTACAGTGTCGATATGACCATGATGCAAACTTGACATAAAACTCCCGAGCCGGGGGGGACACTTCTGCTTCTTCCCCGTCCTGTGGCTCTGGAGGAAGTTCCCGGTAGGTGAGAATACTCTCCACCTTGTCATCCCACACAATGCAATCCACACATTTCCATTCCTTTTCAAACCACTGCCGAGATCCTACACCACTTTTGATAAAGGTTCTCCCAGTATCGTCCACATCGTCCAAATATAGTTGCATGATGCACTCGATATGTGCTGTCAATCCACATCGAAAGCACCGAAACAAAGGTCGAACAACCCCTTCAATTGGTGGATCTTCATCTTCGAGACTCTCCGGAGGTATTGGATGTGGGGGCTGCTTGCACACAAGGCAAATGGGATCTTCCTTGATACAGTGACTACACTGAAGTAGACCATTTGGCAGCATCTTTCGTTTGGCTGTTCCACATGGCTGATGCCACACTACGGCACATGATGCACAACTGATCAATGGTCCAAGATCTCCCTCCAGATCATTATGCTCATCACGCCGCTTCGACTCGGTGCGTCCTATACGACGGATATAGCTCAGAGTCTTCATACCATCTATAGCAGGCCATTGAGAGTCACTCACCGCATTTATCGCGACTAACCATATGTGGTACAAACGATCGCAATGGAATTGTCGGGTCTCTTGCGGCAGTCTTGTGACTGTCGTGACGATCGACGGAGGTCGGACTCGCCATTCTCCTTCGCACTACTTTCGGTATCATCGTACTCATCCGAAGATTGATCCTCTTCGACAGCGTCAGCGCCCTTACTTTGACTTATCGCATGTGCAGCAGCAGCAGCAGACAATCTCTTTGACCTTTTCAGAAGTCCTACTTCCTCGTCATTAGATTCTCCATCAGTATCTGACTCGTCATCGTCCGTTTCTCCACCCCTTTTGATAGGCGTCCCTCGACCTTTGGTCATTGGCTCTTCAAGAGATGCATCATACGCCTCAATCGCACCTATGTAGGCAGCCATGTTGAAACGCGTTTCCTAGAGCAAAGCAATTGAGTTGAGCCTCAAAATACATATCAAGATTTCAGGATAACGTACCCATGTTTTGTGCCCATTATTCCACTGAATGCAGTATTCCACCTTGCCACCGGAGCTGGTTCGCTTGCGTAATACCTTCTCAACAGCAAGAGCGGAGGCCGCTTCGCCACCAGTGTTATCTCCTTCCGCCACATCTATTGACCTCGGCTCTTCCGTTTCGGCGTCGTTCGTAGATGGCACTTTGCTAGATGACACGGTATTCGACTGCTTTTGCACAGATTCCTCCTCCACATCCATCGAATCTGCTAAATCCTCATGTATTGCTGTCTCCTGAAATACAGCCGATGCATGTCCCGATTCTGTATCCGCCACCGTGTCCGCAGAAGTGGCGGCAGTAGACTGATCTTGCACAGGATCACCGTCGACGTTCATCTTATCGTCCATGTCCGCCTCTGCTGCTACATCCCGCGGTACAGCTGCCGCAGGTCCCAATTCCATATTCAACGTCGGCTCTTCGATCACGAGCAAATCCGAGGCTGACTCTTGCGACACTGCTGGCACTTGAGATGTTCCCTAACGGTAAACACATTCATGCATGAGATCTACATCACTCAATACCCAAACTCGACTCCCTGCAATGCCATACCTCATGCATTATCCGCATAGCGGCAGCATTCTGAAGCTTTTTCTCCGCATCCCCAGCAACATCTCGGTAAGCTGTAGGGACAAGGATCTCGTCTTCATCCCTATTCACCAGAGTGTTCATCCTAGTTGCACCTTGGAAGGGACTAGGTATGAGCGTCTCGCGCAAGGTGAATGGGCGTGGATAGTCCGCTCAGAATGGTGTGAATGCTAACAACAGCTACTCGCTTTCAAGCGCTCAGTCCCGCACATTGCAGATAAAAAGTTTCTTGTGCATGAAGCTTCCACATCGTCCAGTATGTCACGTGAGTATGCCCATCATGTCTGAATTATCGACGAGGACCGACAGCTAGCGCAAGGGAAAGCACCATCATATCTTGAACAATTCATGACAGTCAACTATAGATCATGATATTTGTGACACAATTAACTATTTGAAAAAGCAAATCTAAAACGAATTATGGAACAATGGAGAACAATGGGTAAAACCTATCTACACGAGACACAAGAACGTTGTCGCAGAGCGAAAAAAAAAAAACAAGAATTAAAAAGAAAAACTCATGTACGGTATAGTTACTGAAAATCCCACCACCTGGACTTTGCTTTGTCTTTCTATCCAGCCCACCCAACTCGACCTTCAAAATACTTCTCCAGCGTCGCTTTCAACACCTTCATTCCCACTGGTTTAGTCAAAAACGTGTCCACTCCAACCTCAAACGCCGCTCCCCGGTCCTCATGAGAGCTCAATCCAGTTAATGCAATAATAACCGATCGGGCAAAGTTCTGGTCGTTTTCCAGTTGACGAATATTTCGCGTAGCCTCGTTTCCATCCATATTCGGCATCATAATGTCCATCAAAACAAAGTCAAACGGGTTGGGTTTGGGAGTGGAAGGGCCCTCGGGGGTTGGGTAGCCCGTTGAATTTGCCTTGCACGCCTCAGCGAAAACGCTAACGGCTTGCTTGCCATCGTGAGCTATGGTGCACTCTATTCCCATTTTATGCAGGAATTGCGATATGAGCATTCGGTTTATTGCATTATCTTCGGCAACGAGGCAGCGCAGAGGTACTGGATGAGCCGTATCGGTGGACAGTTGCCCTTCTTGGTCCCTTCCAGCGACTGGCATAATGCTTCGTATATCAACGTCTGCTGCCTCTTCTTCCGTGGTTGTAGTCGGAATCAGAGATTCCATAGAATATCTCAGCTTCAGAGGTGAATATGTGATGATGCTCATGCGAGGTTTACGTGTCTATAATATTTCCATCAGATATGAGCTCGAACATCTGGAACCACACGACCAAAGACCTTACCTGTGATTTTAAGATCTTTCCAATTGCCTGTAGGAGCTTAATTGGACCCACAGGCTTCGTTATGATTGCCACCCTAGTGTTGGGATTGAGTAATCGCGAGCGAATCGACCGTGCAGCTTCTGGATGTTCCGCGATGCTCGTCACATATAGAACAGGTGTAATCTCGGTAGGTCCGCCCAACTCTTCCTTGCTCAGCAATCTATCCAACGTGCGTGACGGTTCGTCCACGATATAGACCTTTTGGGTCTCGTTTGCCGTTAGATGATCGCCTCGATCGTTATTAACCCCCCACAGAGAAAGAGTTTTAGAGATGATGTTTGCCAATCTCAGATGCCCTACATCCACTCTGCAGAGCTTATTCTGCATCTCTTCAACGGCGCTCGATACAATACTCGCACCCTCCGACTGAATCGGGTCTCGCACAGTAGCGGTAACATCAAAATAAAACCGTGTCCCACGTCCGAATTCGCTTGCCACAGACAACGTCCCACCAATGCTTTCCACCATGAACCGCGTGAGCAGTAATCCTAATCCAGCACCTTGTTTTAACGGATTTTCTTGACTGAACGGTTTGAACAGTTTTGGCAAAAATGCGGGACTGATTCCGCAGCCAGTATCTGAGACTTCAAACCGTAATGGAACTTCGGATGCATTCGAAATTGCTGAATCAAGGAGCGACACTTTCACCTCCACGTAGCCCTTTTCGGTAAATTTCAATGCATTTCCAACTAGGTTCATTAAAATCTGTCGCACAGAGTTCGGATCCGTTTGCAGAAACTGCAAACGGGGCGGTAGGTTGATGTCCAGTAATAACTCTACATTTGGGTTTACCGTAGCTGTGACAGCATCCATAACCTCTTGCAACAGGGAATATAGATCAACATCTTCAACGTGCGATGCCTTTCGTCCTTCAGTTCGCTTGGCGACGTCTAATACGTTATTAACGATCCCGAGTAGGGATTTGCCGCAGGATTCGATCGTGGACACGAATGCTTCTTGGGAGCCGTTTAAAGGGGTTGAACTGAGCAGTTCAGATACGCCAAGGAGGCCGTGAAGTGGAGTTCCTGTATTCAAAATAATACGACACATAAACAATTATGACACTATAACGTTGATCAACTGAGTAACACGTACGAAGTTCATGACTGATAGAACTCAGAAGTTCATGACTGAGATAGAACTCAGAAGTTCATGACTGATAGAACTCAAGAAGGCTAATTTTGCCCTCGTCGCAGCCTCCGCTTTCACTTTCAACAATAATGCAGTAATGTTCACTGCAAAGGTATTCAGAAAGTGCATCTGGGAGGCACCGAACAGTCTGCGCCGATCCTTGGAAAACGCCGCCAATATTCCATTATGTTCCGAGTCTCCTCCTCGTCGCAAAGGGACGGCGATACTGCTCACAACATCCAAACCGTTCATAAAGCTAGGTACAGCAGCCGGAATTTCAGGCGGAAATTGGAATTCCGTTCCTGATATAGACATGGATGTCGCTGTTACCAGATCATACGTCCCAGAGCAATTCATGCTAGCGACTTTATTCAGCAACGATGGTTCGTTCGAGCCAACGACTCTTCGATCAGTGCTCGTCAGCGGGCCATATCCACCAAGATGGTTCTCTATTTCTTCAGGCTCGAGGATACACACATATTCCACATCCAAGCTCCTTGCAATCAAAGAACAGGCCAATTGATAGGCATCTTGCAAATTCGGCTCGTGGCCAACTAGGGAAGCTTGTGCGTACTCTGCCAAAGCCTCCTCTCGCCTATCCCTTTCCTCCACCTCTTTTTTATATACCCAGACGTCAAGCTGAGACATGACCAGATTGGCAAACCTTTGAAGTTCTTCCATCTCTTGGTCACTGAATGCATCCCGAGATGTTGAGTCAATGACGCAAAGCGATCCGATATTAAAACCATCTGCTGTTATTAGGTGAGCGCTGGCGTAAAATCGGACAAAAGGGGCATTCAGGACATTTGGGTTTTGTTGAAACCGCCAATCCTTGTGCGTATCTACGGCGTAGGATGAGAAATCGTATTGCATCAAAATGCCCGTCATTTGACGGCTTACCTAGGATGACCATTCCTTCTTTGCCATGTCGCAGCACAGAGTGTGAACAAATGGAGATGCTTCTGTCGCTTGTACAGAAATCGGTGTTCTCTAATCTGAACATTGCCTCATCTTCAAGGACAAATGACAACTGGAAAGAATCGTTGCACAACGAAAGAGCATTAAACAAAATTCAAAGTCTATCATCAGGATCTCGCAAGTTACCACTTTGCTACTTACAATGGCATGCTCCGCCGCAAAATGCTTCCTGGTCAACTCTACTACGCTGTCAACTCCTTCTGGCTTCTCGTTCAACAGCCATCGATACTTGTACAATGCCTTTCTTCTCAAACTCTCGATTTCTGGTGGTGGAGTTGGTGCTGGGAGGAAGGCGGTTTCGAAAGGAGGGGCATTGCGCGGCTTTTTTGGCACTTTGGTGGGGGGAAATAATCCCCGAGCGTACTGTTGCAGAAAGGTTTCCCATGATACCGTGTTACTAGAAGCGGATATGCTGGAGGAGTGGGAGCTTGTCGAGTTGGCAGTAAGCACATTCACATTTTCTGCCAGATCAGCGAGGGTGACCGACATGGCTGTCGACGTGGTGCAGACGTCGGGCCTGGCAGGACTGCTCAACTCGTCGGTTTTCGTCGGTTCTAAATAGATGGAACCAGGGCAAAGGAGTTCATGCATACTATGTAAACATGATCCCCCATATCAAGCAATATCGCAGATATCTTACCTACAACCCTGATTCGCCAAATACAAGCTTCAAAGAAACGCGGGACCCAAATCAGGACCCCCCTTATCCAACCCGCGATTACGCCCGTAAACGCTGAACCCAGGAACTGTTCAGAACCCCCAGTAGCTACGACAACCGTCTACGGAACAATAAAAATAAAATCTCGCCAACAAGACAAACGAGCAAGCAACTTGCCAAAAATCCAAAGGCCACGGTAACAAGTGTGAAAAAGCGGGTGAGCCATTCAACACATCAACAGCAGGAAGAGAAAGAAAACTTCAAAACAATGCGGCAAAATCACATTATGGAACCATGTCGTCATTACCCATTCTCTGGTTCACTTGGTTCACTTGGATATTATAAGGGTCATAGAACTACAAATTTAAGTGTAACACAAGTTTCATCACCAACTGTGACGCAAATGTCTCCATGGGATAAATAGAGCATTGCCACAGTTGGGCTGATGGGCACTCGTAGCCAAGGGTCTGCTTGTCGCTACCGATATCCTACTCGTGCTATCCAAGCACGTGGACTTTTGATATTGCCAGGGTAGATCAAGGGTCCTCCGTTAAATTTCCAAACGAATTAACAAGTGTGAACAAAGACTCTAAATAGATGTGACATCGAGGGATTATTGATATTTCGACAGTTTACATGTAGTCATGTCCGTGAGGATGAACGAGTGCAATTCAAATCTATTAAATCGTATTTTAGAGTGTTTACATTTGTGGTGATGCCCATTAGGTTGGAAAAAGTATGTGCGTGTTTTTGTTTTGCAGTGAGTAGGGCTCTGCGAAAAAGATACGTATGCGTATTTTCAATTAAATCAAAGGTGCTTTTGTGTGTATGTAAATTAACTGGGGACGTAGTTGAAGAGGTAGCTGGTAATAAGAAGGCAAAAACGGGTTGATTTTCATTTCACGCTTGAAGAGGTTGCAAATTAAATACGCACCTGATACTCTCTCCATTGTGGGTACGCCGTATCGCTTCGGCAAAGGTGACTGACACGTCGATTGTGTCCAGTTTCGGGCATAATAGTTTCTTGTCTTCGTGTGGGATCGTGTTTGTCTGCAGAAATAATGTATATGAGAAAATCTCATCCAAAATTCATAAAGTCACATCCCTTGACCTACCACAACAACTTTTTCTAGCTGTGAGTTGTTGATGACCTCGATCGCTTTACCAGAAAGCACTAGTTTGGGAGAGGCGTTAGCATTCCGGGCAGCCGAATCGTCATACACTCAACATAACGCACCAGCATGTGTCACCATGGCATATACTTTATTCGCCCCATTCTCCTTGAGGACCTTGGCAGCCATGGCCAAAGTACCACAGGTATCCGCCATATCGTCAACCAAGATGCAATCCCGTCCTTTAACGTCCCCGACCAAGACCATTCGGGACACTTCGTTAGCCTTCTTCCTCTCCTTGTGGATCAGCGCAAACTCGAGATCGAGCTTATCTGCTATGGAGGTTGCTCTGAAACGAAAAATTGAAAAAGGTCAACACCAAAGTTCATTCCTATCCCTTAAACAATGATAACCACCTTTTGGCACCTCCCGCATCTGGCGACACAATCACGACATTCTTATAATCCTCAATGTTGTCTCGGATGTATTTGAGAGTACTTGGCTCAGCATACAGGTTGTCTACAGGGATATTGAAGAATCCTTGGATTTGGGATGCGTGCAGGTCCATGGTAATGACATGATTGGCACCAGCGACCGTGAGCATGTTGGCAACAAGCTTTGCAGTGATCGGCGCTCGGGATTTGTCCTTTTTATCTTGGCGAGCATATGGGAAACATGGCACCACGGCTGTGATGCGACGTGCGGAAGCCGTTTTGCAAGCATTGATCATGATGAGGAGTTCCATGAGATGGTCGTTGATCTCCCCACAGCCCGATTGAATAATGAACACATCTTCATCGCGAACTATTAGGTGAATGGAAGCGAAGAAAGAGATCATACAGAAAGTCAATTGATGCCGTTCATCGCGGAAGCACACCGCGCAGATTCAGAGATTTACACTAAAAGAGGCAATACGTGCCAGATTCGCCGATCGTGACGGATGTTTCTTGGTTAGAGTATTTGAGAACAACGCATTTAGCCAAGTCTAGCCCTAGGCGCCTAATATCGCAAGGAGAGTTAGTATTGGTTTCCATTATGATTAAAACACTGAAATATACACTTTTCACACCAATGTGCAACTTGTTATCTATAGCCCAAATACTCACTTTGCAACAAGGTTGGCAAACTCAATGTGAGAGTTGCCCGCAAAGATCTTGATGGAATTTGACATGATAATGTCTGTAGAGAAGTGTACGAGTGAGTACATGTGTGAATTGCATGGTCAACGAGGCTCAATACAGTCCAGGGGAGTTACGGCACTTGACTTTTCCTTGGCGCGAGCCTCTACCTCGTCCACATAACTCTTGGCCAAACTACCCACCTATTGTTCCGAGGATAAGAGGGTTGTGGGGGAATGGGAACTGGAGATCTCTGACAATGTCCTCCAATTCGTAACGAGAGCAACTAGCACGCTTTGAAAGACCGCGCGTGTGCTGCGCCATTCCAATTGGTGACAAGAGCAAAAAATAAAAATAAACCACGTGACACATGCTTAGTCGCGAGACTAGCTGTGCCATCCGGCAGTTTGCATTACGTTGCGCCAGGACCTCTGCCTCTTTGCCTTGTTGTAGTCCCTCACGACATGTCCGAAGCAACCTCTGCTCTTCGACAGCGCACACCGGCAAATGAGAGGGACGGCGCGGATTTAGCTACGAAAGCATCCGTCTCGCAGCGTTCTCCATCCCTTCCTTTTCCGTACAATCATGTTCCATGGCTGTACCCTATCGCTTTCCCAACGGAGACAGAAACTGGCATACCGATTTGTTACGTGATCGACACCATGAAAGGCCTGACACTAGTGGTTTGCTTATTCTGGATGGCGCGGTTCGCCGCGTGGCAAAATGCAGCTGCTGTGGTGTACACAGCCATTCATGGCACATACGGAATCCTTTGGATGACGAAATCTCGAATGTTTCCAGATCCAAAGTGGACAAAGCGGTATCCTCTCTGGTATTCAGTGCTGATTGCGTCCATGCTTGCTGGATACTGGATCGGGCCATACCATCTCATGCGTAGTGGCAAGTCGGCTCATCCTGTCGTCATTTTTTTGGCGATAACAGCTTGGGGACTGGGTGTGTTTCTCCATTTTGGATCTGATTTGCAGAAAACGATTGAATTGGAGTATCGAAAAAGACATCCTACGGACAAGACTGGAAAAGGGCCAGGTCTCATTACAGATCGGTTCTTTGCGTACAACCGAAATCCCAATTACTTTGGAGAGTTGCTCATTTACGGATCTTTTCTGTTACTCTCTCGAGACCCAGCGGCGATCGCCCTCTTTACAACAGTCTTTATCTGCATTTGGATCCCCAATATGGAGCTCAAAGACCAGAGTCTTTCGCGATACCCTGAATTCGCCGAGTACAAGAAGAAGACGTGCTTTTTGATTCCGTTCTTGTGGTGATGATGATTATAGCAACCGTTTGCATTTGGTGGTATAGCTCGTATCGAGATGTTTACCGTCCACGCATAGCAGTTGGGCTGAATATGATATATTGTATATTTGTAGATATAATGCATGGCTGTGTATGCCTCTGTTCCAATGTTGTTGCCCTGAGCTAGATTGACAGTTCCCACCGCATGTGATTCATTTTCGAACAAATGCGATACAAATCCTGGTCCGATACCAACACCGCGACTCGGCCCTTTTCAGAGCCTTTATGATGGCTGGCAGATATACTACTCCCTACTCTTTGTGCTTGGCTAATTTCATTTGTGATAGATATGCTTGACTCTATCATGCTAGTGTTAGAACCATGTGGTTGACATGGGAGCTATTGTCAGATTGCACATCCACAAGGGTCCCGAGTGTCAGAATGCCAACACACGTAGATACAAAAGGACTACAAAGAACATGCCAAAAAGAAGGTGTGTAATGCACCATCATCATCCCGCACACTGATCCTTGCAAACCCTTCATCTACCTTCATCTACCTTCATCTACCCGCGGCTGATCCCTTGCACGGCTTGTTTTGCACAGTTAATGATGCGTAATCTTAAAATAAACAAAACGGCCCACAGCCAAAAACGCCAGATGCCATCAGATGTCATGTAACCATATATAGTAACAAAGTGACGCCACACCTTCTACATGCGCCGTTTGACTAAGCCCACAAGAATTGAAACTTTCTCACGCACACCCACAGTGTGAGAAAAGGGCAAAAAATTCCCACAACAAAAAGAAACGGCTTGTCGTGTTGGGAAGGGCCGAGTTTTGGGGCGGAGTAGGACTTTTCGCTCTGGCCATTTGACGTATTTTATACAGGAAGGGATTCCTAAAGGGCGTGTGTATTAGACTATTAGGATACTTTTATTATTTCTAGGCGGTCAACGGTTTCGTCTCGCAACCTCAGGCGCCCCTCTCATCAGCATTCCCGACACCGGATTGTCTGGGTGAACAGAGAGAGCGTGACGACGCTGATATTATCGTGAGTCCACTCCTGCGCATTGGTGCAGCTCATAGGCACGTTGAAAGGATCGTCATGATGCTAACACACACCTTTTTCCGCGGTGCGCAGTAATTCTCACCTCAAATAGACTTTGCACGTATCCCTTCATCTCGCATCCAAAATGGTGCGTCCAGGGCGTGCGAACCCATACTCGGCGGCAGCCGTACACGCAGCCTCCGTAACAGACACACGAGAAGACTTGGCTGCGCTCGCTGATACCTCCCGCTCCGAACCACTATCCATCGACGACATCACACGCAATCTCACAGGAAGATTAGCGAATGGTTTTCACTACACAAAGATTGGTGCACGGTGTTTGGTGTCACTAAACTCCCCACCAAGTGCGCGGTCAGCGGTCAGCTCAACTTCTGATCAGTCCAGCAAAGAGTACGCAGAGGCCTTCAAAGGCCAGGAAAACAAATCCTTGCCGCCCCATGTATTCAATCTTGCTGCGGACGCTTATATGCACATGTTGAGGAACCAAGAGGACCAATGTATTGTTCTCAGGTAAGTTCTGGAGCAGCTCTAGCGATTTGGATGTAAAGATTGGTATTGACGAGGTTCTACGCAGCGGCGAGAGTGGATCGGGCAAATCCGAATCTCATCGATTGATTGCACGTCACCTTTGCGACCTGAGTAAAACTTCAACAAAAAAGAGCAAGGTCCACTCCGCCGTTCTAAAGGTCGATTCTGTACTGTCGGCATTTGGAAATGCGCAGACGCCATTCAACAAGGATGCCAGTTGTTGCAGTCGATACTCAGAGTATCAGTTCAACAGCCAGGGCAAAATGGTTGGTTTGAAGCTTATTGATTATCTTTTAGAAAAATCTCGAGTTTCCGGTGCAGAAGATGGTACGTGTCCTGCCATAGTGATGGTCTTCCTAATTGTCGCTGACTTTGCTCTCCAGGTGGACGGAGTTTCCACATTTTCTATTACTTATTGGCCGGCGCTACCCATGAGGAAAAGATGCAATTCCACCTCTCCGACCCCGCTCACTTCCACTACCTCAGTCAATCCAAGCTTCGGATATCTGCGGTGGACAGCAACCTAGCATTGGATGAGTTGCGAGACAACATGAAGGCGCTGGGTATCGGGCGGAGACAGCAGACTCAGCTGTGGCAAATACTCGCTGCGATTCTTCATTTAGGGAATGTGACTTTCCACGATGATCCCAACAACACTCAAGAAGCGTGTACAGTGCGAAACTACGCTCAGCTCGAGCTCGTGGCCACGTTGCTTGGGCTCCACCCAGCTTCTATCGAAGCAGTCCTCACATACCGGACAAAGATGGTCGGCCGCGATCTTACTTCCGTGTTCCTCGATTCTGAGGGAGCTGCGCAGCAACGGGACAACCTCGCTCGTGCGTTGTACTCTGTCACCTTTAGCTGGATTGTCGAGCAAATCAACAACAAGCTGTGCCAAGACGAATCTGTATGGTCATCATTTGTTGCAGTTTTGGATACTCCTGGTTTCGCTGGACGTGACATATCTGGACACGGCTTCCACCGCTTGCTGGTCAACTTTCAAAACGAGAAGCTGCGCAATTTCATTAACGAGCAGCTGTTTGATTTACCCCGTGAAGCGTTTAAGGTTGAAGGACTTGAACCACCAACCAATAACTATTTGTCCAACCGCGAGATTCTGGCTTTGTTGACCAGTCCCAAGTCTGGGATTTTGCCATTGGTGGATAGGGAAGCCGCGCGGGGCAGCAGGGACTCGAAGATAACCGAAAAAATATATGCGGCTAATGCTGGAGCTGCAGAAAGCGATCCGTTCATTCCCTCACAGAAACCAAAGTACGCCTTTGGTATCCGTCACTATGCTGGTATCGTCGAATATGATACGCATGGGTTTGCCGATAGCGATGCCGATGTCCTGCAATCCGACTTTGTTACCCTGGTTCGTGGCAGTCCCGAGCAACCAGGAACCGCCAATCTCTTCCTGCGATCCATGTTCTCTGACCGGCTGGTAGCTACTCAAACAAGCAAGCGTGATGGAAAGACTGTCATTGCTGCTAGCAGCAAATCACGGAACCCGTCAATGAAGCGCAGGAAGAGCAAGAAGGACGACGATGAAGAGCAGCATGTGGACCCTACAGACACAGTCGGCCACCAATTCCGAAATGCATTTGCTGAGCTCCTCGCAACTTTGAACGACACTCAAAGTTGGTTCATCTTCCACGTGAAAGTTTCGGATGGAAACAGCAGTCGATCAGTAGATCAAGAAACTATACGCCGACAAGTGGCTTATTACGATCTGTCTACACTTTCGTCAAACCCCGCTGTCGTCTACACGGCAGCGCTGCCACACGGCGAGTTCCTGAAACGATATGCAGCAGTACTTCCCTCATCTAGCGGTGATGCCCGAAGACAGTGCGAGAGTCTCATACTCAGCAATGGATGGACTCGATCGGATGCGGTACTGGGCAAGGGCCGATTGTTCCTTTCCGAACCAACGTGGAGCGCGCTAGAGAGACAACTGAAGACCATTGAGGAATCTCAACCGGTGGAGAGGACCTCGAAGGACTCTAGGGATTCCTACATGGTCCCAAGCTATGCCGCCTCTGAAACTGATTTCGAGGAAGGATCCAACTTTGATGACAGTGCCAGTCACTACGAATCCGAGTTTGAATATGAAAGGGAACCTCGCGCGAGCGTGTCTCACAGCACGCTGAAAGGGGATTTAGAACTGGGATCTGTAAGCGAGAAGAGCGCGACCCCGCTCTCACGAGCAGTGACCGCCAAGGAAGTACCTGCGGAAAAAGAACCCGTCAAGAAGAAGAAGATGACGGGAACTAGGTGCCGGTGGTTGGCTTGCACATGGTTCTCGACGTGGTACATTCCCCCTTTCTGTCTATCGATTTGCGGAATGAGGCCACGCGACCGACAAATTGCGTGGCGAGAGAAGGTGACACTCTGCTTCATCATTCTATTGATGAACGCGATTATCCTTTTCTTCATTATTGGTCTTGGATTTGTCCTCTGCCCAAAGAAGAATGAGTTATCTCCTGGAGAAATCACGACTAGGAACAATTTGGACAGCAAGGCAACAGTTCACATGTACGGCTCTTACTATGTTGTTCCCGGCATCTGGACAACGCATAATCAGAACGGTTGGCAGTCCGACAACGACGGATTCTGGAAGAGTCAAGTTCTAGGTCGAGACGTTAGCCAACTGTTTCCAAAGACGGATGCCCGTGATGATTTCTTCACCACATACTGTCCCGGATACACAAAGCCAAACACTTTCGAGCAATTCCCTAAGGACATAAAGAACCCATTGTTCGACACAGGGAGTTGGTTCCCTCACCAACACTCTACTTTTTTGAACAAAGTCAACCAGTACCGTAAGGGCGTAGTGGTTTGGGATAAGGCCTCAGTTGCGGAGAGAGTCGACAAGCAAAGAATGCGTTACATTGTCGCCTACGACAGAGTGTTCGATGTCTCTGCAATGTACCTCGGTAACTATTACGAAACTGTCAAAATCGCCGGTGGAGTGAACTTTATGGGTGATTACATTTCTCAATTGATGGATCGCTACTCCGCCCCGAGCAACGTCTTTGCCGATGCAACACCAGCCTTTGAAGTCTTGAAACGTAACAACACGCAGCAATGGACACAGGCCATGACGTGCATGCAAGGGTTGTTTTACGTCGGCAATGTGGATCACCGAAACGATGTGCAGTGCGAGGTTCCCAACTATATCATGGTGGTAGCGAGTTGTATCGTTGTCAGTGTGATTGGTTTCAAGTTCTTGGCTGCTCTGCAGTTTGGAGGAAAGAAACAGCCTGAGGAGCACGACAAGTTTGTTATTTGTCAGGTTCCCTGTTATACAGAGGTAAGCTCAACCGTCAGACCTCGACTGGCTCATCGCGGAAACTAAGCTGATGTCTACTTTAGGGCGAGGTTTCTCTTCTTCGTACTCTCGAATCATTGGCTATGCTCGACTATGACGATAAGCACAAGCTGCTTTTCGTTATTTGCGATGGTATGATTATCGGTTCCGGCAACGATCGTCCCACGCCCCGTATCGTCTTGGACATTTTGGGCGTTGACCCTAGCGTTGACCCCGAAGCTTTGGCGTTCCAAAGTCTTGGCGAAGGAAACAAACAGTTGAATATGGGCAAGGTGTACTCTGGGCTGTATGAGATTCAAGGCAGAGTTGTACCGTACATTGTGGTTGTCAAAGTTGGAAAACCAAGCGAGAGGCAGAGGCCTGGTAACAGGTGGGTATCGCCACTGCTTTGCTAGTGTGTGCAGTCTGGACGAGCGCTTATGACATTCAATTATCTTTTCAGGGGTAAACGTGACTCTCAGCTCATTCTCATGCGGTTCCTATCTCGTGTTCACTTCAACCAACCGATGAACCCTCTGGAGCTCGAGTTGTACCATCAGATGAAGAACGTCATCGGAGTCGATCCATCCTTCTACGAGTACACTTTCATGGTGGACGCCGATACAGAGGTGTACCCCGATTCCCTGAACCGTTTGGTATCGAATATGGCTCGCGACTCGAAGGTTGCTGGTATTTGCGGTGAAACTCAAATTTCCAACGAGAAGGACTCTTGGGTTTCCATGATTCAAGTATACGAATATTTCATCTCCCATCATATGGCCAAGGCTTTTGAGTCTCTCTTTGGAAGTGTGACTTGTCTTCCCGGCTGTTTCTGTATGTACCGTATACGGACGCCAGTGAAGAATGTTCCGCTTTTGGTCGCCCCTGGTGTCATCAAGGATTATTCAGAAAACGAGGTCGATACGCTCCACTTGAAGAACCTGTTGCATTTGGGTGAGGATCGATACTTGACAACTCTGATGCTCAAGCACTTCCCGAACATGAAGACAACGTTCACTGCCGATGCAAAATGTAAGACCAACGCCCCTGATAAATGGTCTGTTCTCCTGTCCCAGCGTCGTCGATGGATCAACTCGACCGTTCATAACCTACTCGAGCTGCTCTGGCTTCCGGAAATGTGCGGGTTCTGCTGCTTCTCGATGCGCTTCGTGGTCTTTTTGGATCTGTTTGCCACCTTTGTCCAACCGGCTGCTCTGGTCTACATTGGTTACTTGATTTGGGCGCTTGTTACGGAGACCCAGACCCAGTTCCCCTTGATCAGTATTATTATGATTGCGGCCATTTACGGTTTCCAGATGATTATCTTCCTGTTGAAAAGGGAATGGCAGCACATTGGTTGGATGATTATTGTGAGTATTATGGAAACTTGGTTTGCGTAGGAATGCTTGAAAGCTAACTGGCGTATCTTCGATAGTACATGCTAGCGATGCCCATTTTTGGTGCATACATTCCCCTCTACTCCTTCTGGCACTTTGACGACTTCTCTTGGGGTAACACCCGACGAGTTGTCGAGGAAGGTGGAAAGAAGGTGGAAAAAGTCCTTGTTGAGGAGCCAGTAAGTGTCCAGTAACTTGATACTGCATCACTGATGTACCGATTAGCTTATGTTATTTCTATTCTCATAGTTTGACCCCGCGAGCATTCCAGTGCGTAAATGGTCAGATTTCGAGGCCGAGCGGCTTGAGCGTGACGAATTGCAGTCGCACTCCTCATACCACTCTGGCTCTGGTTCCGGGTCGGGTCGGTCGCGTGGCAAAGCTGGTACTGCGTACGGTGGATCTGTTTACGGTGGAGCATCTGCCTATGGAGGCACCGGTTCTGTCTACGCCGCGTCTGCCTATGGTGGTTCGCAATACGGTGGCATGCCTGTACCGCCCTACCCTGTTGCACCAAGCGTGGCAGGTGGTCCTGAATACGGCGGTTACAACCCCCGTATGAGTTGGGGCACCCAGTACACTGGCGTTCCCGACTTTTCCGCTGCTGCACCTCCACCATCCTCGGGTGCGGCCCCCGTCCGCCGGACCAGCATGCGATCACAATATACCGCCACAACTGCCGACGCACCCCGTGCCCTCCCCAGCGACGATGAAATTCTTCGTCAAGTCCGCCGTATCCTTTCCACGGCCGACTTGATGAGCGTGACGAAAAAGAGTGTCCGAGAGGATCTATCCGCTTACTTTGGTTGTGATTTGGGAGCCAAGAAGGAATGGATCCACCGGTGTATTGACGGTGTTTTGAAGGGAGAGTTGTAATTAGAAAAAGTCGTGAAATCATCTGGTGTCACGATATGTATGTGAGATATGCCATATGGGTATGGGTGATACAAATGTGCAAAATGGTTGAAAAAGCCTGTTTTCTTAATGTCTCTATTATATATATGTAGTTTTAAATATAGCCTCTGTATCTTGTCAGTGTACGAATGGGTATTTGGCAAATCGTTTGTATTTTCGTTTCTTCATGGCAGCTTTTTTGCATTCTGGTCGCGTATGGGCCAGCTGCGTACTACTGTATTACTTGTATTGCTGGAAAGAACACTCTGTCGTGGGTATGGGATGCAACCCCGGATGGAGAGCGTGCATCTAGACCCCCGCAAATCGAGGAAAGTCGGGGTATCTCTCGCATGGCACATTTATTCAGGTGCCCAGATCCTGATGAAAGATGACAAACAATAAAGAACAAAAGAGACACTTCCAGCGCGCGCTCCATTGGCGTGTCATCACTTGGATATCATCTGTTGAGGAATATGCGAAAGGTATCTGATGCAGTGTTATCATTTGTATGATTCGCATTGGTATGGTACTGAAATACGACATGTTGTTATCCGGTATCAGATCTTGATGAACCGTAATGATCTAGTTTGTTTCATCGCCAATTAAGCTATCTGTAATTATCGTGGCTTTCATACCGATAAACCCTATCACATCACATCTCAATAGCGCTGACCAAAAAAATAGAGAAAAACAATGGGAGCGTCTACATCCCTCATCCCGCCAGAAGGTGGTTGGTCCTATGGCATGTCGCGCTTTGTCACCTCCATGGTCAGGAGTTGCATACGCACCCTCATTTAAAGTTATCCGAGGACACGTACAAAGCTGGGGTACATGATTCTCGAAGGCCAGTATTGTTTTGAAATTGGGGGAACAAGATATACTCTCCGTATGAACCATATGAGATTTGCCATGGAATAAAATGTGCCTTTGGGGTATTGCTATCCAGAGTCGACAGTGTCTCAACTAGAATGCTAGGTAATCCATTGTTTTGAACAAAATCCCCGAGGGTGGCATGAATCATTATCCTCACGAGTATTTATATTATTGACCCTCAAGTACAAACAAGGTATCGCAAAAAAAATGTCCGACAAAGAATGGTCAGCGTACGCAGGAATTTAGATGATCGTTTGTTTTTGAATGGTATTTTATTTTTGGTGTCTTTTTTGTACGAAGAGTTCTGTCTAATCATTGGCAACAAGTCCGGGGTTTTTAATAGAGATATTCCATGGTAGATTTGTAGATTTGGAAGAGTATGAGGTAGGTTATTAAGACGATCGAGGAGTTTGGTCGTCGTCCCCTCTTCACCAACTGACCACATTTTCCATCTTGGATTCTCATCCCAAAACCAGTTTTCACATGATACATACCATCCCCTCAACTTTGTACTCTACAACCATGAAGAACAGAATCACCCCAGTCATCAAGAGCATCCAAAAAACACTCCACGACATTATAATATGGCCCCTCAAAGGCTGTCGCAATTCCAATTCCGTCGACGAACACCGAAAGCATAGCCATCGAGGGGGAGCTAAAAAGCATCACAAGCCTGATGCAATCGACGAGCATCAAGACCCGGACCGTACGGCGGCAGAGTTACCGCAAGTTATACCCCACCCCGACAAAGTCGAGCACATACAAGATCCTCAGATGGCAACGGCCGCCGAACCAGGTTCCACCATCCTCTCTTTAGCTAAGGAACAAAGCACTCCCGCACTCGACCACATACCCTATACCACTCCCTCTCGACAAGCTCGCCACCATAAAGGGACGACGCAAACTGACGTACCAGATTCTCTCAACGATTTTTCAAGTATCTATCAATTATATGCGTCGAAAACTGATAGACCAAACTCTCTCAACGATTTATCAAATATCTATCAATTATATACGTCGAAAACTGATGGATCAGAGTCCCTCTACGATCATACAAGTGCCTATCCATTATGTCCGTTATATGATCCCGAGGACATTAGATTCCCGCGCCCAACGGGCCGAACACGGGCACCTACGGCCAATCCCCCCGGGCCGCTTGATATCAAGTCGGCTGCTCATCGACTGGAGGGTGAACTCACCGGGATTGACCGCGGTGGGTATCCCTACCGGGATAATTTGAAAACAGTGAGCAGGAAGCTCTTGGCGTTGGGGGCGATGGGACGATAGAGGTGAAGAAAGTGGAACAAACACAAAAAACAAAAAAACCCAAAAAAAAATAGATTTGCTTTTTTTTTTTTCTTGTATAAAGAGTAATGATAATGAAAAGTAGTTGATCGTCTCAGAAAATCCTCCCCTTTTCAATTAGAAACAGTTTACACTCTTGTAAACCCTTCCACGACATTTCCCAAACACAAGTTCACATTCTCCCCAATCCCATCGTTCAACATCCCATCTCCTCCACCCCCACCCCTCTCTAATCTCTGGGCGCTTCCCGGGAGCAATGACAAGCAGGTACCGTGCTTTGGTACTCAATTCCCATAGAAGCGCGAACAACTCGCTAGTGTCTTTGACGAGATGGAGGGCGTAGGAGCAGATGATGTGGGTGTATTGGGTTTCTGGTAAGGTTCCGTTGGCAATGTCTTGAAAGGAAAGCGGGAGGCAAGGGAGGGTAGTTTGGGCTGTGTAGGCGGGAGAAGTGTATGGGTCTGTTGCGGTGATGTGCAATGTCGGGGTGATTGGATTCAGTGAGGGTGCTGACGATGGTTCGCCTAGTGATATTGGATCTCTTGCTATTGGGGCTGGTATTGAAGGATCTGAGGGTCGAACAGCAGAAGGACGCACACTGCCCTGACCTCCCCGCACCAGTCCTTTGACTCGGACAGTCTGTCCACTCTTTTTCCGTTCTACCCATCCCAAAAGCGCCAGAGTCACCTCCCCACTCCCTGCAGCCATATCCAAAACTCTAGAACCTCCCGCCTCTCCCGTTTCTCCTTCCTTGCCTTCCTTGTCCCACCAAGTATCCATCCATCCCCAGACAACGTTGCGGACACCTTCTGCATGCGGGTTACGGTATGTGGCGGCTACTTGTGTATAGTAATTCCCGACACCATATGCCTCGTAGTTTTCTCGCATGGAATTGTGATTGGAAAAAGCGACCACAGGTGGATTAGGCATGGTGAAGTTGCTGTTTGAATTGAAAATGTTGAAGGGAAAACAGAGATCGTTCGTATCAGCAAATGTGGGGAGACTTTTGCAGTGGCTTAGCAACGCGTTCTACTGTACGTTTTTTCTCCTCCAGCAACCAGAAACGCAATCAAGAGAGCATAGCTTGAAGTGCTGCTTTTGGGGATATCGATGGTCAGAGTTCAAAAGCTTCACCCGTAAGGGCTCAGACTGGTGAATGGTGCATATCGCAAATGAATGCCATATGGGTGGAAACACGCCAGGACGAAAGGTAAACTGCACCTCAGCCGTGGATGTAAAAAATGTTCGTGCTCAACCGGGGGAAGCGACACGAGCAGGATTTGAACCTGCGCGGGCAGAGCCCAATAGATTTCTAGTCTATCGCCTTAACCACTCGGCCATCGTGTCTGGTTGAAACGCAACAATCTACATCCCTCACGACAGCATACTTTTCCGCCTGGACCGGATTCACTCTATTACGGATCTACCTAGGCAAAAAGAACGCTGACAACTTTGTCTGTGACGATGTACTGTCTGATCTTCTCTTGGATAGCTTCGGGGATATCAATGAGCCCCCACTTCTCTTGCGATTAGAGTTTTGAGTAGGTTCATCTGATATCGATCCTGTAATCAGACATGTGTCTAGATGGCTGTTTATGGATGCGCGATCTGTGACGGTGCTACAGATCGGGCAGCACACGGTTGATGTGGATGTGTTTGGCGGATTGGGTGTCGAGTCAGGCTGGGGTTTAGGTGGTGTTGGAGGGATAGGACTGTGGTTGGGCTCTCCTTCGTTATTGTCCGTCTGGGATGTATGTGGTTTTCGTACTATCCAAATGTCGCGCTTTAATATGCATCAAAAGTGCATGGACAAGCGCAATGAGTAACTCACCTCCGAATAGCCCCGTGAATCCCATCTCATGACGGCGCTTCGCATCCACGAGATCCCTAAAGTAGGCGGCCAATCTCTCCTCATTGCGAGACTTGCCTACAACGGTAGGAATCACGCGAGCGGGACGCAGAAACTCGATAAATGATCGGAGTTCTTCAAAGTTGCTGTGCTCTGTGTAAAGTCGGTGAGAAGGGTACCTGGGTGAGAAAAGGAGAGCCATAACAGACATACCAGAGTAAGGTACTTCGTACATATTCAAATGCTCTTGACCGGTTTTGGTCTGGTTGTGAAACACCGATGATGTACCGTGTTGTCGCTGAAATTCCCAGGTCCACCCGGTGGGGACGATGCCAGTGAGATGGGTATAGTGGTCCGAAGCATCCACAATGAGGGAGTTCTGGGACAAGAAGAACAGTGAGACAAAATTCCGCAATGGACGACCGCTAGAAGGAAATGATACTAACCATCCAATCAAGATACTGCTGGGCAAACGACCAATTCGGCAAAAACTTCCAGCCTGATTTGAGACAATCAGCATCTGACCCTTGCTTTCATGACAAGCACCCTCTACATACCCCCAGGGGCCATTTCTCCCAACATTCCCCATGAAACAACATGTATTGGGGACATCTTTGGATCTGTCACAAATATTCCCGCATACTCTAGCTCCAGTAGCGCCAATATCTCTCTCTTCTCTGGTGTGACGTAGACAGGCAGACCATCGCATTTGTCGCTTATGGCTTGCAAGACCTTCTCTTTGCCTATTGTATATGTGGCCACCACGAACAGAGTCTTGCGTCGACGCGGTGGAGACAGGGTTGATGCATGATCCCAGAGAGACTTGTTGTTGTTGTTGTTGGGTGAATCGGCAGTAAGGGTTGCATAAGTCGTTGCCTTGTCCGAGTTGACTTGTCTTAATATGAGATCTCCTATAGCCTCGGTTATAGTGTCCTGTTTGGGAAACTTAAACCGAGGATTACAGTACTAAGAGTAATATAAGTCTCTATAAGTTCTTCAAGGCCAGCTCTGCTCTGCACATACCGTAGTATCAAGCATAACATCCTCCACCGGCAATACTTCCCCAGCAGCATCTTTCCACCCCGGCCAATCCCTCATTTCGTCCCGATATCTAAAATCCCCACAATGGACCACACGTCGACCATTCCCATCAAAAACAAACACAACAGCTCCAGGACAGTGATTAGCGTCCAGGAGTCGCACCGTATGCCCATTTCCAAGATCAAACGGCTCATCTATTGGGAGAGCTTTGATGTATTCGGAGGGGACTTGAAGGACGTGTGCCAAGAGTTTGGCGGTGATGGGTGAGCAATGAATAGGACCAAAAGTCCAGTTTTTTGTGATGCCGCCATAATGGTCTTGGTGAAAGTGACTGAGTGGTGCGAGTGTCAAGTCATAAAGACACTGCCAGCAACAACAGATGTTCAATGTTTACCTTAGAAAATATGTAAACTCGGGAGTCTTGTATTTAAAAGCATCAACCGCAAACGAAGTATCGGGTATGCGTTTTCCTATTGGTAAATCTCCAAAGCTCGGTAACTGACAAGTCATTTGTCTTTTGGTACAGATGGAAGAAGGAAGACATTTCTTGCAAGGTTGGAAATCTGAACTGCGACGTCACGAGTATGACAAATCATGTGGCACAGCCATGCAACTGTTCCAAAAGTCTAATCACATCTTGCAATAGTTATTTAACTGCTTTCAAACCCCTTCGAGTTCATCAACACAACCCTCCAACCATCCGGATCCTTAACCGTCACACCCTTTTCAGTCCAATAAGGATTCTCACTCTCCACAATCTTCCCTCCAACAGCAACTAATCTATCCACGACACGATCCAGTTCCGCTTTATCGGGCATATAAAACACCAGCAACTGGTCTCCACTACTCGGTGCAAAAGTTTTTGGAATCTTGTGCGGATCTGATCCGTTGTATTCAGTAAATTCGAGCTGGTGGGAAGCGTCTGGCAGCCCGTAGATGGTTCCTGAGTAGTCACTATGGTCTTGAAATGAGCCGATGATGGGCAGGTTTAGGCCAGTTGGACCATAAAATGCTTTGATGCGCTCAAGGGAGGGTGTGGGTCGCGCTGTGCGAAACTGAGTGAATTTTAGGAACGTGCCCATTCTGATCGAGCGTTTTTGGTTGTGATGATCCTATTGCTTTTGGTGTTTAGAACGGATTTGAAGGAAAGAGATGAGGTCTCAGCGCCTGATTATAAACAAGACTTGGAGGTGGATGAGTCATCTCATTTCACGGCTCCGATTGACCTCCGGTTGGGCCAGTCCATGAAAAGTACGGCAGCTTTCGCAAAAGCCAATAGTGGCATGACGGATATCTCAATCATTTTATAGTGTAGTGGTCAAGAACAATGAGTCATTAAATTCAAATACAAACAACAAGATGATTCTTGTTTTCCCCTGGTGGGCCAGTGTGCGATCCCATCTATCCATCATCTGCATCTGACGTTCATGTAAACAAGAAAAAAAAAAATCAGTCCCCTTGTTCTATATCAGCGGCCCCTTTGAGATCTACAAGCCGATATCTCCGCCGTGTGGGCTTGAATTGGGTAGGAGCAAGTGTAACGGGTGCCGAGCAGCTTCTAGAATGGTCCACAAGCGAATTCATTGCAGATCTGTTCGATGCGGGGTTGACTTGGTCCATGGATGCGCACATTTTTAAAGATTTATTGGGTAGCCCTCCACGAAGATTGGATGATGAGGACGAGAGTCGAGGTTTGGATGGCTTGCCTTGTACACGACGACGACGTCTATCTATTGCGTGTAATTTGCGTATCCATTCTGTGGAGGCGTCTGTGTCAGAGGGTGAAGAGGATTCGGGGGATGATGGTGGGGTGTCTTCTCTGGAAGATGGCTCGTTTAGACTGGCGATGGTGTCGGAAGGATGAATGTGATCCCATTGTGCATATTCTTCCTCAGCGCTAACGTCGTCGTCGTGATCTGCTACCTCTTGTTCCACTTGGTCTTGGCTTTTTAGGGTATCAAAAGATAGATCTCGCCATTCATACTCCTCCTTTAAGCATTCATTCTTGTTGCATCTTTTCTCTTCAACTACATTTGAAAATATGCCATTGCTCTTAGTAGCTCTTCCCTTGGCCAGTCCTCTCTCACCCTTCACATGAATCTTGCGCAGCCATATAACAACATCCGGTTCCTCATCCTCGGCATCCATCCACTCCATAACGTCATTCACAGCATCTTCGTAGCCAGCAGTAAATGGCACATCACTCGCTGCTCTGCGTCGTCCTCTAAAGTATTTATCATGGGTATGTTGCATCCACTGCTCCATCTCTTGTTCACGTTCCTCCTTACTCAAGGTCTCTTGGCCAGACGAAGACTCTGCAACCCATCCTCTTAAAACAACGTCTTCGTAAGCGTTATGAACTATTCGGAATGCCTCTGTGGCACCAGGATGTGTGCATCGGTCCGGATGCACGAGAAGGGATTTGAGCTTATAGGCTCGACGGGTCTCACGAAGCCGGATGGGGCGGGATGTGGTTGAAGAGAATAGGAGCATAGGAAGGGAGAGAATTGCTGGAGGTATGCGGTGTCTGGTTGATAGGTGGAGGAGTCGAAGAACCTCCTTGTGGGAGCTGTCTGGAGTTTGTGGGGGAAAGGGCATCTTGGCAATCGTCGCGAGTTGTCAGGCTGCTTGATATTTTCGAGATGTTGGTGGGAGAGGGGAACGTGTTGCTTTGATAGCTTGTTTACAGCGTAACATCGCCTGAGATAATCAAGGGAGAGACGATGCAGGATCCCTTAGGGCTGATCCCAATTGACGATACATCGGTAAAGCATCGTAAGCGGACAAGTCAAGATGCTTTGCAAAACATTGTTACTTTGTTGACGACGTCCCTTGTGCAAGTAACACACCTTGAACACAACAAGCATCGGTATCACTTATCATGTAAGCATTACAAGCGAGTTCGACATCGACCGTTCAATGGTTTGTGATTTCGCTACAACCGTTAACTATCTACAAAGCCTCATTCCAAACGGTCAGACCTTCATTAAAGGAAGATACTACAACCTACTGCCTGGGAATTTCCATCATTGCATGCATGTACATCCATGCCTCAGTCGCTGGTGCGTAATGCTGCTCAATACAGGTCATAAATGTAGTAAAGTAAAAACATAGGGAAGCCGATGCCTGGAAATGCTGACGATATTCAAGATACTGAACATGCACAATGAGCAAACGTCAAATCTGAGGATGTTTCCAAAATTTGGACATCCTCTCTCTGATGATGGATATCTTTAAATTACATGGAGCAATGTGTGCATCGAAAGAAAGAGGATATTCGATGAGGGTTGTGTAGCTTGCATTGGACCCTCCACTGGAAACTAGGTGTGGCAATGTGCTACTTCGTACCTTGCAAGTCATGCTTCCACAAGTCCTGTCGCACACTCCATCAAGATACAGCATGGACACTGTCTCCAGACAGATTAAACTTGAGTATGACGAGCGAAGCACTGGTTGATCATCTTGTGTCATGACCCCGAAAGATCCTTAAGAATGTTTTATTTGGGGTCATGGTATTGGGGTGTGCTACTTGCCACCATGACCTCGACAGACGCACCTACCTTGCAAGTAAATCGTTTAAACAGCCATGTACACTATTGCTCAAGAAGCAGAGATAAACCGAATTCTCTCCTCTTCTGCCCCTCAAACCATTCTTCAAGTCCAGCGCAGCTCTACAAAGCAAACCTTGAAACAAACATACCGAATCAAAGCTTTACTGGTTCATCCGGACAAATGCGATCATCCACGGGCTGAGGAAGCGTTTGTGAGGTTGCGGACAGCTTTTGAGACTATCTCGGCGGGGAATGGACCTTGGAGGTCGGGAGATGAGGAGAAAACATCAGGAATGGGCACGCAGAGGGAACGAGAACGTCAGGATTCATTCGAGGGACAACAAACTCGTAGTTCATCTCATCTTTACTCACGACCACACCTCTTTCAAACCTCCATTCGCCTCAAGGAAGCGTACCTCTCTGCACAACAAGCCCGCAACAACCTTGAAAATGCTTTTGAAACCGCCACTGAAAGATCCTATGCAAGGGCCCAGTCTCGCTCCCATCAAAGTGACCGTACAGCTTACCGTTCCGCATCCGCCAAACTACACAAAGATTTACATTCCACCAAAAAGTCGTTAGACGACACTTTGGATCAATTTATACTCGAGGCTGGACATTTGGCAGATCAGTCGGCGTCGATGCCTGGATTTGCATCCCTGAGGTCACGCTCAGACGAAGAGATGGCTTTTTGGAGGGAAATGGACAAGAGCTCATTGGACGAACTTCGTGCTTTCAGGGAACAGGTTGGGGAAAATCGTGCGGAGAGGGATACCATGTCAGAAGTGCGGAATCGAGAAAGGGAGGTGGCGGATGAAAGGTTGAGATGGAGAAGGGAAGCAGGTCTTGCGGGAGAGAAGGAGGAAAGGCGGAGGCGAGAGAAACGGAAAAAGAGAAAGGAGAAGGAACAAATTGAAAAGCAACAGAAAGAGGAGGCTAAAAGGGCGGAAAGCGTAGAAGGCATTACTCGCGACCTCTCATCGTCCTCCATTTAAACAACACTCTCTTGGGCTTGTTATCTCTTTTTCCAATGTATCGCATCGGTTAACAAGATTCTGTTCATCATCTCACCAAAAATAACACAACATGCCCCATATCAAAAATCACGACAAACAACTACTAGCCGACATGATGACGAGAAAAAAAAGTTCTTTCTCCCACTTCGCACCAACAAAAACCCAACATCACTACAGCCAAAATAACAAAAATTCCGACAGATATTCCCAACCTCTCTCCCTCATGTGCTCCAACACCCTCCGTTCGATCCCTCCAAGCAAGTCTCACTTGTTTCTCTTTGCAGCAATGGCAAGTACTATACCCAAAAATCACAACCAGAATACAAGTCAGAAAAACACCGTACAATGAAGATATACAGCGTCCACTCACAATGCACTGCTGCAATGACTCCGCCAGCGGCCGGTGTCCAAATCACATATTCGGGTCGATATTTCAAGGCAGCCTTTGTTCAAAAATAACACCCCCTGTCATCCGACGTACAAAAATCCAGAGACTGTAATTGAGAACTTACGAGAGCTGGTGCAACGATTGCTACATGGAACCAATTGACTGCTGTGGTCTGGTTGGAAAAGATGCGTTCAACGCCTTGTTTGCTCTCTTGTTTTACTGCTTCGGTGTTGGACATTATTTTTTTTTTTTTAGTGGTGGTGGATTTGCAGGGTAATTTGTGTGGGTACTTTGTCGATGGAGGATAAAAAGTAAATAATTGGAGAAAATGTAGGTAGCGTAACGAGAAAAGAAAAGCCTTGTTTCTGTACATTTCCTTGTACGCAATGGGGTACCGAAGGGGCTTTTGTTGGTCATCATCACATAAAATGCGTCAAAGCCCAACGCCGTTTCTGACCATCCTTCACCCCAAGCCCGTGTCAATCTTGCAACGAGCTTCCTATTCAAGGGAAGCTTTTCAGTTGTTGAATGCACAGAGTATTCAACAAAACACACAAAAAGTCGAAAAAAATGAAACAAAAGTATATAGAGAAAGAAACGCAATACAAAACCAAAAAAAAAGACCTCCCTCACCCATGCTTTGCACTGCACCAGATTCCCTCCACAAAAAAAATAGTGTATACAAAGAAAAAGAAATAGCAGAGAGAACTCTTTAAAAGAGGGAAAGCCAAAACCCTTCCAGCACACACCAGAACCAAACAGGCCTGCAGAAAACTGCTGTGCGGTGGATAGAGTCCCACCGATCAGGCCTCAACTGCAACTCCTCGCCTCTGTTCTCCCTCCCTCAGACTCTCTTTCTTGACACTCAAACTTTCGTCCCCAACATCACCACCAGCATTGAACTCCTCTACTTCGGCTTCGGTAGCCAATGGCTCAATCCCAGCAACTTCGAAAACACTCGGTCGTCGGCCGCCGCTCTGAGGTGCCATACCAAAGCCGACCAATATGCTTGCAGCCTCTAATAGTTGCACCTGTTGGTGCTTAGAAAGAGAAAACTTTGCAGCTTCCTTCCAGTGTTCCGTATGCTCCCATTTGTGCTTGAGGAGACAGTTTGGATGCTTGTAAACCTTTCCACATGTTTCACATTGGTAGCTTTTACCTCCGCCGTTGGAAGACGTGGTGCTTGGAAACGTGGTGGAGGCGGATGACTCATCGGAAGATGTCTGGGAAGACGAACGCTTGTGTCGGTGGTGACCGCCGGCTGCAGCAATAGATACGCTGGCGGAAGACCTCCTCCGTCGCGTGGTTGTAGATCCGATACTCGATGGCGTCGTATTAGACCCACTATGTCGTCGCGGTTCAGGTGCCGCAGCCCTCTCCGACTTTGTATTAGCCGACCGAGCCTTGTCCGGATTCACTGGAACCGAACTAGTGGAGGGCGTGGCTTGCGGGTATCGACTGTGGGCCGGGTAAGAGCCCGGTTGTTGTGGTCCCCACGGACTATAATAAGGTGCATTGGAACTTGTCATTGAGTCAGACACTGGGGTATGTGGGGGAGATCGTTTGGGGCCGGGGCGGCCATCGATACGATCCGTTTCGATAGTGTGCTCCATCTTGTACTCGTTTGCCAATGGGCTCTTTTTCCCATTGGCCTTTGTGCTACCATCAAAGTCGAGGCTCTTGTGACGGCCGTGTCGGTAATTTTGATGGGCAGGGTGATCGTATGGCGCCGTGGCGGGCGCGGAGACGTTCACTTGAAGAGATTGTATAGGTGGGAGTGTTTGCAAAGGTGGTGGTGTAGGTGGAGGAGAAGCGAATGTATGATTATGACCAGCCAGCGCTGCCGCCAAAGGTGGGAGTGTCTAAAGCACCCAGCGGTAATCGTTAGTGCACATGTTGTAGAGGCGAACACACAAAACACCAACATACCTGATTGGACTTTTGAGACATGCCATGGTAAATGTGATGGACGGAAGGCAGGGGAGGATGCTGGGCGGCGCTAGCATGATGCGATTGCGGATAAGAACCAGAAGCAGGATACGGAGGATGATGCTGACTTTGCATGGGCGGACCCGACATGCGTTGCGAATGCTGTGGATGCATATGACCTGCAGAATCGTAAGTCTGAGGCATATAGTGCATCTGGTTGGAGGATGACGATGATGGATAGTGATATCCTTGACTTTGAGATTGATGATGCTGCTAAAAGAGCAGTGGATGAGATGTTTGCAGAGGCATAGCAAAAAAAAAAATTAAATTAAAAATTACACATTTTCATACCTGAGTGGCGGGATAAGACCTTTGAAAGTAAGGCTGAGATGACGGATACGACTGCGAAGGCTGCTGGGCTTGCGGTTGTTGAGAGGGTGGCGGTGGTTGCGAGTACGAGTAAGAATGCTGTTGCTGTGGTTGAGAAGGCCGATGATGGGCTTGATACTGGGCCATTGCGTCACGCGAACCATACGAGTGGGAGTCCGTGGGATGAGGACCTTCACCCTTTGGTCCCGGATATTTCCAATTTTGAAACGACGACATGCTCAAGGAAGACGAGCGGAGGTGAAAGTACTAGTAAAAGAGACTCGTCGGATTTGTGTCGTTTTATCTGTAAACAAGTGCAACTCAATGTAAGCAATTTGAGGGACAAAAATATCTTAGGGTTGTTTGATCCTCGGAAGTAGTGACCCCGATTCCCCTCTCGCTATTCAGAATTAACGTCTCGAACACGAGGATCCTCAAATTCCTGGTTTTTTTTGCGTTTGCCCAAATATACATTTGACATGCAAATCAATAGCAAAAACCCTCTCCAAATACCGCCGGTCCCGCCCACGTCAATCACATTTCCCAGTCACAAGCCATACCTTGCACGCACAAAAAGATGCAGTTTCAGACGATGGGTAATGCTGCGTAAGACAAATGTCGCTTTGCAATAAATGATTGTCCAAGGCGTATGCAAAGGTGGGAAACCTGCAAGAAAAGAAAAACGTTCAACATGAGCAAACAGGGCGGAAATGCTTGCATGTCGATGCTCGACAAGGGTAACAAAAGGGTTTTGTGTGGCGCCACCACAGGAGAGCGAGCCAGCACAGCGCACGTCGACATACCTGGCTGTATATTCTTTTTGCAAGTGCCCCCGTGCGTATAAAGTATGCGTATGTGCGGAGGGGAAATCGTCAAGGTGGTAAAACGACAACGACGACAACGACGACGACGACGACGAAAATCCAAACGACGGTGGGAAACGGAGGAAGAGAAAAAAGCCGTTCGGGATTCTTGTGCGTGGGAAAAAAGTTCAAAGGGGGGGGCCAGCAGCCAAAGGGATACAAATTTTTTATTTCTTTTTTGGCGAGTCGCCTCCCCGCCTTGTAAATGATTTTCCCACACCCAACAACTGGTTCATACAACAACAAAAAGTTTGCATTTCTCACACCACAAATGGCTACAACCATCCACAAAAATTACCAATAGGGGCAATGACCCAGACGTTCGGAACAGGACAAAAAGGGGTAAGGGAAAAAAGGGGCGGGAGACAAGTGTTACCGGGCGTCTGGTACAACCCACGCGTAATGTGGGATTTCATCAAAGTGTTTGAACCTGCTGGGTTGGCAGCCGTGAGGCAGCCGTGACTCGCATTTTTGGGTTGGGAATATCTCTACAACTCTTGTAGCCACAACTCTTTTTCCACGAACGTTTTTATTTCATCTATTTGACACGCGCTTCAAGATTAAGATTTAAGACATGTCCAATTAGACATTTATAAATGATGGAAATGGGGATATCACAAAGCCATTGTAAAAGTATAGCCAGCATAGCAATGGGAATGAAATGGGCGCGTTAACAAGAATAAAAAGAACAAGAGAGAGGCGCAATGAGAGAGAGAGAGAATAGAGAAGCGAAACACGCGTTTGCTTTGTGTGTGAAATCTACAAATTACATAATACACACAATTGTTTTTTTCTGTAATTCAAAAACCCAAGGATTTCAAACAATTTCCATTTTGTGCCAAGTGACTTGACTTACGTGACGTTGCCTTCCAAGGCTTATGGATTAAAAGATATATCTTCCACACGCCCAGAAATACCAATGGAAATGCCTAATGTCGTCCACTCGGCCCCAACTCATTGTCCACCTTGAGCCCATACCTTCCTCCCCACTCTACGCCCTCCTCCAACAGTTTCACACAGTATCCTCCCAAAAATATGGCTCGACGGATGCCCACGCATACCATCCCCACGTCTCGCTGACTGGATTCTGGCAAATGTCACTCCCATCCACGCACCACCAACACGCAGACCCATATTGCGCTAACCTCGTCCAATCTTGTCTGAATGACCGACTCCCACCGCTGGTTCTCCATCCTCCTCTCATCCCAGACACAAAATTATGCCTGATTCTTCCCATATCCCCTCCCAAAGAATATATTGCCCTGTCAAAGTCGATTACTCAAAACTTTGAGTCATGTGATCGATTCGTCAATAGGATGCGTCCAAAGGCGGTCAATCATATTTCGTTGGCATATTTTGCGCCAACACAGGATGTGTCAGAGGAGGAACAGCGGAGGATTGTGCATGGAATGAAGGAGGTTGCTGATCAAGTTTTTGGGAAATGGTTTGATGGTAGGCCTTCCGTGTTGGTGCCAGAGTGGGATGTCGTCTACTATGAACTCACAAGGGAGGCAAAAGAGCCATTGAAAGGTGAACAGCACGAGTTTAAAGAAATTGGACGTTGGAGAGTGGCATAGTTTTTCCCATTGCGGAATCAGCATTACTATATTACATTAATGGTATCAGGAAAAAAAAAAAAAGTTATACATCAAACTCGATCAACCGACATGTTCAATCCATCACCACACGGGAGATGGCTCCATGAAATCAACAAATCCACTCTCTACCAACGATTCCACACCCGATCTTGGTCGCTCTGGCGTGGACCGGCGGCGATCCAGAGTTTCCGATTTCAATTCGTCCACGTTTTCACTCATCTTTTCCGGGTTTGCTCCCTCGTCCTCAATATCCACCCACCCAGCCATAGCCCGCAACGCCTTGGCGCTATGTCTTCTTACCAATTTTTCACTACCTTTCATTTTCTTCTCCATTCCTAAAACACATTGCCCTAACCTTCGTCCAACATTCCACACCGGCGCAAGGACATGGCGTCGTGGATCCGCATCACGTAGTTCTCGGAGATACAGCAGGTTGGTATCGATCGCGTATAGCGTGCGCGTGGATAGTGTCGTAGCCAAGCGCGGTGTACTGACACTGATGCTCGGACGACCCGTCCTTCGAACGCGAGGACTTTGTGTCACTTCATACTCGCTTTCCAGCAGCTTCCGGAATGGGCCATCGGTGCGCGCTGGTGATGCAAAACGCATATATTGGCGTTCATATGAGCGGGGGAGGACGATGGGGAGCGTTGGTTTCTTGTGAGGTGATGAATGTGGTAGAAGGCTTGAGAGAGAGGAAGGGAGGATGCGAGAGACAACATTGGAGGCGGTGTATATCGGTTCAAGGGAGACATGGAATCGGACGGGTAACATGTCGGACATGCCTATATTTGCAACGGGAACGATAGCGTAACCTAATGACAATCATGTCAGCATCAAAAGTATGAAACTAAATTGAAACGCTTCCAGCCCTACCACTATCAAGTGCCCAAACTGCAAATTCAGCACCAGGTGCCACCGCCGACCCGTCGCCGGTGTCGATGGGATACATATGGGCAATGTCACCTTCGGTCCCCGAGTCACTTATCTCCGAGGACGGAAACCACACCATCGTATACCCAGCTCCCATCAGCTCGGGATATATGGAAGGTGAAAACGGCACTGCTCCAAAATATTCGAGGACATGTTTCCATAGTGGCAATTTGAAGTCTATACCGGGAGGAAGGTTATATGAATTCCTAGCCAAGGCAACTACCAACCTTTGTTGCACTTACGCAGTGGGTCAATCTGAAACCTCACCAACTTTCCCGTCTTCAAATAAATGACGGAATGCATAGCAGGCATTTCCAGTCCTACGTGAAAAAATATCAGCGTCACGATTCATCCTCTAAAACTTTCAAAGAGACCAAGACATACCCCAAACACTCTTGTTCGCAACAAACAAAACCTTTCCATCTTTTATATCTCCTTCCCAGTCCGCCACCACTGGTTGAAAAAACAAAATGAGGTGCGCAAGCGGGACTAGTATGAAACGTGAGGGCTGGGACCACTTTGTTGGCGGAGTGTTCGGATACGATATAACATGTATGTAGACGTTCTCTGTAAATCTGCAAGCGCATTCTATCAATATCCCTCCGTTATCAACCTTTTGACATGTTCAACTGACACGTACCGTGAAACTGACACAGCGGCCCCTCCAACACCTCGCAAAACGCCCCGAATCCTTTTTCGCACATCTGGCGACAATGAAGCAACCCACGCACTACACTTTCGGTGTGCCTGGATCACATAGCCCGCCGCTCGTGGGAATTTCCACGCCAGACTCAGCATATGAGATGTAATGTCCATTCTAAGAGGCCTTTCTGATCCGTATCCTGATTTCGTAAATAGTTTTGAGAAAGTCCCCCTGATGTCTGCCTCCGCAACTTGCAAGTGCAACCTTTCGCCTGTTGGGCGAAACTGCCCCAAAATGTTGAAGAGCAGAGATCGTTGAACTCGGGTGGCGTTTGGGATGAGCGAGCGGAGTGGTCATTGTTGTTGCTATGGCAATGCGCAGTGATGAGATTTAAAAGTTTGGAAGAATTTCTGGCTTTGGTTATTTTAATGAAGCTGGTTGAATCAATTTGGCGATGGACATTAGAAACTTGCAAGAGATGAACAAGTAGGACTAGCAACTGATACAGATGGAAAACATGCCTTCTATGGTCCGCCAGATCACTTGAGGGTTGATATGTATGTATTCCAAACGCTCCTCAACCCAGCATGCTACAAAGTTTACGAAATTGGAAGAGGAGGATGTTCATGTCAAATGCCAGAATCCATCACAGGACCTGTATAAAGGACATCTTCTACACTATTCTACACTAAGCTATGTTATGCGCTGACGAAAACGATCCAAATTCATGCACGGATCAGCAAATCGCTCTTTAACAAACCCATTCAATACCAACCGCCTGTAGCGCTTCCATCGTTTCAAGTCCATGTACTCAAAATAAGCATTCAGAAGTTTTTCCTTGTCCAGTGATTTCACCGTATATTCTGATAATTGGAGGTGCCCACTCAGATGTGATCGGGCATCGTGTGCCGAGATGTGGCCAATTTCCACCGGTGTTACCGAGCGTACCGTCACTGAGCTGACAAGGTCTCGAGAAACCGTTTTCGCTCGTTGCTGATTTACATCGCCTTGTTCCAATTCGGATGGACTATAACCATTGTTGTTATGCCCATATTGAGACGGAGCATGCAAAACGATCGTTTCTCCAAAATAATCCCCAGGACCTAGGTACCCGAGCACAACCGACACGCAGAATGGTCCCGCAATATCTGGTAGACACAGCGACGTCTCTACTTCCAACTGGGCTTGCACGACGCACCGTCCTGATTTGATGAAGCAGACCTCGGTTATGGGATGATGTTGAGAGAGCAGATGTGTATTTTTTGGATGTGATTTTAAGGTCATTGCGTTGACAATGGGGATGAGGGACGGTAGTGTCGAAAGAGCTGGGACTTTTCGAAGAAAGAAGATTTTTTCTTTGCGATCTTTTTCGTGCATGAATCTAGATCTCCGTAGTGAGTATCGCCAGATCTCTTGACGTAATACGCCGACGAATGAACATACCGGACCATCCGATTATAATCCCCCTTCTCCACTCTTAATATGAAGCACTTTTCAACCGTCATGATAGTCGCAGCCCTTCTTGCATCCGTCGCCAATGCTACCTCCCCAAACCCCTCTCCAGGACCCAATGTCCCAACCGTATTGCTACTCTGTATTAAAAGTCTTGCAGAACCATGCTCTCCAGTCCACGTCCTGCTTTTCCCTGCACTATCACTATTCCCCGAAGCGACCATAACGTTTACCCTACCTTGTAAAATAACAAACCAGGACGTCCCTTCGTCCCCCTGTTTGAAGACGATTCGATGCGGTTCATAGGTGTTCAGATGCAGAACACCAAGTAATTGTGTCAGCGCGAAATTGGAAAGACTTTTGAAAGCCCCAAGTGGACGTAGACCGCGGAAGAGGATTTTCATGTCTTCTTGCGTACGCGCTGGAGGTGCTTTTTGCAAAATGGGGAGAAGATCTTGGGTTGTTGGTATGATCGCATTTAAGGCACCTCGACGCCGTATTCCGCATTTAGGATGAAGATCAGTTGATGCTTGGTTGTTCTGAGACGCTATGAATTTATCCACTAAACCCTGTGTCTTGCCCGGTCGTCCAGCAATAGACTCTTCTTTAACAATCGCTCTGCCAACCCTCCTCTTCTTCCTCGCCTTCTTCTTTTCATCTTCCAAACACGCAGTCAAGTACCCTAAAAACACTCGCCCCCGCTCTGCATCGCCCTCCACTTTGCACGAATTGACCAATGGACCTCTTTCCCCCCAAATGCTGTACGTCAAGTCGCACAGCTTGTGCACATTGACAGTTAGGTTTCGTTGCTGAGGAAGAGATGGCAGTGGTGTACAGTCATGGCTTTTGTGGCTCTGGAAAGTCATTCAGCGTAAAAGTGTAATGATCTGAGTTCATTGGGACTCTAGTCGTACTGTACCTTGTGGCATGTTGGATGAAGTCCTGACAGCAAGGGCAAGCCTAATCGTTTTTCAACTCGATTAGCGTCAATGTCGACGCTTCCGACTCGCATTGGTTAGGTAATGTCGAAGCTGGTGCCGTATCTGCTCCGTGAATGTGCTTTTAAGGTCGTTGTACTATCTCATTCATTGGTGGGCATCCCAACTGTTGAGTTGGCAACTTCGTTGACCAGCCAAAATAGCTACAATTGAATGCTTGCTTACATGACCTTGAATGGCTGTGCCACCTAGGCGTTTATTGGTAAGCTGGAAAGGACTTTCTACCATGAGCATCAATTCAAAGTCGTCGAGAATAATACAGATGCGACTCACAAGCAGCAGCATTATCAAGTAGAGATATAACTATGTACACCAAGGTAATTCAGATAGCAAACTTAAGAAAGCAGTCCAAATTGAGGTTGGGGATTTGAACCAAGTTATTCTGCTAGTCTGCATCTTTCTAGCATAATCCATAGGCAAAGAGGCGGCTCTACAATGGTAGAATTCCTTTTAATCGTTATCCGGAATGGGACGAATAAAAAACGTCATGAGTGATCTTGTTGTTTCTGGAGAGTGTGAGTGCCGCGTCGGTTGGCCCAGACGGGACCTACTGAACGTGACGAACATATCTCGACAGCAAGTGGAGTTATTCGCTTTGGGAGATGAAAGCGTGTTTACTTGGCAAATCTGCTTCTATTAAATGAGTGACCTCTAGAACCGGGTGCAGATCGTTTACAAGCAAGTGCTAGTGAGGAAAGCCAAACTAGATACCCTCCAACGGTCAACTTTTATCTAAGAAAAGCAGCATTCTTCAAAACTGATATTTTTATTATTAACTTTTCGGACAATGTCGCTGACCGCATCCCACTGGCATGCCAACCCACTCAATCCGCCCTCTCTCGCGCCGTCTCTCCAAGAATCTACCACTACCCCAGAATTTGACCCGCCTTCCAAAATCCGTAATAACGCCTGCGGCGTTCACCTGGATGTGCAACTCGATCGGACCATTTTCGTGGCTGCAGGAGATGTCAATGGACATGTTGTTGTAAATGTCAGGAAGCGCGAGGGGGTCAAGATTGGTAGAATTGAAGTTGATGTTGTTGGGTTTGAAGGTACGCATTTTCACAATTGGTTGATACTATGAGGGAGGGATAGTGAAGCTCATGGCGTTTTACAATAGAAACCACCGCCAAATCCCAGTCCCATCGCCGTCTCCTCCTTTGGCATACACTGCCGGTCCAATGTACATCGCTCCCGCCGAGCAGTGCGGTGCATGCAGGCCCACCCGACGAACACGGCATGTGGCTCGCAAAAAAAGGAAGACATGTCCTAGATTTTTCTATTCCGCTCGAAAAGTTTGGCGAAGGAATGCATTCGTCCGGATCTGAATCAAGACTCAAAGTTCAGCACGAGGTTGTAAAGCCCTTACCTTCTTCAGTATGGTGTAAGGGTGAAGGAGGCGTCAGATACTTGGTGGTAGTTACCTTACATTTAAAACCGCTGAGATCAACGCGACCTTTGACGCCCTTATCGACGTTTACGCCATTTTTTCTTCTTGAGTCCCTCCCGCCACTGACCTCACCTCTGACTCGATTTCCCACCAGTACGGACCCTGGGTCTCCTCATGCAGCGGAAACTACCGCTGTAGTGGGTGGAAAATACTGGTTTGGGTTGGGGCGAAAGGGCGAAGTTAGCGTGAAGGCATCTGTGAGGGTACCTGATGATAATGAAGGTGGTGTTGGCTTCTGGGTGGCCGGCAGCGTTGGGTTTGTTGGACTGGATATCGAGAATGGAAGTGAGAGAAAGGTAACAAGTCCTTGTAAATGAGCTATTTCCTCTGCCACCAACTAATCTATTCAAACACCCAGATAACGGATTTAAAACTAACTCTCATCCGCCGCCTGAAAACTTTTTCGCCAAGCGCAAGTAGTCCGCCTCCAAACACCACTACCACGACTCTGACCCCACATTCGACTAGCACATTGCGCCCGATTTCCTTTTCGCGTGTACCGATTGCCAAACGGACGTGGAAGGTGGGCAAAAATGAGCTGGGTAGTGACGAAGTTGCGGAAGAGTGGAAGGGGGTGGATAGAGGAGAGAAGAGATGCGTAGTACTGGATTTGGCCGTGCCGGTGAGTTTATTCTACCTACTGGTTTATTGGTCAGGCCTTTGCTAATGTGGATCTTTAGATTAATGCCCGGTCCATACGATTCGGAATGCTATTGGATGTTTCATACGTAGTCCAGGTTACGATTAAACCCAGGGGCAGGTAAGCAGTCGAGAAAACCAATGCAGTTCCGTCCTGGCTCTATCATGCAATTTCACATACTCAAAATGTCCAGCACGCCACTCTGCACTGAGATCCCCATAACAATCCTCCATCCTGCCTCTCTTTACCAAAATGTTCCAACCATCCAACTGCGGACACTTTCAAAACCAGTTCGCCCAGCCCCGAGGCGAGAACTTGGCGGGAACGTTGGCGTGACAGTTCTTCCCGACTCGGATGATCCAAACAGCGAGATTGCGGAACCGGCTGAGGGGGATATAACACGTCCTGTTTCGCCGACAGGTGTGGCCAGCGCTGCTGAAGAACAGTATCGACACCCGTCTACGAGTTCGAGGGAAGGGCCAGTACAAAGTCAGATGGCTCAGAAGCAGATTGATCTGCTTCGGAATGCATCGATTAGGTCGTCTACTACCAATGGCACGTCAAAGCCGAGACGACCAGCAACGAACGGGATGCCGGACCGAGCTGGCACCGTAGACCGTTTGAGCACATTGGACCGAGCAAGCACCATAGACCGCACAAGCATGCTTAATCGCGCATACACTCTACATGGGGCCAACACAAACACATTGGATCAGTCCCATGCCTTGGAACGAGCCAATACCCTCGACCACCCACAAAGCTTTAGCCAATCACCCCTTCCGCCTGAAAATCCACCCTCTCCAGCAGCTCGCCGCGCAGCCCAATTCCACATCAACGGACCTCCCAATTTTTTTTCTTCACCCGTGATGCCCGAAAATGAACAACCCGACAATCAAATGGGGGAATCTCTCGCGCATGATGTGGACGATATATCAAGAACCATAGACAAACTTTTTGAGGGCTTTCCCGGCATGTGAACGGGGGCGTAGATGTTGTGTTTATCAGTGGGAAGTGTCCGTGTTTAGAGGTGATGAGTAACATGTATTGCAAATACAGATTGTTTTTCTATGTGTTCTATTTCCTGTAATCCCTGTTATTGGATTTTTGTCGTCGTCGTCCCGCTGGCGCTCATTCCACTCGTTGTTGTTGTTTCTGTTCTTGTCGTTGCCGTGGTAGTCGTCCCGTTCGATGTCATTACAGCTGCGGTTGTACTCCCGCTCGATGCAACACTTGCAGTTGTGTTCACACCCGACACCACCGTGCTGCTGGTTGTCTGCTTCTCAGGCAGGGTAATATCGCAAAGCCCCTGCAGCTGAGATTTGCACAGTGATGGCACCAACGCACCCCCAGGATACAGCACCAAACATCCGGCGCGGAAATTCCAAGATTTACCCAGCCATCCCCCCAGCCATGCCACAGAAGTCATTCTACTCGAGAGATAAGCTACTTCCTCTGTACTAGGATTGGCCATGACACCTCCAAGACGTTTACATACATTTCTAGAATCCCAAAATTCTAATGCATGAAGGATGCAGTAGTATCGAGTTGTCGAGTTTGTGATTGATGATATCGTCCATCGACAAGGGGACAGGTTGAGCAGTCTGTTGTGGGTCGCACCAGTGGGCTTGCGGATGACACCTTTCAACGAGGAATCCAGCAGCCCTTGGAACAACTCATGTACTTTGTACTGATCAACTGCACCAACCCATCCGTTAGATAACCAAACTGCAGCGACACCCGTCACCATAGGTGCACTCATGCTCGTTCCGGTTTTGTAAACAAGAGAACTATTTGTAGGTCCTATTCCTGCTCCAAGAATGTCCGTTCCTGGTGCGTATATGTTGACACAACTTCCCCAGCTAGAGAACCATGCCTGGTCATCTCCTGGTGTTGATGCCGCGACTGTTAGAGCTGTCGCGGCACTGGCCGGCGACCGACTCGCACACGCATCAATCGCCTCATTCCCCGCTGATACGACAACCAAGATGCCTATAGATGTCGCAATATCCACCAAGGCGTTCGCGGAATCCAACTTGGAGCCCGAGAGCGACATATTTATCACCGTTTTATTTGTTCCACCGCTAGCAACCTTTGCATTATGTTGGTCAATCACATACTGTATTCCCTGCATGACTGCCGACATGTAGCCTGCACCCGCGCAATCAAGCACCTTGACTGCGTGTACCCTTATCCCAGTGGCATCCCGCGCTACACCTGTGGTCCCTCCGACAATCGTTGATGCGACGTGCGTCTCGTGGCCGAAACAGTCAGTATCTATTCCATCCCCGACGAAATTGATATCAAACGACATCTTCCGTCCAGCAAACTCTGAATGCCCAATCTGAATTCCTGATCCCAAAACGTATACATCGACATCGTTTGGTGTTGAAGTCCAGGGGAATATATAGGTTCTGTTCAGGGGCGTTGTGATGGCTTTCCCGTCGACGAAAATCTGCGTAATGCGATCCAGGCCCCAATTTATTGGGTCAACGTCGAAATTCATGCTCCAAGAATCATGTGAAACCTGTACATCTTCTTCAATTCGCACCACATCCCCTACCAGCGTCCCCAACTGGGCAAAATCGAGGTCACCGATGTCATCAACAACGAGACAATGGGCATGTTTCCAGGCTGGTTTTGTACCATTTTTGAAAGCGAGCCCCTCGATTTGGTCGAGGGTGTAGGTCGGCGCAGGTTCCGCTCTTCGGGCCTTTCCGCCTTCCGTTGCAGAGCCGACGAGGAAAAGGAGGTAGCGGGGTTTGAGTGGGATAGTGTCGGAGAGGTCCGAAGGGCGGTAGGGAGGCAAAATCGAAACCTCGTCAGACGCTTGGTCCGTAGGCGCTAGGGGACTGTTTGTACATCGTGCGATGGGAGAGAAGTTCAGGAGGAACGCAGCTGCGACCGAGAGCTGGCGTAACATCACTATGAGAGCCCGACGAAATTCGAACAGGTTGCCATCTAAAACAAGCACTTCGATCCTGAAATTCTACATGGTGGCAGGTTCAACGAACTACCTAATCTAAGTGCATGGCTTTGAAATACTATAAATAGGCATCATGTGTGCACCCTGGGGGACTGTCGCCCTCATGTCAATAAATAAACCAAGCCGACCAACAATATCAATCATGATTCGGTTTGGAATTCTAAAAGGTCTATAGAATAGTTCATTTTCTCCACGTCCGCCTAAATCTATCAAGGATTCAATCCGCCACGAATCCCACGCGTCTGCCTTCCTCCACCCATTTCCGACAACATTCGTCAATTTCACGTCCCTTATCCCCACTTCCTCTTACAGTCGCAATGACACGGTCCACCCCTCCATTCTTTCGCCCAGTTAGCGTTTTAACAAACATTTCCAGTTCTTCAAAACTGCTGTGCTCACTGTAAGGTAAAGGAATAGTAATCAACGGTACAGCTTTAGGCTTCAGGGTGGTATTACCACCATTAATTGGCCCTTTTGCTGGCGGAGCAGGGATTTGGATGTAACTATAGCTTGGCTTTAATGCTCCCACATCAAAGGGTTTCTGCTCAGCTATCGGGTTACTCTTTGATGGCCGGAATGTCCATCCGGTCGGTCGAATACAGATGACTGAATCACATTGGTCCGATAGATCATTCTTGACTATGTACTCTTTGACAGCATCGCCTCGAAGACCTCCCATTCCAACCACATGTACGCCGGCCTCTTTCGGGTTCTTGCAAAGCAAATCATCGAGAGCCGCGTTTTCTTCTGCAGCGAGTACAGTCCGTTTGTAGTGGTTTGCGTATATCTTTGTGGAAAGGGTCTGAGCAATGGAAGCAAAGACTTTCTCTTTACCGATGGTGTAAGACCCGACGATTATTAGAGTACGAGACCGATTCTTGGGCTTGGTTGTCGGCTTTGGCCCTTTGGTTACTCCCCAGCCTATCCATCGTTTTAAAAGCTCTGCTGCACTGGGTGGTTTCTCTTTCGCAGCTTTCTTCTTGTCGCTACCGCTAGCGATAATGCTTTGTACCGTCTCACCACGATGACAAACCCTCCGACACAGCTCACATATTGCTTCAACTACTTGATCTTGGGGTGGGAATCGGTGGGATGGGTGACAGTAAGTTGTGTCAAGATATATGATATCCAGTTTCCCAGCCTGTAGACTTGGATGCGCAAGCTGAGAGGCATGTGCGCGAAAATCTCCAGTGTGGAGATATCGACGCATCTGTCCGTCTTGATTGCGGAACTCAAAGAGAAACAAGACAGCCCCTGGGCAGCTATGGTTACGTTTGAGTTTACCAGTAGAGACAATCCCTGCACATCGTGTTTTTAGACTTACTGGTTGGCCTCGATCAGTGTGACCCGCACTCCCATGACGTCTACCGCAGTATCCATAGGTAATCGTACCACATATTTTGGATTAACTCGAAGCTGCTGAATCACTAAATTGCCTGTAACCGTCGAACAGTATATTGGACCATGAGTGAATGACTTGTTGAGCCCTCCATAGTGATCTGAATGGAAATGGCTGGGTGATCGTATGTGCGATGGACAGGATCAGAAACCTTGCTCATCCAATTCGCAACAATTGAGGACTGCCAGCCTTACCTAAGGAAATAACCCTCTATTCCGTCAATCTTCCCGTAAGAAAAGGCGTCGACAGAAAATTTCGTTCCTGGCATCTTCTTGTACCACGGACATTGTTTCTTTCTCATATTCCATTTACCTTCAGGTGTAGGATGTGCGCTCCGGGTAGTTGCGTCATCATTGATTTCAAGTGAACGGGTGGGCACTGCACTAGTACAATCTGCTGTAACAGCAGAACTTCCCAACAGCTCGTTGCCAGTTACTCCACTCGAAACTGCTCCGGCTTGAGCACTTTGTACCACAGCATCGACCGCCTCCCAAAATTCATCATCTAGGTCATCATCCAACTCTGAGTACATGTCATATTCTCCCTCAGTGGCATTGTCGAGACTGAGTGTCGGCATCGCATTGTCTGGTTCTGACACATTTGGATCTCCCAAAACACAGGTTACGTTGCTCACATTCCCATTGACTTGAACGTGGGATACTCTGTTCAGAGACAAGCCGTCTCTTTCAAGAGTTTCCTGTGCCGTGCCTTGCCCACCTGTGTCACAAATGACGCGAATATCCAAACATTTGTTAACATGGAGGTTTGCCTGAACAATCTCACGTTAGGTCCAATTCATGTTGTGAATATGCTCAACCGACGAAAATAACCTTCAAATTGCAGGACTCTAGCTTCATTCCACATATAGGACATTCGATTTCATCAGGCACGATACTTTCCGCCTTCAAGAGCCTTGGAGAGCGCACGCCGTTCGGGTTTACATACTCTGAATCCGCGTCAGGTAGCTTTGTCAGTCCTGGAGGTTCCCCCAACTGAATAGGATTTCCAAAACAAGGGTCAGAGGTTGTAGAATTGCTGTGGACTGGTCTCAAGCCTGGAAAATAGTCCTCGAGGGTTGAACCGTTTCTCGCTGCGGTGATGTCGGGAACGGATCCCGTTCGACGGCCCTTGTTTGCATTTCCAGATTTCTGCCCTTCAGCAGGGAACCCTCGGAGGGATCCAGAGAGTTTACTCTTTCCACTGCTTCCACTGCCCCGTTTGCGCTTTCCAGGGGCATTCATCCCTTGTGCGTGTCATGTCACTTGAACATAAACTTTCGTCAACAGAGACGTTTTGATGGGATCAGTATCTTATTTGGCCCTCAATAACGATTCACTCTGTCTTGACGGTCTTAACCATGGGGAAGGCTTTTCGACCGCCAATGTCTTTGCAAAAACAACCAACGGCGTTTGCCACCTCAGGGAGCCAGCCATGGCGGATTGACATTCAAATGCATCAATTTGGGTGGATTGTAATGACTGTAACAGTACGATCCTCTGGCATGTCCATCACCAATACAAAGACAGCTTCTTCTGATCGTAGAGCCCATTTGGTTATGCCTATCGGGACTACATGTGTTATTAGGACGTCGCGGCGCTCTCAGATTCCACTGATCTAAACTATTCAAGCGATATCAACCTGCGAAAGGTTCATTGCTTCTTGTCCTCTTGCATCCTTTATGCATTTCTGAGGAATCTCGCGAGTTTCCGTGCCAATCCCCATGTCGGGCTCCACTCAAAAAGAATGAAAGTTGTTTCTTGATCACCACAAGAGTCGGTGGTAATGTGCAATTCTTCATGAATGGACGGTTTCATTTGCAGCCGGTTCAAATGACCTTGAGTGACTGTTGCATGATTTATCTACAGTACATGGCTTTCACAGCCACTGGCAATACGTTGCTGTTTGCTGCATTCCATTTCTTTGCATCCAGAACAAGATGGCCTCAAGTAGTGACATCACCGTTCGAGACGCAACTCCAGAAGATTGTTCTCTTATTTTGCAGTTTGTAAAGGAGCTGGCTCTTTACGAAAAGGCGCCAGAGAAGGTGTATGCGACCGAAGAACACTTTAGAAAGACTGTCTTTGGACCTCACCCGTATGCATATGTGGTGTTTGCTTGTCTCAACGGGAAAGAAGTTGGAATGGCGTTGTATTTCCACAACTATGTAAGCTCATTAACAGTCGGTTTGTCCCATTATGTCCACTGACACTGAATTTTCCCCAGTCGACATGGGAGGGCCGACCAGGGTTGTACTTGGAAGACCTCTATGTCAAGCCCGAGGTTAGAGGCAAGGGAGTGGGTACCGTTTTATTGAAGCACCTCGCCAAACTGGCCGTTGAGAAGGACTGTGCGCGAGTTGAATGGGTTGCCTTGGACTGGTGAGTTTGATGGCCATGTCCAATGTGTCTGTCTCCATCTCCCAATGATTCTCCCATCTGTGTTATAGGAATACCCCCGCGATTGATTTTTATGTTCACAAAGTCAAAGCTACTCCCCTGGACGAATGGAGGATATTCCGATTGACTGGCGATGCCTTGAAAGACTTTGCGGAAGCATCATGACGATACGGGGATGGCCCAATCGACTAGAGATACGTAAATATTCTCTACAATAGATATACGGGATTCGTCCAACATACTATAAATGTCCATTAGTTGCATAATCAGGCAAGCTGTCAGCTCGCACATCAACGCTTTTCAACTATCCCTTTACGCCAGGTTTTTTTTTCCTGATCAGGAGTCGCTAGTTTCTTAGAGTACTGCTTGGAGGTGGCGCCGGGATAAGCCAACTATCTCAAGGCTGTAAATAATTGCACGCTCTTGACTGCTGTGACAGCCAACCACCATAGCTCAGACAAACCCCTCACTCTTTGTATTAACCGTGAAAGACAGACGTCACCTTCCGCAACTAATGCCGTTTCTCAATAGGGGCGTTCTACAATCGGAAGTGAGTCCATGGAACTGTTCCTTCATTCGCCACATGAGAATAAGATACGACGTAGCGAACTGCGTCTACTAATCAGAATTCAAATAACATGTTACAGACAGAGGCGACAGAAGTATGACGCTCTGTTTGGATGTTCTGTCGTCAGTGGGTATTCATGTCCATGCTGTTCAAGATATTTAATTGAGATACAATGTGCCGGAGGTAGACAAACCCAAAGGACAATATCAACTGGGCTGATGCTCTAGCAACTTCCGACGCTGTCCATTCAGATTATTTGCGAATTTAGCAGTGGTATATCGGTATATTTACAATGTACTGTGAATCCATTTTCGAGTTTTTTCAGTCGTCAAATGTCGAGCAAGACACTAACCTAGGAACCTTCAAGCTTGCGGGATTGATCCGCATGAATGATGGGGCTCAAGGAATATTGCGGGGTGTGAACGCATTGGCTTCACCTGATTATTCATTTAACTGCGATCTCAAGTCAACGCTCAGATATGCCCATTGTATGAGCGTCAATCAACCACTATATAGAAAACTTCGCCACCCATTGTGGCTATTCATGCACCCATATCGCTGCCCATAAAATAAAATGCCTCTGCCAGTAAAGGGCAACGGCACCCAACAGTTGCCAAGGTGAGACTTGCCTTAATCAACTGTCCAATGTGGTTCAACCGCTACGGCTATGATAGAAAGATGGCAAGCTCAACTCTACCAGCACAAAAGATCTCATTCCCTCATAATAAGCATCTCAATCCTTGCGAAGGGAACCACCTCAGCAGTGATAAGGGCCAACTGTGTATCACACCATTCGGAAGCTTGAAAGCTATTCTGCTGTGAATACAAGACAAGCAAAGATTGCATAATGCAAAACCGTAAACTCGACACACATTGTCGTTTATTGAATAAATGCATCGGAGGCTCGTGTTTGTTGATATCAAGTTTCCAGAAATTAAACTTGACCAGGGTTCTGGATTTGCCCCCCCCCCCCCCCCCGACAAAGTTTGAATCCCTGATTTTTCCACGAATCACGATTTTTACTGGTCAGATGCAGAAGAGTTTTTTTTGAAAGCTGGTTTTATTGCCAGCCCGTCAAAGCCAACTGTTACGTCCACCTAAAGGCACATTGGTCCAAAAAACAACAAAAAGGAAAATGAATGAAAAAGAAAACTGCACTTTCTATTACAGACTAGAAATAAGCAAAAAAAAAAAGTAATAATAAAACAGTGCAAGCAATGATGGATCGTTTGGTATATATATCCGCCATCCCATGCAATGTCCATCTAATAACCCCGCCACCGCCCTTCCTCATCTGCCCTCGACAAAGCCATTCTCAATGGCGGCAATCTAGGACCAGGCGCTTGCTGCTGATGCTGTTGCTGCTGCTGCTGCTGCGGTCGTTGAGGAGACGAGGCGGTCCACGGCTGTTGCTGTGTCAAATATTGGTCAACTCGATCTCCATACACTTCCCTCTCACCATGTGCAAACAAGTGATCCGGTACATCGTGCGTCGTGCGCGGGGAGGTGTATCCTGAAAAATTCGAGTGTTGGCGTTGGTAGGGATGTAGACGGTAGTTTCTCTGCGATCCCGTTGGCCCGTCTCGGTACTCCATGGCTCGACGTGGATACTTGGGATACGATGACACGGTGGGTGCCGTGATTGGACCATCTACATTGTGATGCCTGACTCCTCCGTCTGAAACAATTGGGAATGGATATTCGTCCCGTCGGGCCGGGGACATTTGGTACGGATACTCTTGGGATTTTGCAGCGCTGATAGCGTAAATGGCATCTGGAGTGCGAGGTTCATCAAGACGAGAAGTATACGTCGATGATGGGGGCAGAATACTGCGGTGAGACGGGATTCTTGGACGTTGATCTGTTACGGTTGGTGACGTTTGAGCGTGCGAGCTTATTTCCATCGGTGGCGTATTTTGGGCTGCAGGTCCTAATGTTGAAACCTCCGGAATGATATCAGGATAAAGTCCCACCCGCACCGCCAACTGTGCAAGGTTGGAATCTTGTCGGGGGGTCAACAACCTCCCAGCTGCTACATCAGACTTTGTGTAATAACAGACAACATGTAATTTTCCGCCTTCTTTGGTGCGCACTGATATCGACTTTTTTGTGAGAAGCTGCGAGGGTTTTTGGTTGCTTTTTCCAGAGTCGGAGGAGTACTTGCGTCGTTGATCCTGATCCAGGTTAGCCGTGTTCGGGGAGGAAGGCTCGTCATCCGAGGTAACGGAGGACGCGCGGCGACGCGCGGTAGCCTCGTCTACCTCGCGGTAAACGAGGAAACTCCCCTTGATTCTGGAAGGGCTCCAACTTTTGCTATCAGTCCATCTAAATAGATACGTAACGTAACAGTTAACCTCAGGCCTATTATCAGTTGTAAAAATGATAACAACGCACCTTTTTATCCCGCTCTCACCTTCCTCCCATACAAAGACTGAACCACTCTTAATGCACTTTTCCCTTTCCTGTTCGGTCAATCTCCTTTGAATCCTCTTCAGCACACCCACACGGCACGCTTCAAATAAGACAAGGCAATCCTGCGTCGATGCAACGTAACCGTGAAATGTCGGTTGCGCTGCCGAAGGAATCGTTCTCATACTGGGAGGTGGTGCGCTCCCCGGAATAACAGCTGTGTCGCTCGAATGTGGCCTTTCCATGAATTCAAAATCGCGGAGAAAGGCCCAAAAGTGTTCAACGAACAGGAAGGATGGGAACGTAAAGAAGCTTACACCAAACGGAGCTGGAAGGGTATTCTAAACTCTGCTGACAAAACGCGCGTAAAACGTTCTGGTTTCAAAAGGCCCTTTCAGAAATCCGCAAGACAAACGAATGAATTTGAGAAAGAAAGGGTGGACGGGATAGGAAGGGCTATCCCTTGCACTGCTGGGAAATATAAACTGGGCAAAATATGAACCTCCGAACCACAACAACATGTATCAATACCCTAATCTCTTAATGACTTACTATTTTCAAAAACCCCCAAACTGACGGGTGGCAAAACTACACACAGAGGGCTGGGGGGATTTAACAGCACGCGCCATGTAGCATCCACGAGCCAACCCGATGAAATGGCCTCCAGTGAAAAAAAAAGAAACGCTGATTCTTTTGAGCTTTCAATGAACCATGGGAAGCATCTTGATATTTTAACGTATCTGGCAAATGCCACAATGAGGGTCACTGAACAGGAAATGGGCCCTCCATTTGGTACATTGCATGGGTATTTACCTCAACCATTTCCTTGAACAATAGGTATATGCTTAATGGCACTGGCCCAGTCTGATCATTGTCCTGTATGATTTAACGCGCTCTATTCAATTTCATGACACTAAGTGGGGGGCTATTCACGACCTGTCAAGGTAACTTCAGGTTTCCATTCATATCACGGAGCATGCACCCTTAGTCGGGTATACTCAATGGATCAATACTCTGGCATGGTATCTTGAAGTTTCCAGATCTCATGCCCATGTTACAAACGAGTGTCACAATGGCGAATGTTGAATGGGGCGAAATGAAAGACAAACTTGATGTTTTTTCGAAAGGTCATAAGTGTCTCTTACAATAACAATAACAAACAAGACAAACAAAAAATATAGTGTCTTGTCTCTTTAGCGTAAAGCATAACGCTACGTTCTAGCAGCGGTACCTTTGGTCTACCTTCTAGCCGGTTCGGCAACGTCATACACAACAAATAGAAAGTGACTACAATTTCTAAAACGTCTGGCATTGTTCTGTATACGCTCAATATAAGGTGATAACAGTCGGTCATGCACGAAACCATAAACTCAGTATGCAAAAACACACACGGTCAGCGGAGTTTGGTTATGTAAGCAAAACATTCAGCTGGATTTTTCCTTTTGCATGCGTGCCATGTGGCAGGCAGCGGTTTCCCATATGGTACGCCAGTAATCCTTGGGTACGCAAGATAGAGGACGAGACAGGTCCATCAAGAAACAGCGACTGGAACAATGCAATTGCTAACCATTGACGAAAGTTCCCATGGGGACTACAAGCCAGATGTGCATATAAGCCAGATGTGCAAGAAGAGCCAAATACTCCAGATACATTGCCACCAAAACAATATTAAACCATCCCCTAGAAATACATCATCAAGACGTGGCTGTCCACATAGTATACCTAACATCCCGCACCCCACATCCCTTGTCGCTTTGTTTTTCCTCAGCAACTGGTGTCCATCGCCAACAAGATCTATTTTCTATTCCACCGTCCGTTACTAAAGGCCGTCACATCATTACACATGCTCATTTCGTAGTCCCTTTGGGCCACATGTTGCTGGCAACAAACTCTTCCACCACCTTCCGCAGCTCCTGCTCTGTCAACTGGGGAACTGTGTAAGTGAAACCGAGTTCTTTCTCAATCTGTTCAAGAGGGTAAAAACATCAGATCAACAGTTTGTGAGCGTGGTTTACTGTCAAAGAGCTAGTCTGCGGCATTACTATTCATCAGCTGCAGCGACATCTCACCTTGGACCCATCCACACTCAAGGCATTGTCCTTCAGTAGCTCCTTGTCGAGGTATGGCGTTAGCGGAGTGTTTGTTACACCCGCAGCCTTGCATAGCTCTGACCACGGCTGAAGGTGTTTATCATTCACATCTTCCGTCACAGATTCCAGATTCAGCTGCAAACACGCCAAGAGATCAGTTTCCGCGCTCGACAAATTTCATGTGACATGCACAGGGAAATTCGATCCCTCTGCCGCATTTACCTTGGCAAATTGACTAATCATAGTCCCCTGAAAGCCCGTGTCAATGCCGAAAATAGCCTGAATGTGCTGGTTGACCTTCCCTTGATCTGGAAATGCATGTGAGTGTTTTTAACAAAGTTGATGACTAATGCTGACGCGGTAAAACGGTACCTGTATCGGTTTTGTCAGCAAGGTTGTAAATTTCGGCAGCGGTTACTGGGCGGGTCCGGCCACCCTTTTCCTCTTTTGTGGCCGCTACATGCCACAATGCTCGCGCCTAGTATGGCATGACATAAACACAAAGTTGGAGAACTTTTTACCATTCCAACTTCGGGAGGTCTTTCCTACCACATCGTCCACATGCACAGTGTTCATCTTCAGATCCTTTGTCCAAAGCAACTCCATCTTTTCGTTCAACTGGCGGTAAACAGCACCCATAATCAGACGGGGGGCTGCAAAGCGAGTACGTGTCGATAAGCAAAAGCTGCGGGTAGGCGGGCTGATCTGCACATCATGCTACGTACTGATTCCGTAAACGTCTCCCCATCCGTAAACAATGGCAGGCCTCAGAATCACCAAGTTCAAGCTGTTTGGAATAGATAGGGCATATCAGGCAACCGCTATAAAGGCAAATAAATTGAGAAATCATACCCAGAAATTTTTTTCAACTCTTCCTCAGCCTTCAACTTGGATTTGGCAATTGCCGTCCAAGGTTTGAGCTTGCCCTCTTCGGCGGATGGTTTCTGTATTTTGCCAATTACTTGTCAACCTCTTGGGTTTAGATCTGCCAAACCACCACGGGTCACACCTTGTCCGATTCGTATACTTGTGCAGTACTGACTTCCACAAAGACTTTTACTTTGCGCTTGGCCGCCTCTTTCGCCACAGCAACCGAGAGTTGGAAGGTTCGCTCGTCGTATACCTCGTCTGACTGCCCGTACTTTGTCTCCGCCGCCAGATTGAACACGTAGTCGAATTCCTTGCCATCATCTCGCGTAAAGATTTTCTCAACAGCAGCTAATTGGAAACAGATGCAGAAAAAGATGCTACGTGAGAATCGGCACAGAAGAGTACGCATAATATTGCCATCTGCAGTCTCATGGAATCATTCTTGGCACACATGGTCCAGAGGGCATCGTACGTAAAGATTCAGAAAACCCAGTCTACCGGCCACAGTTGCGACGTGTTTTCCCAAGCATTTCATATCACACTACATTTAACATACCAGTATTCGTCAAGTTTGCTTGCTTGAATTCCACTCGCTTATCGTCAAACACCTTTTTGTGCTTATCCGATAGGTAGGCGGTGGCAGGAAGCGCCTTGTCCGCAACGCGTACGTGGTCGACAAGGTTGTTGTCGATAATATAGGCAATAAAGTTACGGCCAATGAAGCCAACTCCACCTAGGACGAGGATAACGGGAGCCATGTGGAACAGGGTATAGGTTGTTTATAGCACCGTAGTTTTTTGACAAGGAACGCAAAAGTTCAACGATGGGGCGAACGATGAGCGCGACTTTTGGGGCTGGCGAACAAAGTACACTGTAGAGCAGTTGCGGCCGGAAGGAATAGGGAACCTAAACAAAAGCGCACTAGCTGCCGGGATGAAGAAAACGATGGGTTTCTCGAAAAGTCAAAGAAGAAGGAGGGGGGCGGGGTTCCCGTTGAACGCTTTGAAAGATGTTCGCCGCGTGCCACAAGAATGTGGCTGATTAAGCTCACCTAATCAAGCACGCCCCCCCCTGCAGGGTTGAATTGCGAGTGTTGAACGGACTTTTCTAGAGTTATCAACTGCTTTCTTTTTGTTTTTTTTGCTTTTGTTGCTTGCGCTCGGCCGTCAAATGTCCTGGCTTCGAGGGGTGCCTGGAATAGGACTTTCGTTCTATGCCGCTGTCAATCTCTCGCGATGTGGATGGTCCTCTACAGTGTTGACGACTGGGGGACAATTGGCGGATGCAAAGAGTGTGCAAACAGAAGTCAATGAGGAGGAGGTAGATTTCCTCGACCAAACTCCAGAGCAATTCTTCCAAGGATACCAACCTTATGTCAAAGTGGAAGGGTTTGAAGTATGGCGGCGGCGAAGACCAAGCAACACAGCATTGATGAAAACGCAAGCACAAGTCGAGAAGACACATACTGCTTCTGCAATATACGAATATAGAGCTCTCGGACGTATCCCGCGATCCTCGCCAGATCTAGTACTCTGCGCATGGCTTGATATGCAATTTCGCCAGACGTGGGATAAACATATTCTCTTTACCAAGATGGTCGAGCCAGCAGCGTCGCTAAACAAGTCTTTAGACCGTAGCGGTAGCGTAGAATCATTCTATGTCTCTATCAGTTTTCCGCTTCTTACTGGTTCTCGTATAGATGTCCAATCCAACGTGTCGGTGGATGACATTGTCCATCAGAGAGCAACCATGCTACGTGAGCTACATGTATCTCCAGTGCTATATCATCACGGAACCCGTTACCCTTTCCCTCTATCACATCGCGAATACGTGTACAGTGTCCATGTCCGACAAATTCGATCGCCACACTCGCTGACTACGAGTATCTCATGCACCTCTCTGCCATCAACAATACCTCCATATTCCCGTGGACTCGTCCGAGTCGATCACTATGTACAACGTATGGATCTACGAGCTGATAAGGATGGAGGGACGTTGATTGCAATGCACTATTTTGATGATCCGAAGGGACGTATCCCTGCTTTTGTTGTTGACTGGGCGGCTAGATGGGGTGTGCCAGGATTTATTAGAGGTGTAGAGAAGGCTTGCGGGGTTTATGGTAAGTACTTGATGAATAATACTTAGGCCGTTCTAGATAATGATTGTATAGTGTATGATGACCGGGTGCGTCTATGGTGGAGTTGTATAGTGTATGTTGACTGGCCGGACATCATATGTATCTAGAGATCCTGTCTACTTACATTCGTTAGTCATCCACCATGTGGGTGGAATGCTAAAGACCGTTCTTAACAACGTCAGTAAAGGCAACGTCGAGAATGGAAGGTAGAGCAGTCTCTTTCAATGTACCCTTGTTAACAAGACAACCCAAAAAAGAAGATGAATGCTGAACAAGCCGTAAAACAAAACCACGTAAGCATCACCCTCCAAGAACCCTCATTGTCTTGCGCAGCATCACATGAAGCTGCAATTCTAGACGTTTCGGCAACCGATACCATGTTACTATATCCAGACATAAAAGATGAGGGCCTTGGGGATCGGAATAATGTCTTTTTGGATTTTTGGGTGGTGCACAACATACGGAGGCAAAAAAGCTTTTTTTTATAAAAACGACGGATTTGCTGCTTGAAACCTCTCGAGTTTGTGTCTAGTACTTTTGACTCCAATCCCCTCCACAAAGACTCGAACATGTCGTCACCAACAAACCAAAAGACCGCTCAGGTCCAGAACCAAGTGGACGAGGTCATTGGCATCATGCACAACAATATCGAGAAAGTCATGGCTCGCGGTGAACGACTCGAATCCCTACAAAACAAGACGGATGATCTTCAGCAAGGGGCGTTGCAGTTTAAAAGGGGGGCTACCAAAGTTCGGAGGCAAATGTGAGTGTTTGTGTGGACGTTGAAATAGAGCTTTTTGAATGTTACGGTGTGCTCATTTCTTGGTGATTTTTATTTTTTGCAGGTGGTGGAAGGATTTGAAGCTCAAACTCATCATTGCGGCTATTGTGATTGTGATTTTGATTGTTATTATCGTTCCGGTTGTCAAGAGTGTTCAGGGGAGTGGACCAAACAAGGGTTAAGGAGGATGTATGGAAGGCGATTTGTGGTGTTTTTAGCTGGAGGACTTTGAGGCGATAAAGGATGGTGGTGTTTAAGGCCCTATCAGTCTCGGCCATTGTCCGAGCAGTCTTTTTTATAATGTTACCCGTTTGTTTTTTTCTCCAAAGCTACCTTTTACGCTTCTCCTGTCATTTCCCAGTGTCCACTGAAGGGTAGGGGGTTATGAGCACTGTAGCGAGTAGCGGACACTCCCTGCTCGTAAGATGATATGCCCACGAGAAATAGAGTAAATCAGCTGGCTGTGAGGAAAGACGCAGCCTATGCACACATTATCCCATCTTACGTTTCTCTTGTCATATCCCAGTTTCCACTGAAGGGTAGGGGGTTATGAGCACTGTAGCGAGTAGCGGACACTCCCTGATCGTAAGATGATATGCCCACAAGAAATAGAGTAAAATGAACCTCGTTGTGAGACAAGACGCAGCCCATCTACATATTATTCCATCCAAATTCGAACTCTGACCCCAGCTAATAATATAGAATAAAAATATACGAAAATACCATAACGCTGCTACTCTAAGCCCACGTCTTTCTAAAAAGCTACAATACCACATCTCTATCTACTCATCTACACTTCACGCGTCATAAGAATCTGTTTGAGATCATCCCCAAGCCACTGGTGCCAAAAGAATTCAGACGGAATAAAGTAATGGTAAAAAACTCAGGTCCCATACCTGATGGCTTTGCATCTCAATTAATCGTGAAACAGCTCGCTGGAAGGCAAACACTTCCTCAGAACCAGTGAAGATTGAACTTGTCAACTGCAACGAGAGGGGTCAATACACGCCGTTGCATGCGGTAATCATCCATTATTATCCATCATCTCTTCACCCACCTGCTCTGGACTCAATTTCAAGTCATCCATCAACATTCTCTCGGCAGCCACAAGGCTCCCCTCAGACACCCGAGGTACATCTCCAGTAAATAGCTCCAATATCTCTGCGTCTGCTGATATGAGTAGCCTCGTCTTATTTTCGTACATGGTATCAATAAAGGTGATGAAACGGCGGGCTTCGTTTCGGTGGTCTAGCGTCATGCGGGGAATGTCGGTGAGGATAATTGTGTGAAAGTTGCGAACGACTTCAAGGTAGTCGGCCGCGCTGTGCGGTTCGCCGCAGATTTCCTGAAAGGAGATCTTGGCGACACCACTGGAGGTATCGGGGATGGTAAGAGAGCGGCCCAAAAAGGTCAGAGTCGTGGATTCAACTATGGATAAATGAGTGTACATTAGGCGCTTATGAATTGGGTGCACAGCTAGGATGCTACCTTTGCCGTTTCGAGCAAGCTTGTTAAATATGAGGTTCACGGTCTTTTCGGTTTTCTGATTGAGCGGGCTGTGTCCAAAGTTAACCAAGCGGTGAGTACAAGAAAGGAACACAACAAAGGAGCAATGTCACTCACGTAAAGTACACTCTTAGGCGCTCGCGCTCTAAGTACCCATGCAAGATATTGTTGTTAGCTCAGGAAGAGGCACATACAAAGAGCCAGTAAGGAGTATTTACCTTGTTTTCGGTAATCAATCCCTGAATTCAAGGAATGCACATGACACCTTTCCTTGAACAGCGCAATACAAGGCAGAAAGCTCTGTCTCTGTATTCCATTCTTGTACAGTTCTGTGAGAATGTGTTATTGCAACATCTCGAAGCAACGATTAACAGGCTGTTTCAGTTGTTTACATACCATCTGGAGGACGATTGGACGTTGTGACGACCACTACGCCTCGTTTAAAGAGCTCATCAAACAGCCGCCTGTGTGAAGAGGAGCGTTCCAGTTATGCGGGCGTCGAATTGCGTGAAATGCATGCAGCATAAACGCGCATACCTCAGAATCATGGCATCGGTAATATCAGTCACTTGAAGCTCGTCAAAGCAGAGCAGCCACGCGTCGTTTGCCAACTCGGTTGCGATAATCGGTAATGGATCGTATGTGACCCCTTTTTGAGTTCGCAGTTGGTGAATCCGTCGATGTACGTCCTGCATGAAGGCGTGGAAATGGACGCGACGCTTGCGGTCGACATGTATTGTGTTGTAAAACAAATCTATTCACAAGGACGTTAGACAAATCGGACGACGCCTGACCGGAAACTGTTCAGTATCTTACCCATGACCATGGTCTTCCCCGTTCCAACGTCGCCGTAGAGATACAGTCCCGTTGGGCCCTTTTGCTCAACCATTTGCTGCTGTTTTTTCCTCCTGGTAAAGAAGCTTGACAACTCATCGTCTCCTTAGTTCCGCATCACATTGCCAGATTGCACCTTAGCAAGTTACCTTTGACAATAGGTTCTCTTCACTCTCTTTTATCCACGCAAAATCAGGAGACAACATGTCGTCCCTCCCCTTTTGTTTATGAATAGGGACATGATCATCCAATTCAAGGGCGACTTGCTGAATGGGAGGAGGTGTGTACAACTGCAGTCGGTCATACAAGTCCTGCAAGAGACGGACTGTTTCGCGTTGGTGAGGGTCGTCTCTCAGGGAGCCTTGTTTGACGAGTTTGGAATACTTTGCAGCGGGTCCTTGCGATGACGGTGATGTGGGTTCTGTACCATGGTGTGGTTCCAACTGTGTGGAGGATGCGGTGGTGGTGGCAGTTGCTGCAGTGCGAGCAATGACCGGACGAACGACTCTCGCGCCATGCCCTAAACCCAGCCGTATGCCCCGTATACAAGGTCCTCTACACACCCTTGTGAATCCCCTCGTTTGCACTGCATGCCGTAGTGATTGCTGCAGTGGAATCCTCCAGAGTGACATGGTTGCTCCTAGCACCTTCTCGCCCACAATCGCCATCCTCCGAGAATCCCTCATCTATCACGTGATATATATCACATGATACTGACGTGACTAGTGACAAATGTTGTTGTCATGCCACTCTCTGACTGTTCGGAGATCCGCTTGTTTTTCTCACGCGCACATGTGAGAGCATCACACGGGAATAACATCATCTTTTTGTTCCATGGCATTTTATGGTTACACAAATCAATGATGAAACATATTCACGTGACATGTGATTTTCTATATGAAAAGGGCTTTGGGATTCTTTTTTCCCACGTTATTTCCATTTGTCATTTTCAACTCATTTCACACTTGCCATTACTGTGACAATCAGAACGACATTCAACAACGACAACGACCATGTTATCCTACATTGCATCTGCCCTCACAACCATTATAGACTACTCATATTCCCTCGTTTTTGCATCCCCGTCTTCCCCCACATCACCATCAAGCACATCGCCACCGTCACCTGAATCCCACGACTTTTACAAGGCCCTCGAAGCAACACTCAAAGAAAAGAGCTTCAAGGGCAAACTCCTCCAACACCATCCTCTCGACCATGAAGAACACGATTACGTGCCGCCAGACATGACCACACGGACACCCAGTACGGCATCCTCGTTTAGTGAAGACTCGGACTTGAAGCGCGTTGCGTCCGCTCCACCTGCCTATGGAGGCATGAAAATGTACCATCCACCTTCAATTCCACTGGCAATGAATGCTTAGAGCAAGCAATAGTTGTGAGGAGGAGAAAGAGTTTATTAAAAAATATATATATAAAATGGTGATCTATACGGATGGTTCCTCTTGTTTGAGCACTTGGTTCAAGGCTTCTTGGAAAGCTTCTTGGAGATGCGTTGCATATGTTTTTGTAGACACAATGCAGCTAGAGGTTGCGGGCTCGAATTTGAGTTCGCTCAAAAAGATTGTTCCGTCCACCAGGCGGACAGACGTATACAAGAGTTGCTAAAAGGATATTGTTGGCACTCGAGTTTAAAGGATGAAAAGTCGATAGATACTCACCACCCCCTCAATCACCCTCTGCGCGACACAAAACACATTGGCACTTTTCAAAGCATGCTTGGCTCGCTCCACATCCACAGTCAAACCCACACTCTTTTTAGATTCTCGCTCATCCCCAATCTCATTCCACATGCGCAACCATGAAGATTGGTCCAACCCACCCGTCTCGACAAAGAGAACCTGCAAAGGGACAAGAGTCTGAAAGTACACGATCCCCGCTGTCGTCTTGAGCGCGACCTGGAGGTTATTGACAGGTGTCGAGCCTTGTGAAAGGCCTTCCACCTTGAGGTTGAGAGCCGCTTCTGCAGACGTGTTTGGGAATATGGGGCCGCGCACGTCCAGCGGGCCTGGAACTAGACTAAACCTGTTTGACAAGAGCAACCACATTAGTTTCTTGTCCGAATCACGTAAGCCACGCACAGTCCAACATACGTATTCTTGTTGAACAAGATCCCTGCAATACTTAGAGGCTGCAACGCCTTATTAGTGAACACCATCTCCATCCACATTTGCCCCTGTCGTCGCACGACTGCAAGAATTGAAGCAATTGTTAAAACAACGCAGTTCACAGAGTGTCCGCGTTCATCTACTGGACTCACAGGTGCCAACAACTTGCAATCCCCGCCCACTCGCCGCAGACATCCAAAGCTGTTTCGGTGGAACATGGGTATTCAACGAAAGGGAAGCCAAGTCTCCCAAAATATCGGGTTGAGGCGTACTGTTGCTGATACCTCCAAACGGGTTTGCATCGGGTGTCAATGATGGCGGGGATTGCAGGGATGCATTCGCCGAAGCAGAGGTTTTGGAAAATGGGTCGAGCGTGGCAAGGGGGTTTGACTGTCGACTGATGACGTCCGGGGTGGGGATGGAGGCAGGAGGAGAGGTTAGCGGTGGTGTTGCTGCCGAGAGCATACCAAATGTGCCCGGTGCGAAAGCAGGCGTCAATTGCTGCTGTTGGGCTAGTGGTGGCTGCTGAATTCCTGCAAAAGGATTATTTCCGCTTACGCCCATTCCATTTGCACCTCCCGGTAAACCTCCCAGGCTGATTCCACCCGTTCCGCCCATTGCCCCCGTTCCGCCCATTGCACCCATTGCACTCAAACCACCCAAACCACCCATTGCACCTGTTGGTCCCAATCCGCTCGATCCACCACCCGAACCACCAACACCTTGCCCGCCTCCAAACGTCGCAATCGATGAAAACAAATACACTGGCCGAGTCTGTTGCCCTTGTCCTACTGCACCACCTCCACCACCAGAGAAATTCAATCCGCCCAACTCGCTCTCATCTCCAAACGCCCCAGCAACATCCACATTCTCTTCCCCGCCGCCCAGATCGAGATCTAATAAGTTTCCAAGATTTCCTTCCCCGGTTTGAAGGGTTGAGAGTCCCAGGTCATCTGTATAGGGATTGTTCATTACACCTGTCGCATAGGGGTTTATGTCCCTGCAAAGAGTATCCGTGAGCGTCAATGGTAAGCGCATAAAGTAAACAGGACTTACTCTGGCATCTCCTCAGGCAACCCCGTGCCACCGACATTCCTGAACACTAACGCTCGTGACGGCATCAACTTGCGCGGCTTGACACCTCCAATAAAGCTTGTTGCAGGTTTATGATAAATCGACGCCAAGGTCGATACATGAAGTAACAACTCTTGCAATAGCTGGTTGTCCACATTGTCTGTTTCGGTGGATATGGCGGGCTTGTCTGACAAGATGATCGTTTTCGCTGCGACTGGGTCCGTGGACAAGAGTCGCCAGTAAATGAATCCTCGATCCCTTAAATCCGGGTTATCGCTCTCTTCTGTCGCGAATTTCAGGACTTTTGGAACGAGTTCCTGGCCAACCAGCGGCCGTTTTATGAATAATTTTACGATAGCAGTCAAGAGTGCCAGCTGAACTTGGGCAGTCTCTTCGAGGAATTTCTCCAGGAATGCCTCGAGGAGTTCGTCCGCGTTGGAGATCCGGTCAGCGTATTGTCCAATAATCCAAATCATGGAAGCTTTGGCGTCGGGTTCGTCGAGGGTATCGAGGTTTTCACAAAGGGTTCCGATAATGGATTCGTATCTGTTGGGGTATTTGCGGAAGATGTCCTGCGGAACCTCTGTTTAGCAATTGCCGACGGCCGGTCATTCGAGAGTGGGTTCATCTTACTTTGATTACGACAATGGCTTCTTGGACGACATAATTGACTTTGGTCTCAATCAACTCCACCAGGGCGCTAATGCACTTGTCTGCAGCACTCTCGATTTTGATGGCGCACCGCCCAATCGACCGAACAGACTTTCTCACAAAATCCACATCGACTTCAGATGCATACCTAGTGAAAGTCCCCAAACACAATCAACCTAAAAGAACACTCATGGAGTTGCAGATTCAACTCACTCTTTCAACTCTGACAGAACCTGATCGACATTTCCTTCTCCCGCCAACCGAACCATAATCTCCAATTTAGCCAACTTGACATAAATCGGGTCGTTATACTTGCAGAAAAAGACTTTAAGCTCGTTTCTGAGAATATCCGGTTTCCGTTGTAGTAGAAGAAGGATATTTCTAAGGGCGACATATTGGACCTCGGGGCCATTATGGAGGAGTGTGACTGATGTTCAAATGTCAGATTATTGTCGCGTGTGACATGATTGTCGATGGCTTTACCTAGAGGTGGCCCAAGACGTTTCAAAAGCGAGTTGACCGTATCTTCCTTTGGAATATAATTCGTCAAGTAGAGGATGACCCGAACAGCGGTGAGAACTACAGCTGAATTGGCGTGCTGAAGCCTGGGACTGATTCGATCCGCCAAGAGCTCAGCGTCGTCTGCTTCCTGAGGTACGACACGCATGATGGCATCGAGGAGGTATGCTTGACCCCATCTGACAGAGCGAAGATGAGAAATTACGTGTTGAATAATCAAAAAAAACCTTACGTACTCGGAGCTTTCGTTTAGGGCTGTCAACAGTTTGTTGGCTTGGGACACATCCAGAGAAAAATCGAAATTTTCCGAACGATCCGAGATTTCCATCAAGGCAGCAACAGCGTTTGCAACAACCTAAGTGTCCAAAACGTTAATCCAGTGGAACTCTCCCTGCATCCTCAACACTGACACTCACAGTCGAGTTATCGTGTCCCAACAAAGCCCTCAGCTGGTCCAGAAATCCCTCCTTCTCCACCAATTCCTTGCTATGCAAAAATAATTTTGCGACGCATATTGCCGCCGTTTTGCACACATAAGGGTCCTTATCAGTCAGGCACTTGTGCAGAGGGCGCAGCAGTTCGTCTATGATGCGGTCCACTTGCATGTATCCCATAGTCCGGATGGCGAGGGCTCGTATGAGTGGGTTGGGATCTTCTGCATCCTGTGTTGCGTAAGTATTGCACCTGTTGAACGACCCAGCGAGAAAACAAAATACATACCCTCGCCAAGGTATTCACAGCCAAAACAGCCATATCCGGTTTACTTTTTGCATAGTTGATCAAATACAAATACACCATCTTTTTCACTTCCAACGCCGGGACGGACATGCATCCAACGACATCTGGAAATAAAGCGGACATGTCGTTCCCCATTGTCATGTTTGCAACAATCTTTTTCATTGCCACTTTTTTCTTAGTGTGCTTTGGGTCCTTTCGGTCTGAATTGAGTTCAGTCCTCAGGTCGTGGATTTTCCCTGCGATCCATTGTGAGCTAATTGTAGTGGATTCGTGCACTATGCTTTTTTTGCAATACAGACCTCGTTGAAAGTACTTTGCGTCCGACATATTGCTGCTCCAAGAAGGATATGAACTCTGTACTTTCTGTAGCGTGCAACAGGGTTTACGCCCTACGCTCCCTGCGCGTGCGGATCGCAAGTGAGATTAAATGGTCGAGCGGGGGGCTGGGTTGGAGGGGGGACACGCTTCTTTGGAGCTTGCTGACGGAACGCGACGATTTTCAGGGTTGGTTTTTAGGGAGCTTTTTGCTGGCGATTGACTTTCAGTTGAAGCTCTGTGATGTTGGCGCACGAACAAGTGGGCAAGTGAAAAGGATTTTTTATTCTTTGCAAGGTCTGGTTTTGGACGATAGAGCAGCTACTGGAGAGCAGCTACTGGATTGTGTATTTGAAGAACAATGTTCGCTTCCTATTACTCCCGCTTGCGATCAAACTGCTTTTCCAAGGACGCATCCTCCAAGCGCACAATGCTCTTCTTCATAACCCGACATAAGCGATTTACAGCGTCCTCTTGTTGCTACAAACACATCCGAGTAATCACCGGCCTAATTCCTATCATGTTTCGGTCCCAAACGTCGACATTTGGACCAAATGTCCCCTCTACCAGAGGAAAACGATCTATATCTGTAGATTGAGGCCATCTTTGAAAATAAACACAATAGTGATATTGGAACGTATTGGTATCTGCCCATAGCTGCTGTTTCAACGGATGTCGAACCACACCGATTCCGGTTCCAATCACCAACTCATCTGTCGTGCGCAGCACACCATCGGTTGCTTGTCACCTCCTATCCTGCCGCTTTTGTTTTCGTTTTTTTTTGTATTTTTTTTTCAGTATTTTTCAACACTTGTATATTGACAACGTGGCAACAAGCGGTAGTGGACGGAGGAAGATAAGCCGCCCCTCAGCCGCATCGTTTTCTATTTACAGTACATGCAACGCACCGGATCAGTAGAACGTTCACGAGGCCTCCTCCGCAGCGACTCCAACGTCATTGTGCGCACGTCCTCCTCTCCCTCCCGTCTAAACCCTGATCCCCGCCCAGATACTGCCTATTCGACTTCAATAACCTCGAAACTCTCCACCGCGTCCAATTCACCGATATTCAGTCCGAGTTCTTCGCCGCCTCGATCTCTGCGAGAGAGTGGGCGAAGTAATAGTTTGCCATTGTTGGAGACGGCTAGAAATCTGGCGGGGTCTTTACCTCCATTGTATGCTGAGCAAAATGAAAAAGTTTTCTTGACGCATTGCTGGGTTGTTTTAAGGCATTGGGGACTGGGAGGTAACGAAAAGATCTTTGGACAACTAACAATCACAACTCTATCTCACTCGTCGTTTGCATTGGCTTTGCCTTACAGGACGAAGAGTCAATCGACTGGTGCTTCTTGCGTTATTCTTCCTTCTGGTGATACTGGTGATTGCCTATACGGGTTACTTACCTCCTACGCATATGGGATTTTCTGATCAACCTCCTACTACATCCTCGGATCCCGATGCGGCGGTCTTGAATCTCGAAACGGGGTTTACGCCTATTGAATCGCAAGACCAAGATGCAGATCTGCCGCTATCCGACTGGTCGCGATATCGACAGTACGGAATCGTCATCGATGCTGGGAGCTCCGGGTCAAGGGTCCAGGTCTATTCGTGGATAGATCCAATGCATATTCGCCAATTAGCAGAGAAAGCAACCAAACACGAGAGAGAGAAAATGCTGAGGCGCCTATCCGTAATTGAAAAAGGCGATGAAAACGGCGAGAGATGGCAGTTTAAGGAGGATCCAGGCATATCTAGCTTTGCAGACACGCCCGATCAAGTTGGGAGACATTTGAAGCCGCTTCTTGACTTTGCCTCGTCTGTCGTGCCCACTCGAAAACATGCTAGTACCCCCATATATCTGCTCGCCACGGCCGGTATGCGTCTCATCTCCCCAACGGCTCGTACCGCTATCCTCAGTCATACTTGCGAATACGTGCGATCCCACTACCCATTTGCCACAAATGGTGGATGCGATCTCCATTTCCGCGTCATTTCCGGCGAATTAGAAGGAATCTACGGTTGGATTACTGTCAATTACTTAAAGAACGGATTCGGCGGCACATCTACGCGGAAGAGAAAACACACTTTTGGATTCCTGGACATGGGCGGTGCGTCGACGCAGATTGCTTTTGAACCAACGGCGGATATGGCTCGTAAACATGGTGATGATTTGACGGGATTAAGAATGAGGTTCTTGGATGGAACTGAGTTGGCGTATTCCGTATTTGTGACCACGTTTCTGGGATTTGGTATGAATGAGGCTAGAAGGCGGTATTTGGAGACCTTGATAAAAGGGAATAGTTTGGACGAGCGGCGGTATTCACTGCCGTATTCACGAGCCCCCCAAGGCGCTTTGTCCGATGGAGCAACATCGCCCGTCATAATTCCCGATCCCTGCCTTCCTCTGAATCTCCTCCTTAATGACACATCCCACGTTCCCCACGACACTAAACCGCTGCTCCTAAAAGGCACAGGGGCGTTCTCAACCTGCCTGGAAGCCCAGATCCCTCTCCTGAACAAATCGCTACCGTGTCCTGACATCCCATGCCTATTTAATGGCGTGCACGCCCCTATATCCGATGCTCTGCATTTTCTGGGTGTGTCAGAATACTGGTACACTTCATCCCAAGTGTACGGTCTAGGGGGTGCATATAACCATTCGATTTTCTATCGTACTACCGAAACCTTTTGTTCGCAACCTTGGGAAGATATCGAGAGGATGCATGCGGAAGGGGCTTTTCCTCAAGTTTCTGATTTGGATCGGTTAAGACTGCAATGCTTCAAGAGTGCGTGGATCATGAATGTTTTGCATGAGGGACTGGGTGTGCCGAGAGATAGAGTGCGAGTTCCTGGGGATGAGGATGAGGATGGGAAAGGAGTCGATGTGGAGGGGGAGGGGGCATCCAACTTTGAAAGCGTGGACCAGATTGGCAACTTTGGGGTGTCGTGGACGTTGGGTGCTGTCCTTTTACATGTGGCTGCAACTGTCCCCAGATCACCACAAGATACGCTGGGCACTGGAAAATTTGGAATGGGCTTAGTACTGGGTGCAGTAGTGGTGGGTGTATTGAGTGTCATATATATTCGTGTTCGTCGAAAAAGACGGCGGGGTGGCTACGGCGCCCTTGGAACGAATACTGGGCAGGAACCCGATATTCGCATGTGGGGAGTAGATAGATTGGCGGAAGAGGGTGGGATTGATATTATTTTGGAGGATGTGGCTGGGGAGTCGGTTGGGGAGCCGTTGGAGCCGTGGCAAGATAACGCGCGGCTGCCGCCGTGAATGTTTGATATACGGGATGAATCTGCAGGGCGCTTAAAGTATGTAATTGTAGTTGTGCTAATGGATGAAACGTGATTATGAATATATTCGCATACGCGAACTTGTGCGCAGATTCTTTGGTAGCAAAGGTATGAATCATGAAGACTTTTTCGACCAATGCAAAAATAAACACAATTCGTCCTCAACAGTGTCAAGAACACTTGTCATTCAACAGCGAAAATTGCGTCTCTGTTTAAAAACAAAGCCAGTCGTCCTCCCCACACTGTCCCGTGACCCACTTCCACCCTGGAACCCAGATCCAGAGGCGTCTCCTTAAAATGCTCAAGACGCTCAAAGTAAATACCAATAGCCCAAATAGTAACAACAACCGATCTGTCCAGTCTCGGCGTTGGAGTTTTGTCACGAGTTGTCGGGAGGTTCGGAGAACGGAGCCGAAGGCGAGGTATTCTGTGACTGTTTTCGAGAGAACGCGACTCGACTCGTCTACCGACAAGTTAAAACTCTGAACTGCGATACTACCATATAAACAACAGCAAATCCAAAGTGAATACCCACCAAAAGCTTTATTCACCTCCACACTCTTTCCCAATTCTGTTGAAAGCATCTCCACGGCATGTCGCATAGATTGTGTCAGTTCGTTGCTCGCTTGTACCACCGATCGACTGTCTTGCATTTTGCGCATCCGAAGGTGCCGTTGCTCTGAGCCGCCTTTAAGCAGCTCCTGTCGCTCTTTTTCGGCGGCTTGGGTTAGGTTGCGGGTGGCGGATAAGTTGGCTTTTCGGAGAGAGAGTTGAAGTCTGCGTGGAAAGTAAGTATATCGCAAAAAGCCACAAAGAATGTCAAGTGAACGTACTGTTTGTAGTGTTCTTGGTGTTGGGAGAGTTGGGAAAGGATGGCGTGGGTATCACTCGGTCGGTCCTGCTCTTCCGCGATTAAATTCAGATCCTGGTAACCATTAAAAGCACATTAGTCTTACAAAGGCAATATCCGAAACTGATGCTTCAACCCTACATCTATGCCCTTTGAGAGCCCTTTCAACATTGCCCTAATCTCGTCATTCTGCTTCACGATAGTCAACTGTGGACCTTCACATTCTGCAAGCCGAGAAATGGCGGCTTGAAGTCGGAGTTCGGTGCGCGCAAGAGTGTCAAATTGTCGTTTTATGTGTGGTGCGAGAGACTGTGGTGGCGGGGATGGTTCCCGTTGACGGGTTTGGGAGTGTGTAGGAGCTGTTCGGAGCATGTTCGTGCTTTTGTTGGAAACAAGTGCTGAGATGAGCGAAAGGTGATGATGTGAGCGAGCTGCGCACGATGACCTTGTTGCCATGGTTGCGTATCGCGACCCTCCCATAATACGCTCTTCCAACGGCGGGCTATGTGCTTTGCTACATTCTACAATGGCAGACTACAAGCCCTACCTCACCGAAGCCCTTTCCATTGCCCGCACAGCCGGAGCCATCATCAAAAATGCCTTTACAAACCGCACTACGCTTTCCATAGACCTTAAAAACGCGAACGACGCCGACCTCGTTACCCAAGTCGATCGTCAAGTTGAACAAGTCATCTTTTCGCATCTCCGCTCCGTGTACCCTTCCCACAAGTTTGTTGGTGAGGAATCTGTCTCAGAGTCTGAGAGCAAGCGGACGGGGTTGGACGATACGCCGTCTTGGGTTGTGGATCCCATCGACGGTACAACCAATTTTGTCCATGGATTCCCTTTTGTGGCCGTTGCAATTGCGTTGGTAATAAAGGGACGGCCTGTTGTTGGGGTGGTGTATAACCCGATTATGGAGGAGCTCTTTTATGCGACACATGGCGGTGGAGCGTTCTTGAACGAGACACCGTTGCCCTTGCCGCCTCTCAAGCCTCTACCTTCCCTCTCGACCGCGCTTGTTGCTAGCGAATATGGGTCGGACCGCGCACCAGAGATTCTGGATCCGAAAGTAAGAACTCTACACAAAGTCGTTGCATCACCGGCCCGAGGAGTGCGTACTATTGGGTCTGCAGCTTTGACAATGTGTTATGTCGCCAGGGGTACACTGGACGCGTATTGGGAGGCTGGTGTTCATGCATGGGACGTGGCGGCTGCTACCGTAATTTTACGCGAAGCCGGCGGGATAGTCGTCAACTGGGAGAAAGGATCGCGAGAAGAGAATGGAGCAGAGGTATACGACTTGTGCAGTCGGAATGTATTATGTGTAAGAAAAACGACGGGTGCAGGTGAAGGTGAAGTGATTGTAGAAAAGATTAGAGCTGCGATAGAGCCCGTAGAGTACGCCAGGGATTAAGCTATGTGAAAATAAAATTCGGATAAGCTTTTAATGATTCAAGGAATTCAACGGTTATTTCTTTACAGGAATTGATATGCTACATACAACCCGCGACAAACAGTAAAGATATGCTACGCGGAACAGAATAATACAAAGTAACAACAGGATACAGTAACAACTAAACATATACAAAGCCAATGTGCTCCAAACCACAGTAACTAACGCCTGCTCACTTTCATAACACAAGGCCATCAGTCGGCTGACAGGAATGTCCATCCTCAACGAAGAATTCCTCAACTTCCCAGGTAAATGATGCCAGCAATACTGCTAACGATACCAGCAAACATCCCTGAGATCCATCCAGCCACAAACGCTCCACGATGGTCCGTCGAGTGTGAACAACAATGACGCTTTGCATGCAAATCAAGAATATCGTCTGCTCCCCTTTTACGACCTTGGCTCGGAACTTGGTGTAGGTCGTCCATTGATTTATCGTCGGCGGATACTGGAGCATCTAGTGCGATGTCATTCACAAGTTTCGCAAGTCGCTCGTTTTCGTTCTGAGCGAGTGTGATTTGCCTTTGTGGTTCTTCGCTTCGTTGGGAAAACGTGCACCGCTTCGTCGAAGCGACGCTAGCTTCAATGTGACCAATGTTGTTCGACGGTTGTTCACATCTATCCGCTGTGTTTTGTGACTGATCGTTCTTACTCTGAATCGTTGGTAGACGCTCTTCTACGTTCGAACTGTCCGTATTGGAGCGCTGCGCAACTATCGGTACTTTTTCCAAACTGAGTGCCTTATCTAAATCTTGCAACAATTTTTCGAGTTGCTGATACCAGTCCCTTTGGTCGCTCGTATGCTTTAGCAGTCCTTCGTTGATTTCCTGAACGGCATGTTTCATCTCTGCCACGCCCTCGATGTTTCCAGTGACAGTAATACAAGCTGTAATGGCGATGATGCGGTCAATCGCTTCCTTTCGCCAAGCCCTCATGGGGATTACCGACTCCAAATGCGTAGTGGATATATCTTTATCCACCGCAAGCGTTGATACCATCTCACGTCCCCACGCGCAATGAAGTTTCATGCTATCAAGTTGTTTACTGAGAGGAGGCGAGCATTTGGAGAAACCGAAAGCAGAATCGAGGTCCGATGTGTCGTCAGAATATGATGGCGACTCGTCCTGTATCGATGCGGGTTAGTCAACTCACAGTTCACATTTCATGCAATTGGGAATCACATATACCATTACGCTTGAAAATTCACTGACTTCTTCAGATTCATCATTGGAGGTGAGGAACATTTCGTCAGCGGAGCTCAGAGTTGGCACTTGGACATCAATACTTTCAACGTCGTCCGTTTCGTCAGTAATTTCATTTTCATCTAGAACTGCGATAGGTTGTGTAGCTGTTGGAGATTCTGAGACAGTCTCGGTCGGGCCCGCATCCCCAACCAGGTCAATTTCTTCCTCCAATTCCTTTTCTGCAACGGGATCCGAGACAATCTTTGCTGAGCCAACATCTCCAATTGAATCAATATCTTCTACTATGTCGATATCTCCTACTGAGTCACAGGGTTCGGGGGCACCCTCCTCGTCTTCGTCACCTGCTTCATCTTCCGTGAGGTCTATGAGGGCTCCTGGCCGCTGTGTGCCAAAATCAATGTCAATGATATGAATGCGGGGACAGCACACGAGGTTATTTCAAACCTTTAGTGGACCGATGGGACAATCCGACTCCGAATCTGAATCATCCGTGAGGTCTATGAGGGCCCTATGCTGCCATGTACCAAAACACGATCTTAATGACATGCACGCGGAGACAGCACACGAGATTATTTCAAACCTTTAGGGGACCGATGGGACAATCCGACTCCGAATCTGAATCATCCGTGATTTCGGTCGTTGTCTCATCGGTGAAATCAGACCATGTGATATTACTTATAGGATCACGAAAGTAAACATTTTTTATAACAGGAATCTCTGTTGATAAAGCATGTCAGCATACCATTGGACTACCATTGGACCACAGCATCCTCTCTTTAGAACGTACCCCGCGACCCAGGCAGCATATCCAAATCACTCCTAACCCTGCTGATCCGAGAACTCGTAGACAACGCAGGGGGGGAATTCAAGGAGGTCCCACGCTCAGGTGAATCCGACTGTTCAATGTTAACGGCTGACTCCTCAGTGCCCTCCTCTTGAAGCTTGAGACCGGCCCGCTCCAAACCGGTCAAATCTTTCGGACCACCGAAGCCTTGCTGAGAAAAGCAATCAGAGGAACTGAACATTTCCATAAGTTATCAACTTTTTTCTTTATGGGAGTATCGAGAGAATCTGGGGGAAATAATAGTACACGTTAAAGGTTCGTGAGGTAGCGGATGAACTGTGACTTTCCCACACCCAGCTGTGCACACTCCAGATGTCGTCAAAAAACCACTTACCAGTGCGCAATCAAGAATGGATATCTCTGAGACTGCAGGTGCGCTGCGTCCTGCAGAGGATGGGCATTTCACACATTCATTGGAGGAGAGATGCACGGCGTGACAAAGCTTCCGTTTCCACCTGACAAGGGTTGCGTAATCAACGATCACTTGCACAGCCACTTTGGGCTCAGTTCCTAACCTCGTCCATGTCACGCTGTTGCAGAGAAGATCTAGCAATGTCGGTTACAGAGGCGAGAACGTCTCTTCCCGTCATCCTTGGATCCTCCTCCAAATTCCGAGCTAAAATTCTCAAATCCCATAATGTCGAATTCACGACTCTAAAACCCGACATTGACGAAAAAGCCGTCGCGGGCCGCGCGGATGCCAACGGACCGAGCCAAGTATGCTTGGCCGTTGCCAAAGCAAAGGCGGACGCACTTGTTGCGCAGGTACAGGGTCAGCATGTTTTGGTCGTTACCTGTGACCAGGTTGTTGCTTGGGAAGGTGGAGTGAGAGAGAAGCCAGAGAATGAGGAGGTAAGGTTGCAGGAACATTCATGGCCCGTAAGATACACCAGCACCTGGTTTACGCTGGCTATCCTCAGATGTGCCGGGAATACCTACGTAGCTATGCAAATGCGCCAGCCGAGACCCATTCGGCAGTTGTAGTCAGTGAGTGTCGCTGTACCGCTTCTCATCGAACACATTCAATTGCCTCTCATTCAAGTCAAATCAAGCAAATACCAAAACAGGAAAGCAAGTACATGGGGTAGACGTTGCCCAACAATATTTTGCCCCCATTCCTACACCTGTTATCAACGGGCTCATTTCTAAAGGGGATGTGATGCATTGCTGTGGAGGATTCATGATTGATGATCGTAAGTACTCTGTGATTTTTGTGTGGTGCATATCTTTTCGTAACTTGCTGTTCCATCAAGCTCTCCTAGAGCCGTATCTATTGAAACGAGAGGGGGATGAAGACTCCATAATCGGAATGCCCATGCGCTTACTGATGCGCCTGTTGAAAGAAGCAGAGACATAATGCTCAAATTAGTCCAGCAAATGTATATAATAGAAACTAACAACAATATTTTATACAAAATCGATAGCAAACTTCTATGTGCACCAAAATTAAGCTAGAGGAAGCATCCTCCTTGTTAAGCGTTTATTAGTTTTTCTTCTCATGGATGCGCCGATGCCGAGCCACCTGATCAGGTCGTGCAAATTTCTTTGTGCATTGCTGCATGGGGCATCTAAAAGGCTTCTCTCCCGTATGTACTCGCAACTATGTCAAAAGTACACACACCTTTAGAAAAAAGATCATAGTCTCGCGGATAACAGTACTTACATGTTTCGTCAAGTTGCTACTTTCCGCGAATCGCTTATCACACCCATCCATTTTGCATTTAAACGGCTTTTCTCCCGTATGTTTCCGTATATGAATGGTGAGCGCACCGGGTATAGCAAATTGGCGTTCGCATGTGGGTTCGGGGCATTTGTAGGGACGTTCACCTATACCATCGCCAAAATGAGTATTGCAAGTGACGCCTAAACGAGATGAAAATCTGACACCAACCTGTATGCGTGCGCATATGCTGGGTCATAATCCCAGATTCCGAGAATCTTTGGTTACAGACAGTGCACTGGTACGGTTTATCGCCCGTGTCTGCAGGAACCTCTATTAGTTAGAGATGCCCATGGGCCCAACGCCAATCATTCTGGTTGCTTACGAGTTTGAATGTGTCTCATAACCTTTTGCCGTTGGTTGAAAGGCTTTCCATTCCGATCGCAATTTTCCCACATACAGACGTATTCATGTTGCCCAGACCCGATATGATCCTCTGATACATGATCAGTGAGTTCATCAAAGGTTTCGAAACGATGCGCTGTCAGCAGTGACTGTGCATTAGATTGTGATCTGTCCTAAGGCGCCTGGTAATACATTACGTACCACATCCAAGCCAAAGACATCCGTGCGGACGCATGTTCCCCTTTGAAATTGCCAAGTGGTCGGAGCACAGGTGCTGTATCAGGTCGTCCACTGAGAAAAAGCTTGACAAGCTGCACAGTGCCCACTTGCACGCATGAAAGAAAGTCGCTCTCGCAGACGATGATCCAGCCGTTGAATCCACAACAGAAACACCATCATCGGAAATCGATGCCGTATCGTCTGCGTCCTGCGCATTCGACATTGCATCCTCAGTTGCCATGTCGCTTCCAACGGTCGATAGGGCTGGAGAGGCACGGTCCGGTCTAGGCCTCTTTGCAGGGTGACCGACACGGTTTGCAGAAAGATGTAATTTGCTGATGTGGGGAAGTAGCTCATCGACTGTCCGGAACTCCGCAGTGCAAGTAGCCCATTTGCATTTGGTATCAGCTTCGGCGTTGTCAGAGCTTTTGACATCGCCACTTGGAGCATTCTCTTCATCATCCACCACAATCACTAGGTCATCATCATTCGTGTCTTGCTTCGTCACCTCTGGATTCTTCTCCAATCCTTCCATGGAAACAGCATCTTGTGCGGCCAGAGGCACTGGGTCGGCAACAGCGGGTATGGAGGGCTCGGTTGGTGAGCTTGAGGTCCACCATGTAGCTACATTATTCGCAGAGCTAACCGACGGCACACCGAGTGACAAACGTTCCGGAAAAATTCCGGGCAGATTCGGCAGCCTTCCGAAGTGGCTCGGAGCAGGAGGAGGTAGTAGAAACATGGTGGCCGTTTGGCCTTGCAGCAGGGGCCGGGTATGACTCTGCAGACCAGCAGACAACTGAGCTATAAGACTATTGTACCGCATGAGCACATCCTGGCAAAAACGGTTGTCACAGATTCCAGAGCATTGCTGGAGGGGCGCAGGCGGTGGGAGTGGCGCCGAGGGGAACTGAACTGAGGGGAGTGAAGTTGGACTAGGTCCAGTTGAGGGTATTTGCTAAAAATGACAGTGTCAGTAACGAAACTCTTGTCTTAATTGACTTGAAAGGAAACTCTACCTCCATGTTTTTCCGCTGAAGCGGCTTGATGTGAAAGAGTTCAGCACACGAAGCAAAGTGGGAGTATCTTTGCACGTAGCGAGATTTTTATAATGGCTGCTTGTGTATAACCGTCTATAAGCAGCTGTAATGTAGATGAGCGTTCAATTTCCGAGCTTTGAAATGAGGACAAGAAACGCTCCAGCTGCTGCCACTTTTTGTCCTTCTGGCGTCGGGACTTTCGGATGAAGAAGTCACGTGGAATCATTTTGATTCATTCATACCACGTGTCTCACGTGCTGCTTAGGCGCGTGATACATAGCAACCAATGCCAACCTCTTGTTGTCAAGCGGATACTGGAAGGGGATTCATCGAACTTTGCAAACCACAACCGCTTGCATCGTATTGCAGAGATGCTGACTATGCACCAGAAACCAACATAACATGAGGCCCTTTCTACCCAATGCTTTTAAAAGAGCAACATCATCAAGACATCGTATACCCCCATCTCCCAGTCACCCGGCATTTGTCGAGCGCTGGCTTCCAACCTCAGTATGTGCCGGTTGCTTTTTCTCGTGGGTTTCCGGACGCGAGCCACCTCCTCGAAAGAGACTACCTCGGCGTTCACCAGAGCGGAGCATTGTCCCGACATTTTCTTCTCATTCCATTCTTGTCTCGAAACAATCTTATTCGACAAGGACGTCAACTGAGCTGCTCGCAGCTCTAGACGCGGCTCTTGAAGCTGCACCAGAGGACATTGGTAAAATCTGGGAAGCATTTGCAAATGTATGTGCTGATACGAACAGCCGATTGTTATTGTCCCGGGAAAAGGCCCTCAAAGTCGTGGGAGCGGTGCTTCACCATGCTGACGATCTACCGGAAATTGAGACGAAACTAGAGTATCTAGAAAAACAGGTCAAACAGGGTCGCTGGACGGACTTGAAGACGTATGTGGCTAATGCCTATATTGTCCGTAATCGCGAGTCGTTTACCATTGGACGAGCATTGGTGCATCTCGAGAAGATGAAGAATAATGCGGAGATACCCGATGAAGATACATACCGGCTGTTGATGGACGCACTAGGATCCATGGGTGACGGAGATGGCGCGCGACAGATCCTTCCATTGATGATCGAAGCAGGATATACTCCCGACGCAAATGTTTATCAGTCCATTATACTGGGGTACGCTCGAGGGAATAAACCAGATAAAGCAATGTCTGCTTTTCGAGAGTTGCAATCAAAAGGCTTGGCTGCCACTGTCAAGAACTATACTACACTAATGTCCGCATACGCCAAGCGTCGCGACGCCGACACCACGAAGAGCATCTTTGCCGAGATGCTCGAAGCTGGCATCCAACCTACTGTAGTCACTTACAACGTTTTATTAGAACTGTGCTTTGGACAGAAGCAGCTGGACGCTGCTCATGAACTGTTTGTAGCGATCGACAAAGCGGGGCTGAAACCTGAGACCGACACATTTAACATCATGATTGTCGGCTTATCGCGCACATCTCGACTATACGATGCGGCCAATCTATTTGAGCATATGATAGAGACGGGAATGAAGCCAGATCGATACACGTACGGTGCCTTGATACATGGCTGTGCCAGGGAGGGACTTATGATCAATGCGATGCGCTACTATCGACAGCTCTTGAGTTCCGGGATCACATTGAATCATCACCATTTTACCATTCTTCAATCAGCATTTGCGACGGCAAGGGACATGCAAACGTGTCAAGAAGTGTTTCGAGACATGATGTCCCGAATCACGCCTACGACCATCAATTACAACATTCTCATTAGCGGGTGGGTGCGCGTTGGCAATCTTGACAAGGCTCTGGAGGAGTTTGAAAAGATGAAAATCGCCGGGTGTAAGCCGTCGGGGATAACCTGGCGACGCTTGATCCGAGGATACCTGAGTGCAGGACGTCTTGAAGACGCCTTGAATGCCTATGTGGAGCACAAAAAAGCGTTCAAAAAGCCATCCATGGGAACGTATGTGCATCTGATTCATGCCTTGTGCTCTACTGGGCATATGGATGGAGCAGTGGTCTTGTTTCAAGACCTTGTAGATATGGGAGGAGATCCCATTTACCCACTGTATGAGCGGATCATACTTGGGTATCTTAAAGCAGGGAACCTCGTAGCTGCCGCAGAGTGGCTTGGACGCATGAGATACGCCGGATTTACTCCACGACATTACCTGTACAACGCCTTAATAAAAAGCGCAACGTTATCTGTGCGCCCCGAATCGGCCTTTCAATTCTATAAAGACATGGTGGCGGATCAGATAACTCCTGACACCTTCACCTTCAACCATCTGCTCCTCGCCTCGTTTGGTGATCCGAGATCCGTGGAACGAGTATTGCAGGACATGCGGTTGGCCCGAATCCCCTTTGACCATTACACGTATGCAACACTGCTCTTCATTCAGTCGAAGGAGAATAGAAACTTTGAAATGGCTTGGGGATTGTGGGAGGAGTATGTTTCCGCCGTATCCAAGTCCGATACCTCTACTGCCTCAACGACCGCAAAAGATGGGAAACGACCCGTCACTATTCATCCGGCGGTTGCTCGTGCCGCACTACGATCCTGTGCGGCTCATCGTCGTCCTCGGAAAGCTAGACTGGTGTGGGACGTGATACAACGATACAATGTTGATGTCAGGGAGGATGTAGCTACCGAGTTTATCAGACTTGCTGAAGGTTGGACGCGCAAAAACACAGTAAAAGGCGAGAAGCTTGTAAATCTATTAGGTTCGCATGAACTGAGTGCGTCCGATCCGCCGGGAAAGCAGGAACAAAAGGAGACTGTCACGCACTAATATCGCACAAGGCATCTATTTACTATATAAATATGTATTTATTTGTACATTTGCTGTCTGTTGTCATGATTTCGCCATGCGGACCTGCGAAGCGGGGTTTTGATTGCAGCCGCTCGGCTTTTTGATATCCTTACATAGCGCTCCGCATCATTGTCCGCAACCAACGTGTAATTCAAGAAATCTACTCGTCCCTCATCCAAACATCAGCTCTACCCAGATTGGGCAATATCTTCTTCCTGATATTATGAATATTGTGGTTAAACTTCCAGTTTTGGTCAAAACTATGCAAGTGTTTCCAACCCACCAATTGCAGCCGTTTTGACAGACGATTCACATCCTTGGCAATCTCTGCGGCGGTTAACGTTTCCGTATCCAGTTTCAGCGCCTGTTTGTTTGCTAAACAATATATTAGTTGTGAGACACCCGGTTGCAAGCACACCCAAAGCTAAAATCTGTTGACATACTGTAGAGTACTTCGATAGTTGGCTTTCCCACTTTATCCGACATGTTGATCACGACGTTGCATTTTGGGTTTGATTGTCGGTTTCCGTCTGTGACGAGTCGTTGGAGGAAGGCCCTTTTTGCCCAAATGTTTTTCTTGTCAATACTTACGCCTTGAGCGGGTAGAAGGAAATTGACTGTGGGACATTGACATTACCTTGCTGACCGGGATGCAGGGTTGAGTGGTGCAAAGTTGACTACTATTCGGTCAATGAATTTAAGCATGGTGGAAAGCAATTCATCAAGTGGAAGGATCTTGGAGAGGTTAGTTCCAGAGGGCTTCCTGTCGCTCGCTGCTTTGATGCCATGACAACCAAAGCACGTGAACTGGAAGTTAGTCACCGATCTGCCGACTTTCGTTTTGCAGTTTTCCGCTACATTCAAAGCATCGGTGCCCACCGAATCACCTATCGCACTCCAACACTTCCAAAAAAAACACACGCACACATGGCAAGCGCACTCGCCATTGGCGCCGGAGTTGCCGTCGCAGCCCTTGTAGGCCGAGCAGCCCTACGAGCCTCCTCCCGAATCGGCGGAAAATCATTCTACAGAGGCGGGTTCGAATCCAAAATGACGAAACGGGAAGCAGCACTCATATTGGGTATACGCGAAAGTGCATCAAAGGATAAACTCAAAGAAGCGCATCGGAGAATTATGTTGTTGAATCACCCGGACAGAGGTGGGAGTCCGTATTTGGCGAGTAAAATAAATGAGGCGAAGGATATGCTGGATAAACGGAGGTAGTAGCGGCTGTTTTGGGCGATGGGGTCTGTGCGTATTGGTTTGGGAGGTTGGGGTAGAAAGGAGAGGAAGCCGTCCGTGAACGGGAAATGGTGCAGCAAGTGTGGTGGGGAGAACGGCATTGGTACTTGTGCACAGGCGTGGATGCCTACATCCATGTATCTAGATCAAGATTTGCATTTTTTTATTTATGATATATCAGTCTTTTATCAGCCGAGAGGATTTGTTATTGCTTTGCAATGCCGACGAGTTCGGGGAGTTGCGCCAAATGCTATGATCGCGCTGGTGATCCAAACCCAGAAGAGTTTGCAGCAAGCTTCATTTCCAAACCTACAATATATAACAAAACTCAATATACAAAAACACACTTTCGAGTTTTCGATGGAGAAAACCATTTTTACTTGCCATCCAAAACAACCGACGTAATCTTGATGGGTAATTTGATTCCATTCACTGTTTGCGTCCCAGGAATAGACGAAACGGAATGCCCCACCATCTTATTTAGAGGACTCGTATCTTCTCTCAACATGCATTGTTCCATAAAGTACATTTCAGCCCGTTGACGCTCCTCAAGTGTGACATCCTTGCCATCGATACCCATAATCTGTGGAAACCGGATCACGAGGGCGTATCGGTACATTTGTTTGCGGGCTACGGCGTTGGCGGAGAGAGAGATTTCAATCAGGCTTGGGAGTTTCATTTTCTGTTATTGTGTGCATTTTGAGTTGAGGTGTTTTGGATGATGGTGGTGGATTATGGGGACTTACCTCGATTTCGCTAGTGTCGTGTACCCGGTTATTAGCCAAATGCAAGTGGAGGAGGTTTGGAAGGCAATCAAAATGGGAGAGGGATTTGATTCGGTTTTCTCTAAAATGTGAATGATGCTTTGATTTAATATTGGTCTTCGTACTGTAATACTTACTCCAAAGCACTTTACTTTATATGCAACTCTTTTAGGTTGATCAATGAGACAAACGACGAGGGATCAACACCCTTGATTTGGTTTCTGTCCAAGACGAGTTCAATCAGGTTTGTCATGTGTTCTAATCCATCGACCTAAAATAAAAGAGATGCAGTGGTCAGACAACTGGCAAGTACATGCGAGTGAAGCCAAGAGAAAAAACAAACCTTGCTAATACGATTCCCATGCAAATAAAGCATCTTTAAATGTGCCAACCGGTATAACGCCAAATCTGCAATTCTCGAAATACAGTTATATCCTAAAGAAAGTTCCTCTAAATTGGGTAAAAGGGTCTTGACGGTCTGTTGTCGTCCGTATTCCGGTGTATCGAGTCTCATGATGCCATTTGGGGATGTCATGGGTGCAGGTTGGTCTGTCGATAAGAGCCGTTCAATGCGGTTATTGTTTAGCGAAAGGGTTTTGAGGCCCGTGAGACCAACAAAACAATCGATATTGGTTAAAAGGTTATTGTCGAAAACGAGTTTTCGTAAATTTCTGAAATCGCAGTCGGCGAAACAATCTATTTCTCGAATTTTGCAGTTGCGGAGGTCGAGTTCGCATATGTTTTTGAATGTCAAGTGTCCGATTTTTTCACCGAGGAGTTCGATGGTAAGTTTGCCGAGATAGGCTTCCCGTGCCAATGTTTGTTCTTTCGGTGATATGCCTGTTCCGTCGAGAATCTTGATATCACGTATCAATACATATGTGATGCAAGGTTTAAATGATGAGCGGTTACCTTTAATCGTGTTAAATGATAAATTGAGAATAATCGATAGTTATCCACTTGGCATACAGTATTCCCAGTGAAATCCAAAATGATCAAGCGAGGAAGTGCTTTTAGTGGAAAGATGTTTATTAAGTCTCCAAGGCAATTGTTCCCGCAGTCTAAAATAAAACGTTCATCAGAAGACACAAAAACATCAAGCGTAAAGTACGTATAAACAAACAACATTAAACTCACAAAATTCCATCAACGTCGGCAACTCTGCCAAAGGCCTCAAACATCCAACACAATTATTCTCCAACGACAAGCACATCAAGGACGCAAAATCCCTTGCACACTCTACCGACGAGATGCGATTAATGCTCACATCGAGTTTAATCAGATTTTTGAGAGCCGTCAAGGCATCCATGGATTCAATTTCATTGTTCTCGAGAACAAGTTCTTCTAGGTGGGTGTATTGGGCGAGTTTGGATATATCTCTCAGGTTATTGTTTCTGAAACTTGCCCAGCGGAGATTGACGAGTCTAACAAAATAAACAAAAAGGTAAGCAACGCCATCCCATTCTTTTTTTTTCGTAAATTCTCTTACCCTAACGGAAGAACATCCAAATCAAACAACTGACACGAATCCAACTCCAACGTCGTAATCGCTTCCAATATAACCGATTCAGCAAGATGCGGAGAATGGGATAACCGCCAATACTCATTTTGGCCCGCCGAGAAGCCGTACCCTGCTTGCGTACGGACACTGAGGGGTCGAAAGAGGTGGGGTTGGGTTGAAGCGTGGTTGAGAATGGAGGGTAGGGAGAGTGGTTGGGGTGCCTTTTTGGAATCCGTAATCAAAATCAGTACGTATACGATAAACCATGGAAAGAGGGAAGATACCTTTTCGGTTTTAGGGTAGGGTATGCCATCTAGGATTTGTATGTGTGGAAGGCGTGTATGAATATATGCTCGGTACCCCTTGCTTTTACAAACGGGGTTGAATCGTGTGTCCAGTGTAAGGAGAGCAGAACCTACATATATCCATAATGGTAAGGACATGCCCACCAATTAAACATAAGAAACGAAAAAGTGAAACGATGTACCTTGGAATAATTCTACCAAGCCTTCAACATCCCCAACATGATTCCCCGCTGCATCCAAGTACTTTACACTAACACATCCCGTAAGCGAGTCCAAGTTGTTGAAACTCACGTCCAGTGTCTCGAGATGCGGTGGGAGAGGTGGGATGCTCGTGAGTTTGCAGTGGGAGAGACGGAGGGTTTTGATGTGAGTGTAAGGTGTTGGGAGGGGGTTGGGTGAAAAGGAGAGATTGAGGATTTCTCCTACTGGAGGGTTTGTAGAGTCCTAATTGTTACGTGGTTCAGCATATGAAAGGACAATAACAGAGAGGAAAGAGACTTACGATCGATGAAATGGGAACGTCGTTTGCGGCTTTTATTTCAGGATACTGTGATTCAATCAAAGAAAGCGTCATGTCATGCAAAGAATGTATCGGCTAAAACCATGAAAAAGCCAACCAAAGAAAGGTAAACACCGCTATTTACTCAAGACCAAAATGCAACACAAACACCCTTACCCCATCCTGCATCCGACTCGTCACATCCGAGACAACTCCCGGCATCCCCGCCAAACTCAACCGATTCGACAAGGCCGTATCCAAAACCACTTGTTCGACCATCGAGAGTTTTTCAGCGTTTGGCAAAGTGTATTCGAGCAAGTATTCCGGAAGAAGGGGCTGGGTAGACGAAAATGTGTCTGAATCTTTTTCTTTGGGATCTGTGAGAGGGGTTTTTACGAGGATCGCTTGGCAGAGTCCTGGTTCGGTTTCGTTTATGGACAGGAATTGGGTTAATGTTACTGGTTCACAGAACCCGTATTCAACGATTGAAAAGACGTCTTTGGATTGGAAACAGAGGTATGTGAAGGTATCGTCGGGTTTTGTTGCTGCCTAAGTAGAGAGAATCGTTAGCACCCGTTCAAGTCAAAAATAGGGTTAGGGTTAAATAGTTAAAATAAAGACCAACAAAAACCACATGAACATGATCAATACCTCAAATTGATTTCTTAGAAACCGGTTATGAACTCTCGAAATACAATGTACGTTGGCATTCGAGTTTTCTAGTACCCGCGACACAACCTCATTATCATCTTCTACTTGCTCAAACCGGACATTTCCACCCGTTTCGAGTTCCAACAAGAGTTTTCTAAGATATATGTCAACAAGTAGTTCGTATATCTTTCTTTAATGGAAGTAAGTACCTGATGGCCATATCACTTGTATCGATAATTTGGTTCAACAGTTGCGATTTATGCATGTGGAGATGTTGGAGGGCATTGGATTTTGTAGTGATGAAGTGGTTGAGACGGTGTAGTGTTTCAGTCCACTTTCTTATATCATGGTTCTAAAAAAACCAATCGCTCTAAACATGAATAAACAAAGAATAGAGGGTCAGCAAGAAAGAAATCAAGACGTACTGGTATGGTAGATCCAGCAAGATCGTCCTGTCGTTTAACAACTTTTTTGACTCGTTCAATAAGGGTAAGTAAATCTGATTCCAGATGCGATGCATCCGACGTCCGAGTTTCAAGTACTTTGATCAAAAAGTTTGTGTTGCGCTTAATGGTCCGAATCCGCATATTATAATACCTACGAAAAAAACAAAACTATCAACCCTCATATCCCACCACAAACCAAAACAAATCAAAAACTCACATGCGTTTCTTCATCACCGTCGCATTAATAATCCTCCGACTCTCCTCAGTAACTTGCAACGTATCCAACCATTTCAAGTTTGGTAAATGGTATATAACATGCGTTTGGTAATTCGATAATCCACAAATGGGATTTTCAGCAAAATTGGGATCAGATAAACATAAGGAATGGAGGTTTGGTAAACGAGAGAGGAACATGACTTGACGAAAGGATGAGATGGCGTTTCCAGATAAATTGAGATCCTAAAATCATACAAATGAGCGCTTACAGTAATTTGTGGATATGAAAAGTGGGATGTTACCTCTAAAGCGAAATTCTCATCCAAAGCATCTCCAACAGATTCTATCCGGTTATTCCCGAGATGGAGTTGTTTTAAATCTTTTAGACCAGATATGTTTTCTAGGGTACTAATATCTGATATCATAAGATGACGAATATAACCCGGACTGTAAAAACTTCAGGGGATGGTACAAACCGTTATCGCATAACCAAAGGACTTGCAATTTCGTACAAGTATCCAAGCCCTCAATCCGTCGAATCCGATTCGTATACCTGAACAGAAAAGAGAGTCAATAACTACTTTGTGCACAATACCACTCCCAGCACACACAAAAAAACGATCAAAACTCACAAATACAACTCTCGTAACTCCCGACACCCCTCCAACCCTTCCAAAACCTCCACAAAAGTCTCACAAACCCACAACCTCTCCAAAAACGGACAAGCATTCAACCCTTTTAAAGAATTTATATCTTGCGCGACGATACAGAGGGTTGTTAGGGATGTGAAATGGGATAGGACGGATAGGGAGGGGAGGTTGTAGAAGCAGAGTGAGAGGGTTGTTGGAGGTGTGTTGGTGTAGGTTGTTTGGGTGATGTTGTTGTGGGTGCACTGTAAAACATGTTTTTTCGTGTTTTTATTATAGGGTGGTTGTTGGGTGAGAGGAAGGTGAAGGGCTTACTTACGACGGCAGCAACATCCTTGTTACTCTCATACAAAAACGCTCGATCAGAAGCTGTTTGAAAAGTAGAGTTCTTGACGAGTCCTCCTGTTCTTGGATCTCCTTCCATAGTCACAAACGGTGCGAATATACAAAGTATAACGTCGAGATCTTGGAGTGAAGTTTGGAGTCCCGATCGGTTATGTAAGCGGACGTGCTCCTCGCGTATCCAATGTTCAGGTGCTAAAGAGCTAATAGCTATGATATATGTATGGGTTTTTGTAAGGTATTTGAGTGGGTCCTTTATGATGACATTTCAGAATAGAGTTTAACATAATCATCATCATGAGTGAAATATCAATTAAAGCAGCAAAAACTATAAAATGTACATGATCCAATACTCTTTGAAATGGACCTCAGATACGGACCTATGTCCCCATTGGATACCGCAGCTGTCATGTATGAAACTAGAAACACCCATCGAGGTATTGTTTGGAAAATAGTTTATGTCTGTCAGGATTCTTATTGAATATTGCCAGTGTTGTCTAATACATTTCCTGAATTGCTAAAGATCTTTTCAATGAATCATTCAATAGAATTCTAGATTGATAGCAATATTTATTCCAATTCCGTTGATGGGGTTTCAAAACCCAAGGAATACATTTTCCAAATAAAAAACCCAACATCATAATCATCCCAACGATGACCATAACCCATGACTCAATCTTCATTATCCCAAGACTCTGGTGTAGGTCCTCTTTCCACCATTCCCCGATCCTCCTCATCACAAAGCACACCAAACGAGTTCCCAGTGGGAACAGGCACAGGTACAGGGACTGGTACAACCGGCCCACTGGGTTTACCCCTCTCCTTTACCTCACTCACAAAAACATCCTTGGCCCACCCATTCCCAACAAACTTGTTTCGAACATTTCGTTCGATGCTTTCAGGATAGGTCGAAAAGGATACAATGACGTCCGTGGGGGTCGTCCAATGGATGTGAGTCGAAATGGTGGAATCTAGGAGGGGGTCAAGAAGGATTTGAATGTCGTTGGTGTCCATGCCGTCGGGGAGGGACGTGATGGTGAGGGAGGTAGAGTGAGGTGTGTTGGTCGGTGTGGCGGTGTTACGGTGTGTTGTGTTGCTATGTGCGGTTGAGGTTGTCGTGGAGGCGGTGGTTGTGGGGGGTTTAGATTGCGAGGCAGCGCTAAGAAGAATGGACGGGACCCAGGAAGTAGGTGTTTTACGAACAAGAATGCTGGACTGTGCTTTCCGGTCCGTGTCAAGAAATGTGGGTGTAAGGTTATAGAAACCAACCAGGGAGGAAATAAAGGCGTTGAATTTCGACGGTGGGAAATGGTGTGTACGTTTCGTGGGGTCGGAAAGAAAGGTTTCGAGAGTTTTTTCAATGGATTTTACGAGGGTTGGGTTTTGGTTGGCTTGGTGGATCAGTGTAGCGGGCCAAGTGATGGTGGGTCGGATGGAAGGGGTAATTTCGAGAGCTTCCGCTAGTTTGCGGTTACGTTCGGCCACGGCGCATGCGTCATCGCAGGCAAGTTCCAGCGTATTTCCCAAGCTCTCTTTCCAAGCCCCGCAAGTTACGGTCGTGGTGCGTAGGCCGCATGGGCAGGTTTGGATCGTTGTGGCCTTACAAGGGCGGTCTTCAGCACAGAATCGTGTGCCATGGCAAGGAAACGCGCAAGTATGTCCGCAAACAGATCGTACACGTCCGCATTTGGATGCACATTTATGCGTCGTGTCAATACAAGGGCCCGTATGACAGAACCGGAGGCAAACGTGTCCACAGGCGTCGAGGGTCTTGTCACAGCTTTGTCCGCAGGAGGGCGCACCCTGTCTAGAACAGGGAATGTTTTTCATTGTTTTTTTCCCACAGGCACAGGGGCGTTCGACAAAGACCACACATGGCGGACAGGGGTCCGTGTCCGGATGGCAGGGGTGTTCGCTCAGCGGGACATGTCCACAGGGTAAATCTCGGGTGCAGGGGTAGGTACATATCGGAGGCGGCGTACCGCATGGAATCGGGGGGTACATTGTCGTTCGACCACAATGACACGTTACTTCATCAAATGAGACGCCGACAATGCAGTCGTGGCAGCGGCCGGGATGTCCACACGGGTACGTACACGGGTGTTTTCCGCATTTAAGAGTCTTGTCGCAGGTCTGTGTGCACACGTGAAATTGAATATCGCAACAACGGTCTTTGCATTTATGTCGTTTACAGTGTCGCATTGCCGTGCAAGTGCGATTGCATAGGGGGGGCTGAATCTCGCCTTGGTCGTCACGCGGTAAGTCGATACACGCAAGTTGTAGCATTTCCTTGCCGCATCGGCATGGCGCGGTAATGATTTCACTGCAAGGTGGACTGTCATGATAAAATTAGATTATTACTTGATACGTATATATCCATGGAACAAATGTTGAGTACATACCATTCTCCAGTGTGACATGGAACAGTACATCGATGACCGCATCCGAGAACCTTGTTACATACTTTACCGCAGGTTGGAATAGCGTCCGTGCAAGATTCTCGTCCTCTGCCCTCAGTTAACGACGCGACCGTCGCCCCGCCACATGGACAGTGCCTCACAGCGGATGGATCAAAAGGGCACAGTGTAGGATGGTTTTCTGGGTTGTGACAGGTTCGCTGGCAGTCATGATGTCCACATCCAAAACTTATTCCACAGGGTGTTTCACACGAGAAAGGATCTGTCGAGGTTCCACAGGGAACGTTGCGACTCGACTTGCCACAATGACAGGCTTGCTCTACTGTAATGGGACACGGGGTACAGTCGCCGGGATGACACGGTTGTTCGCATGTGTGGTTCCCGCAAGAGAGCATCTTTCCGCATACCTCACCGCACGACGGCTCAAACGCCACGCTCGCTAGCAGGCTGCATCTGACGACCAGGCTGGTTTTGCCACAGTGGCATGATACGGGGGGTGCCAGGGACTCGCAAGGCCGACAGGGCCCGGGATGGCATTGCATTCCACAGGGATGTGGGCAGTTTCGGTCTCGACCACAGGTTTGACCGCATGTGTGGGGAACAAGGTAGCGGCTGAATGGCGGGTTGAGGGATTTCGTACAGAAACACTTGTATTCCAGCGGAATGTTTAGATTCAGCGTTTGGCATCCGGGACATCTCCATCCACCTTGATTTGATGATGAGGATGACGACGCTGGATTCGCAAGTGCATCCTGTGCAGATTTCCGGCCCCACTTTGAGACGCATTTCAAGTGAAAGACTGCAAAGCAAATGTGGCAGCTCCACACAGCGTCCCTTGCTCTGACGATATCATAGCATATCATGCACTCGTAGTCACCCTTTGTCAAGCCGTCAATGAGCGATGCCGTTAGATCGCCTTCCTGATCCGTGTTTCCTTGGACCGACACTGACACCGGTCCCGATGCATCTCTGGGAGCTTTTTTGTGTCTCGGTCGTCGTTTACGTTCTTTTTCTCCTGATCTGCTACCGGCTCCGTTCCCATCTATAGTCTGCCCGCTTTGGGTTGTCTCTTGATTTGCTGCCTCATCCTGGACTGGACCTTGAACCGTCAATGGAATCCGCGGTCGACGTTGGTTTCCTTGACTATGGGTCAATGCAGTCCCACCCAGCGTCACTTCGTGATTCGGTACATCCGTCAATGGACGTGGCCGTCTGCTACGTGCCGATCTTGTGTTGCGTGGACGTGGTGTCGCGGCGTTTTGTACCATACTATCATTAGTACTCGTTCCAGTCGCATCCGAGTCATGAAGTGCCGTTGAAGAGTCTCCTCGTCCTCTCCCTCTCCTGTATCTTCCGCGACCCCTTTGAGAACCCTTTTTTGCATTCATTTCCGTGAATGGCATAGTCGTCGCCGGGCCCATGTTTGCTTGAACGACGCCCGACCCTGTAGACGTGAAATGTCTTCCTGAAGGGGCAGACTCTGATGGACCTGTTTGTTCTCCCTGCATGATCGCAGCTGGGGTTCCTTTTATTGCCAACAAAAAAAAACGGGGCCGAGTGCAGCAGTCGTCGGAAGCTCTTGGTCGGTCGGTGGAGCAGCTGCCGATTTCCACCACAATTTCAAATCAGTGGCTTAGTCACGCAGATATGGGTCATGTCACGTGCACTTGTTTACATAAGCTGATCGGGAATGTCCCTCAACAGCCGATATAAATAGCCCTTACGCCCAAGTTATGCTTAAAAATAAGCATGTTCAGGGTTTATTTTCTGCCACCGCCTACCCTTGCGAGCCCTTTTGAGACGTCTATTTTTTGGTAGCGGAGGACTCGCTGCAAACTCACAGTCTCACGAATCTAAAAACCTTTTGGCGAACGTGATGGGACAAGACGATCAACCGACTCCCTTATTTTTGGGACTCACGATTGGCATCGAAGTCATTGCCTTTTTGTTTCAGACGTACCAAACCGTTTATGCGCTTCGAGCGGCCTTTTTCCAGACAAACTCTGATTCAAAAGGGACATGGCTCGACCGCGTCATTGCCTATATCATGTGCATCATATGGGTCTACTGTAGTTTTAATATCGCTATTGCGTCGCTGGTGGGAAGGAACGACGCGCTGTATCGGGTCATGGTAGCGGGTGGGGATACGACCTTTTTCATGTTTGGGGGGATTTACATTTGGATTGTGGTCAAGCGATTTACCAAAGTCCATCGTGTGATACGACCGGGAGTTCATTCAAAATGGTGAGTTGCCGTACGTTGTGAAGATGGAAATTTCTGGTTCATGGTACCAATAACATTCTTTCCAATGTAGGTACAGAGCCTTTGAAATAGGGACGATTCTCATTGTATCAATTGCGGCGACTCCCGTCACTGTTTTTGATTGGGTAGCTGTCTTCCAAGCGCCCAACGTTCCGGAATGGCAGCCCGACGGCATCTCGATGCATGGGGCGGCATTCTTGTTTATTTTCAACCTGTACATTGTGGCTGTGGATGCGACCACATCCTTGTCGATCTATGCAAGGCTCAGAAAAGTTGTCAAGGACCTGCATGATGTGCTGGAAAATCCTTTGCCGAGCACGGTGATCATCACTGGCGAGAAGGATCTATCGACATGCCGTCTAAACAGCACAGCACCATCTAGTTCCAATCTCCCATCTATTCGCAGTTCATCGGTAGCAAAACCATCCGGCCCTCCATCCGTAGCGAAACCAGTCAAACAAGATGAATCCCTATTGCGAACGACAGGGATGGGTGTGGGATGGATTATCGGGATAAGCCTATTAGGATTGTCGATGCACATGATCAATACGCTCTTGTTTTGGGATCCAGAGAAACCCACGTTGCTCCCGTATGGAATCCTAATGCATGCGACATGGACAACACCTGTGTGGCATGCAAGGTATGCATGGATGTATTTGGTAGCTGTCAAGGACCTAGTCAAGGACATTTGAGTTGGTAGAAATATTATATTCGTAGTTAATACATATTCGTGTAAGGAATGACAAACCAACTCTCTTCGATTCCATAGCGAGAGAGGAGAAACAGCACAAACCCCATGGCGTTCACTCTCTACTCACATCCATTGGATTAGACGATTTTTCTCTTTCTTTTCGCACTCGTTCACAGACTCATTCAAGGGAATTCGCTCTCCATCTCACTCACATCCACACACTCACTCACTCACACGCACACGTTGCAAGTCACCCACATCACACATTAATGTCAGGAGGGGAATCCTCGTCCTCCCTCGCCTAAACACTTCACTCTCGCAGAATATAAATCCCACTCCCCCCACCACACACACACATGGGCATGGCATTCAATCTCTCCATGTCAATCACACTCCCTTCACTTCCCTTCAAAACACTCTCATGAGGCTTAGTCATTTAACCGCATTTGGGCGTATTTCATTAACCTATTTATAGTTACATTTGTCTCTTTATCCAGAAAGGGAATAAATTGTCATTTCATTCTTTTATCTTTCGTTCTTTTTCCATCAGCTTTCAACGAGATTTCAATCTCACACCATCAACAACGCACGCTGCTCATCAGACAATGCCCATTCTTGGTTGTGCCATCCTCCCACACTCGCCCATGATACTCGATCCCAATAGGGAAGGGTGTCCAGACGGCATAAGGGAAATACACGAGGGTTGCAAGGCAGTCGGTCAAGTCGTCGCAAGTTGGGAACCAGAGCTTGTCGTCTTTTTAACGCCTCATGGCATTTCTGCTCCAAAGAGTCCTCGTCCAGGTACTTGCCAGGCAGAGAGAGATTCGTGTCAGTGCACACACCAGAGTTATAACATTCATTGTAGGCATTTACTTGACGCCCTCGGCAACCGGCACTGCGGAACAAGCAGGAAACTGGGCAGACTATGAACTCGCCATCCAAATCGACTCGGAAATCGCTACAGGGTTTCTCAACCACCTCGGTTCGTCCGGTGTCGCCTGTGTCAAAATCACTGGAACAGAAGCCCCACTCGCTCCTTCTGAAATCGTTCCCCTCTGGTTCCTCCGTGGCTTATCCCTCTTGAAACGGGCTCCCCGCTTTATGCTCTTGTCTCTTCCCACTCCCATTGGCGGAACGAGCATCATTCGCTCGGAATCCTCCAAAGAGCGCGTCCCCGATATGCTCATGTATGGTTCTCATCTCCACAAGTACCTCTCGTGGCTCTCGCACCGCGTGGCGATTGTCTTGTCGGGCGATTTGGCTCATACGCATGCGACTGCATGCAAGGTTCCAATGTACTTGCCCAATCCGGAATGGAAAATGCCCGTGTCTGATGCTGCCGCCGTGTTTGACGCCATTGTTGAAAAGTGAGTAGCGAAATTGTGCATAGCGAGCATGCACATTTGAGAGTTTAGATAGCGAGCATGCATTTATGAGCTTGGATGCCTTTTGGAATCCGAATGGCATGCGAGCGAGCATTTTTTGGGAGTAATTCTGTGCGAGTGATAGAGAGCATGCATTTGAGATTTTGATGCCTATGGGATTTAGATAGCTTATTTCCGCTCGCAAAGATTTCATGGGAGGAATTTTGATATCATTCGAACGATGGCGCTTTGGGCTAACGGGATGATATGGCCATCTCGAGCGCAGCATGTCGGCGCTCTATGTCGCTTCTCGAAATCATACTAATCAGCCCCTCTTTTTACTTGGCAGATGGGCAAGCACACTCAACGGCGACTTTATCACCCGCGACGCCGCAGCACTCGTCAAACAAGCCATCTCATGCGCCTTTGACGGCCTCGTCGTCCTCCAAGCCATCATGGAAAAAGAAGGCACATCCAAATTCTCTCGACACATTTTTGCTCGGCATCGCCCGACGTATGTTGGTATGATTGCTGCCGTTTTCCAAGTGGACAAGCGAGGTATGTTGCGTGAAAATCGGTTTTTGAAAATGCCACACGTAGCCCGTTTGTAAACACAGTGTGTTTAATTAATTAGTGCCCTGCCCGGAATTCTCGTACACACCTCCCGTCCTCTCAGAGTAAATATTGAATTGCACGATTTGTCCAACGTTTTGGAAATGGACTCACCGTCCAAACCTACACCAGACTTGTATATAGATTTTGGGATTTATATTTTTTTTTGAATACATGCTTTTTATTTAGTTTATTCGAGGATAGAGTGCATGTTCTTTTTTTTTTCCCTCCCGCTCTGATGATCCTCCCAAGCTTCCATTGCGAGACATCAAGTCTTACTTGTGCACCATACAACTACTCCGATTCCCCCTGAACATGGGCCCATTATGCAGCCAGGAGATGGTCATTAGATAGACGTATGCCTTGTCTGATGGGTATTGTGGTGGAGATGGTAATGTGATTTACAAAGCGCACAAAAGCACTGCGAAATGGGCATGTTAATCTTGCTTCCACAGCAAAAGGACTGTTCATTGTCCTTGAGGATACATTTATGGCGATTCGACACACACCACTACGGAACAGAATCCGGATCCACCCCTTTCCACGCATACCTCTTTCCACAATCCAACCCATCCAAAGCCTCCATCTGCACCTCACTCAGCTCCCATCCCCAAACCCCTCGATTCTCCACCAAATGCTCCCGCACTGTTGAACACGGAATAACAATCACACCATGCTGCACCGCCCATCGAAGCAACACCTGCGAGACACTCTTGTTCACCTCATTAGCAACACGAACAACAACAGGATGGTTCAACAATTTTGGATCTCCGCTCCCGAGTGAACAGTATGCCATGATACGTATATCCTGTTGAGCACAATAAGCGCGCAACTCTTTCTGGATTAAAAAGGGGTGCATTTCGATTTGGTTTACTGATGGACGTATGGAAGTGTGGGTTGCGAGGTGTTGTAATTGGCGGATACTGAAATTAGAGACTCCGATCGCGCGTACGTGGGTTTGGGTGAGGAGGGTGGTCATTGCGTTCCAGGTTGCGATGCGTGTGGTGGGTGTCCAATCCTTTGGGACTCTAAATGGAGGACATTATCAGTCATAAAATGAAATTATTGTGTTGTGCAAGAGTTTTTTGGATGACGCTACTGGTATTTTTTGAATCGATGATAGCCAGGTCCAGGCCAATGCAAGAGCCATAAATCCACATGCCCAAGTTTTGAAATAGATGCCTTGAGGTGTTTTTCAATCGTTTTTGGACATTCGCTTTGATGTGATCGCCAGAGTTTGGTTGTGATAAATACGTTGGTTTGGAGGGTTTGTCCAATTTCTTTTTCATTGTCGCTACAAATGGGGAGCAATAACGTGAGCCCCCGATTGGTTTCTCGATGCAATTCTAGAGTGCATTTACTAGACGCTGGCGGTATCGAGCATGGTGTACCCGCATTCAAGGGCCAACCTCAATGGTGCTTTGACAGCGGCTTTCTTGAGACGGTAGGTACCGAGACCCAGTTGGGGGATATCCATTGGCTGCATGACGCCATTGGTCAGTTGGACAGTGGGAATCTGGACATTGGGTTTGCGTCTTTTGGATGGAAGGATGATTTCAAAGGTTGCCTATGTGGTCCGTTAGATACATTCCGCTAATCATCATCCTCATCTAACCTCTTTAGATGCTCGTTTCGTTGCCATTTTCTGTTGAATTCCAACTGATGACATAATCATCACCCTAATAAAGAAACGCGTGAGTGGCGTAGCAATTGCTGAAATAAACAAAAAAGGCGCCCTTTTGGCCAACCAGCTTCCTTGCATCGTTTTGGCCAACCAGCGGTCTTCTGTCCCTTTGACGATACTTACGGTAAGCAATGACTTTATTACTCCGACGTTTTTTATTTTTATTTTGGATATGCATCAGAAGGGTTGCTATTGCAAATAGCATATCGACACTTTTGTGTATTGTATTGACAACATGACTGACTTGGATATCCAGAGGTGTCATGATGGACGGCACGACGACGACAACAACAGCCGCAACAACAACAACAACAGCAGCGACAGCATCAAGTCATGCACAGCCCGGCCAGCAGACCTCTGTCGATGCTCAACAATTTGCTGCATTACAACAAGCCGCAATGTACCCGCAGTACGCCAACATGGTAAGTGCGCCATCTCCATTCACACTAATCAAATCCAATCATGCTCACCATTCATGCTTGAAAGCTCCTGGGACACATGACAAACCAAATAACGAACCCCACCCCTCTTGCCAACAACCAAGTCCTAGCCGCCATGGCCATGAATGCCGCTGCTGTCGCCGCAGCCGCAGCCGCATCCCAACCTACAGGCGACGAGCCCCTCTACGTTAATGCAAAACAGTACCATCGTATCCTGAAACGAAGGGAAGCGAGAGCGAAATTGGAGGCTATGAATAAAGGGCGAAAAGAAAAGGTAAAGAAACTTGTAAACTCTTGTACGAATGTATGTATTGATTGAAATTCATAGGGATATATTCACGAATCCCGACACCGACACGCCATGCGTCGACCTCGAGGTCCCGGCGGCCGCTTCCTAAGCGCCTCCGAACTCGCTGCATTAAAAGATAAGGAAGATACACCCCCACCTTCCACGCCTCCTACTCCTGCTCCTACGCAACAACAACAACAACAACAACAACAACATGTATCGAGACCGCAAGTATCACTCCAGCCGCAGAAAATGATACATTTGGCGTCTGTTCAGCAGCGGTTGGCTGCGATGCAGAGTCAACAGGTTCAGTTGCAATTGTCGCAGTTGCAGCAGCAGCAATTGCAAGCGCAGCAACCACAGCAGCAACAGCAAACCCGAGTTTAAAAGGCAAAACTAGCCTTGTGTTTTATGTTTTTTTTTTTTGATTTAGAGATTTCTTTTTTCTGTGCTTGTGTGTGTTTGTGTTTTTTTTCTTTGTAATATATTTTGATTTTCTTTTCTTATGCCGTTTGAACTGCTCTATTGTGTTGAGTTTTAAGTTTTTGGATATTGATGTTCGATGTCTTTAATGATGTCCTCGATGTCAACCTACCGGTGGGTGTTTTATGTTCAGGTGAGGGTCTGAGGGTGTAGCTGCTGTGGGTATCGCAAGGCTTTTAGGGATTCGGTTACTGTGTTTCCGATATGGGGGTTTATTGAAATAAAGGTTTGTGGTTTGTTTATATCGGAAGGATCTTTGTGGGTTTTCGCATTATTCGAGGTACCGTTTTGTTTGTAATGACACTGCGTATCTTGGCTGTTATCACTTGTTTGCAGTATTGCATTTGGTTTGTGGAATGGAATCTATACTCTGCCCTCCTCCATGTTTCTTTCACATTATATTATTGCAAGGATTTTCGGATTTGATGGGAATTTGCAATCTCAGTGTGCAGAGGTGCCCACAACGGCATCTCATCTGGATCTAAATCTTTCCAAACCGTCTGTATCTTTTCCACAACAGCACGCCCAAGCATCTCATGCCCCTTTTCCGCCAAATGAACTCCATCTGAAAACACACCATCCAATGCTTCCACGCTATACTCATTCCCACCCAAGAACACTTGCCAGGTATCCAACACAGACACACCCAACCGCTCCATAATATCCAAACAAGCCCTCCGATACAACCCAACCATCTCCAGACTCCGATCACACTCCCTTCCTTGTGCTTCTCGTACCTTTTTCCAATCGGATATGATCACGGGGGGAGGTGTCAAGACCAACACCCGAACTCCCCCGTCTTGAGCAAAATTCACGATAACCTCTAAATTACTCTTGTAAATTTCGATGGGGACGTGGTGTGTTGGGTTTACGGATTCCAATACAGAGTCATTTGTCCCGAGCATTATAATGAGTACCGTTGGGGAACCCAGTATATCCGGTAATAAGTTTGTGCACCAGGTGGAATTGTACCCTGATAGCCCTCGGTTAAGAATATCCGCTTTTCGGGTGTATATTGTTTGGAGATGTGTTCCCCAGCCTTTTGGAAATGCATGTTGGGTTAGGGAATCGCCTAGGAGGGTTATGCATGGGATGCGAGACATGGTCAACGAAGAAAGGAAACGCTGGTGTTGCTGTGGATTCTGATGCGAGAGTTTTAATGGATTGCATAGCCACTTGTTGGATCGGATCCTCCGTTGTTTGTTTTTTGCGGTTTTTTGCATCTTGATTCATGCTGCGATTGACGTCCTTTATTCACATCTTTCGACGGAGTATGAGTTCTTCTACGGTGAATGCGGGGCTGTATCGTAATGCACCGGTACAAAATGTCAAGGCTGTACATGACTTTCGAAGTGATACAGGTGCGTAAGTAATACACATTTTGAGGAGGACAATTTACTTATGGGACATTCCAGTCACGAAACCTACCGCCGAAATGCTCAATGTCATGATGACGGCTGACGTCGGGGACGATGTCTTTGATGTACGTCCCAATAAATGCAACATGTTCCCCATGTGTTTGCTCATGCGTGTGATAGGAAGACCCGACCATCAATGCCCTCCAGGATCGTATTGCAGATATGGCTGGTCACGAAGCTGCCTTGTTCTGTCCAACGGCAACCATGACGAATCAAGTAAAAAAAATATAATGCAATCGTTTATATTTATGTACATGCTCAATAGTTTTTCTTGTTTAGATTGCGGTGAGGACTCACCTTACGGCTCCTCCTTATACTGTCCTCTGTGACCATCGAGCCCATATTTTCAACTATGAAGCAGCGGGGATATCCTTTCATTGTGGTATGAATCTCAATATGCATATCTCTTATCCTCCTTCCCAACGTCAATCGTAAATAAACAAACGACACAAAAAGGCGCTGGTCTCGTCCCGGTTCAACCTGCACCCGGTCAAACCCATCTGACCGCCTCCGTCATTGAAAAACACCTTGTGCTCGATGATGATGTCCATCACGCCCCAACACGGGTGGTGTGTCTGGAAAATACCTTACACGGCATGGTAAATTACCCACAATCAACACCGTGAACTAGTGTACTCACTTATGGCTACTTAGATTGTTCCATTGGAGAACATAAAGTATGTGATTCTTGTTACATCTCCTACTGGTCCTGTTTTCTTATTCAAAATATTAGAGAGATTACAGCTCTAGCCCACAAGCATGACTTGAAAACCCACCTTGATGGCGCCAGGATATGGAACGCTTGTGTAGCGACCGGTATTAGTCTGAAAGAGTATTGCAGTCATTTTGATTCGGTATGTCCACCTCGAATGGTATCATCATACAATGGTCATACTCTGATACTGTTTTCTTTTTTTTGTTCAGATTTCAATGTGTTTTTCTAAAGGCCTTGGTGCACCGGTCGGGTCCGTACTGGTTGGCTCCAAACCTTTTATAAAGAAAGCCAAGCATTTTCGCAAGATGTACGGGGGAGGGTATGTTCCCATAATTGCATTTAACCATTTTATTTTCTACATTATCTTGAATCGTATTTTAGATGGCGCCAAGCTGGTATCTTGGCCGCCGCAGGTCTCTACGCCCTCGACCACCACCTCCCCCTCCTAACCACCGACCACCAAAACGCACAGTACCTGGCCCAAACACTCCTGGACCTCAATCTAGGCTTTTCCCTCCTCCATCCCGTCGAAACCAACATGGTCTGGCTTAACGCCCCTGTTCCTGCGGATATCCTTGCAGAAGTATTGGCAAAAGAAGGTATCCGTGTCTTTGGAGGAAGTGGAACGGAAATGAGACTGGTGTTTCATCATCAGATTACGAGGGAGGCTGTGGATAAGTTTGTGAGAGTATTGAAGCAGTTTTTTGAAAAGTAGAGCGTTTGTATATTTTATTATAGAAAGGAAACTTACGACACAACATGCACGAGTGATCATGAAAAAAAAAACACAAGATTCATAACCACTCGTCAAAAAAAAAAGCAGGCACCCCATTATTATTACTATATACAACGTTTTCGCAGATTAGGTTATATACTGAAAGAAAAAAGAAAAAAAATACCCAATGTCCCTTCCCTCTGCCCGCGTTTTTCTTTTTGGATTAACATGTCATGTCGTTCTCTCTTGTCGTCCCCCAACATCCCCTACCCCATCCGACACATCCGCCTGATCACTACTCGTAGAAGCCGGTGAAGGCTGATGAGAATGCACTAACCTCCGTACCGGCTGTCCACGTTGTTCAACAACCCGATGCCCAGCGGTACGTTTGGCATCATGTGGATGTATGGGTGGATTCGGACTCGGGAGTCGATTCGATGGGGAATGGGTTCGAATTGGGTCTGGGTCGGGTCTATCCTCTTTTTTGGGCATGGGTTGATGAACGAGTCGGTCTCCTTCTCGTTGTTGTCCAGCGACATGCATATTATATCGCTTGTGAAGCATGCCTAGTTGGTCTGTCAGGACTCGGTTACCATGTTCCAAGTGTCGGATAAATCCAACAGTGTTGTAAAGGATGACGCTTTTACTGCTTCCGAGGTTCCCGCCTTTTAATCCAGGAACGAGCTCAGCGAGGGCTTTGAACCCTTGTCGGATCAAGTTTCGTCGTTTTTGCTCAGACATGATGTGGTTGGTGCGTTTTTCTTGTTCCGTCAAGAGTTCACGACCACCGCGCCGTTTCATGTCTTTTGGTTTAGGCGCTTTACCTCGTCCTGCTGCTTTGGTTTGGATGGCTGGTTCGGATTTTCGTCGCGTGTTTGTTGACACGCTTTCTGGAGAGTCTGCTTCAGATGGCGAGGCATTTGGGCGAGAGTCATTGACGAGGAGGGATCCCGGTGATGGGTCGTGCCCGTGGGGAGTGCTTTGCATGTTTGCACCGGCGGAAAGTGGGTACGAGCGTCTGGGTGGACCAGCCGACGTATCAACGTACAGATTTGGTATTGGGTGGTTCGCCTTTGGTGGATGTGCAAGGCGATCCGATTGTGTCCAATTTGCTGCATGCCCTTCTACTGGACTTGGGGTCGGTACGGGAACGCCCCCATAAGGCGATGGCTGTGACGGTTCTCCAGAATGCAAAGCGTCTCCGCGTGGATTATACATATTCTGCGGTACTCGGTCAAAAGCAGATTGAGGTAACGGTGGCATATGATACGCCGCTGCATCCGTCTCCACGTCGGGACTGACGAGTGTATCCAAAAACTCTGAAAAGTACTTTTGCTCAACGTCGTTGAGGAGTGGCTCCTCTGGGTTCAGCACAGGGAGGGGGGTTGACGGTGAGAGCGGAAAGGGGAGAAAGTCGTCTGCCATGGATATGGGAAAGTCTGAGCCCATGGGTAGTTCTGGAGAGCAATGTCAGCCACATTGCGCTCGTTAAAGGCAAACTTTATATTTTTTGTGAGGGGACGTACCGGTCGAAGGCGCATATGCGCTCGTCATGACCTGTGTTGTCCCTCTCCCCAGAAAAGAGTGCGAAGCTTCGTACGGAGGAACGTTGTGATCTACGTGAATTGAGATTTTCCACACATTTAGCGTTAGCGTGTAATGCGGCAAACCCCAGCGTCTCAAAACCAGGCCGATCGCATTCTTCCCCAATAGAACATATTTCCACTCTCTACATACGCTTGCCTTTGTCAATTACGTGAAATATCAGGTTTGAAAACTCACCAGAATAGAATGGGTTAATCCCGGTCGGAATGGAAGCAGAGGGTGCGGCGTTCCGGCTGAAACTGTTACTACTCGAGTGGGACGTGGATTCCTTCCGATCTCTCGAGTCCATGCCCGCTCATGAAAACCAACTATTTTCAAACGCTCTGTCTAGTAAGCGGGATTCAAAAGCAACGGCCCACCCAACAACAAACTACAAGAAAAAGGAAATGGAGGAAATGAGAGCGAAACGGAACACTTTTTGGTCAGCTGTCTTTTGGCTCTTCGCTTACCCTCGTGGATGAGTCATCCACGTTTATCCTTCTTTTATTATTACTTTTGGCCCGAACTTTCAACACTTTCAAAAACACACACAAAATGGTGGTTGATCACCGGCTGCCCAATCTACATTATGCACGGGAGGACGTGGATGGGGACGCTGCACCCTCTGTCGCTGGAAAACAAGTGGACAATTGCACAGCAAACACTACGGATCTCGACCATGAACTCCCCCCACGTCGATCTGCCGCTCGCTTAGTGCAAGACTTGAAGTCTACAGGAAACCGATACGTAAAGATTTGTGCACCCATGGTTCGATACAGTAAGCTTCCTTTCAGAGAGCTGGTGAGGAAGTAGGTTGGTGTTTTCCACAGTTGAAAACGAATAGCTACATGACACTGATTCTTTTCCTATCTCTCTCACTGTGCTCTAGCTACGATGTTGATATCGCTTATACACCCATGATTCTTGCGGATGTGTATAAGCATTCCAAAATATCCCGGGATACAGAGTTTAGGACTAACAGGAAAGATGACCCGGTTGTTATTCAATTTGCTGCTCATTCAGCTGTGGATTTGGCGGATGCTGCGGAATTGGCTGCCCCGTACGTTCTCATCTAGAAATTGTGCCCACTGTCTCAACCGCTGACTGTGTGTTGGTATTCATAGATACGTCAATGGTGTTGATCTGAACTGTGGATGGTATGTTGTTCACGTCCCCTGACCATTTTTCAGTTTGCCCTCAACGTATCCATCTAGTCCTCAAAAATGGGCCGTTCACGAAAAAATTGGAGCTCACTTGATGGAAGATCCGGAACTCGTCCGTGACATGGTTCGACAAGTCAAAGCACGCACATCCGGCATCGCCATGGCGGACGGAGAACCCTTCCCTTGCTCAGTAAAGATCCGTGTACACCCCGATTTGAAAAAGACGGTAGAATTTGTTCAAAGGGCCGAGAGCGTGGGAGTAGATTGGATTACGGTGCATGGACGGACACGACGGCAGAAGAGTACAGAGCCGGTTGATTTGGATGCTATCAAGTTGGTAATTGCCTTGTTGTACTAGCACATTATTGAGCATAACTATTGTACTCATCGTCTGTTTTAGGTGAAAGAACATGCGACAGTGCCAATTTTTGCAAACGGCGATGTCTTTAGTCTCCAAGATGCAGATCGTATTGTCGAGTACACAAAGACCGATGGTGTCATGGCCGCCCGAGGTCTGCTAGAAAATCCAGGTAAGACCATGCTGTCACCGCTTGACATCCTCGACATTACTCATTCGTCCCATTACCCGTGCCTAGCTCTGTTTGCGGGACACGAGTACACCCCGCTTGAATGTGTAGAAAGATATGTACGTCTCGGTATAGGATACGGATCCACCCATTTTATTTTCCATCATCATTTGATGTACATGCTGGATAAATCCATGAGTAGAGCCGGTACGTGTTTGGCCGCGTGTCATCTTGCCACGTTGACTGTCTGTAACCTGCTTTGGTGTCGTGCAGAGAAGAAGACTTTTAATTGTCTTACTAGTATTCCTGGTATCTTGGACTATCTTGAAACAAATTATGGGCTGGACTTTGCATCACGATAACAAGCATTTTGTTAATAACCGTGTGGCATTCATTTATTTATACTAGCTTCTTTTGTATATAGATCAGCACTTTGCAATATATAGTGAACTACATCCCTTTTACACGAATTGGATTCTAGGCCGCGCCTTTGATGCCAATAAGATCATCAATCGTTTCAGTTGAATGGTTGCATCTTGGCAATGCCCATCTAATTCCAAATGTCCTCATATTGTTGAAAATGTTTCCTCAACTGCTCGGCCTCCCGTCCCATGTCCTCCTGCGTACGTGGGGGACGCTCTTCATTGTCAACGCCTTTGGGCGCTTTGAGTTCCCCCGCCAGTTCCTTTTCTTTGCGATCAATTTCAGGATAAATGTCATCATTATTGGCCCAATCGCCCGTTTTCCGCGGTATAACATGGACATGCACATGTGGTACTGTTTGTCCAGCTTTTGGCCCGTCCTGTAACGTGTTTCGTTAGTCCTGTAGCCAGCAACTAATGACAAACAGCATCTTCCCTCACCTGTAGTGTAATAGTAAGAGATTCTCCACCATATTCCCTTTCTATGACCTTACCAATCGCCTGGGCGCTAAGGAACATGTCAGAGACCTCGTCAGAAGTGAGGTCCGCGAACCGTAGAACAATGCGACGGGGGACTACCAAGACATCTAGGATACATTTCTAGTCAGATATTTACTCTTTGTTCTCCTTTTTAAGGAGACTGCAAAAATGACAATGTCTACGTACGACCGCTAAAGGACAGATGGTAGGTGGTATAAGAGCACACGTCATTAGGGTTTGAACAACACGTTCGTGGTCTTACGGGACAATGGGCTTTAGATTGACGAGTCCTATCGATAGTTTGGAGGTAAAGAATATCTCATTCGGTCGAATTGGCCAAGGCCCAAAGTGAAATCCCTTCATTTTCCAGACGTTTTTTTAAGAGATCTCACCACTTTTGCAGTCAAGAGGCTTTATTTAGTGTAGGACGCGTCCACGTACACGCCGCACCGCCCAAAGACACAAACCCAGGAAAGCTTCCCCCCTCCTTCCCCCATTTTGAACTTTTGGAACACTGCTCGCAAAAGGAATCTTTCTTTTTTTGTTGGTTGGGTTGTTGTCGCAGGCCTTTTGACTACCACCCCAGCTGTGGTGAAAGCAGCTGTTGTCGGTCACTGACAAATTCGTGTTTCGCGAACCAGCCTCTCTGAAATTTGGGAGAGGGCACTAGAGTTGGGTTTGCGATTCTATCGTCGACCGCTCGTGGTAAAAAAGAAAAAACTGACAAGGAGAGCAATAAACTGCGAGTACCTCTATAGCTCATAGTTATCCTTCCAATTGGCGATATCGGCCTTGAACGCTGGTCATGGTTGTCACAAAGGTGAGTCCGCCTTGTTATTTCAGGAACGAGTTTGCACGTAGACGGTTTGTATGTCCTCATGCTTTTGATTACATTACAGGCACACTGCTATTATTGCTTTGACGTTTTGGTTGCCCATTTCGAGGGCCGACGTCCTTGTGAGCCAGAGTTTCAGAACGAGCAATAGTGAGTATGCGGAGAGTGCGGGCTGATGCAAATGATTACGGCGTCATCTCATTGCCCCATATTGATGTTATTTTTCAGTCCTCTGTTCGTCACCTGGAATACAATACAAGAGGACGGATCTCATCGTTTGCGAGGATGCATTGGCAACTTTGATGCTCTTCCCCTTCACTCGGGGTTGAAGGAGTATGCGCTGACGAGCTCGCTCCGCGACCGACGCTTTTCACCTGTAAAGGAACGAGAACTTCCCAATCTCAGCTGTGGCGTATCACTTCTCACCGAATTTGAAGACGGCAAAGACTATTTGGACTGGGAAATTGGAACCCATGGGATATGGATTGAATTCCGTACCGATAGTGGAAGTCGGAGGTCTGCGACGTATTTGCCGGAAGTTGCTGCCGAACAAGGTAAATCTACCTTCTAGGTCCGTTATCGTCGCCACGAAACTCATCCACGTTTTTTAGGATGGACAAAGCTCGAGGCCATCGATTCTCTTCTTCGAAAGGGTGGTCATACTGGAAAGATCACAGATAAACTACGAAAGTCTATCCAGCTGACGCGCTATCAATCTTCGAAAACGGCAGTAACGTACTCGGATTATGTGCAGTGGAAAGGTAGCAAACCGCACAGGGTGGACACAGGGTATAGTGAACAATATGCAAATTGATGGAAAACGACGTGGGTTGCGTTTGTGCATATGTAGAGGGAATTGAAAGAGGTGCGTTCTCTCCTGGGGAGAATTTTTTTAGATGATAGGATCGTGCAGCAGCAGCAGCAGAATACTTTTGGGATGCTTTGATTTGTTGGGATTGGGATGTCAGTGCAGTTCTGTGGATCTATTAACTGTGCTGCCAAGTGTGTTGCATTGCATTTGCTGCTCTGCGGAGAATTTTTGAAATTGCTACCTACTTTTGTGTGTGTGTCGCTAAACGAAAGCGTAGAATGGAAAGGGAAAAATTGCAACCTATTGCTTTCACTTTTAGAATATACAATTCAGCACCCTCTCCCCGTCTGTATCTCAATCTGATGACTTCTGTTCAGCAACGGATAAACAGTATATTTACAAAGCCCGAATTGAATTCACTTTAATCCCCACACTACGCATCTTTGATCGTCTCCTTCATCCCTTCTTCTTCTTCTTTTTCAAAGCTTGTTGTCGCCAATACTCTGCTCGATATTTCTCATATCCATCCTGAAATTCGGGTGGTACCTTTTGGAGGAACGAGATGCCCCCTTTCCGGTCCTTGTTGAACTCCATATTAAAAGGTCGAAGAGCGCTATTGCATCTCTGAATGTATCTGACAAACCGCCAGTATTAAAACGACGTTAGGAACAAGGCAATGAAGCAATCCATGGCTCTTACCGAGTCGAGTACAGCATGGTCGTCCGGAGGGTGCCCGTTGTAACGAAAATGGTTATGGCCGATACCAAAACAGTGACGCCGAAAACGTGCCATGAGTTTGGTATAGATATGCCCTGCTCAAAAGGGCGTCAGTGCAAGCGATAGTGCATTGTCTTGACTGGTCAACATCTACCTGTTCGTCCACCCGCTTATTTGTAAAGATCTGATACAAGCACCACAAGAGAATAATGAAGAGGATAGTGAAGCCCACTTGTGAGATATTCAAATTAGATTCTCGCCATGCGTTAGAATAAGGCTTCATTGATGTATTTACCGCCCCAATATGTCTCTGATCGACGCCTTCGGTACATATTGTATCGCAATCGCTCCTCAAATCTTGCCAGATCTGCAACGGCTCGGGAATTACTTTCTGCTTCTCACAGCGGCCTCGCAGATATGACCATGAAGTCCAAAAGTAGCCCACCTTTGAAAGCATCCTCTTTGGCATGAAACTTCTTTTCAAAGGCAGACCGCGGTATGTTCATGGACGGAACAGTGTCCACATTGGCAACGGGCGAGTCAATCTCTGTGGTTGATGCCACAGCAGAAGGCACATGGTCCCGCCCCAGCGTTACCGAGTCTTCCGACATTGCTATAATAGCACCATTTCGAGTAACAACCATTGTTAATTGCGGTTATTTGGGGAAATCGTGTTCCAAAGCGATCAGTTGAAGTTTGGTCGCGCTGAGGCTCGTGACTTGGTGAGTCATCACTCAGCTCCAGCTGCTGATTGACCTTTTAAGCGTGATGCTTTCTCTGGGCCATTAACGCTTCACACAGCCAGCGCTTATCGATGGAACAACCCCGGCGTTCGTCTTTGCATAAACCAGCCCAAGATCTGCATTCTGCGTCTAGACCGACTACTCTTTCACCGCGCTTCTCCCGTCGCGGCACCTCGTCAGCGCAACTTTCAAAAGGCAATTTGCAGGACGTTCCGACGTCCTCTGAACCTCGCCCTCAAATCGAACTGCGTGCGGACTCACTGAAAGAATCTGTAGCGCTGCACTGTAGGTTTGCCCTTCAAGGGGCAAAGGATGCATTTGCTTGGCCAGCGTCGCTTATCTCTATCTATGGGTAAGATACCCAAATGTTTTGTGCTGTTCCAAAGAAATACCCTTCTTAAAGAGTTTTGTTAGGTCCAAGACGATACAGATCAACACCTTCAAATGCTTCCTATTAAATGGACTTATCTTTCTTGGTTCCATTTTCCTCTTTGATTACGCCATCCTACCTATATCCCACCGTCTTTGGGCCCACCGAGGCCGCGCCGATCAAAATGCCAAAAGTACGGAAATGCTAGATACGCTTTTTAGCATGACCTATTATGTAAGTTATCAAGCCGAACCTTTCTTGTCCGTACCTGCTTGATCTCAGATATTTTACCGTAGGTGCTTTGGGTGTATCCAATGTACCTGATCAGCTTCATGTTGAATTCCGTGTGGTATCAGCGCATTGCTGACCGCTCTTACCGAGTGCAAGTGGGAAAACCTGTATCCACTCAGTTCACATACGAAAGGTATCTTTGTATTCCTAATCTGCAATTACCCATTGGCCATTCGTCAACCTTGCGCTTTCCATATAGACTCTTGACAACCATTACAGACGAAGCCTATCGAGGTCTACTTCTTCTCAACTACCTAATCCAGTCGATTGTCATCTACATGATACCATACGCCGGGCCACCCGCGTGCTTTATATGTTTCTGCTGGATAGCGTCCTTTTACTCATTTGAATATAAATGGGCCAACAAAGGATGGTCGCTTAAACAGCGAATTGACCACTTTGAAGAGCATTGGGCGTATTTCATCGGATTCGGTGAGTTTCGTTTACCTTTGCACTCAGCTACGGTCTATTTCCTGACTGGCACCAAAGGATTTCCCTGCACCCTCTTTACATTCTTCTTCCCTCAATTCATAAGTCAAGGTCTTTTTGCATTACTCTTTCCCATGGTACGACGCTGTTTGATGTCTCTGAGAACATGGGCGTACTTATATTTGCTTCCTCCTAGTATATAATCATGTCCAACGGGGCCAAACCACTTCCACGGCCAAACGAGATCGTTACGACAAAATACGTACCGCGACGTTTACCGATATTCAAGTTTGCTATAGGAGCTAATGCATTTTGTATCAACCGTTTACTGAAACGTCGTAAAGTGCCTACCCGGCCAAGAGTTGTAAATAGAGACTAGCGCAGGTTATATGCTATCTTATATTCCTTCTCATGATTGCAATGGCGTTTTAACGGATTTCTTTTTGTCCATGTGCTTCTCGATTTAAATTAATGGTGAGCAGTTACCAAGTTCATGAGATGAAAGTGTGGCATGTCATTGGAGAATCATTGTATTCATCTATTAGACTAGTGTGTTTTTACAGTTGACAAGCACGCCCTCACTTCATTTATCCTTCTTACTGTCCTCCTTCAACGTTACCGTCCGGTTAAGGACGAATTTCCCATGTTTCACATCGGAATTGGGATCCACACAAAAGTAGCCCGTTCGCACAGCCTGGAACTTATCCTCAACCTTGAATGTGTTGATGCCGACCTCAGAGAACGCTTCGGGGATGGTGACAAGCGAGGTCGGATTCAGGTCGCTCAACCACCCTCCAGGAACATCTTTCTCGCTTTGCGGGTTCTCGTGTAAAAACAAGTTTGAATATAGTCGAACTTCTACTTTCACGGGTGACTGGTGCTTTGCGGATTCTGCGACCCAGTGGATGTATGTCTTTGGCTTTTTTGAAACCTCCGGTCCATTTTCGTAGCGCGCCTTTACTTCAATCACATTTCCGCTACCGTCCTTCACCACCTCGGTTGCTGTAATCGGATGCCGGACGTTGAGAAGACCAACGGTCTTGCCAGGAGCCAATCGGTAAAAGTTCGGGTCATCCTGCTCTTTGAAATCTGAGCGATCAATGTATACCGTGCGTGTGAACGGAACAGTGTGGGACCCCATAGAGTCGTCTCGTGGCTTGTTTGGTACCGTCACTTCCTCCTCATATCCCTCTGGTAAGTTGGTCAGAGTAATCTTCAAGGGCTCGAGGATCAACATCAGACGTGGTGCGACATCGTTGAGGTGATCGCGAACAATATTTTCCAAACGTTCGGGGTGGATTACAGTGTTGGCTGTCGTGACTCCCAAGTCCCGAACGAACGCGTTAATAGCTTCCGGAGTGAAACCACGTCGTCGAATAGCGGCCATTGTATAGAGTCGGGGGTCGTCCCAACCAGAGACAAGTTTGTCTTCCACCAACTTTTTCAGTTTCCGTTTCGACATGACCGTGTAGGCTAGATTCAGTCGACCATATTCCCACTGAACAGGCTTGTAAATTTCCAATGCATCCACGAGCCAATAGTATGACTCACGAGATAGTGTGAATTCGGTGGTACAGAGGGAATGCGTGATGTCCTCAAAAGAGTCGCATAGGCAGTGGGTGAAGTCATACGTAGGATAGATGCACCACTGATCCCCAGTTCGATGGTGGGGTGCTTTTAGCACACGGTACGCAACCAAGTCCCAGAACTGCGGGTTTGGGTTCTCCAAGTCCATCTTCATGCGAAGGATGGCTTCTCCTTCCTGATACTCTCCATCCTTCATCTTTTGGAACTCAGCCAGGGATTCCTCGATCGGTCGGTTTCTGTGAATACACGCTCGCCGAGGTCCTTTCGTATCACCCCCTCTATCCGCATATATCTGCTCACCAGTACAATGGCACACGTAACCCTTATCCCTCTTGATCAACTCAACGGCCAACTCGTACAAGCGCTGGAAGTGGTCCGACGAATAAGTAATTGCGGTCGGCTCAAATCCTAGCCATCTTACGGTATCAAGAATTGAGGTGAAGTAAATTTCTTCCTCGGCTTCCGGATTGGTGTCATCGTATCGCAGATACGTGATACCCTTATAAGCAGCAGCGTACCCAAAGTTGACATTGATAGCTTTTGCGTGACCAATGTGCAAGAATCCGTTTGGTTCAGGTGGAAAACGCGTAACCACTTTGCCTCCGGTACGTGCGAGATGCTCCTTCATGAGCTCTGGTTTGATCTGGGGATTCTCTCCTGGCTTATGCAGCCGCGCCAATTCACCCTCAAATATGAATCGTGTGCTTTTTGCTGTTTCAGCTACCCGGTTGCCACTCGAGGGAGGAGCGTCCTTTGTGGGAACTTTTGACGCATTTGCCACTTTCTCCTGCTTTTTCTATGGTGGAATGCCAAGAGACTGATGGGCATCTCGCTACCACACTAATAAACAGCACTGACACATCGGGCTTACCTTGGCCTTTGGGTTGTCGCGCTCGTCTTTCGGTCCAAGAACCTCCAGCATCTGCTTGTCCAATTCTTCCTTTACAGCTAACGAATTCGCCCAGCGTAACCGCGTTCGAAGTTCACCAAGAAGCTGGCCAAGCATCTGATAGCGTTTCTCGATCAAATCCTCTTTTCGCGAGTCAATAACATTTGACACCGTCGCTATGATCTCTTCCTGAGTGACCACCACACCTGCCGAAAAATCCTTGAGAGGTCGGTCGACCATTCCGTGAGGGTAACTCTGCATCTCACTCACCAACACCGCATTCTTCGTCAAACTTTGAATCATCAAGGGACTGCCCAGCTTTTTCGGCATACTTGATTGCCGCCGATATCTGATCGTTTGAAGTGAGTCTGCCAGTTTTGATCGCCTTCGCTATGTATGGCAAGTGGGGACGAGCTTTCGGCGTTATCGTCGATGCCAGCGTATAAAACAGGGCTCCTATCGTCCGTTCCACTCCATCAGAAGCGCCCGCTTCCCTAATGACTTCTTCCAAATTGGCCGACAGCTTCTTGTTAGCGGCAGTCTCCTTCGCCTTTGTCTCTGATAGACCGATCTTCTGGAATGTTTCCGCAAGCCCGTCCATTTTCCCTATATACGCAGCTAAAGGGATATCACCACCTAAATTAGTGGGTTTGTAGAGATCGTGAAGCAATATCTTTTTATTAGTTTTTTTAATACCTGCAGTTGCTGTTTTAATGGGATCTTAGACCAGTTATCGCGGCGCGCACCAGGACACTTCCCCACCTCTCGATAACACAGAAGAACCTATGGTTCGAATCAGGGGTGAGTCATTCAAGGGCATTGGACAGCAAGGTGAACTTTGCACGTTGCGATCTGCGACACATCTGCCGAGCTTTTTGACCGTTGAAATTAGTAGGTTCCTGACAGCAAGACCCTCATAAGCTGGAGACCGTACACGAAGCGCCCGCTTGGTCGGGCTAGTTCAAACAGCGCAACATGTCGCGGCCGTCGTTCACTCCATTCAAAGTCGTGACCTTGGCTCAAGATCTCAGTTTGGATGAAGTAACAACTCCACTGCAGCGTTCCTCAATATTCGGGCGAGCTGGTCTGGTGGGACATGGGGGAGCTGGTGCGAGTAGTCCCTCCACACCGGGTTCACCCAACGCCAACAAAGCCACGATAGTTTCCTTGGAGCTATGCGGTATGTGGGCACTGTCATGATTCCCCACGTTCGTGATGGGCTCGCTCAACTGGAAAGGGAACTAATCAAGAGGCAATTAATGGTCATTTAGATTCACATCTATATGTGGGCACTTCAGACGGCCACATTTTCCATTATACATTGGAACGCGAAAGTGCCGCTGAAGTGGATGTAAGTCGGACAAACTCTTATATGCTCAGCCTACCCTTTATTTTTGTTGCTGATTCTTTGATGTCTGTTCCCAAGGCGCCTCTGAAAAGCCATCTAAACGTGAAAAAGTTTTTGGGTTTTGGGCGAAGACATGTGGATGCCATCATAGCCGTACCAACGGAGTCCAAGCTCGTCGTTTTATGCGGTAAATCTCGCAAGCATTATCCGTAAATATATGGGTCCCCTTGAAGGTTGAACATCTCCTTTTGCTTGGTAGATGCTTCTGCAAACTTCTTCGAATTGGACACGCTGAGTCAAGTGCCTGCACTGGTGGCTCAACCTGTGAAGGCGATCACATGTTTCTGTGCGGATAGATATACACAATCACCTATGCCCATGTCTTTTGCCAAGCGACGGACGCTAGTGTCTGGGCATCTTGGAGACATGTTGGAACTCGAAAAGGTAGATGACATGAGGAAGTTGATGACGCCGGGATAGATGCTGAAATGGAATATAAAGGAAATCTCGCTTCCGGACGGTGCCATTATGATGGTGCGATATGAGTCCCGAATTTGTGCGGCCGACCAGCACCAATATAAACTTATCAATATCGACAACGGGTTAACCATTCCTCTTTTTCCTTATGACCGTACCCTCCAAAAACCGCTTGCAATTGTTGTTAGTAATGGCGAGTATCTACTTGCAACAGCCACTCCCCAGGGGCTCGGATTGGGACTTTTCATATCTCCTAATGGAGAACCAATACGAGGTGTGTGGACGTCCGCGGTACATACTTATGTGCTTTCTCTTTACCGCTAACAAATGGAAACGCGACTATAACAGGAACCCTAGAATGGCCCGCAATTCCGAAATCCCTAGGTAATTACATTTATACCGGGTACCTCTTGGGCCAGTACCCCTCATTGACTTCTGACAATACTCTGATCAGCATTCCACTTCCCATACGTTGCCGCCCTTCTGCATAACAACTGTATTGAAATTCACAATATCTTCAACCAAAAAAGGGTACAGACTATTACCCTCCCCGCTTCAAGCGAGCCGAAGTTTCTCGTTGAAGCGACGTTCGAAATGGAGCTACCTATGGACAAATCCGCCTCAAATGGGAGTATCAGACTGCTGGTCGGTTGCAAAGAAACTGTCTTGGCCCTTCGGATGGATTGTCTAGAGCGACAAGTGGATGACCTGCTTGAATTGCGAAGTGTGGAAGCTGCCGTGCAATTAGCGGAGACAATGATGCAAGGACAGCAACATGAAAGTACTGACGCACAGGTACTGAGTACAAGAGTTACATCCCCATATGTTCGTCATCGATGTAGTGACTGTTAAAGTTCACAGAGACTGAAACTCTCATCACTCTACCAACGCGCTGGTTTAATCTACTTCAAAGATACACTCTTTGAGGAGGCATTTGAGTTGTTTACAAAGGGAGAAATAGAATCTGAACGACTTCTCAAGCTTTTTCCGGATGTGGCCGGCTCTCCTTCAGGCTCGATTCCTGAAGTAGATGATGCAACTTCAGAATGGGTAAGCCAACAAGGGACAATTGATGAGATTGGTATGCCGCTATGTTATGAATACCAACGGCGACATTCACCTGGATCTTACTGCTTTTTTTTCAGTCAGTGCAAGTCTGCAAAGAGATTATCCGGATGCTGATCCCGAAACGTTAGGGTCGTTCAGAGACGCCTTAGTCGGCAATGCAAAGGTGTGGTAGAATTCGATCCAAATTGGTCCGTTTGAGTGACCTTCTAATATTGATAACCGCGTTAGGAAATGCTGGGCAAGTACCTTCGCCACGTCCGGGAGACGGCACGGGAAGGGGATAAGCAGAAGGTACGAAGCATGACGGTCTTCGGCTGAAGGTCCTCTGTGCCAACTAACCTGGGTGATCAGACCCTCGATACAGCCTTATTGAAGCTTTACGTAGAGACAGATCGCAAGAGATTGTATCAACTTTTATCATCAGAAAATTGTTGCGATGTGCAAGATGCAGCGAAGGTTTTAGGAGAGAAAGAAGTAAGCTGCCCTTTTCGCCCCAAGTCCGCGTTTCAGATACGCTAACAGCTCACTTGATTCCCATTAGCGACATTATGCTCTTAGTCTACTGTATGAGCAGAAGGGAATGGTGGAAGATGCTTTTGCTCTGTGGCTACGGTAATATGGTTTTGCACACTCACCAAGCTCAACTGCTTGGCAAACACCGTAATGCCAGATGACCGAGATGTTAACTCGCTCCTTTTTTTTTGCAGAATGGCTTCGAATGAAGTGACAGACGAAGACTTTCCGGGGTTGCCGCTTCTCGTCAACCATTTGACGAAATCATCTAATAAGGAGCTGATCTTGAAATATTCGAAGCGTGTCCTTGAGCTGGATCCGCAATTAGCAGCACAGGTGACTATGGCTATGTTGATTTTCTGCAGTCATAGACGTGCGTAACACCCTTGAGGAAAGATTTTCACCACCCGCACAGACGAGCTCTTTTCAGCCGAAGAGATATTAGAGCAACTGAGATCCGACAATGCGGAAGCGTACCGTAATGTGCTAGAGTTCATGATCACGAATCGTGGAGATACAGATGAGCAACGCCATACCTCGCTTGCGATGACATATATAGAGCAAGTTGAGGCATGCGCGATGAATGACAGTTTGGAGGAACTGGGTGGGTTGATGCGTAAGGGACAACTTCCCAATTGATGACTGAAAATGACCAAGCATCTTAATGGTTCATCAGAAAACGAATACCGTGCGCATGATCCTCGTCCGTCGTTCAACGCTTTCTTGGAACGGCGTACCGATAATCTGAGCAGGACATACAGCAAGCTATTAACCTTTCTTACATCATCCCGCTATTATTCGCCATCTGCCGTGGCCACTAAACTAAACACATACCCCGGTCTACACGCCGCAAATGCCACTGTTCTCGCACAGGTATGTCCGTATTCCGTATTTTCAATTCGGCACCTGCTTTTTTCATGCTCATTCCCGAACACGGATAGACGAACAAGCACGAAGAAGCTCTTCGTATTCTAGTGCTCAACCTTAACGACCATGCTACCGCGGAACAGTATTGCCTTACAAAGTCTGCAGAGACAACAACGAGCGTCGATTCCCGACAAGCCCCTCAGCAGCTGGCGGGAGCTGCCACAACTACCAAAAAGGACGATTCCTTACGACGACATCTTTTGTTTACCTTACTACAATTATATTTAGAATCTGGTGAAAGGTACTACCTTTGACTTTGGCCTTGGTTTATTGGCAAGACTTCTGAGATATGAACAACTCACAGAGGAGGCATGATAAAATATGCGGTGCAACTGCTCAACAGGCACTCCCTAGATTTTGATGTTATCAAAGTAAATGCTTATCGTACCAATGTTTTCAGTGTGGATGGCTAGCTAACGCAGTCCTTTCTATGAAGGTGTTGGATATAATACCTAATCACTGGTCTCTTGATATGCTGAGCGGGTTTTTGACCTCCTCCATGCGAAGAAGTTTGCACAGTCATCGGGAATCGCATATTGTACGAGCTTTGTCAAGAGGGGACCATTTCAAGGTGTGCGACTTTCAGTCTCGCGGTGGAAAGGAATTTTTCGTTCTAACAGGTAGTTTTTCCCATTAGGTCCACACTAAGCTAATTGAGGCTTCACAACTCCTTCCGCCTGTATATATCCCTGTGGATGGGGTCCGATGTGTTGTTTGTGGCAAGGTGGTGAGCGACCCGACGGTCTTTGCACGACTACCCGCGGGGGGCATTGTGCATCTGCATTGCAATGGTACACTGTAACAAATGGTTCATTGATATTTGTAAGAGCATGATACTGCCAGTTTGCGGCCACCGGCGACGAGAGCAATACTATGCATCAGTCTATAGGTGTACTATGATCCTCTGCTGCAACTCAAATGTCTGCCATCGAGACAGGCAGATATTAACCCGGGTCAACAGGCCTTCCCAGTACAGCTCACCAAAGACGTCTTCACCGGTAACCTGTACGAAAATTGGTACTTCATAAGCTATCTAAAGTTTGGCAAGCCAAATTCTGATGAAGTGAGAGAATTGTGACCGCCGCGATTCGAAGAGATGGCCCTCGCCATTCGCTGTGCACGTATGCACAAGCCGTGGTCAAGCAGTCCAGCGAGATCTCCTTTCTCAGCATACTTTTAGGATTCAGGATAGGGTTTTCCACATGAACCACACCGCTATTAGAGCCATCCAGATCCACCAAAGTCGAACAATAAAAAGTCTCCACAATGCCCCAGGAAGACCCTCCAAGTCCGCAATAATCACCAAGTTCTTTGCGAATACAAGTTGCGCCTCGTCCAAGATCCGCTGTGTAACATCTTCACTCAATTCCAAAGCATCAAACCTCTGATGATATGCGCGTTTGAGCTCAAAAATCGGGTTGGAAAAGGTAAAGATAGAGAGGCCCTCCGATCCTCCGCTGCACGAAGAAGGAGCGAAGCCTAATTTTTTGGCAAGTTTGCGGCGAACAAGTTGGCCACCGGCAAAAAGGCCCAAGTACCTACAAAACAGGCATTGTAAGTATTATGCCTGTTCGGCGAGACGGGAAGGCGGCAGACTGACATCGTATAGAGATACGCCAATAACACAACTGGTTCTTTTTCAGACAGCTCCTTGACGTGTGCCTGAACAAGTGTTAACACTGCCAATGCCAAGTCGACAGAAATGTTTAATCCCGTACCTTGTACTTCTTCATCGGACCTGATTCTTTCCAATCTCTCCAGTCAGGTCCGCACCAGTACCTGGCATCCTCTCGAAACGCTTCCTCTCTAAAAATCTCCCTCATAGCGACCTGCTTCAACAGCAGCCCAGCCTCATCTCCAGCCTCGATATGCCGAGTCACTTCATCCTCGACAGTTTTGTAGAGCTCATAGAACTGGCGTACGAGGCGTGCGTAAAGTTGGTGATCGAGGAGACAAATTAGGAGCTTGATGTTGCTGATCCAGTGATTTTGGCTGTGAACTTTTCTGGTGTGAAGGTTAATACGGTCGGACAGGGAGAGGGATCTTTGGTTGGACATTGTTTCTTAACGGGACAAGTTCTGGCAGAGAGGTCGTGGGCATTGTAGGCGTCACGTGGGTGTAGGTTGCATTTGGGAATGGCCCGCGGGATCGTTGGCGGATGAGTACCCAAGTCTTTCATCGCAACCTCTTGAAAGACTGCTATCTTTGTCAATGGTTCACTAAAGGGCAAATCCACATTTTGAGACAGTCAGAAATTCCTAACGATGCCTGGGACGTGGGAGCTTGTCTGAGACATGTGTGCTTTGACCGGTATGTCCACCCAGGATGGAATAAAATGGTGCAGCGCAAAGGCAATTTATAGAGATAAAGCTAGACTACATATAGGGAATGTTTAATCGAAAAAGGATAATTCCCTTTCTTCCCCGCCCTCCCTCAACCCGGCGGGTATCATTGGGGGCCCTTTCGGGCGCGCAGCTGCTCCGTCCACACGCAGATTCTGTCAGTCGGGTACGTCGCTCATCAAAGCCCTCCCTCAGCACAAGCTTCACTGGGACCCACACGAAGGGGCGTCACTTGCTCCTACCGCCGCAAGCAATCAGTCTCTGACGACCTGCTCCGGGATTCGAACCCGCTCTGTTAAGGTGCACGTCGGCGCCTTAACCCCTGGGCTACCTTGCCCAGGTAAAGAGTTATGAACTCGTGTGTATTTTAAGGGGGCCGTCCCCTACTGCGCGTGGAAGGTGGGCGATGGGCGTGGAACGCGACAGCGACGCGCTCGGACAAGACAGTCAGTCCACGTGATTTTGATTATGCAATGCTCCTTTTGGTTATATTGCTCAGAAGTCCAGCTATTGCTTCTTCAGTGCATCTGTGCATCTGCGTTCATGTCTGCGGGCAAGTTCTTGGACAGTACTTGTAATCAATGCAATTTAGATGAGCGGACAGCGCGCAGCATGACCTACCCCCAGACCGATTGACGCTGGTGGTGATCGAGCAGCAAAGGTTCCTACAGAGTCGTCAGGTTGCTGGTCAGGTGGAGAGGATACTTGGTGGTGGTGCAGAAAAGGCTTTGGCAGGTGAAAGTTGCGGTCGCACCCTTCTTCTTGTAAGGACGTGCAGTTCTTTGCTGTCACTACGAAGCCTTGATTCTCGAGTTTATAAACATCATCACGTGTCCCGGCGACGGTTACCCACGTGAGAAGGCCAACTAGCAGATGCTTTTGGCAACGCTGAGCGTCGATCTACGTCTCCTTGTCTACTAGCCCGGTCGTGAAATATGTGGGAAAAAGCATGGGAGCCATAGAAGGATCGGACACCTTGTTGGCTCTATCGGCCTTTTTCCTAAGTAAGTTTTCCGTTCATGTCTTGTGATTGTGCAGAGTATAAGAGCTCTTCTTAACTTGTTTTCTGCGTAGTCGTTTTCATTCCTCTCACCAGCCAAGTCTTCGTTTTCCTACCATGGTTACGCCCAGTCACAGTCAATTCTGGTCTTGTTCTGTTTGTATTCAACGGCTGTGTGGGAATGCTCATTTTGAACTACTACTTGTGTGTCACGACTGGTGAGGTCATATTTGACATAACGTCAATAACAGCAATCACCTAACTTTCCGTAGATCCCGGTCGAGTAGCCCCTGGGTGGGAACCGGAAGGCAGGTTTAAGCGACCTTGACCTCGGATTACGACAGACAACTAATGGGTTCCGCAACTTAGGACTCGGGCAATTTGGAGAACTCGAGGCTACTTCGCTGACGAACGGAGGCGAGACGATCACAGGCTTACCCCGATATTGCAGAATCTGTAACGGCTTTAAGCCTCCTCGAACTCATCACTGCAAAAGATGTGGGCGGTGCATTTTACGCATGGATCATCATTGTTAGTTCGTCATGATGTCGCTCGTCCTTGCAAACATGCTCATTGACTAAAGACATTTTATGACAGGCCAGTGGCTCAGTAAGTAGTTTCACCCACTATCCGCTATCGAGACTCTGGTGCCAATCGCTCTCCCATTAGATAACTGCATTGGTCACCATAATCACGGCCATTTTATCAGATTCCTTATCTTTACGGTATTGTCTTGTGGGATGTGCATGGTCATGATCTTTGCCCGCCTGCTTGACCTCGTAAGAGAAGCTTTTAAAGAGGGGACGAAGCCAGAGCCTCTCGGGCTTGTTCCTGTACGTAGTTTGGCGGCGTGGCTCATTCAGGCATTAGCGTAACATGAGTCTTTAGGTTTTGTTTATCGCGGTCAACATGTGCCTGTTGGTTCCGCTCACTAGTATCTTAGCGATGCTTCTTTCACAGCAAGTACGGTATTAGCCAGTCATCTGCATCTCTGAATTTCAGTTTCTCACAACCTTCTGCATCTAGTTGCGGAACATGTACAGAAATCTTACAACTATAGAATACTTGGAGAAAATCGACGCATCCTTCGCGTACGATGAAAGTTTTGCAGCTGACCCGTACGATCTTGGGTGCCTGGAAAATACTGCCGTCATTTTAGGCGACAGTCCTATGTTGTGGCTGATACCGCAGCGGATGAAAGGTGATGGTCACGTTTTCATTTGCAAAGGAGATATTGAAGGGTTTGCGAGCGACCACAAACGGCCTTGGGAGTAGACGGGGAGCATTGATTCAAGGATGTGCGGAATTCTGTCGCTTAGTCTCGCGGACGGTTACGTGAGCGTCGGTTGTGCCTGTTGTGGACCATGATCGCACGTCCCCAACCGAAAAGTAAACACACCTCACCAGCGTTCTGGCGATTAGAGAGACGTCTGCGCGCACTCACACACACATATGTGTGTCCATGGGGCCAACGTACTTGAGTACAGTGCGAGACTGCCATCGCCGATAGTTGTCCGTTTTCACCTCGATATCTCGTCAAACGTCAATTGACGCACGGGACGACCGTTACAAATGCTCTATGTCTTTGGTGAAACCTAAGAAGCACTTGTCGTTTCGCCATCTTAATCGATACGGACCATAAACAGGGCACCCGATATTGGGTTAGGGTAACCGTTCAGTATAATCCGACCAGGTTGATTGAATTCTGTGGAATGTGGATATACGCCACACGGCCAACTAGATCATCTACATTAGAAATCGTAACTCTAATTATCTCCCCGAATGATGAAATGTCTATACAGTATCGATGGTAGATAATAAAATCGGACTACCGCTACGAAAGTTAGGTTCAGTTCCTTTCGGTGGCGTTGGAAGAGAAGAATCGGCGTTTTCCTTTTGCCATTGCATTCCCCTTGGAGGACTTAGGGATGAAGATTTCTTTGGTGGTGTCCTTAGGGATATTGGAATGCGGCTGTTCGTGGTCCCATGTCTTGGGGCTGAGCTTTCTATCGGAATGGTAAATTCATCACCTGAAGCCTGGTGTTGAGACAGATGGAAAGTCGAAAACGATGTAACAAGCGAATATTTCATCACCTTGTCTGAGTTTGCTGTCGAATTATGCAGTACTGGTTAAACAAACATTGGTAAATTCTCAGGAGTGAGAGGCACCTCACCTGCGTAAGGAAGGCAACGCATAGCTTTTGATCGGGGTTCTTCGCCTCGTTCTTCCTGCTGAAGTGAATGAAATTAGAAGTGCCGATAGATATGTTCTGTCAGTAACCTACAAATCATACTCATGTTTTCCTCGGTTGTACATGTTATCGTGTCTGCCCATGTTTGGCCAGTGCCATCGGTATCCAGAAACCCTGCCATTGTCTCTGTTTCCCCATTTTGACGTTGTTTTTCAAATGCAGACACCGATGCTTGTTTGGACGTTTTCGTCTGGTGTCCGCCGCCATCTGACTTATCTTGTGTCGTTATGCCTAAGCTAGACGCCTTTATTGTCTTGGTTACCCTAGTAGTCTTTGCGGCCCCTTTCCGGAATGGTTCCGCATTTTCTTCTTGCAATTCATTTTGTATAGGTTGGATAACACGCGATGAGGCTGTTTTACTGGTCCTTTGTCGCTCGCGCAATTTAAATGTCCCCGGATTCCTGAGGTATGACTTGGGATTACATTCTACCTACTTTCGGCGACGGTGGATATCGGTGCTTTACCTCGCAGAATATTGTGATCCCTGCGTGCCTTCGAAAAACGGGAAGGACTCCTCCGCGTCGACCTCAGCTATAGGCGATAAATTTCCAAAGTTCGATCGGGACCTTCTGCTGGGTGCTGTCAGTTCCTTTAATTTCACGAGCAATTCAAGATTAACGAATATGAAAGACCTAATTCTCGGTCGAATTCCTTCCTCGTCCGGCACTCTTTCGGTTGGAATTTGCATAAGATCATCGTTTGACGGCAATTTGTTCTGCATATGGCATAGACGCCTGATGAGCGTGATGCGGAACCTCAGGAGTCACCAATATTTGATACCACATACATGCAGGTAATGGTCGATCGTAGAATCCTGTTTTTCATTTAAATGCTCAGGTGAAAATGCGAAAGAGTCCGCTTCATATGGCTCACTTTAGAACGCTGAGAGACGCGGATTTTTTGTCAAGATCGCATACCAATTTCGCCTACTGTGGAAGCTTGCAGCATTCTTTTCAGCCCGGGGACAACCTTTTCTTCAAAGAGTAGAGCTTTAACCGAGATAAGGTCCAGGAAGGATTCCAAACTCTCCAGTGCCATTTGAATAAATAACTATACGAGTAATCAGAAGTCAAACGGTTGCTTGTATCCAGACCACTATCCAGCGGTGGATCGATACCTGCAGGTTTTCGAATTTCTCGGGGCTGGACTGTCGTTGTAATTGCACATTAAGCTGAACCAATCTTTCGTTTTCGGATGTCAATCGTGCGACTTCCGCATGCAAATCGAAGATCTTGCCCTATGTGGCATTAAGAAATTGATGGTGGTCTATACACTGTATCTCACGGAATCACATACAGCTAGCTCCGAACGTTGAAGCTCAAGCTCGCGCAGCTGGGCTGCATAGCGAGCATTAACTCTAGACTATACTCTGAGAACATATCTATGTGCACACGGCGAAGTTTCGCACATACCTTATGATTTCATAATTCTGCCGTTTAAATCTTCTTCGTACTGCACAGAGAAACGAGGGTTAGGATTGTGCAGGATTATATAGAGACGTTAGGCAATCTTACGTTGCATAATTTCATCATCCGCATCATGTTTGGAGATATCTTGTGGTTTCGTCACCCCCTTCTTCAACTCGTGTGCCATTCTATTGTCAGCCCCTTGCTTTGTTATGACATCGTGAGTATCCTCCTCCTCAGCTGAAAGTCCAGTAATGCACTCATGCACAAACCTTGGATCCGCGGCCACTTGCTTGGGCGAGCATCTTCGTTCAAGACGAGTTCGTGTGCAGATGCTTTCTCCCACGTTAACACTGAAAGTGATCGGCGCTTATGGAAGCAAGGGCTGTGCCTCACATTAAGCCTAAAATAGCTGAATGACAAGGGCACAGTCATATCGCGACGTTATCCCCATCTCCCCAGACCTACAAACCTTTTTGCCATCCCTACGATTCCCCACCTTCATTTACAACGTCCGGTCATTGACCCGAGAGCAGCAGCACACGGCCATTGGGAGCTTACCGCGCGTAGCGTCTAGAGCATACTCTACTTGTATATGTCTTTTAGGTGGAAGGTGACATTTCTTAGGACCACCGTTCGAGCACGACCAGACCCACCTACATTTCGGGTCTTTGCCCGCAAGCGCTTTCTTACAACCATGTCGCTTTCGGAAGATAAAAGCTATGAGGTAAATGAAGGCTTCTTGCTTGAAGAATTATGCCCTAGTCGCTGAAAAGAAACCATAGGCCGCTGTGTCAACGCTCAATAACCTGCAAACCAACGCACGACTGCTGGAGGTCTTACGAAAGTCAGGGAATAGTATGAATTACAGAAGTATACCAGAAATGAGACGATTTGTGGAGCGTATTGGCTACAAGGTCAGCATTTTTACACGCGCTTTACAGCGGACAAGAACGCGGACATTTGATGGTTGTCAACGTAGGTTCACGAGTTCAACAAGCTTAACGCTATACACGTTGCGGGAACGAAGGGCAAAGGATCGACATCGGCCATATGCGATGCCATTCTACGCAACGTACAAATCACCGAGAATAATATTACAAGACCACTGAAAACTGGTTGGGCTAGCCTGCTGACTTGGAGGAAAGAACAAAGTTGGTTATTAATCCCTTCGTGGCTCTCAGGCTTGTTTACATCGCCGCACTTGATTGAAGTCCGGGAGCGCATACGGATCAACGGCAAACCAATAGAAAAGCATCTATTTGCCAAATATTTCTTTGAAGTATGGGACGCCTTAGAAAAGACAAAGGTGTGTAGGTTGTGGTGATTGATGGAGTTGCCAGTTGTGCTGTCCCTCTGAACAAGACATCATGTTGTAGCCAGAGAGTGCGGATGAACCAGACAAGCCTCAATATTTTCGCTATCTTACATTAATGGCTTTCCATACGTTCATGCGTGAAGGGGTAAGTAACAGAGGATGCTTATGGGTATAGCGGTTCGTCATATACCTTGGAGAATTAAAACCTTTAAAATAATGCTAGGTCGACGTGGTACTTTTGGAAGTCGGAATGGGTGGGCAATATGATGCTACCAGTGTGATCGAGAAGCCGACAGTTTGCGGTATCACATCACTTGGATTTGACCACATGCCATTATTGGGCAAAACCTTGCCAGAGATAGCCTGGCACAAGGCGGGCATAATGAAGGTACCGCGTGAAGACTACGTTGCGGTCTGGAACGTTGAGCATAATCTTCAAGTAGCCAGGTGTGCCTGCATTCTCGGTTCCGCAGGCGGAAGAAGCCATGCCTGTGCTTCGTGAACGTGCGAAGGAGCTTAACGTGAGCGTTATTTTGCATTCACTTTGACGTCACGCAGAAGGCGCTTACTGCGTTGAATAGGCATCATCACTAGTGGAAATCAGCGCTACCGAAATCGCCGCAATGGGAAACAGTCAACTCGGTATGAAACTGGTGCATTCCCCCCTTCAAAGGTGGTTCCTGATCTTTTCGTCATCTAGGGATGTCTGGGTCATATCAATGGGTAAATGCGGCCCTTGCCGTAGCATTGTGTAAAGAGTGGATCGCGCAACGACGGAGTGCGGGTGTGCAAATTGTGGGCGGAGACGATGCAGTGAAGAACGGCCTTCGGAATGCTAAATGGCCGGGACGCGCTCAAAAGTTTGTTGCTTCTGATTACCCTTCCATTACCTGGTATCTGGACGGAGCACATACGAAAGAGAGCATGCTGGTGAGTCGATTGTTGTTACCAGGCCTTATGAGCACGAATATTGATTTCAAAGCTGAAGGTCTGTGCAGACTGGTTTAATGATGAGTATCGGGAAACAGAAGCAGAGGGACGGTAAGAAATGGTGTTTCTTGCTCCGTAGTTCACCCTCGGAACTAATTCCCAACAAAAGACACGGAGAGCAGGTTTTGCTCTTTAATTGCACAAAGGGTCGGGACGGGTTGACTCTTCTCAAAGCGTTGGTAGAACTTCACAAAAGTTCTGTACCGTTTTCGCGCGTCGTCTTTTGCACGAATGATTCATATCGACCGGGATCTGGACAAACAAGTACTGACGAAACTGTTTTTCATCATCACCAATGATCTTTCCCACTCATTCTTTTTTTGTGTTCAATCAAAAGAAATGGACCAAACAAATTATACAGTCCTGCCAGATGACGAATTATCTATCCAAAAGGAGCTGGCAGACGCATGGAAAACTTTAATTGGATCAGATACGGGGGTGAATGGAGTTGTTGCAGAGATTGAAATTCAACCAAGTATTGAAGATGCGGTGGAATCCATTTCTCGTTATTACTCAAAAGTCCAAGCTGTACATCCTCGCGTTCTAGTGACAGGCAGCTTGTACTTGGTGGGGGGACTATTGACGTTCCTCAAGGCGGACGTTAGTTAGATTCGCCGTAAGTAATTAGGTACAAAGACTGGTAGACTATTTCAAGAACACACTATTATATTTTGCATAATGTGGATTTACGGGGGCAAGAGAAATCGTTAGATGCTTTCCAGGTTTAGTTTTGAACTGAAAATGTCGTAAAGTGCCAGTGTCAGATCAGTTGGAAATTGATCATAGCCGCTGTACCGATGGAAAGGGTTTCCCCGCCCTTTCACGTGAAAAGGGAGATCGTCCCTTGCCATGGTCGTCTGCGTCATCCTATGCAACCTTCTCAAATGAGGGAAAGCAAGATCAAACGGATAGCTGTCCAAATATCTATTTTACTGACGTCTGGACGTGTTCATGAACGATGAACGGAACGGCCACTGCCAGCGTCAGCGTCAGTACGCGCGACTTGCTGACCTTTATGATTTCGTAAGGCGGAACACGGTCTTGGAGACGCGCAAACAGAACCCCTTCTACCGCCAAAAGGCATACCAGAAAAGACCCTCGTGAAGGAGGAAAAACTGTTACTGGGACTTTCATGACGAGAGTCAGTGCGTTTGTCTCCATTTGTCAGTTTCCTCGATTCCCGTGTCCTTGAGACTTCCCCACGATCGGCCCCATGGAAATCCAGTGCCTGTCTGGCTCCCACTCATACCATGCACAAGATGTGCAAGTCAATACTCCAGCCTTTGATGAAAAGGACGTCTGTGGGACCTCGGACTCTGTCATCACGCTAGAAGACTCAGAACATCGTCAATCAGCCCAGACTCTAGTGGGAATGAAAACCGCCAATGGTCGTAATGTACGACAGATATTTTCCGATCGCAAGAAGATTGCACAGATGAAATACTTTCAAAAAGTTTGCAAAAAGCGGTTGGATGTCTTTGTGGGTACTGGGATCAAACCTGTGCATCATAAAATGCCATCTCCAGCCATGCGACTTCCTGACGAGATTCTGGATGATATATTTCGTTATACCAGTCATCGACCGGCAGACTTGGCAAGCTGTAGCCTGGTTTGTGCGCGATGGCATCGTATCGTTTCATTGCACCTATGGGAATCATTAGATCCATCTTCGCATTGGTCAATGAAAAGGTTGGGAAGCGTGTTTGATTCGGCGTCCAGAAGGCAACAGAGGAACACGAGAGGTAAAAAGCAGAGTGAAGTACATGCACCTACCTCCAATCTCCCACTCGTGCGAGCAATTAAATTGGGCGCTGTCGGTCTGCTCCCGGACGAACCTCCATTGAAGTTTGGTGGCTCCGGTGGGATGGCAAATGGACTGGCTCGTTGGTGTCTCCGTCGCCGTTGGGTCCGCGTCATTTCGCTAGCTGGCGAAGCGTTACCTAATTTGAAGCGATTAGACTTGTCTTATTCGGCTGGTTGGCTACGAGACGATGCAATATTCAAGATTGTCAAGAGTTGCGGGAAAACACTCGAAGAACTGTCGCTTGCGAATGGGTATCTGGTCACGGACGATGGCATTGGCGCTCTAGCACGCGGATGTAAAAAGTTGAGGAAGTTGGATGTGTCTCATTGTCTTTTAGTTGGAGATAAGGGTGTCGCAGTCCTTGCTGAGGAGGGGAACAGAAGATTGAGAGAATTGATCATGACCGCATGTAACATTGGCGATCTGGGTGTGTTATTTCTGGGAGTTTTCTGCACCGAACTGAGAACATTGGATCTCGAAGACTGGTAAGCTAGAGACTCTTATCACAAGTTTGGTATCTTGCGGTTGAATTCCTTGCTTCTAGTTTTATGCTGACTCAAAAGTCACTGACGGTCATCATCGCAAAGTGTGTTCAACTTGAGCATATCAAACTTCCTTGCTTTGTCTATCCCCGTTTTGGCCCGGCGGCTGATCAAAACAGTCCACATCCTGTGCTTGAATCACTGCTAAAACGTCCACCATGCTCAAATTTCAAGACACTCGGATTGTCAATGTGCAGTGGAGAAGAAATAGATACACATCTACCGCGCATTCTAGCTAGATTTCCAACAATCGAAACGCTGGAGATATCGGGCTCGCCTACTGTTTCGAGTATTGTGGCACCAGCTCTATCACATATCACCCGATTGGTTTTAGCGTCAACGGGTCAGGTTGATGATGAGTTTGCAGCAGCTGTTGCAGAACATTGTCATGAACTGGTCCATTTGGATTTATCACACTGTCGAGTGACAGCAGTCGGAGCGGCTCCGCTATTTGTCAAATGCCCGAAACTTCGCTTCCTCTGCCTGGCATACAATCGCGGACTTCGCCTATTCCATTTGTACAGCTTGCTCAAACACAAGCGATTGGCTTGCTCGGCACTTGACCCAGAACAGAAGCGACATCTTGCGTTCTGTCTCGACGTTCGCCCGCGGCTGCTGAAGATTGAAGACATACCGTGTCCCGAAGCTAGCAGATGTCCCATGAACTTGGTCGCTGCCCCTGCACTTCGCACGCTCGGCTTGTGTCAAATCGGTGCAATAACAGACGATTGCGTGCGTATCTTACATAAGATTGCACCGAACGTGGTAGACGTGGATCTATCTCATTGTCCAGCCTTGGTCGATCCTAGAGTCATTTATGGGTTTGTAAAGAAGGCACGATCGTTAAAGAGACTGAATCTGTCCTGCTGTGACCGGTTGCTTGGAACTGCCGGTGCTGTCAGAAGGAACGGGCGGATTGTTGCAAAGGTGGTGAAGATTGGACAAGAAGAGGGTTTGAGGAAATGGTCGGATGAACCACCAAAACGATGTGGTAAGATCCTCCTCACTCACCTGGCGCTCAGAAGTTGTTCTAATATCTTGCTTCAATTGATCTAAGGGTATCACCACCCTCCAATTGCCAAGCTGGATAGGCATCGTTTCTGTCTTATTGAATCCAAAATGACAGCGTTTCGTGCAGCCCAGGTCCCGTCTTTGGACTGGTACTACGAATGGACAAAGCTAACTTGCCTCCCGGAATGATATGCCTTCCAACAGAATGGGAACCTTCCGAGTGCATATGCCTTACACATAGTATTATAGCGTGTGGAGAGAATGGTTCATCCCCTCTCCTAACCTTCTCGAGTTCATAAAAATGGTGTCTGTATATAGTGGTAACATGTGGTTGTGTCGTTTGTCTGAATACCAAAGTAAGGGCAGTCGCAAAAGTAGGATAAAATCAGCTATTTATTGGCAAACCAAACGAGTTATACAGAAAGGGCAGGAAACGACTATCTCAGGCTATGCCCCTTGGGCACTAATATGTATCTTGGCGACTAAACTTTGATCGTTCCCTCTACAGCAGCATATTGTCCCGTCCTTTGGGGAAGAGCAGGAAGCTCCTTCATGTCTTCTTTCTTCACAATACCCGAGGTTACAACCGCGGGCTTGCCGTCAGGACCAGGTGCCGTGCCAGGCACATAGGTCTCAGCGAACTGAAGTCCGGTCGCGGGATCTTTTGCGACCTCGGTGACAACCGTCTTTGGCACCTCACCGTTCTTCTGTTCTGTAGACTGAATCGTTGACGTTTCCGCGGTGGGGTAGGTGTGAGACACTTCAGATTTGAAGGACGCTCCAGTCAAAGTCTTTTGAACTTCGGTTTTTTTGGTCGTGACCGACGCTGGACTGGTTTGCACTTCTGTTGTCGTGATGTTTGATTCTTTGACGGCTCCAGAAGGAATCTCCACAGAGGGTGAAACAGTTGCTGACACGGCTACGTTCCCCTCCGAATCTTTCCAGTCACGAATGGCGAAGCGGACTTCTTTTCCTGTTGATTTGGCCTTCTTTTTTCCACCGCTTTTAGGCTTGTACGGCTGTGCAGCAACGGCGGCGGCCTGTGCCTCCAGATCGTCTTGCATATAGATTGGACGGGTGAGTTCACGAGGCTGAACGCCGAGCCATTTGTCGTTGACCACGCGGAATACAGGCTTGGGGTGTGGTTCAAAGTTCATCGCAGGATCGTCCTTTGACCTCCAGCTGTTAATATCAGCAGGCACTTTTTGGAAACGACTCATTTTCCAAAGACTCCAAGGATCGCGCTCCGCGATGGAGAGTGTTGTGAGAGGGGCAGCCTTTTGAGACCGCTGTTGAACAGAGTTAACCTGCTTCTTCTTCTTGGCTTTTACCTGTCAAAATGAAAGGATGTATTTGTATTAGAAGTCGGCTACCCCTCCAAATTCTTTCTCCACTCAAAATTCACCTTGGGAAGACTCGTTTTCTCGTTTGCCTCCTGCTGTTCCAACCATTCTCGTTGATACTTGTCGGTCATCAGAGCCGCGACGGGGGTTGACGGTCTGAAAGAAATCAATTGTGTTTAGAATCTCACTCAGCCAATGACATTTTCAAAGATGCAAACCTGGTGGGCTTTCCATATGTAAACCACTGATCGTGGTCACTAGGTAAGGGAGCCTTCCTGTACAAAGCGTTCCCGCCGTTCATAGTCTTGAGACCGCCTAGATGATGCTCCTCCGTGCCGACATGGACCGGATGAAGCTTCCGATAGGTCCGAATGGCTTTGGGGTTGATTATACCTTGCTTGGCGCTGTTGCGATTCATCGCAATGTAGTCCAGAGCTGGCGCTGAGTCTTTGGAAAGGGCACGAACATGCCAGTGCTGAAGAACTTTGTGAAGAAAATTAGAAGCTGTTCCGAGGCTTACCCGTAATGGACATACCTGTAGCAGTGGACTCATTGGGGTCTCTCTCAACTCTTTTGCCATACACATGGTTCAGGCCCGGCAGACTGTATACAGATGGACGGGTTTTGCCGACATAATCCTTGACTAAAAGGACATTTGTAGTTGCACGACCGGAAGCAGTATATGCCAATGGAGTGACGGTAGGAATGTTTCCGGCGTTGGCAGACATTACCGGTCCCTCCAAATTTGGAGCCATCGTGGCGACCACTTTACACAGACACGAATTGACAACCGATTTGATTTCAACAATAAGGTGAGAGTCGTCGTCTGAGTAGTCGTCTGAGTAAGACGATGCCGCGGGATAAATGGCACGTATTATGGGGGAATTTAGGGGGATTTCTTGCACCAGACTCCGACTCTCATTTCCCGATCAATTGCAGGGTTACCAAGTCGGAGAATATTTATCAACCATCCTCAGCTGCCTTGCGATGATTTCCTTTGAACATTACTCCGTTGCAAATGTAAAACCACTACCAGGCCCCGGTGGTCTACCAACTTCCTAATCAAAAATGAAATGTTTCTATCCTCGTCATCTTCGATAGCTGGCGAACTGCCCAATCAAGACTTTTAAATAAACTCTAAAGTCCTCGAATTCTGCAAAAAGGTTGTCATCCGACGTAGTTATCGTCCTGGCCCTTTCGGGTGACGGACAGTGACGAGGGAATGAATGGCGTTGGGGATGATGATTTTGCTCATATGGAATGTGCTTCACTCCACTCATCCTGCCATTAATCCTTTTCTCCGAGATTGGTGAATCACTTTTGCCCAGATATGACAATGGGAGTATGATAAATAATGAGACGGGTCAGCTTGAGTAAGTTATTATGCATATATTCCTTTTGTCCGCTTTATCGCGGGCTTGTGTGTAGCTGCGGTGGCTGCAGCAATACTGGTTTCAGTTGTTGCCCATCCGTCATTCAGCCCAAAAGGGAAAACTGAACTTGGTTTCGGATTCTGAGAAGGCAATGGAGATGGGATCAATGGGATCAATATCCTATCGGCCATCCAAGAATCTGACAACCTCAAGTAGAAGACTATGATATGAATGAACGTTTCGCCATATGAAAAGGTTTGGCTGATGGAAAACGAAGATGGGATGATGAAAGATATTTGCATATTCTGCCAAAAGGTTTCTCAGTTTCAAAGCTACTTTATCAACTAGTCAGATTGTAATTGTGGAAAATTGACGAATTGTAATGTAGGTCCAAGGCCCGTGGGCGGACTGAACGCGACCGGGCGGACTGAACGGGACCCTTGAGGTCTTGCTACCATTGATCGATATGCTTTTCGAGGTGAAGGATGCAAAGCAACTACTTGCGAGCTATGAAGCACGTTCGGTCACTGTATAGTATATCTTTTTACTTAAGTTACACTCTCTGCTGATACCAAACAACCAATGATGGATGATGACCGTTTGGTCAAGTGCATGGCGAATTTGAATCCCGAATGCTATAAAAGTCCTTTAGACCCAATCATGCATAATTGTTGATGAACACATTATTGATATTATTCCAGTTTGATTACTGTAAATAGGATATCCTACATTGCGTCCATCGCCTTCTGGAATAACGCTGGTGGGCGGAATAACACGCCATTGTTTGCTTACTCAGCTGCATGCGCCTCACCGGTGCCTCGCACACGTGTCGATGGAACTCGCTCGCGCTTCGTTTTGGGGCCACACTTTGGCGATACGGCTTGGTTTTGGGCTCGGGGGGAAGCACCGCAGCAGGAAAGGAATAAAAAGGTCGTCGTTGTTCAAAAGGCCATCTTTTGCATTCCTCGGCCAACTCTCCAACGATTGCCTTTTTGTTTTTTTTCGCTCCAATTACCCCCTCCAACTCCAACGTTAAGCCTTTTTCCAACAAATGGCAACTTCTCTCTCATATTTGGACGTACTCTCCGACCCACGCTTTCATGTTCCCTTTGGCTGCGGCGCGCTTGCGCTGAGCGCAGCCTTCTTTACTCTACCCTCTCTATTCCCAACTCTTTTCGCCACCGAAAAACAGCGTGCATGGATAGTTACAGGCCTCACCGCTCTTGTCATGACCTCTAGCTCGCTCCCTTTCCATTACTCCTTCTTCACCGGTTCTAACTCCCTTGCGGATGTATCTCTCATGGATTCCGCCTTTGCGATTGGACTGTGTGGATTCTTTGCATCTTACTGCGTAACTGACCTACTCCTGGGCACCCTGTTCTATCGGAGTGAGGTCCACCCCTTGTCGGGATACGTTCATCACTCGTTGTATGCGTGGATGGTAACCTCTCTGGTTACCTACCACGTTCCTGGAGGATTTTGCACGCTCTCTATCCTGGAACTTCCTACCCTTGTTATGGCCATTGGAAGGATCAACAAAGCCTGGCGTAGCGATGCGCTCTTTGGTGCGACATTCTTTACAACGAGGATCTGTTTGCACATCTATTTTGTTTATGAGATTTGGAGGGCGTGGCCTGACCGACAATTCTACTGGTTTTTACTGGGTGTCCTACCAATGCATTTGCTTTGGTTCAAAGGATGGGTCCAGCAGCAAATCAGGATGAGGAAGGAGAAATTGCGAAAGATGGTTCCCAGTACTACTACCGCTTGCCATCCTATACAATCTATCAAACCTGAAGCACAAGTTTCGGCTGAAGTTACATCTCGCGAGGATGACAAATACGTTACTGAAGAGACGTGGGGATCTCGATCTACTCGTCACCTTCCCCGGCCATTTGTCACTCATCGTCTGCGCGCCGGGTCATCCATACTTGAACATGATCTTGATCGCATCACTGATCCAATACCTGTGGCCCCTGTTCTCGTCGGTTAATTATGGGCTTAGATTTTAACAAGATATTAAGTGACAATTTCGTACATCAAGTTAGAAATGAAGTGATTGGATATGGGTTTCTTAGGTTGAACTTTTCAAATACCTCTTGTTTTTGGATATTATTTATGTTCTTCTGTCCTTTTGTTTGACACCGTTGACTGCATTTAACGAAATATCAATACATGTTGTGGATGTATTTGTAATATATCTTTACCCAGCAGTGAATATTTTGTTCAAACAGGAGTTGCTCTTATTCAAGTGCAGACAACGAGCTGCATAGGTTTAAACCATTTTCAGAGAACCCAAAACAAAAAACTAGACTCTTTCATCGAATGCATTCCACATGCCCTTCCTCGTAGGACAGCCTCACATGTCTATCAGACCCAAAGCAACCTATTGCGCAGCCCCTGTTCCTTCCACCTTTGCTTCATGAATCAAGCTTGATTCCTTGGGTGGATTGGCATCCTTCTTCAAATTCGGCGGCACAGAATGTGGAATCCGTTCTGGTGAAGGATGCTGCGATCCTACTTCATCGGATGAAGATTTTCCAGCTTTGGAAAGGGCGTAATCACCAGAATCAAAATACTTGCGATCTCCGCCCTAATACGAATGTTGTGTGTTGTCAATTTTCTTAACGCACGGATGGGACAACCGCAACTAGCTTCTCACCTTCAATCTTTGACTTAGTACTTGCTTTTTCGCTGGAGGGAGACGACCATACTTTTCGAAAAATGCCTTATCTTCTGGACTGAGTTTCTGGAAAGTCCAACGAAGAGCTATATTAAATGGGTGTTCTACGATCAAATTCAAACTTGATCCCCGCTCTCTCAATTCTGACTTTCAATTTCTCCCTACATTCATGCGGCAGAGATAACACGCCAGAATAAAATAAAGGGCTATCGGAAGCGTGTATCCACTATCGGCCTTGGGCCACTACACGCCGTCCGCCATCTCAATAAACACAGAGAGAAACGAAACGCACCGAAACATCAACTTCCTGTTTGGGAGGGGCCATTACGAGCGTGGTATTTGAAAGATCAGGCAGCAAGTCGATGGCCTCTAACTTAGCAATCGTGGCAGACCAGGAAAGCGTCGACCAAGGCAGTCGTCAACCAAGATGAACGCGCCTCTTAACTTGTTGTCTCAAGGAGCTCTCACCTCTTGTTGGGGAACTACGTAACCGCAGCAAGATAGAAAGGGTAGAAAGGATGCGTCGCTATGAATGAATCTCGTCAAAAGGGCAGAAGCCCAACAATGTTGTATAGAGTTTTGCAGCAAACGACAAGGATCCTTCCTCCTGCAAACGGATTTCATAATGGCCTGGACGGCTGCAGGGTGGTTTGAACCACATCACATTAATTATATTGTGCATCCAGAGGCGACAAAATAGAAATAAGCTTCCGATCTATGTACATTGCATTTATAAGGATCAAGCGGGATTATACGCCGATTACGACAGATGCTTCGATTCCTTGAGCTTGGCAACTTTATCTACTTCCTGAACACCAGTTTGCCTTTGTGTATGCAGCTTTCCATCCGCGTCCGTATATCGAGAAGCAGGGGCGACAATTTCTCCCAAGGTGAAGTTTTTCCGCTTGCTAATCTTTTGGCAAGAGTCGATCCGTACCCAATCGCCCACCACACATCGTTCATGCTCGTCGTGTGCTAGAAATGTTTTGTGGAATGTGATAGGCTGTGCATACCAAGATTAGACAGGGTACGGTATCAGAACGAAAAGAGTCCACGCAGAAACCTTTTGAACGACAGGGTGTATGCGTGGTCTTGCTACACGGACTTTGATCGTCTTCTGCATAGCGGTTCCTATTACTTCTCCGTAGAACATTTGACGTGGTGGGCGAACCACATCTAGCAGGAAAGCGGTAGGTCGCAGTGCCATTTGTACGGGTGGCAATGGAGGCGCAGGAAGGGTTAAAATAATCGGGTATGACTGACTACAAGGTTCTGTAAACTTCATACCCGAAATGGGATCAGTGAGAATTGGGTTCAAAAGTTTCAAATATCTCAAACTAAGACCCTGTCGTGCTCCCTTCGCTCTCAGCAGTTGAAGATTTTTTCCAACATTGATAATTCGGAAGTCTAACATATGCGAAAAAGCATCCTCGACGCAAGGGAGCAGGAAGGGTAGAGGAAAATCGACATCTTACCCAAAACTAAATACTGCAATTGTCGGTAAATGCAGGTTTTGGTGACCCCGCAGCAATGGTTAGGAGACTATGGAGAGTGCGATGTGGTAATCTGATAGAATAAGGCAGAAAGTTCAGTAAACGCTCAGAAACCCAGTTAAGAGTCGACAGGGAATCCGAAGTCCCAGTCTCAGCAAAAACGTTGTCGACATTAAATATATCCGTAGTCTAACATATATGAAAAACAAACATCCCAGACGGGTCCACTGTAAAAGCTACTTGCCAGTTGGGCTTACCTGTTACAGGATCGATCTATTAGTTGACGGTGAATGAAGATTCGTTCGAGTCCTTTTCACTATGTGGATGTGGCAGTTGCCATGGGCAACACTGCTACAGCGAGGAACGCGGTGGACGCGAAGCCACACTGACAACGAACGACCTCGACCTTACGCTTCCTCCCATTCCATCCACACAAACAACATGCCTTACCGTCCACCATCTCTCACCAACGCTACCGACTACATCTACCCAAATTACTGGAACTGGGACAGACGTCTCGCGTGGAAATATCCCGACCCGAACTGGAACGTTCGCCGACCGTTCTCATGGACCGCGAAGCTAAAACATGTGCTGATATTCCTGGCCGTGATTCTCGTACTCGATTTTTTCATCAAACAGCTTGTAGCGTATGATGAATGGCGTGGGACGCGCTCCCGTCCTTCCGCGACTTTGGTTGGAGTATACGGATAAGTTCCTCAGCGTACGTCGTTTCCGGCAGAAGTACCGAAGACGATCGGCGGAGCGTAGTCTTTCCGATATCCACAGCTTGTAACGTTCCGGATCTTCGAGTTTGGTGGACGGTTCAAATGGTTGAGTGCGCGGTCAAGGATCTGTATAAATAATGGAGTCGGTAGGCTGTCAAGTTAGGGAACGCGGCAACAAGCCTGCAGGTCATCGGACCATCCCACTTGAAACTTCCAGATGTGCATCCCCAATGACACATGGTACTGTATATATGAATAACCCTCAAATTGAATATACAAAAATCAAATGCGATACCCTAAAACTATACTTTACGGGTCCTGAATCTATACCACCAACCGTCCCACCTTTGCAATTGCCCGCCCTCTAACATGTATTGTATGAATCCACTCTGTTACACCTTCTCCTCGTCCGGCACCCCAAGCTCTGGCGCCTTCAAACCATTCTCTCACAGGACCCAGGATATCTGCGTGAGCCTGTCCAATCTTGTTCATGATGGTTTCTACGTCCTCGTTGGTGACCAGAAAACGGAAAAATGCCAAACCAAGGACCACTAAAGACCAGCCAGGAATGCAACTGTTAGACGAGAGTTCGCATCAGAAAACTAAATCCCTCAAACATACCAAATAAAACTGGTATCCAAAAAGTCCACAAACTCCTTCCATGCCGTCCGCCTTCCATCATATAGATCATTTCCTTCTTGCGTTCCAATGCAGCTTGGTACCGTGCACACCGCGTCTCATGTGTACCCGAATATGAAATGCAGTTGCATGGAATATCCGTCGCATATTCATTTGTCAGCAGCGCAAGATGGTCGAGACTATCCGACCTTGAAGGGTATGGAGACGGAACAGAAGGCGAATGTTGTTGAATGTAGAAACGAGAAATGCCCCGCTGGTGTGGTTCCAAGGTGTTGATGCCTTGCGGGTATGGAACGGGAGGAGTATAAGGCGGAAGCGGAGTATCGCCCGGGGGAATACAGGAAGTGTCTGTCGGAGAAAGATGGGTATTCACCGCAGGCAGCCGATCAGAAAGATCGTCAATTTGATTCTTGCCATGTGATCCTTTGTCCTCTGCCTTCTTCTGAAGTGCAGGCGTGGGGAGAGACACCGGCAGTGCAAGGAAGGTTGGCAGTTGGGCCAAGGGATTATACCAAGACGATGGTGACTTTTCTTCCGTCTTGTTCCAGAGGTTACTTGCGGGATTCTCTAGACTTTCGACTTTCTGAGAAATCGCAGTCTTGCTTTCCGGATGGGCAGCTAGATTGTAAAGCAATTCCTTCACTGATAGGCGCGCTGCTTTGCTCTCGTCCACCAGATGGGCGTCACCAGCCTTCTCAGGGTTTGCTGATGCCAATGTGGGGTCTGCTTGGAGAGGTTCTGCTAATGTCATTGCGGTATGCGCTCCATCCTTTTCAGATATTGCAGATCCATCGTCCTCTTGCGCATTCCAATGTTCATTCGCAGTCTCGTCCTTGCCGCTTGTCACAGACACTTCTTCTCTGATACCAGCAGAAAATCTTTGAAGCGTCCCTGTGCCTCCTCTGCCTCCTCTTCCTCTCTTCCCTCGCCGTGGCCTCTCTGCAAAACGGCCTACAGGACGCGCCTGTGACCCTTTCCCAGCGGACCCTATCTCATTTGAAGTGGGAACCAGCCACACATCATCAGTTGCGTCTGGCTTTAAATCAGCGTCGTCCGTTGGGATATGCTCGGGCACTTCCTTTACGATCATGTCGCATTCAGAGTGAAGCTCCACCACGGGATCCACAACGACGTCGCTCTCATCCACGGGTTGCTCGCTCTCTTCCTCTTCGCCCGAGAAAATCCCCTCATCAGAATCCCAATCGTACACATTCTGATACACTGCAAGCAATTTCACCACCTGTGACATAACAATCGTTAATCAGAGCCTCAAATCTAAACAATCGATGTCATCATATACCTCTCGGTGCCCTCTCGAGGCCGCCAAGTGAACTGGAAGATGTCCTTGCTTAATAGGGACATGGCGTCTTGCACCAGCTAAAATTCCACGCCAGGCCATTAGTATGATATTTCCAACACCCCCCTCTAAAACCCCTAAATAACACCAACCTTCCAGCAATTCCTTAACAACACTCCACATGCCTGTCCATGCCGCAAAGTGGATGGGCGCAAATCCTGATTGATCGCTAGCTTCTATGTCGCAAACCTCGTTTGCAATAAGCCACTTGGCCAAGGAGCCCATTCCAGAAAGAATTGCAAGATGGAGCAAATTATGTCCAGTCGACGTGCATGTATCGTCAAGCAAATTCTGGTCATCTGAAGCATTGCACAGCGCTTGGAGAAGCAGGCACTCCAGCTCGGGACGAGAGACGCGTGGACTGACCCCAAAGGACTGCTTCAAAACGCTGACTGCTAAAGACCGACGCGTTTGAGCTGAAGACGTAGCACCGCTAGTGGGTTCCTTGTTTCCGCTGTTTGGATCTGCTACAATTCGCATAGCAATCTATATCGCCACTTGGTGAATCTCTACACAACTGGTTGAGTCCAACATCAATGAAACCATACCTGTCTAGCATCTTCCAATTTCCCTGTCATCCTTAACCCCAACACCTGCAAAGCAAGCTCCATCAAAGCTCGGTCGGCATCTTTAAAGAAACGTTCATTAGTGGACATGCGCGACAGACGTGGAGATCAAGAGCTCGTAGGCTTACCATCCTTATAAGTGAATATGGCGGCGTTATTATCGCTTTCGGAAGACAAGTTCACTGGATGCTCTTTGAAAGTGACAGGTACAGGGCCCGGGACGGGGGCTGGGGGAAGGATACATACAAGCGTTGTCGCGCCCCAGAAGTGAGTTTGAACCGCCGGAATGCCCCCGAACATGACCGTTAATCCGTCTTAATTTTGTATAATATGTATTTAGATTTCAATGTGACGCTGTGTAGCTCTGTATTCTCTTACCATAGAAATCACTTCCAAGCACAGTCACCTCCAGGCCACCATGTAACGGCCCTTCTGCGGGAACAATCCTGCTGACAGAAGGAATTTGGGATGTCACGGCAGATGTATTCGCGGCTTCGGCTTTAGCGTCTTCCACTGGATCCTGAAGCCCAGTCTGCACCATGAAATCTTCAAAAACGGCCAAATCTGCAGCTCTTGAGATATTATCCAAATCCATAACCATATCCGCTCCAAACTCCCCGTTCAAGTCCAAACCGTTGCATGCTTGGTGTTCTCGAGTTTCATCATTGGCAAGTAAATCATCCATCTTTGGAAAAGCTACAGCCTGAGGAGGGGATATCGGACTAGCGGGCTGTGCGACGCTGTGAGGCCTCGGGTTTGCTGGGAAAATATTATGCCCATGATTCATGAATTGCTCCCCTAGTCCAATGTTTGATTCACCAAAGGATAGGATGGAGTCGCCCAACATCATGCTCATGGCATCTGGTACCTGCTCATTGGATTGTGATGAGAGGACGGACGATCTGCGGAACGGGGGAGAGGAACCGCTTGGGGGGGACATGGGTTCATCGGTTCGGGGGCGCTTTCGACTGTTTGCCTTCGCCTTAGAGGACTTGTGATCGTCGGTAATCATGATCGGGGGGGACATTCCGGTAGCAACGATCTGCCCAGTGCAGTCCCTAATGACGAAATACACACTAAAGAGGTGCGAGTTCGGTCAATTAAGACAACGATAAGACACCTGTGTGCGGGAACTTCCTTACCAGAAACCGAGCTTCTCCCCGTGGTGGCGACAATAGCATGTGATGCGAGTGGGTAAGATTGTGTCGCCGCTGCTGAAATCCACCATATGGCTACAGTTAAACAGCAAAACCTTCTTCTGCTCCAGGGACAGGCTTTCGTCATCCAACAGTTCCTCACCACTGGGGCCCAGACGTGGCGCCTCCCACTTGACTGCTCGCTTCGAATTCGCTTCCTTCTTCCTTGTCCTTTTCCGCTCTCGCTGGATACACCCAAGGCAAGTGGTAACTGTTTTCGCTACGTCCGAAGCACAAACAACAACAGCTTCGAGATTGAGAACAGCCTTCTCCGACATGGCAGCCATATGATCATAGTCGCTCATCTTGTTGCGCCGAAGCTTTTCGCGAGGTACCAGATATTCTGGGAGACGCAGATGAGACCACAACGGCACTTTGTCACCTTTGTCCGTGACTAGCTGCAGGCATATCTTTATCTGGGTCTCCACTCGCGACTTTGCATGTTGCTGTGGGACACCTAATACTCGAACCTGGAGTCCTTTGGAAGTGAAGTTGTGCATCTCATCGAGCCTCGCTTTTCCAGCGGCGACGACAGAGTTAGCTTCCCCAAGTGATGCATCTGCACCGTTGAACGGCTGCCAATTTCCCATCAAGTCAAAGGTAGAAGCAAATTGCGTCGGCGGATAGTACAGTGGGGTTCTTTGCAGTAGCGGCGGAGGTGGCGTGGGTGTTGGAGTGGCTAGAGGATTGAGGTGCCCCTGATTTTGCACAGATAAGGCAGGGAACCCTAGGTTGTGAAAAGAGGAATTGTTCTGTGTGATACTCAGTGGCTGTGATATGCATGGTTGAGAGGTACCACCCAGCGGGGGAGATGGTGGTAGGATTGACTGTCTGGACAAAGATGCGCGTTTCGTAGCTGCATGGGAATCGGTACCGGTGTCAGTTGTGTGCTTCGATTCGCCTTCAAGCTGTTCGCAATCAAAACTCGGAGGTGACGAGCGCTCAATTTCGGCGGAGTGACGGCTGGAGTAGGCGGAGTCCGACTCCGAGGGGGCCGGAGAGGCCCTCTCTTCCCCACGAAGAGAACGGGTATCGACAGAGGGCGCCACGGCGAAGGTGTCCAATGAGTGAGTGTTGCGGTGGAAGTTGAGGAAAAGTGCTGAGCAACGCGAAGCTCAAGACTGCCACGCTTCGCTGCAGAGTTTCGAGAAGTCTATAGACCGCGCCAAATGTCCAATTTGTTTGCGGAAACTCGGTGTGGTGCGTAAGCCAAAATGCAAACCGAAATGCAGAACGAAGATGCTGCTGTTTGGGCTAGGCAAATCCGCCACGATCTCTTAGTCAGTTGGCAGTGGCGGGACGGCCGGCCCATTCCCATTTTTTTGGGGCAAGCGCTCCCGCACCCACATTGGATCCACATTCGAGGGAGCCTAGTGCCCGCGTCAATCTGGAACGAACCAACCATCTGAATGAGTCAGGGCGGTGGTGGCAGTAATGACAGATTTCTATCGGTAATATGTGTAATGCACAGTTGCGCTAGAGGAAACATAATATTCACAATGAATGAAGATACATCGCACCAGTCGGCATCAATCATTGTCCAGGTGAAGTATCAAGCGCTTGATTGACCGGGTTGCCAATCTTTTGGCCGCACTGGATCAAAGTAAGGATGTGCCATTGCCTCCTGTGGCGTGAGCCGTTCTTGATGGTCATATCGTAGTAATTTGTCTAGAAAGTCGATCGCCTCGTCTGAAATATAGCGTTCGTTGTCTGTGTTTACAAACTTTCGCCAAGGCTTGCGCGGATACCTATCAGCAGCAAAATGTCAACGACGTCGTTCCAAATGTAGCCTGTGCAGCATGCCAAAGGCGACCTAACGCACCTCCCCAAAATTTCGTCAAATCTCTGATCCAGTTCAATGCGATACTTCTCCAGATATGCAAACAGCTCATCGGTCCCTAGGACTTTTGCTATCTTGACAAGCTGATCGTAATTATCATGACCATGAAAGAAAGGTTCTTTGCGGAATATCTGGCGGGTTCACGTAATGTAAGTAACGGAATTTGGCAGGGATACATGGTACTACTTACCATACTCGCAAACATGCACCCCAAGCTCCACATATCCAGAGAGTAATCGTATTCCTGAAAGTCAACCAACAGCTCCGGACCCTTAAAATATCTTGATGCCACGCGCACGTTGTATTCTGTGCCGGGATGATAAAATTCCGCTAATCCCCAGTCTATAAGTCGAAGCGTCTTTTTCTCGTGGTCAATCATCACATTATGAGGTTTAACGTCGCGATGCATGATTCCTCGAGAGTGACAGAACTCTAACGCCTTTAGCAGTTCAAATATGTAATAGCGGACTTCGTAGTCGGACAGCTTTGGATACAGGACTTTAAACTCTACATTGTTGATATTTTCGAAAATTAGAGCTGGTGTTTTTGATTGAGGTTCTCTCACGACATCCAGGAGACGAATGACGTTCGGTCCTCCCGCCAAGTTTTGCAAGATCTTGATTTCTCGCTTAATTTTTCGTTTCTTTACGGGCTTCAATACCTTGATGCAGCATTTCTCGTTCGTGGCAATGTTGACCCCCTCGAACACTTCAGAGTACTTTCCCCGCCCGACCTTCCTTACTATCTCATAATTATCCTGTCCACTATCGACTGAGGTCAAATTCGCGATCTAGGCCAACGACGTGAACAAGTCTCAAAGCTACAGACCTCCACTGTATCTGAAAGTTATCATAATCCCAGTACTCTCTAGGCCGTTCAGCGCATGCATTGGCGTGAACTCTAGCGATGCTCGTCGTCATCGTAGCAGACGTTCCACCCATCCACGGCACAAAGGTATCGCTGCCACTTCTGTATCGCAAATTGCTCCAGCTGAGCACCGAATACCATGCAAAGAATGTGGTCTACGGTACTCTGATGCTAAAGCTGACGCTCGAAAACTCTGCAATTGCACAGATGGCTTCAACCGTCGCCGTACTGAGCTGTTCATTTACCTCCATTTGGATATGACGACGTCAGGTGTCAGTGGCACAGCAGCAGCTGCCGGAGACGACGACGGGGGGAACTTTTGCAGCTTTTCACACCCGTCATCTAACGCCACCTTTACTGCGACCAGAGCACATTTCCTGTTTCCTAAAGCAAGGACCATCTGCCATCTGTGCTCTAATAGCTGTGACGCAGACCTCTGCAATAGCAATATAGCACACCTGAAGCACAATCCGAACAATGTCGACTGATGTCCTCGTCCCGGACGTGGATTATGGGGATGGGGAGCACACTAGCAGCGAGGCGTTGAAAAAAAAGTGGCTGACATTGGATCCAGAGGACCCTCGACTGCAAGCCGTCAACGAGGAGCAGGAATTCACGTAAGTTAGCCTAAGACGAAATGGACGATACAAATCTTCTATGAACATTGGTGATTCGATAATAATTCTGTTTTCACTACTCACACTGTCCGAAATGTCAATATTAATAGGCCATTTCTACTGGACTACATGCGCGATAAGTGGCATGTTACAGACCAAGGATTTGATTATAATGTGGTGGCCGTGTTCGGGTCTCAGAGTACAGGAAAAAGTAAGTCATGTTTCGAGATGAGCCCCAAGATAATAGCGTATGCTGATACTTTAAGGTTCTGCTTAGGTACCCTCTTGAACCGGCTTTTTGGAACTAATTTTGATGTAATGAATGAGACCGCTCGTCAGCAAACAACAAAAGGTGCAGACATTGGATTAGTCATGGTTCATTGAAGCCAGTCAATTGACGCTGTTTCGCAGGTATTTGGGTGAGCAAGGCTGCTGATCGCAGTTTACTTGTCCTTGATGTGGAAGGAACGGACGGTCGGGAGCGCGGAGAAGATCAGGTAAGCCTGTGATATGGGCATCCTTTGTAAGGTAAGCTTCTTTACTCACGGAATCTTCTTGGTATTTCAAGGATTTTGAGCGGAAAAGTGCTTTATTCTCACTCGCAATTGCTGAAGTGCTGATTATCAATATGTGGGAGCATCAAGTTGGACTATATAACGGGGCCAATATGGGCCTCCTAAAGACCGTGTTTGAGGTGAACTTGCAACTCTTCCAACAAAAGGGGTAGGTGTAGTTGAGCATGGGCGGCGGCTATGCTTGCCCATACTTACCGACTTATCTGCTGTGACTCGACAGATCGCCCAAGACGTGTCTGTTTTTTGTTATCCGTGATTTCACTGGGGCAACTCCAATGGAAAACTTGCAAGCTACGTTGATGAAAGACTTGGAAAAAATATGGGCGGGCCTGGTTAAGGTTGGTACATACTTACTGTTGTGTTAGCGTGGGAGCCAGCACTGAGTGCCACCCCATAGCCTGCCGGGAAAGAAAGCTCTTCGATTGGCGACTTCTTCGAGTTCAACTTCGCTGGGCTACCGCATAAAATTTATGCGCGGGAAAGCTTTGAGGCGGAGGCACAGAAGCTAAAGAATCGGTAAAGTAGCATTCGTCGTAATCCAAGACTTTATATCTTTCTGACGCCATCCATGACATCAGGTTTTACGATAAACAGGATCCGGCGTTCACATTTAAACCGGTGTTTCATAAGCACATTCCTGCTGATGGATTCCCCAAATTTGCTGAATCAATCTGGGAGAAGATTGTGTCCAATCGCGACCTCGATCTACCAACACAGCAGCAACTATTAGCTCAATATCGATGCGACGAAATTATGCGGGTGGTTTACGAGGGTTTCAACGATAATATCAAAGGTTATCGCAGCCAATTGGAAGCGGGGAAAGTTCTGGAAGAAATGGGAAGGGAAACGGAACAGTATTATCGCAAAGCCCTTGAAGCATTTGACAAGGACGGTAGTCGCTACAACAAAGAGGTGTATGAGAAGAAGCGGGCTGAATTCGTAGACAAAATGGCGACCGCTTTGCACGTGTACTATGTTCAGCAACTGCGTAATCTTCATAAGCGGGCGCTTAACCTCTTCAATGAGAAACTGACGGAAAGCTTGAAAGCCGATGATAGCGACTTTGCGCGGAAGTTAAATGATGCCAGAGAGCAAGCGGAGGCTTATTATCGATCTGTGGAAGAGGGAACGAGATTGAAAGATGCGAACTGGTCCAGTGACGAGTACTTCTTCCAATTCAAGACGGAAATTGATGAGATTGCAGCGCGGAAGAGAACAGAGGCGATGGAAAGAATAGTTAAAAGTCTTGAGAGATTTATCGCCGGAAATTTGACCGAGCCAATCGAGGTGTTACTGAACGATGGTCCTATCGACGTATGGACGCGTATCATCGATGCTTTCAATGACACGATTGTAGAAGCGGAAGAAAAATTGCGCAAGCGCCTTTCAGGGTTCAATTCGAGTGAACAGGAGGTCGCAGCTTCTGTTCAAGATATGAAGATGGAAGCCTGGGGTATCTTGCAGAAGACGATTCATGATGAGTTTGCTGATGTCAAGGTCATTGAAAGACTTAGACATAAGTTTGAGGGGAAATTCCGATACGATGAAGCTGGTTTACCGCGTGTGTGGAAGCCTGGAGATGATATCGACGGACAGTTCAGTAAAGCGAGGGATGAAGCCGACAATCTGTCAGTCCTCTACTCCAAAATTGATGTTCCTCTATCGAAATTGGATTCAGCCATCACAGAGGATGAGGTATGAAAAACATTTACCTCGGAATGTCTTTACTCGTGAAACAGATTGTTCACATGCCTTCTATAACTAGCGGTTTGATCCTCATTCGATGGTCGTACTGTCTCCCGCGAAGCTTCAAACCCTGCGCGACAGGTTCAAGCGTGAAGCTGATCTGCTCTTTGTAGAGGCGAAGCGCTCCATCGTTGTCACCACGGCAAAGATCCCGATGTGGTTTGTAGTCATGACGGCTGTCTTGGGATGGAACGAATTCGTTGCAGTATTGTCGAACCCACTATATTTCTTGATGCTAATCATATTAGCGGCTGGTACGTCGTAGGCAGATCTTATCAGCGTTATCTTGCCGCTAATAACTACCTTTTTGATGCCGATAGTCGCGTATGCTACTTGGTACACCGGTATGGCAAAACCTGCCTTTAATGTTGCCAGAGCAACCGTTCGGGAGGCAGCAAAGGAAGCCGGAAAGAGGTTGAAAGAGAAAGGAGTTGATGTCGACGGATTCATGGACGGGAGTCTGATTCGAAATGGTACAACTCTCGCCGCCACTGCGACCAGCGAAGGTGTAAAGCGGTTGCAGCGGGAGCTTGCCAGATCATCGTCAAGTCCGGCCGCATATGGAAATCGATGGCCGACGGAGAATGACGGCGATGCCGTTGAAATGGTCCCTGCTGCCGGCCGAAGCGCTGAAAGTGTCAGCGGACGGAGAAGGACGACGAGGGAAAATGACTGTGCGAATGAGTGAAAAACACATCTTTGACATGTATCCGGGCTAGACTGTAGATTTGGATGAGCTGGCTTTGCTTATTATTAGATGGGCCGGGCAGGTCCTTTATTGTGCGAAACCTTTGAGTTATGCGAAATTCAGATATTGAAGATTGCATCGATTGTATTCATTGTTCCTTATATATCATATTCTGTTCTGCACTTTTGTTCACATGAATTGAATATGTACAAAGTGGTCTTCTACATAATGTCTATCTGCAACGATGTAGACTTTGCAACCAGTCTTCGTAAACCCTTGTATCAAGTTGCTTCATGTACTCAAACGCCGCGTCTCTCCCTTGTTTGCGAATCTCCATATATGTGTCTCTATCCCACAGCAATTTGTGAAGTGTAAGGACCCACGGCTCTGGGTCATTCATAGGTATCTTCCACTGCCCGAATTTCTCAATTAGATCCGGGTCAGTCTCCTTCTCACCAGTTAGTGGGGTAACGGGAATCACCCAAGGTGTATTGAGATGCGCCTGTTGATACAAGGTGAGCGTGAAACTTCCTTCCAAGCTGACATGCACAAAACAGACCTCTGGTAATCCCCCTGCATCGGACGAGATGACGGGAATCCCTCTCAGCAGTGCTTCCACGACTACAAGTCCAAATGCTTCATAGCATATCGATGGGACAATGAGGACCTTTGTCCGGCACCAAAGTTTCTCCATGTCCTTGACAGATTCCTCAACTCTATAATTGGCGTTTGTTCCTTTTAATGTCTATAGCTACGATGTAGGGTATGAAGATTCGTATCTTACAAGACATTCGGCAATTCTTCAAACTTCGTTATGACGTGTTCTGTCATAGACCACGATTTGGTCACCAAAAACTCTACATCCGGCATTGATTGGGCTACAGCATGGACGATATGAAAGCCTTTTGCGGCTCCGGGATTGATAGCGCAGACGTACTTTTTGTCCCAGTTATCTATCAGAGGAGGTTTGGGCTACTGCTTCCAGCAAGGTGTACAATAGGATACAATGACGTACCATAAAAGGGCAACTTTTCGGGCTCATCGGAAAATATCCATGGATGGTTGGGTAGTACTTTGGCGTTGTCTAGCTGCCCGAACTCAAGGAAGTACTGCTTGAGCGCTTTACTTACAGTCCAAAGACCCTCAACTTCCCGTAATCGGGCAAGTTGGGCGTCTCCCGGACCATCAACGGAAAAGGGACCAAATGGGAGGTTGTTGCAGTCATGGGCAATAAATACTCGTATGCAAGGATGCTTTAATTTGTCGTCCATCGCAATTTTCAAAGAGCTCGGTTCGTTCATCAGCAAATGTGTTGGCCGGAATGCGGCAATTTCCTCATGAACGAATGAAAGTCTGGCGTCTAGCTCGGGCACATCTACTTTGTTCTGTCGTTCTGTTAGTTTAATCGATAGGTGATCTCAATATATCACACACGATCGCCGATTTCAGGCTTACCTCTAACCAAGCGACATGTTGTGCCTTCACTTGCGGATTTTCCATCGCATTCGCATATTGTTCTACCTCAAGTCCCACGACTTCAATCCCTTTATAAGAAAACCGAAAAACTTCCACTTCATAACTTCCAAAATGTCTCCGCCCGTCTGTCGTGTGGTTGGATATCAAGGCCAGGTCATCCTTATGCGGGAGGGCGAGCATCTTAACCTCGTGCCCTGCTGCAGCCATAGCTCGGCAGAAGGCCATATTTGCCCTGAACCCCCCAGAAGAGGCAAAAAGTCCATGTGCCGATTGAATGAGAAATATTCTCAAGGGAGCATTGCCGTCTGCCGCTGATGTCTTCGCTAGCAAGATGCAATGCTGGCGTTAATCCATCGCTCTTACCGCGGACAATAAAGAGCACTACAAACCTGAGCCCATTTTCTATGAATAATCTTCGTATGCAAGTGTGATCTTGAACATGTTCATTCGCAATGAGCGACAAGGCCGAAGACGCTGCCATGCCATGACGTCAGGATGTGCTTACGTGATACCCTCCGACAAAGTTGGAGCATAGCAAACGAGAGCGAAGGTATGATTCTGGCGCACGCATATACGCCTGGAATTGGCTTTGAAAATCACTATTATGACTAGTACCTGAGGTCAGCTTATGGTTAACATGTCCATCTAGCGGCTCGTTGATTCAATACGAAACACCTGCACATTCGTGGCCATATTCAGGGTCCAAAGAACAAAGTTGCTCCAGGCCTTATGTCTGCTGCCGTTTCTATTTTGATATGATGCTGAGGACTGTTTATCTCCGTTAACTTTGTGTCCGCCCTGTACGATAATGTGGGAGAGACTCTACGCACATGTCTCCATGTTTGCATCGAATTCGATTGACCACAATGTCACAATGTTGTCTATGTATGGCATAACATGGGCACGCAGTCCCTTATAACGTTGCTTTCACTGCCAACCGTTCTTTCACAACTTTGGAAGTATTAGTTACGACACTGATAGTATTGATTACCTTTGTTTTACTGAACCCAAAGCTACGCTTAACCTTGTACCAATCGACCAAGTTGATATATGAACAATCGTCCAACAACAGCGCAAACCAGAGGATACTTGCTAGCAGATTTCTCTATACATCATATCAAAAATGCCTCAAGCAATAACGAAATCGCTATCATCAGAAAAACTTGGAAAAAAGAGACATACACAAGGTGAGCTTAGTAATTTGCCCATTTGCGGCGTGACATCCCGTCGCGCTTTCATTCTGGCAAGGTAACAACGTACATCACAATGTCGTTCCGCACAGCCGCGCACTCTTATTCCTCAGTACCTGACACCGTCATTCCAATACCTTCAGCAGCATCACTGAGCCCACTTGCTGATGGTTCACCAACAGCAGCAGCAGCCACGGCGTCTGCCGCGACATGGGAGACTCTAAGACGACAGGCGCGACATTTGGAAAACGAAATCGAAGCCAAGCTAGTGCAATATTCTAAACTTGGTAGTGGAACAGGAACCAGTGGGTTTGCAAGTAGTGTGGCAGGGGTTGCATCCAGCAGTGCTGCGCGAAGTCCAGGAAGTACAAAAGGCGCAGAACTAGAACTGGACCATTTGCTCGCAAAGGTTGGTGTTTCACGTCGTGTTTGCAGAATCGGATTAGCATTGTACGCAGCCCCCTCTTTTGAGAAGGCCAGTTGCAAACGATAGTACCACATGTTTTTAGTGCTCTAGTATAACGCTCCTTTTGGCTACAAGCATTTTGACATACCGAATGTTCCACTTTGTATTGATCTAGCTTACCTCTGTCGTCAACTCTATGGCCCAAAGCCTTGATAGCGTTCCATCATCAGTCCCAACAAATCCCTCCATGATGCACATGCTGCAGCGACATCGAGACATACTATACGACTACTCAAAAGAGTTCAAAAGGACCAAGGTGGGACTTTGACACAATGGTTGATCTCTGAAAGGACGACACTTAATGGTCCTTATCAATCGAAGGCCAACATTACCGCTGCCAGAGACCATGCCGATCTATTGAGCTCTGTACGGGAAGACATAAGGTGAATCATCCGATACATCTTTGGCCTTACCGATAGAGAGAGACACTCATTTCGCTTTGATGAACAGTTCGTATAGGTCTCCAGGCATGGGCATGCAAGATTACCTGTTAACGGAACGAGGAAAGATTGACGGCTCGCATCGGATGGCCGATGAGGTACTTGAGCAAGCTTACACAACCCGTGCCGAGCTCCACGATCAGCGAAGTGTTTTATACAATACAAGGGGGCGAATGGGTGGAGTGCTCGGTAAGCCGTTCCTTTCCTAGCTCCTGAGTGGCCATGCATCTGAGTTATTATTAATATTTTCTTCAGCACGATTTCCCCTCGTTAATGACCTCATTTCGCGGATTGGGGCAAAAAAGCGGCGAGACTCGTTAATAATGGCGGGCGTCATCAGCTTTTGTGTGTGCTTTCTAGTGTGGTATTGGCTAAGGCGATTTTAGTTGCCTTGGAGTTAAATCTCTAGCGACTGCAGTGTCCTTCCAACATTTCATTGATATTTACTGTCATCGACAAAATGCACAAGCTAATTATACGGACATAGTACACTCTGGGATTGGAGAGCCTTTGATTGGCATGGTGGTAGTTTGGTAGTTGTTCCGAGTGAATGCCGACCCTGGGGACAGAAGGAAGCCATAATCTCGACCATCGCGAGGTCAAAGACACTTACTTTCAAAAAGAACTGTCTCCCTTCCATTATTGCAGCTCAAAATGCAAGCTAGGCCTGCTTGATACTTCGCAACAGCGAGTCAACGACATCTCCAGCATTGGACTTTGTGGATGACTCAGCATACTTCCATATTCGGCAGTAATTATCACTGCTTAGCTGGGTGATTGGACCGTTGAGGATTCGGCAAGAGATCTGGAGTCGGCTGAAATTATTAGGAGATGAAGGACTCCTTTGTCTTTCAATCCTCAGTAAATACAAAAGGTGCTCGAAATTTGGTGGAGGAAGCGAGGCGGCAGAGGTAGTCTCATCGTTTATTCTACTTTCGCAGTATATTTTGTCTCTAACACTGGAGCTCAGAGATGCTCGAGAGGCCCAAAGGCAGCAGGAATTAGACGCACAAAAGTCCATAGCAGCCGCTCGCATCGTATCGCGATGCATTCGCTCGGTCGCTAGTAGAAAACGTTCGCTCCGGGACCTGCGAAAGGAGTGGGACTCTCAATGCGGTCTTTTGGAAGGGAACGTAACTGGTGTAAAAGCCGATGACCTTCTGAGGTTCGCCTGGATGTTTCTTAAATTTTACCAGCCCACAACGGACTGGAATCGTCTGGGACATTTGGTCAAGATGATGCTTCCCCAAACGGCAGCAAGTCAAGGCAGAGGTGCTTCTTTACCCTTTTCCAGTTGCCTGAATCATCCAGATCCGCTACGGGCAAAAGCAGCTGCCAATGTTCTCAAAAATGTTTTATGGATTTGCGCAGAACGAATAGTAGGCTCTTTAGATGGCCCCAAAAATCTACATGATCCAGCATGCAAGACCCCAGTAATGGCCCCATATTTAACGGGCACGGAAATCCGGTTTTTTATGGCGTACATGGACCCCAAGCAGCATGCTGGCAATGGCACAATCGAAGACGTGATGTGGAATATACAGCGATGGTTGATAGACCGGGGATTATTTGCACTATTGGCGAAGGGATTGCTGGAGCGGACGACACGAGTTATGGTCAATCGAGCGAAACTCAAACAGAAACGAAACCCTGTACTCAGCATAGATTCGGACGAATCCAAGCTGGACAGAAGCACAAATCTATGGGTGAATGCAGTATTATCTAGCGTGATGAACACCCTCGTTGTAGAAGACATCCGCAGTGATATCCAAACTTCGGCACCTGAGCGACAACAGGAAGATAGAAACATAGAATGCGAGAGAAGAATCGTCCTTTTTTCATTACACGTCTTTGCCACTCCTTTACTTCTCTCATTTGTGGATGCCCAATGCATTTCTCTCTTTGCCCAAAGGGATATATTGCGTCGAGTAGTACGGATTGTCAATGAAGATGAGCAGAGCAGAAAATTATTGTTCAACCTACAGGGGGAGGCGATGATATTCCTTGTTGGTAACATTGTGGAACTGTACTGGAGATTGACGAGAACGGGCTTCGCAAGTGAACAAACACCAACGTTAAGGAGTGACGTGGTGACGACTATAACCCATCTCCTTGGACATTGCCAGCAATATGTTAGAGAAAAGTCCTCTAACTTTGTAAAATATCATGCTGTGTTCAAGGTAAGCGTGTGTCAGTTCAATTTGTATCAATGACTTCCTCCTCATAGCTTTCCTGAACATTGAGTGGTATAGTGGGAAATCGGTGGACGGAGTTCCCCAAGAATACTACCCACAGCTTGTAACACAGCTATCGCATCTGTGGAGTAGGGAATTTATTTCATCCATTTTCGCCAACATCATTGATTTTGAGCCGCCTACCCCAGTCGCTTCCACATTGCGTCTTATAGCCTCAGCCCCGTCAACAAATTCGGGATTAACTCTTACAACTATTGACGCGCGGGATGGCTCCCTACTGTATTTAACTTTGACTTCTACGTTACTTGCGTACCGTACCGCAATCTTGAATGCCCTGTCATTTACAAAAGGACTAGTGTCCGGACTGTGGAGATTGCTGAATGAGGTCGGCCCGAAGCGCGAAGGGACATTGCTCTATTTGGCTGCCGCAACGGGATGCTTGGAGAATGAGCCGCTGATGCCACTTTTGCAGCTTTTCTGTGAAATGGCGCGTTTGCTCTTCATGTAGGTGATGTCTAATATCTTCTCGGTTGCCGTTTGCAGCGTGACCTACGACTCTTTTCTTCCCTCGGTCTTTTGAAGTACTCTTGACAACGACGAGATCTACCAACGACAGTATCCTTTCAAATCACAGGAACTCGCCGCCATTGTCACCTTCCTCAATCACTTTTGTTTCCGCATCTACTGGCATCACACGCCTTCAACCCCTTCCGTTACGTCTCAGTTTCCCCCGGTATTGGAGCCTGCCAAGCGCCTGTTGAATCTTCTAAACGACCGCTCGCAGCGCCAGGCGTTTGGAGCGGAGCAGGAGACAGCATGGCTTGCGAAGGAAGTGAGCCGAAGCACGTTTGTGGACGATGTGATCAAGAATGATCCGAGGGCTGTTATGATATTGGGAAACGTACGATTGCTGCGGTGCTTTGTGATCGTTTGGTCGAATTTTATCAAACTGGGTCCGTCTTTAGATACCCCAATGCGTGCCTTTCAAGAGCCGCGTCAACATATTCAGAGGGTTGATCGAGAGTGATAAGGCGGTCCTTGGGGGACGACCGATTGCTGTGGTGGTACACAGAAATGCCGTATGTTGAAAGTTCTCTAATAGTTTTCTGGTTAATGCCCTGCCTTCGCTTAACATCTCCTGTCCTTTAGGTACTGGAAGACGGCTATCGGCAGCTCGCCAGAGTTCCTCCCCAGCAGCTTAAGCAAGCGATTCGCGTGAAATTTGTTAACGAGCTCGGTATGTCGTTGCGTCAGTTATCGCGTTGTCTAATGACTGACGATGTCCTGGGATTAAGGCCTCGAGGAAGCTGGCATTGATCAATCAGGCATCTTCAAGGAATTCTTAGAAGAGATGTGTAAGCGGGCATTCTCAACGAACTTGAATCTTTTCCATACCACGCCGGACGGATATGTGACTCCATCCCCGACGTCGTTCATTCATGAAGAGCATTTGCAGTTACTCGAGTTTGTGGGAAAGATATTTGGAAAAGCATTGTATGAGGGCATTGCTATCGATATACCATTTGCAAATTTTATCTACGCCAAGTTGTTGGGAAGATACAATTATCTGGTATGTCGTAAGACTTGAACCCTATGCTATGCAATGCTATAACTGAATGGGATGATAGGACGAATTACCATCGTTGGATCCACAATTATACAAGAATCTGACTTTTTTGAAGCGCTACGAAGGTGAATACGGTCGTCTTCTTTTCAATCGCATATTTCGCCGAGGACTCAGAGGTTTGGTACTGTAAAGGCGACAGTGAGGACCTTGGATTAACGTTCACAATCGATCAAGACATTTTTGGCAACGTCGTGTCCAAAGGTGACTTCCGCCAGAGTTAATGTGATCAAAGTCGGGATGATCAACATCTTTGCAGAGATCAAACCGGGGGGTGCTGCAATATCAGTAACGAATGAGAACAAGTTCGAATACGTACATTTAATGGCAGATTATCGGCTAAATCGTGAATGCAGAGATCAGTTTAAAGCACTGATTAGAGGCTTCCGATCAATTATATCTGAAAAGTGGTTAGGCTTCTTTTCACCTACGGAGCTGCAAAAACTGATGTGCGGTGAAAACGTGGAGTTTGGTAGGTTCTTCCTCCTGTACCCCACTACTATTTGACACTCGCTCATGTTTTTTGTAGATGTGAAAGATCTTCGTGCTCACGTTCGGTATGAAGGGGGGTACTTTGACCAGCATAAAACGATTAGGTCATTGTGGCAGGTGAAGAGAATATGTGCATATTGTCCTTCAGGAGGATTTTAAATTGGGGGCATTTGCTACAGGTCGTAAGCGATTTTGGACCGAAAGATAAAGCTGCGTTCCTCAAGTTTGTTACTAGCTGTTCAAAGGTGCACCAGTTAGTCATTGGTTTCAAGTTTGGCATGATTTTCGAAGTTATTAACCCGCCGCAATCCGGAACAGCCACCTGTCGGTGGATTTCAGTACCTCAATCCACCATTCACCATCCGTTACGTGGCAGAGAGTGACGAGGGGGGAACTCAGACGGAAAATCCGGTCGTTGCTGGTGCCAGGTTGATTGGGTCTGCATTTGGGATCACGCTGGGAAAGGACATGAACAGGTTACCAACGTGTGTGAGCGTGATTGGGGACGTTGCCCTCTTGCTTCGACCGCTGATATAAGTCTGCAGGGCTTCGACTTGCTTTAATATGTTAAAGCTGCCCGCGTATAAAAAGAAGAGCACATTAAAGGAGAAGCTGCTGTATGCGGTATGTATAGTTCATCTGTGTAGGGCCAGGACATATCATTTTCTGATATTCTGGTTGCAGATTAACTCAGGGGCTGGTTTCGAATTATCCTGAGCACTACAACGGGTGCGGGTGACCTATGTAAATATATACTCATGTGCTTAATCAAAGTATGCTCAACAGAAATAAGCATATTGGCATATCCCGACGGTTCATCCCACATATCGGCTAGCCTTTAAACACAGAATTTGAAAGATATTACTTGTATGGCCTGGCAGAGGAGGGTAAAGAAAATATTGTGCCCCTGTTCCAAGCGATGGCAGGAACGAATGTGCGCGCAAGACAAATTCACCAAAGTATCAATGTATTGATCTTATGATACAAGACCGAACTAAGCGACGAAATGATACTAATCACTACAGAACTATGGTCGTCAACAGCTTAGATCACCTTCAAGTCCTTTTTCAGTTGATGGTCTGAAAAATAGAAGATGGTTAGTGGCAGCCGTGTCGACATATGTGTATGGGCGAACTTACGGTTGTTGTTGTTGGCATTTTTCTGCTGGTTGTTGTTATTGAAGTTGTTATTGTTCGTGTTGATGTGATCTGCAAAAAGAGATATTTGCATTGCTGTAGATAGGTTCAAAGAACGAAAGGACTACCCACCTTTCTTAATATCGTTGTTTTGGTTCTTCTTGGCCAGCACATTCTTGTTGTTTTGCGCGTTAAGATGGTCCTTTTTCAGATTGTTATTGTTGAATTGGTTGTTGTTATTGTTGAATTGATTATTGTTTAGGTTCTTTTGATCTTTCTGTTCGCATGTTCTGATGAGTGGGGGTAGTCGTCAACGCGGACGGACAGATTCACCAGTAGAAACAAACCTTCTTGTTATCAATCTTTTTGGGAAACCATCCACCTGCAGTTTCAACCTCATTCTCGTCAACTGCCGCGGTGTCAACGTCAGCAACATCATCTGCAGCAGCATCCGCATCGTAATATCCATAGCCCCCATATCCTCCATAGCCGAACGGTCCAAACTTCTTGCCTTTCTTGCCTTTCTTGCCGAGACCATAGCCGCCATAGAGACCTTTTTTGCCTTTGCCATAGCCGCCGTAGCCGCCGAATTTTTTGCCTCCTGCGGTTTCCACAGCATCTTCGTCCACTGCAGCAGCGTCTACTTCGGCAACATCATCTGCAGCGGCGTCCGCATCGTAGAATCCTCCGTAACCGAACGGCCCGAACTTCTTCTTGCCGTAACCGCCGTACCCGTAGGGGCCGTAGCCGCCAAACTTTTTGCCTCCTGCGGTTTCTACAGCATCTTCGTCCACTGCAGCAGCGTCTACTTCGGCAACATCGTCAGCAGCGGCGTCCGCATCGTAGTATCTTCCGTAACCGAACGGCCCGAACTTCTTCTTGCCGTAACCGCCGTAACCGCCGTAGCCGTAGGGACCGTAGCCGTAGGGACCGTAGCCGCCAAACTTTTTGCCTCCTGCGGTTTCTACGTCATCTTCATCCACTGCAGCAGCATCGACGTCGAGTTTCTTGAAGTTTTTGCCGAGGTTGTTCAAGTTGTTATTGAAATTCTTCTGCAGGTGCGGAGGAACGAAGAGGAAATTTATTACTATGCCGAATGTGGGAACTGAAAATGTACGATGGCTAACCTTGTTCTGATTGTTATTAAATGCATTTGCGTTGTTCAAGTTCTTGTGATCTAGCCGGAAGCAATAGAGCAAACTAAATATGCTGCATGTACTGAATTACACACGAGCTCTTTACCTTTCTTAATATTGTTGTTTTGGTTCTTCTTTGTCAATGCATTGTTGTTGTTATGCGCGGCAAGGTGGTCCTTCTTCAGATTGTTATTGTTGAAATTATTGTTGTTCTGGTTGTTAGCAAAGTTGTTGTTATTCTGATCTTTCTTCAAGTTGTTATCTATCTTCTTGGGAAACTTCCAGCCAGCCACTTCCGCCTCTTGATGGGCCTGTGTTTATGCAAAAATAATTGTTAGTACGCTCAGTTAACAAACAAACAAAAGACTACCTACAGCATCAGCTGCAGGCATGGCCAATGTGCCCGCAATGAAGGGAGCGATCGACGCCGCGAGAAGGTAGATAACTTTCATGGTTGCCAGGCAAATGCGGTTCGACAGCGACAAGTAGCGGGATGAAAGGTAGAAAGCTCAAGAGTAGAACGCTGGTAGTATGGTCTAGGGAAGGCAGAAATTCCCCTTTTTATAGCCGAAGAGGTGTCAGAGATGTGAATATGGCAGTTACGGATCTCGATCTTTTCGGTCTTCACGAGAAACAAAGCGCAAAACATCCGGAGCTGTGTGGGAGTCGAAGTGCCTTGCAGTTTCCCATTGGATTATGCGCCATTGCTTCGTGGAATATTCGTGATGTGAGAACGAAGAAGAGTGCCGGTGGAGAAACCATCTCCGGAATATGGAACTGGAACTCGGAAGATTCTAATACGAGCGATCGTATGGCCTCTTGGGTTCCATCTTGGGGTGTAATCAGGCTCGGGTCACTGGAAGCCCCAGAAAAAAAACAAAAAAACACCGGTGCCTCACAAGCCTTAAAATCGTAGCCGTGCTGGTGTCAGGGTGCCCAGAAAATGAACGACAGCAAATGATGACAGCAAAATCAGGGTATAATCACATAGTAATTGTTTCGGGTAATATTGGGTTCTACACTGCAACCTAGCTGATCTTTGTAAAAAGGAGGTCTCAAGGGGTGTGGGCAGAATTCCAGCAAGTCTTTGAAGTGGTTCCCTTGACCTCGCCCTGACAAATGGAGCAGGCACCAAAACCATTCTCCGTGAAAGACTGAGCGCAAACATTCCAAGAAGAGCAGCATAGAACCGTGGAGCTCTGAAATCGGTTGAGACCTCCACCGGTAAAGTCCTGAGACATTTGGTCTCAGTGTTTCCTATCTAGTGGAGCTTTTGGCTTCCCTTTCCCAGCGTTTCCAGACAAACCCGCAGGCTTCCCTTGCCGATTCATTCCGCTCGTCAAGGGCTTGACGGCAGCACTCTTCGAACGCTCGTTGCTCTTCGGCGCACCTTGTTGAGTCGAAATTATGACGGATCAAGCAAGCCTGTTTTACGGGTGTCAGATGCAAAGTAGCCTCATTCATTGGTGTGAGTGTACTAAATGGGATTGGATATTCACCTGGATGGCACATGCTTTTGACTTGCATGGGTATGTCTCAGTGGAAGCGGGCATGAGATGGATCGGGACAGCATTGAAATGGGTGGAGAGAATTCTGATGACGTTGGAACATTGCTGACTAAGCACGATCGTGGTGGAGACTTGTCACAAAAACAACAGCAACATTGTCAGGTTGCGCATCTACTCCTACTTGTTTCTGGCAGCTAGGATATGATGCTCAAGTCCTTGGTGGGAGTAGTTGCATAGCATCTTCACAAAGAATGGATCTTTTAAATTCTATCCGAATTATCTGTTCGTTTCAGCAACAATCACATTGTTTGTTCGCAGCAGCACCGGACAAGCTACGTGGTCCACAAGCAACAACCTTGCACAGATGGGTCCTCTTCACAGGCAATAGCCAACTTGGCCTCTTGCGCATCGTCGTTGCTCCCATTTCACACCCAAAGAAACCTAATCGATAAGCAATTACAAACCGCCACAACTTTCTCCATCACTATGGCAACAAGCACATGAGCGCGGGTGTCAGTTGTGCCCCTAAATTCAACAAGAGCTGAAGTCGTCAGTGAAGCTCTCATCCCCTCCATCCAATCACGCTCCCTTAATTAGAAACTAGTTTTGGACATGTTGCGATACCAGGCGCGCTCTGCACGCTCGATAAAAGTAGGCTACTTGGGTGTATTGAGATGCTTTGGACGCTTTGTTTAACCAATAGCTATTGGCGTCTTTTGAATTACGTAGCCCACATTTCCTCTTGCACACTCGGTTCGAGCACCGTTCCTCATAACTTTGGCACGAGGCTATGCATCTTCCCCAGGTCGGTGGAACCAGAGAAATGGCTTGTATTCATTCAAAGGCTCATATAAGACTACCTTTCTGTAAAGAATATGATGTCGTCGTGATTGGTGGAGGACCTGGCGGTTATGTCGCTGCCATCAAAGCCTCCCAACTCGGTCTCAAAACCGCTTGTGTCGAAGGACGCGGCGCTCTGGGTGGAACTTGTCTAAATGTTGGCTGCATCCCCTCTAAATCTCTTCTACACAACTCGCACCTTTACCACCAAGCCGTCCACGATTTTAAAAAGAGGGGAATTGAAGGTACCGTTGTGATTCGACCCAAAGAGCGAATTCACAAATTTTCGTCTAACTGGCTCGTATTTTTAAACAGTCGGTGAAGTAAAGGTTAACCTTCCACAAATGCTTGGACAAAAGGAAAAGTCCGTCAAAACCCTCACCGGTGGGATCGAATTGCTGTTTCGGAAAAATAAGGTGAGTATGCCGCATGGGTGGGAGATTCTTCTCATGGGGATACACTAAAGTCGGAATAATCAACTAATCTTTTATGCCCAAATATTCCAGACCGACTACCATAAGGGATGGGGAAAAATTGTGAGTCCAAATGAAGTGGCGGTGGACGGTGTGGACGGAAGTAGTGCAACGTTGAAGACCAAAAATATTATCATTGCGACTGGCTCCGAAGTATCGCCATTCCCTGGAATTGAGGTAGATCACGGTGTCAAGTGCCTAACACTAGGACGCGTCTAACCCTTTGTCATTAAAGATTGACGAGGAAGTAATTGTTTCCTCTACTGGAGCCTTATCTCTGAAGAAGATCCCGGAGAAGATGGTGGTGATTGGAGGTGGTGTGATTGGGTTGGAATTGGTGAGCTAGTAGTTACTCTTACCCGATTAATCGTAGAGTCTCTAACAAGCAACATAGGGCTCAGTTTGGAGTCGTTTGGGGGCGCAAGTAACCACAGTTGAGTACCTCGACGCTATTGGTGCGGGTATGGACGCAGACCTTGCGTAAGTATAGTATTTTGCTATATCAGGTAGATGAGTTGACCAAAACGTTTTGGCATGATCAGGAAAACTTTCCAGAAAACTCTCACCAAACAAGGTATGAAGTTCAAACTCGGCACCAAAGTTATTTCTGCAAAGAAGAATGCCAACGGAAAGGTCGACGTTGTAACGGAACCCGCAAAGGGAGGTGCCCAAGAGCAGGTAAGACAATTCACACTTGATAGTTCGGATCCAGCGCGGAACCCTCCTGATCAACTTTCCTGTATCAGTTCGAGGTCGATGTCGTTTTGGTCGCTATTGGCCGTCGCCCGTTTACCAAGGGGCTTGGGCTAGAATCTGTTGGTGTGGAGGTTGACAATAAGGGACGGGTCAAGACCGACCACGAATTCAAAACCAACGTCCCCGGGATCCGCGCAATCGGTGATGTAATTACTGGACCCATGTTGGCTCACAAAGCTGAGGAAGAGGGTATTGCCGCCATTGAATACATTGCTGGAGGTCACGGCCACGTCAACTACAATGCCATTCCATCGGTTATTTACACATGGCCTGAGGTTGCATGGGTCGGTAAAACTGAGGCGGAGGTGAAGGCCAGTGGCGCGAAATACAATGTTGGTAGCTTTCCTTTTGCTGCTAACAGCCGAGCAAAGACAATGGGTAGGTGCATGACATAGGAGGTGGAGGTGGTGACCGAGACTATATGCAGTTGCTGATACTCGTCGTACATAGATGACTACGATGGTACCATCAAGATCATTAGTGACAAGGAGACTGACCGTATCCTTGGTGCCCACATTATCGGACCTGTAAGTGTTGCACCGCCTAATGACGTTCCCGTCACACAATTGATTGATGGGTAATTTCGTGCAGAACGCCGGCGAGATGATTGCTGAGGCTGTTCTTGCCTTGGAGTACGGCGCTTCCAGCGAAGACGTTGCACGTACTTGTCACGCGCACCCGACTCTGAGCGAAGCCTTCAAGGAAGCTTGCATGGCTGCGTATAGCAAACCCATTCACTTTTAAGCGAAATAAACTGCATTATAACATTATCCTCATCTTAAAGCCTCTTTGTCACAAAAATAGTATATACTAAAACAATCTAGTCTATGTGCAGTATCCAAATGATATGTACAGCAGAAGGTTTACTAGAGACGTTGCTAGCTTTCCAGTAAGCGGAGTGCAATATCTTCTAATGACGCACCGTCCAGGTCAGAAAGTCCCGGTTGCTTCTTGGATTTCTTGATCACAGTAGGGCCATTCACCGCAGCCGGTTGTGATGTCTTGGCGCGCTTGCGCTTCCGTGAGTTCGATCCAGATTCATTAGCTTCAACTGCGGCAACGGGCTCTTCATCGGAATCTTCATTTAGATCAAGCTCCATCAGTGCAGGATGATCATCTTCATCTCCCGATGCCGCCTCATAGTCAGATGATCCGTCTTCAAAGTCGTCCTCTCCGCTGCGGTAGCTCATTGCGTCAGATGCAGATTCGTCATCAAAGTCTTCGGCTCCACCAAGAGCTACCCCCTCATGTCCTCCACTTTCCTAAGGAAATACAAATGCATTAGTCACATATTTCGAAAGCATTTCGACCAGTAAGTAATACCAACCTCTTGCCGGGCGGCCCTCTCTTTAGCTTTCTTTTCCTTTTTCTTTTCTCGCAATTTCTCCTTCGCCACGGTCTTATCAACCGCATCAGCAACATTCATCTCTCCTCTTTGCTCCTCCAAGAATTTTTGTTGCCGGGATTCCAGGCCTTCTTCTTGCACAAACTCATCCAACGTCTCCAACTTGTACGCAAGAATGGGATTGCCATCATCGTCAAAATACATCTTTTTGCCCAATCCCCTCTCCTTGAGAGCCTTCTTCTTACTCTTGAGGAGTTGACGATGACTCAGACTCTCGGTAGGAGGCGCAGGGACAGGCAAATCTTCTATACCATGGTCCGCACGTTTGAGCGTCAAAAAGTCGTCCTCGTCCTCTGCCTCCGCGCCTTTACGTGGTCTTGATTCGGCGGCTTCTTCATCCTCCGACGTATCAGTATCTTCGCTTGCTTTTAGTTTTGCATAATGGTCTGACAAGATGGTCAGGTTTTTCTTATCAAACATTTTGTCCACCTTGGTTCGGACCTTGGTTGTCTGGATCATGCGAGAACTCTGTTGACATCAAGTGATTCCAATTCAGCTTATATCAAGTGTACGAACCTTCTTGCTTGCAGCTTCTGATTCTGACTCCGAGTCTTCGGCAGTTGGTTTTCCCTTTTCAGCGGCGGATGCATCTGCCACTTTCTCTAGTTGACGCGATGCATTCTTTTTCTCAGATGTCTGCAAAAATTGACGTTGATAAGTTGCGGATAGATCAAGTAAGGTTTACAAGATTATGTCCCCACCTTGACAAATTTAATCTTGGGAGCACCAGGTAATCCCAAGCTCTCGGCGTACGCTTCAGCTGGTAACTCCTGGACATTGAAAATCTCCTTATTTCCTTGAAGATGGACGCTTCGCATATAGCTAATGAAAGCCTTCTGGGCTAAATACTTGATTTCCGGACTTTGGGAACAGTAGGCTTGCAATTGTTTCGCGACACTCGTCGTTTTGCTCGGATTCACCCTGATTTTGGATATCGGCACTTTCTTACGTTCCAATGAAGCCATCATCCCCTTTTCCTCTGATGGAAGCAGAAAGAGTAGAGCGTTGCCAGCTGCTTCATATCTGGCTGTTCGCCCTACACGATGGATATATGTCTCTGCATCCTCTGGACAATCAAGCTGAATAACCCAATCCACTGCGGGGAAGTCGAGACCGCGCGCAGCCACGTCAGTGGCAATCAGACAAACTGCCTTCTTTCGACAAAATTGCTCAAAAATAGCCATCCGCTTTGCTTGTTTCTGCTTGCCATGGAGGCAGTTCAAAATAATACCAGGCTGCATCTTACAGAAGGTTTCGTGAACAAATCGCACCTAATATGGAGCAAATGGAGAATCGGTTATCAATAGGATAAGGAACCACCTTAAAGTAGTAATTCCATACCTGCTTGCAACTAGACACAAACACAATAATTTTTTGTTTCAGGTGGGTTTTAATGAAGGAGTAGAGGATATCGAGCTTTTGCGGAAGATCGCAGACAAGGTACTTTTGCACCAATTGCTTCGGGGTGCTACTCTCAGATTGTTCGTGAACCGCCACGTATTCCGGGTCCTGAGAATGAAGCTTGAGCGATTTATGCACATTCACCTAAGAGTTGGATCGAAAGACGTACCTTAAGAGACAGCCTCGCCAAATCTTTCACAGACTTAGTTTGCGTTGCAGAAAAGAGCAATGTCTGTCTCGCTCTTGGTAAATTTTCCACGATCGCATTGATTGTTTTTTCAAATCCCAAGTCCAGAACTCTATCTGCTTCATCCAGGACCAATATCTGCAGGTTATCGCAATTGAAATCCGGCGTCTGATCCATGTGCTGTAGCAAACGGCCGGGCGTGCAAACCAAAATGTTCATTTTGGAGACACGCTCCTGCTCAGATTTGAGGTCTTTACCACCTATGAGAAGCCCAGCGGAGAAAGTATGATTTCGGCCAATCTTCTTCAGCACGTCGAAGATTTGTAGGGCTAGTTCGCGCGTTGGTGATATGATCAAGGCGCCTACTCCATCCATTTGTGTCCAGTTTGCCCGGTATAGGACTTCGAGAACAGGGAGAAGAAAAGCAAGGGTCTTTCCTGACCCAGTTTTCGCGGCACCTAAAACGTCTCGCCCGCATAAAGACAATGGTAGCGAGGACCGTTGGATATCAGTCATTTCCACAAAGTTGGCTTTACTCAAGCCATTCGCGGTTTTTTGAGAGAGGGGAAGTTGAGAAAATTGTTTAAGCTCAGGGTTTTTCAGAAAAGGTTCCTATTTGGCAGATTAAGTAAAGCGTTCAAGGAGAATTAACGCACTCTGGTAGGTGGTTACCGGATCCTTTGTTTTCTCCGCCAAATCAGTCAGTTCGGTTTCCTCTGCGCTTCGCTTAAGCTTTCGCTTGTCCACAGGCTTTACTGCATTCCGTTTATTCTTCTTGCTCTTTGTTGACCCGCGCATGGGAGCTGTCTGAGCAGCCATGATTTTGCCAAAGGAAGATGCCAGGAAAGTTGCAAGGTTCCCATCCCAAAGGGTCGATTCCAAAAAGAAGCATGAGCCAATCACGTCGCTTCAATTTATACAAATTTGGCTTAATGAAAAACATATTGGACAATGACTCATGCTCGGCAAACTTGCTCGTCATGGCAACTAACTGGCATCATCAAAAGTTGCCCAAAAACCAACAACGTAAAAACGACTGCATCGTAAGGTGGATTTCTGAGGTCGAACGACAGATTTCCATAACATGTCCCGCCAGCAGCAGGCTATGCGCAACTTGATGCAGGGCATAAAAATGCCAAAGGGGGCCCCTGGTCGGGGTTTCTTCACGTCAACCGGTGCTCTTCTTGGTCTGACACTTTTGGGTGTGGGAGTTAACGCAAGTTTATTCAATGGTACAATCGAGATGGCCCCGCGGATGGATTCATATTGGAGTTGTCGAAGATGCTGATGCTGAACTTTGTGGGTCTTTATAGTTGACGGAGGACATCGTGCAATCAAGTTCTCTCGTATTGGAGGCACAAAGGACCACGTATATCCCGAAGGCACACACGTTGCGATCCCTTGGCTTGAAACCCCCATCATCTATGATGTTCGCGCAAAGCCCAGGAACATTGGATCTTTGACCGGTACCAAAGGTAAGTCCATATCCTTTGGAATATTTTGTCCATGCAAGTGATTGACAGAGTTGTAGATCTTCAGATGGTGAACATTACTGTACGTGTCCTCTCCCGTCCGAAGGAGCACAAGCTCCCGCAGATTTACCAGACCCTGGGTCTGGATTTCGACGAACGTGTTCTACCCTCGATCGTAAACGAGGTACTGAAGAGCGTCTGCGCTCAATTCAACGCATCACAATTGATTACACAGCGTGAGCGGGTGTCTCGATTGATCCGAGAACACTTGGTGCAACGTGCGAACCTTTTCAACATAACATTGGATGATGTATCGATCACACATATCGCCTTTAGCCCCGAATTCACCCATGCCGTCGAAGCAAAGCAGATTGGTGAGTATCGATCTGCTGATCCGGTTATGTGCAATGCAATGTAACATTTGTCCCTGTAGCTCAACAAGAGGCACAAAGGGCCTCATATATCGTTGACAAGGCGAAGCAGGAAAAGCAGTCCATTATTGTGAAGGCTGAAGGAGATGCAAAGGCTGCATCCTTGATTGGTGATGCAGTCAAGAACGCTCCTGGATTCCTAGAATTGCGAAAGCTTGACACTGCACGGGACATTGCCAACACCATATCCACCTCGAGTAACCGTGTGTATATTGACAGTGATACGCTGATGTTGAATGTGAGTGTTTTTTTTTATTGTCAACAGATTGATGGACCTTTACACTAACTCGCAATGTTTTAGGTTGCTCATAACCAACCGTAAGTCTCAAGTATGAAAAACATTTCAATTCTCTTGTTCATAATGTGTTTGTATGTGTAGTAGGAATGTGAGCGAAAAGAAATAAGTCATAAACAGACATGGCGTGAGCAAAATAAAAAATAAATAAAAAAAGAGAGACGTGGCTCAGAAAGTGGTGCGATGCCCTTCACATGTCAAATCATTTGATGGATCGCGCCTTTGTTGTGGCCAGGAGGAGTTTCCGTTTGGCTTTTGACCGACGCACCCGGAGGGCCCACAACGAGAACTCACCCCACACTGCGCATTTCAACAAAGATTGTAAACTACCCTCGTGCCATATTCTGGCAAACACACAAACGAGGGTAGCTGTCTTTTTTCTTCCAACATTAGCCCTTGGCACCTGGAAAACCCTTTCCGCTGGCAATTTTGTCCATTGCTCTCCCTCTTTACGCTGCACCGAATGATCATGTCGACAGTCGCAACACATCCTGTAGCAACGTCAATCTTCTTCTCAGCCGCAATGACATCATCCTCTCCGCTCTTTCGCTATCCACCACGCGCCGTCGCCCTCTTTGCACTAGGCTTCGGTATCTCTGTCATGATCGACCACTTTCAGCAGGAACACGACATTACTCGGTACCCACGAAACGTCAAACAGCTTTTCTCAACAGCCTCTTGGGTGCCATTGAGCTGCGGATTCGCTGCATGTTTGGTGGGAACCCTCTATCCCATCCTCGACTACTATTTTTCTCATAGATACAATATAGGATGGTCGAATGTTTTAAGGTACGTATTACTTTACTGATTTGCGCTTGTACTGGTGCTGAATATACTGCTTTTCCAGATGCTGTGGAGGATTTATTGGTATGGGCCGCAGCACTCTTGCCACACTCGTTCATGTTGTATCAACAGAGTACTAAATCTTTTCTCGGCATTTTTATTGCATCAATCCAGGTGTAAACTATGCCACATCGGTGCGTTGTTGATTCTATAGCAAAGTTTGGGTGCATGAGATGAACTAAGACCTTCAATTTTTTTATAGAAACTTCCGTGGACAAGTAGTCAACAGGTCTCGATTGTCCTGGCGCTCTCAGCAATATGGCTATGGCTGATGTTTGATCGAACCTGGCATGGGTTCGTGCTATCGCTACTTGTGGCAGTTATTGGAACCTGGGTTGCTCAGTACTTTGTCTGTAGTGGCATGTACAGGTATGATTTAAAAAGTCTTTTGAAACGTGTAGAGGGAGATCGGCAAGGCTGACTAGTGCTATCGTCTTATTCTCTCTAGTTTCACAAAGGCAGACTTTTTTGGTGTTCGTTCTTGGTTTCCCTGCATGTTGTATTCCGGATCAGTACTCTTTGGATCCATCGGACGACAGCTGACGATTGTTCCTGATGAGTATTTTGGATGCAAAAAGAAGAATTGAGGCTTCCTGCTCGTCTGCGACATGTGGCAGTCTATAGGATGACTGTCGCACGGATCAACTCGTAATAAGCTCGCAGCTCTGGTACCGCGAACGACGCTGTAGATGTTTTTCGCAAGGTGTCAACGGCATTTCGGCTGGAAAGGGTCTACAATTGTAAATAAATCATGCATTTGTCCGTAATCTAGAAACTCTTTTTTTACAGTGTTTTTTTTGTCTTTTGAGTTATTGCAAATTGCTGGTAGCTGGTGTGAATGACTCACGCGATGACCTCACCAAATCACAGCAGATCTGTGATGGGTGTCAAAGACTCCATACTGGTCCTGATCGCTGTGCATTGTCGAAAACCTCTGGGGACGCATCAGCTCCCATGTTCCAACGAGTGGGGAGTAGAAGGTGCACACAGCATCTGCTTTTCCGGCCTCGCCCTGGCGCAAATGCTCGTCCGTTTTGGACGGTCCGGTCGCCATTGACGACTCGAAATCCAGCAAGAGGTGAACTATCCAAGGCTCTAGTTGGCCTTCTGCTTGCTACTGGTGCTTTAGGAGGATGTATTCAAGCTAACTCCAAGCTGCGACCGATAAACGCTGAAGCAAGGAGTGACAATACCGAGAGCGGACATGGCCCTGCGGACCCGAAGTATCATGCAGAAGATGGAGAGCATAGATCCAGTACTCCCAGGAAAGAAAATTCCACTGGTGGATTAGAAGACACCTTGTCCAAGGTCGCCGAGCTAACGGTCGCAGACCTATCCGCCAAGCTGGCAGACTTGTTGGCTCAGCTCCCACCAAAGGACCACCAGAAGGAAGATCCTCCAGAGACCAACCATGGCAAAGATAGTACTGAAGAAAGCTCAAAAAGCCACGACAGTAAACCCCAATCAGAATTGGCAGCCAAACTAGCAGAGATTTCTTCCCATTTGAGTAATTTGGCTAATTTGGACAAACTGTCGCAGCAACTGCCTTCCGGTAGCGACATCACTGAAAAAAGCGCAACAGAACTACGGAAGCTGAAAGACCGCATTCCATCAACGCAGGAAATTGCCGAGCAGCTCGAACAGATTGCTGCCCTCATACCATCGGCAGAGGACGTGCGAAAGCTACCTGATCAGATACCCTCTGGAAGCGAAATTGCGGAACGCGCAACCAGATTATGGCAGGATGCCATAGATAAAGCCGCGGACGGGCTTTTGGAAGGAACCCTCATAGCACAGATAAAAGTCGGTATGACCGATCCGAAACGGAATCCGGAGATCGAGTGGGAGGCTAAAGTTCGCGTGGGAGCGGAATTATGCAAGGAGGAAAATGAGCGTTTGGTACAAAAGAAACAAGCCGTAGCAGATGCAATTTCAAAGTTTATTGGTGAAGATGTTGAAGTTGAGGACGTTCCAGTCATTAGTATTGCAGCAAGGTTTGTGGAAGATGACCTTATGCATCCCTCCTGATCTCTGATATGCTAATATGTAGTTAGCGGGGGCGGATGTAGGGCCATGGTGGCCAATCTCGCATCAATGCAAGCGCTCGACAAGATTGGACTTCTCAAAGGTGTAACTTACATTGCTGGTGTGTCTGGATCAACGTGGGCGATGGCTCAGTTATATTCTCTCGGCCCCGACTTTGATTCCGTTCAACAGCGTCTGGCCAAGCAACTCTCGACAAATTACCTCAGTCTCTCTGACCTGGTGGCGGCACTGAATACTCCTGAGGGCGAGCGAATTTTATTCGGCATAGTACAAAAATACTTTACGGAAAAAGCATTTTCAACAGTCGATATCTTTGGAACTCTTCTAACGGGCAGGTTACTTGTCCCCGAAGCTGCAAAAGTAGCGGCGACACGAACTGTGTCTGTGGCTGCACAGGCAGGAGACGATCCACAGACCGGAAGCGGGAAGGGCGACACGCGTGAGACACTCTCCGCCCATGAGCAGATTGATCGTGGCAAGCTCTCCTACCAACGGTGGGCTGTAGAGGACCAAAGTCTACCCATACCGATATACACGGCGGTCTCTCATGAAATTGGAAAAGATACTGGTGGCAGTCGCTATCAGGTGAGATAATTCAGATTAGCCTGTTGGATGCAGATTGCTGAACACTTGCATCTCAGTGGTGGGAGTTTACACCATTTGAAGCCGGCTTTCGGACTGAATCAGGAAGTGGGAGTGGTGCATGGGTTCCTGTTTGGTAAGGATGAGATGATTGGAGTGTTTTGACTGAATTACACATCATAACATTAACAACCTAGGGGCTTTGGTCGGGTGTTCGAGTCTGGTGTGTCTCGTGAAAAGTTGCCCGAACAAAGTTTGGGTCTCTTGCTCGGGTGAGTTCTACCAGTGCCTGGTGACATGGACCAATGCTCCTCATTAAATGTGTCCGCCAGAACCTTCGGGTCCGCCTTTACAGCCACTGTCGCGCACATATGGAATGAATTCAAAGATACGCTACCAGAAAACTTGCGAGAAAGAGTGCTACCGTTACTGGAAGATGTATCGGTCAGTGAGGTGCATTCATTCGGCTTGGAACCAAACATTTTCTCACATGGACAAACAACAGGAGATACATCCTATTTCCCCAGCGCGCTTTCCAAACATTGTATACAAATTAGATAATTTTGAACACCTCATCGAGGAAAAGACGATTGCGCTCATGGATTCTGGTTCGTGAGTCATTTCTGCCCAATTCATCACTAGTAGATATTGTCATTGCTCAACGTCACGAAACAATAGGCATGGACAACAACATTCCCTTTCCTCCGCTCTTGAGGCCAGAGCGGAACGTCGATGTGATTATCGCCCTTGATGCTTCCATGGATATTGGGGTAGACCCGTGGTTGATCAGAGCGGAAGCGTATGCCCGTGAGCGTGGGTTCCCGTTTCCTACCATCCCCAAATCCGAGGAAAGTCATGCAGGACACCGTCAGGACCATCTTCGAGAAACGACCTGTACTGTCCTCTCCACAATTTCGCAGGCCAAGTCTCCCGCTGATTTGACCCTGATATACTTGCCGTTGATTCGCAATAACGAATACGACCCTCAGCTCGACCCATCGAAAGCCGACTGGTGTGCCACCTATAATTTTACATTTACCCCTAAACAAACCGATGTCTTGAGCGGACTTGCATGCGCCAATGTTGAAAAGAATCAGGAAAAGATACGGGAGGCCATCAGAAGGGCGTGGCGAGCCAAGAGAAGGAGACGACTGGAGGAAGAGGCGCCGCAACCTGCGTGGGACGAGTTTTGACTATCTTAGTGTCTATTTCACTGATACACCTTTATTTGACTCCAGCGAGTCATGCGACCACCATATTTCATCACATATTGTAAAATAGTAACCATCATTCATAATACATATGCAGAAAAGATCTTGGTTAAATCGCGAACCACTTTTCATTCTTCGCAATACTGAGCAGGATGAATTTCTAGTGCCATTCGAGTGCGGCCCCCTGCAATAATCGCAGAGTCATGCGTGTTCTTCCATCTATTGAAGACTATCCTGTAGCCCGCCTAACCTACGTTAGGGTGGGTAGAACTGCAAGCGCTGCACATAATTGACTGGTAATGTCATATATTCATGCACCTTTAGACAGTACGATGTACAACGAACTAATCTAAAGACAATGAAACGTACAAGACGCTTACGCCTTGTAACCACGGGACTTTCTGCGACCACGAGCACGCTCAAACTTGCGGCCCTTAGACCGGACGTAAGGCCTATTGAGATAAGGATTAGATATTTGTGATCGATGATAGAGTAGTGCGCACAAGAAACCTACTTGGCGCTGCTATGGGGCTTGCCAGGAACGCCAAAGTGCTTGACGGCCTCACGGGTGTTCCTCTGACCACGAAGAAGGACAGTGCCCTTTCCGAGGGGAGAGCGGAGGGCAAGTTGGTCAAAGGTGAGGATCTCACCACCGGCCTTGATGATACGCGCACGAGCAGTGCGGGTCACACGCAGGGCAGCAACAGTGAGCTTGGGCACCTCCAAGAGACGGTTGTCGTCGGTCACAGTTCCGACAATGACGGCGATCTTGTCTTCCTTGCCCTTCATGAAACGGGCGAGACGAGAGACAGAGATAGGGGGACGGTTCACCCGGGACATAAACAGGCGCTTCAAGACGACCTGGTTGAACTTGGATTCGGTACGGCGAGCAAGGAAGCGGTAAAGCTATTCCGAAGGTACAAGAGTTAAAACCAGTCCACCATTTACAGCCACAATGGAGCAATTGCCCAATTCAAGGCGCTTTCCCAGTATACACACCTTCACAAGCATACGAAGGTACACATCCTGTTATGAAAAATACGAGAAGCCGTTCAGTCTGCTGTTTTACATTGCCGCTGTTCAATGAATTATGACCTACCTGAGACTTGGGTGCATCCCTGTGCCCCTTCTTTTGGTGGTGACGAACTCCCAAATCAACACCCTTAATGATGGCGAGAAGAAAGAGAAAAAAGGGAAAGCGGGGTCAACACATTTTGTCTAGTCGCTCCAAGTTCGCTTCATGTCCCCCTTCACAGGGGCCATGTCACTTGCGACGTTAAACCACATTCACATCCAGCAGTCGGCACGGAAGCAGGAAACCCCGCGATGGTGCACGACGCTTTCCACACTAAAAACAGATGGATGGATGGATGGGTGCGATGACCATTTTCCTTACCATGATGGCTCTTTCCTAGATGAATAAACTCCAAGAATCGAGAAGAGTGAAAGCTTCCCAACCCCAAAGCGCGACGAAATTCAACCTGCAAAACGATCGGTGGCACAGCATGGCACAGCAACACCACATAAGTTAGGGTTAAGTTTCTCCATTCCTTTGAACAAGATATTTGCAACATGCGAGCGATATTACAGCGAGTGAGCAGTGCTAGCGTGACAGGTATTGACGTCGGGTCAGTGCTTTATTCTCATGTCTGTCTTTTTGCTTCTGGACTGACGCGAGCAATGTGCGCATCTTTATAGTTAACGGTGAAATTGTGGGGAAGATTGGGAAGGGCATCTGTGTTCTCATTGGAATATCTGTAAGTGATGATTTTCACCAAGTTGCATATAACAGCAAGCTCATATTTGGCTGTACAGGGCGATGACGAGGGAAAGGACGTGAATTGGATGTAAGTCACGACCAAGAAAGCACAACCCGTTTGGCGGCTTTTGTTTATTTTATGCTTCTTATGATAGGGTCAAGAAGTTAACAAGTGTGCGAGTGTTCGAGGATGGAAATGGCAAGCCATGGACAAAGAGTGTCAAGGATCTTGATCTAGAAATTTTGAGCGGTTAGCTGATTCGTTGCGTATCACTCTTGAACGTTCTCGCTCATCGTTCATTTTACCAGTGAGCCAGTTCACTCTCTATGCCCTGTCGAACAAGGGCTCAAAGCCGGATTTTCATTTGGGTTGGTCGTCTTGATGCTACATTTCTAATTGTTTTTGGCTATTTTTATTCATATGACTTGGTTTAGCAATGAAGAGCGACCAAAGCAAGGACATGTACACGACCTTTCTAGAAAAGCTTAAAGCAGCGTATAAGCCGGAGCGGGTACAAGGTATGCTACCTATATGAAGATCATCTTCTGCTGTGGATAGATTAACTTGGGTATACTCATCATTCGATACTCTAGACGGAGTATTTGGAGCCATGATGCAGGTGCGTCCCGTGACAATACCAGAATGTGCCATCGGTTAATTCACCAGGCTCTAAATTGTAATAGGTGAACATCCTCAATGATGGGCCAGTAACACTCATACTGGACTCCCGCGATGGAAAGAAAAATGGCCCTAATGGAACATCAACATCGTCAAGCTGATGAGCATGGCCAAGATCAATTGAAAAAACATGTTAGATATTTATATGCACAATTATATAGCAAAAATGATGTGTGATTATAGGGCCACGTCTCCCCGATCCGCACTTCCCAAAAGCTCTTGGCGCTTCATCCAAGCCCACATCAGACATGCGACAAACTTGCTATTAGCGGTAGGTCGGTAACCGAAAAACAGTAGTGCAAAAAAGATGCATAAAAGATTCCATAGAGCGGACGGGACCAAATACTGTGATAGCAAAGAACTAGTCAGCGCATGACAAGAATTGACTGCCAATGTAACCGATTACCTTGACATATCGAACGACCACTGCCAGTCTTGAGCGGTCCGGGTGCAGCAATCTCTTTACCTGCCGTCTATGTTCCGCTTGATCATTTCGCAATGATGACACTTCCACCTCCAAGCTCCTCACGCGTTCAATCAGCCCATCTAAAATGCGAGAAGATGCTGATGTTTCGGATTCATTAATTGACACAGGTCGCTCTTCATAATGCGGTGGTGTATCAACGGGTTCATCAAAGTCCTACAGTATGGCAACGTCAGGCGTCCATGTCCACTGTACGGTTGTGAGCAGCTATTCCACCAGCTATTCTCACCTCTCCATGCTCGGGAAGGCTATGCGTCTCCACGTCAGACAAATCGCGCTCACTGAAATCTGCAGAAAGTCACACTATAGCGCCTGAACAAGGATGTAAAGCGAGAGATATAAACGGGTACCTCCTTCAGAATCAGTGTCAGTAGCGAGGCCCGCACGAGAAAGCTCAAAGTACTCGATGACTTCAGCCGCAAGAGGTCGGTCCGGAAACCGTTGAAGGAACTGAACGGCCATATCAGTGCTATATTCTTCCTGGAGCGGATACAGGGCAATCTAACCTTTATGACTGCATCAATGTATGCTTCCTTCGCCTCCGACGACGTTAGTTGCCGGACCTTGTTCCACGCATCCCACTTTGACCGTCCCACGACGTCCCATAAACTGGGCCGTGGTGTTGAACACGGCCCCACTGTCGCTTGCTTATACAAGCCATAAAACTAGCACAGATGCATACAATGTTTCTGTCAGCGTGCAGCTCTTGTTTTAGGTGAAACTTTTATTGAAAGCCCTCTTTCGAGAAGCGGTGTTCACCTGGAGCTTTTCGTCATTTGTGGGAACCATGGTATGTTCCTCAGGCCCCAGCGACTGAAGTACGCTCACGGCTTTTGCAAACCTCTGCTCTTGCCGTAAACTTTCGTCGTTCACCGTAGACATTGCAGCTTCTTTATCGAGGATGGCCTGTCTTTCGCAAGAGAAAGCAGAGCGTTGGACGAACGACGGTATGCACTGTTACCTTGTTGCCATGTCAACAGTGATCACCGCCAGATCCGCATCGTCGTCGTCGATTTCGTTGTCATTGCTCTTCCACTTTTTTGCACGGCCAACTCTTACTGACAACCACTAGCAGGTCATAATAAGAATTCTGCATAAATATAAGGAATTTAATGCAGATGCAGATATCCCCTTCAACGACTGGTGCGAACGAACAGTTGCAAACTCAAAAGTTGAACATCTAGTATCACGTGTAATACCAAATCGACAGCTTCCCACTTGCGCGGTCAAGCTTCGCCGAGGACCAGCGGAAGCACATTTCTTCCTTTTTACGTTTGTTGGACAACGGAACATAGTGTCGCTGATATTCTGGGGACCATGTTCAAGTCAACTGTTGGGCATGCGCCTGAGGGCGTTCCGGTGCTGCCAGATCACCAGATCGATGCGCTGCTGGCACGATTGCGAAGCGAAGGTTCCGTTGGGCCCTTCAAGTCTGTGCCCACCGTTGATGCAAAAACAAAAACAGTCGATGAGGTGGTTGCCGTCGTACAGGACGGCATACTGCACGGCATTCCGGTCGTCGTTCAAAATTCGTTTGCAGCGTGGAGAGACTCTGGGGAAAACGACCACGATCTTCATGATGACGACCTCTTTACGATTGACTGGCTGAAACAGAACGAAGAAGGTACACACTTGCTGGTTCGCAATGTATGTACAGGTGAGGACGTTGACATGTCGGTCGGCGCCTTTGTGGATTACTTGCACGAGAAGCCGCCAGAGGAGAGACAGCAAGAAAGAAACCTATTGTATGGAAAAGACATCGTTTGTCCAGGCGCCTGGGCGGAACGAACGCATCAAAGACTGCCGGCGTATTTCCAGTATAAGGGTCCCAATGACCTGGTCCCTCTCCTCCCTGCGCATTTGCAACCCGATAATCTGATGGCATACGTGGGTACGTGGATGTTGTATATTACTATGAACGCATTATATGTCTTACGTACTGCGGGTGATTGCTACAATAGGCTTCGATGGAACCAATACCCCAGGGCATACAGACCTATGCGGATCCGTAGGGCACAATGTCATGGTAATCAAATCCTTACACTAGTGCATCCTAGATTCGTGAAATTTAGGGTGCCCCCTTTAAGGTTCATGCCGACGAAGGTGCAAGAGCTATCTGGTTTCTTGCTGACTCAGGCTCTTTGGAGAAAGTGTCAAAATTTTGGCAAGAGCAAGGGCATTCAATATATGAGGACAACTGTGAGGAGCGAATCATTGTTTTGAGTTCCCGAAAATGCTTAATTTCTCAAAGGCGTCTCTCAATTTATAACAATAAGTCTTTGCTTCGCTCGAACTCCTGGAAAACGCACCGTTCACAGTGTACGTCATTGAGCAGAAACGCGGCGATTTCGTTTTAGGTATTTATCGCGCCGCCTTCTGTGCGGAGGATCGTCCATTGGCTAAAGCTCTGTACGATAGTACCTCCAGAAGCCGCACATCAGGTGCTAAACAAAGGCGGCGTCACCATCAAGGTATGCATATATGGAAAACTTCTGCTTTTCAGCGCTTGAACATGCTTTTGGTTCTGTGCAGGTGTCATGGAACAGAGTCACAGTCGATTCATTGCGGAGATGCGTGGATCGAGTTCTTGCCGAATATCAGGCGCACATGCGGCCTGAGATATATCGTATCAAAGCACTCGTACACAATACTTTGCTCTCGATGACAAAAAAAGCTGTGGACATGCAAAACGGACCTGACGAAAGATCTGTTGAGGACTTTAGATCTGTAATCGAGTGCTTTGCCGCCGTGGTGAAGGAGGAATGGATAGAGGGGTCGCCTGAACATCTACCAACCCGGTGGAGCGATGCAGATCAACCGCATTCTCGGACATGTGATTTTTGTCGAGCAGACATTTGGAATCGGGGCTTTACCTGTATAAAATGTGCTCACCTACCTGACGTATCCGGAAAGGGGGAAGAGGTTGCCTCTGCTCTTCCGCAAAATGCACGAAGATCTGAAGTTCAGACTGTGGATATCGAGCATATTTTGATGAACAGAAAGAGAGCTCAAACGGGAATAATCGAACCAATCAAGGGTAACCCGTTTGGCCAGATCTTCAGTCCTATGGAAAGCGATTCGCAAAGTCATGCACCTTCAACATCACCCAGGAAGGCCAATCGAAATGGCACAGTCGCGCAGGAAGGCCTGTTAACGGCCAAGAATTCTACACTGGAAGTCACCAACGGTAGCGAACAAGCTGAAGCCAACAACAGCCCACTTCCGCCAATACCAGAGAACGATGACGCTACAGCATCTAGTCATGGCGAGCCTAGGATACAGCGGGTCCGCAGGGACCGTAACAAGAAACCTGACGAGCCAAATGCTAACGGTACCTCCTTTGTTGGGAATGGCCAAGTAGACAACAGCAGCACTGTCAAGCAAGTTAGCACTGAAAACAGGGCTCCGACGTCCACTCCAGCGATATCAATGAAGGAGTCAAATTCTTCCACAGCTACGATTGTTGGGAAAAATGAGCAGGAGAACCGCTCCCAAATTGAGCTAGAAGACGAGTTTGATATATGTCTGGGGTGTTACGCACGTGGTCGGAGTTGCCCTCACGAAAAGGCCATGACCTTTCATCAGTATCTCCCTATGCAAACATTGAAGAGCCAATTGGAGGAAGCTGTAAAAGCGTACAATCGCATTTGTAAATCACCCGAAGGGCATCTCTCCAAAGAGTGGATAGAGGGGTGAGTTGCTACCTCCGCTCAGAGCCTCCGTTTGGAATCGTTTGTACCTTACCATATTTGGTTAGGATCTTTAATGGCTCGAGCAATGTTCTGCCAACCGCCACTATCGCATATCATATATATCTTTTCCGCACTGGGGTTCGTGTAGTCTGCATTGAATGGTTTCATTAGGCATGCTAATCCCTTTGGTCAAGTAGAGAGAGCATGCCAGATCAAAATGCTGTCACGCTTGTCGTTCTTCGGTGGGGTCGCCTCCATGGTGAGATTGAGAGTGTACAGGAAAGACCTTTGTGCAACTTCAGCTTACCGGTGGAACCTGATTGCAGGACTTTCGCGTCTGACGCTTGCGGAACACCTTACTGTGCGCGGTGTCTCTGGAACAGATTTGGTCTCCGGCTCTTTGATGTCAAAAAGGTATGATTGCTGACCCAACATGTAGTTTTTACCGTCCACTGAAAGGGCTTTTCATTGTGGTGTAATCTAGGACCGAAACTGGGTATGCCCGAAATGCAATCACAACTGCAACTGCTTGAACTGCCTCAAACGATGGGACAGCAGCAAACCAATTCCGTTCCCCATTCCTACCGGAGACATTATCTTCGTGTGTGAACAAGGGCACTATTTAGAACACCGACATTCTAATGTTCTTGTTTACGATAAGCAGTACCCAACTGGTCCCATGTTCAAGGATAACAAATTCGTAGTGGAGCCTCCTCCGGTAAAGGCCTTGTTTGACTGTGCTAGACTCTGCTTTTATTGACATTTCCTTTCGGATTCAGGCTCTGTTCAAACGAGACATTGTTGGAAAAATCCGAAGAGGCGTAAAAAGAGTTGCGGAAGAAGTACTGTCTGCGATCACCCCATCCAAGAAAGTGAAATCTTCTGACTTGGCGTTGGAACCACGATCATCACGACGGAAGTCGATCAAAACGGAGGCGATGATATCACCAAGCGCTACGACACCCACTACCGCCAAAAGGAAGATGGTACAGGTGCGTGTTTGGTCCTCATCTGCACTATTTGTATGAAAGGGAATATTCATCCTCCTGTGGCTGAAGACTAAAAGTGGCCGAAAAGTACCCCAACTCCCACCAACCATCTGGGCACCGGTGCCGGAAGAAGAGATCGATATGGAGTATCATCCGCCTACGAATACCAAGCGACCACGTCAGCCATCGACCTCCGCGCGCAAGGGCAACCCATCTACTACTTCGCACGATGGTGTAAATCCACCACACTCCGCTGTCGACGTACATAAAATGGGACCTCCACCTCCCACCTACATTCGCAAAACTAAGACTCCACGGTTGAAACTTCAGACGGAGGAAGGGCCAGATAGATCTTGTCGTGAGATTCTTTCCAAGATGGACCTCGATCCCGCATTTTTGAAAGAGTACTTTGTGGAAAGCATGAGCTTGTGCCAGGAGCGAGGACCACTGTGGGCTGGCGTGCACGCAGATGATACTTACAAGGAGATGCTGGGGTTGGCCAAGAGATGATATCCCTGTCTGACCTATTATTTCAGGTGTCGGATAGCGGCAGGTCGGCTGGAATCGTGCAAGTGGGTGTCTATGAATGGAATTGGCGGAAGACCAATGTCTATAAGCGTGCTGTGTGATATCAATGCAGTGAAAGCACCGCGGCACTTGAAGTATTCATTGATCAAGAATGATCAGGGCAATTTGCCGGTGCTAACGAGGAAACTACAGCTCAATGACACTGCCAGCACAGAGCCACACATTTAGTGTTCCTTAACGATGTAGATATTTATTGAGATCATTATTCAGTACCAAATCATTCTTTTCATGTATGTATGCAACATGAGATGTCCCTTGTTTAAGCAGCAAGGATGGTCGAAATTCCTCTCCTTTTGAGATCCGCCTGTACCGTGTCCGTTGGACTCAGGAACTCACTAGTCGGCAACAGTTTTAATGCAACCGTAGAGCTTGGACGCACATAGTCTCGCGCTGCTGCTGATCCCTTGCTGCTTTGCCATCCGAGTATGTAGGGAAGCCAATGCCAACGATTGACCGTTGCCAAGCTTGCGATTAGCCAAAAGCAAAATTCGCCGTAGGTCACTGAAAGGAGATAATAAGCCCTTTCGAATAGCTACAGACATAAACAAACATACTCACTGAATCTCAGCCCCTCTTCCTTCCAACGATCGTAACCGCCTGAACTCTTGTGGCGGTTACCTGTTGGGAACAGGCCATAATGTCGCGCCGAGGTCTCTTTTTGGGATATTGCTGCTGTTCTCTGTGATATCCAATCTGCTGCCTCCTTTGTGCTTGGGCGGGTGGAAGTATCTAGCAAGTACATAAGCATGGTACGGGTGACCATTCCTGTGTGGAATGCTGCCGCTGTGGCCACACCATCCACGTACGTCTGCAAAGCCAAATCATTAAAATCTCGTGTATGGCCGCCTTGCAATGGTCGTAATACCAATTACATGATTGAGGAAGCAAAGGGTTGGATAACTTGGCGAAGACATCAAGAGATGCAAATGTGGGGGCTTGTACTCGTCGTTCGAATTTGACCCTTGCCAGACTTTCCGGTCGATGAATGTCAGCTCGGGATGCTTGAAACCAGTAGCGCAGCAAACAACATCGGATGACAAATGCACTGTGCGTCTTTGATTGGGCAAGAGGGAGTCTTTCCCAATCATGCTTCGGGAGTCCCACTCCACGCTCACGTTCACACCCGTTGTATCAAACGCTTCTATGTGACCACGGACGTATCGGATTTTGCCAGTGCGAATGAGCTGCAGGAATCTCGGGTTGAGACAGGGCGTTGAGGCGTAAAAGGGCCGTTTGGGAGTCATTCCTCGAAGCTCATGACCGTACCAAAAGCGGCGTAGGAAACCCTCATAAAGGTAACCAAAGTCAACTGGAAGTACGGAAGATAGCCAGGCAATGACGGGCTCACGCGGCATCCTTCATCAAGGTGTCAAATTTAGCATTCGTTCCGAACAATTTAGCGATTTTATGTATCACAACGTACATCCACTTGTCATGTCTTGCCAAAACCGTAACTTCAATTTTCTCTGGTCCAAATCCAAGCATCCCCTCATTATCAGGACCAATCTTGTTGAGAATGTAGTCAACAAACTCAACCGCAGACGCTCCTGATCCTATCACCACGTATTTCAACCCTCCTTTTGGTATCTGCAAAGGTATCTGCAAAGTGTCCATTTTCGCTGAGTGAACTTTGGTGCCTGCAAAAGAGGAAAGCCCTTCCCAGACAGGGATGTTTTCCGGCCCGCAGGTTCCGACTGCGGAGATAACTCCATCAAATGTTTCACCGTCCACATCCCATGTCGAATTAGAGCTCGGAGTCACCTTCCTCACACGTATGTTGAACCGAGTGCGCTTATGGAGATCGTATAGCCGGTATATACGCTAAAGGTACGAAAATTAGCCTTGCATGAACTTTCAATAATATAAAGCGCCTACTACCTTTGCCTCGTCAAGAATTTCATCACGTTTCGGGAACTGCGTCCGGAAGCCGACCAGGGGATGGAAGCGGTAGAAAAGAGAGGGAAACTGAAGTGACGACGTCTCATTGACTCTTTCAAGGAGTTGCTAGGTATAAGCCATTGTTTCCAAGCAGCAAGTCCAGATCGTTCGTCGCTAGTTGGCGAGCCTACCTAGACCAGACTCCGCCAATTTGGTCGGACGCTTCAAAAATAACTACTTCCACACCGGACGCTAGACAGGCTGCGGCAGCGCCTATACCATTGAGACCTAGAGCATATATTTCAGAGGAAGCAGGAAATAACAACATCCCGAGTCGCGCTCACCAGCGCCTATAATCGCCACGCGGGGTGCATTAGCTTGGGGCCGGTTGCTTTTGGAAGGATAAAAAGGAGACCAGGGGAGGTTGTTCAACAATGAAATTCCCTTGAGAATAGCGTACGAAAACGAAAAGGTTAGTAGCATGATAAATAAACATAAATAAAGACCCTACCAGTGAGATGTAGTTCCCGACTGTGCCTGTAAGATCTGTCAAGAAGGCTATGATACATGTGACAACGTAGGCAACGGACGGCATTGCGCAAACTGGAAATTGGACTAGGGGTTGAAAGTAGGAATGGGGTTTTTATGTTAGAGCGTTCGAACGAAACTGATCATGTAAGGCGGCTACGCGCATGTGGCACAGTTTTGCCCTGTCGATCGATTACCCAGCTTCTTCTGGAAAGGTGCTGGACGAGAGCACTGCACATGTAGATGACCGCGGCTTCCCATCAAGATGCTTGGCTGTCTCCCTCTCCGGCATCTGATAAGATGGCATCATGGCACACCGCATTTCTTGCATTTCTTGGCGCAAAGTCGGAACTTGGAATGATGTAAAAGACTGAATCCAACTTGCAAAAGAAACATCGCTAAGGAAGAATTTATTGTACAAGTACATTGACGTAGACATTAGGCAGTTTTCGACAGCGCTCTGTGTCAATCCCAGCTATCAATTTTTCCTCCCAGAATGTGTCGCCCTCGGCTGCTTGGGCAATCGGGATCAGATATTGCTCGAGGAAGCAGTTGGTGCGTTTTTGATCCTTTTTAAAGACTTTTCCAGAAGCCTTATGGGAGAGATATGTTAAAACACCATATTTCACATATCAGAAATATAAACAAGACGGAGCGCTACCTGAGATTTCTCGAACTCGGTCGCCATACGTTGGTCAAGAGTCCGCCAACCAGCGGCATCATACTCAATATCCCTCCCAAAGCCATGTTAAAGACCATTCTGCCCATTACATCAGACGGGAGATCTGGAACTTGTGACGCGAGAACTACTGGATACGCCGCAACCGCTATGGTTATCGCGGTACCCACGACCGGGGGAAGCAGTGTACTCAAGCCAAGGCGATAATTGATGAATGGAATTCGAAGAAATGTCTCGAGATATCTTGCAGGGATACGAATGAAGTGTATTCGACGTCGGACTTGCTAGAATACCATACATATGTGAGATTGGACGTATCTAACGTACCCAAATGTCGTGCATTATCAACCTCCAATGTCAACGGACTGAAAAAAGTCTTCAATGAAGTACTCAAAATCCCCACTCCCGCGTGAAAACTTAAGCGAATTAACCTAACAGAGTTGATAAAAAACCGATAGATCTGAGCGATGCGATGGAAGAAGCCCGTATGCTGAGCCGTTGGAGGTGCTACAATCATCGGCATAGACGATGCACCATGCTGGGATACGCAGTTGAGTGATCTCAGGAAAAACATAGCAGAAAAGTTGTTGGTTGGACGCTGCAAAAGACCTCCCCAAAAGCCAATCTCCGCAGGGTGTCCAAACGACCTTACGTCATGTGCTGTGCTGCCTTTCCACAGCAGTTCTGAGCGTGAAAACACGCTGCTGCTTGATCTCTCAACTGCAATTCTACATGGCAGCCGAAACGCAATCGGAACAGCTCTCCGCCACGGACACAGATTCCGAGTCCATAGTCGTCGTTGAGAAGCCCAGCGAAGAGGACTTGGATGAAAGTCCTCTCGAGCAACAAGATGATATTCCGCCGCTTGTTGCGGACGACGACAAAGACGTCGATGCAACAGAATCAAAAACCTCCAAGACGCTATATGACGGTGCCAAAATACTATTGTTGGTGGATGCTTTGAGTGTCTCTGCACCTCACTCTCCGCCATTGGAACAATTGTCAAAAGCGGCAGTTCTTCAAGGCGATCCTACCGGTGATGCACCCGCAAGCCCCGCAGCAGCGGCAGAGCCTGTAGCGACGTCTACCGAGCTCTCTTCTCCCGGCACGGACCCAACCGCTGACAAGACACAGGACTTGTCTTCTCTTGAACCCAACCAACAAGTACCTGACCCAATAACAACCGAAACCCTTCAAACCAAGCTCGCTCCGGACAGTGGTATTATAACTGATGATAAGGATAGCTCCGAAGGAAATGAAGACGCAGGAATAGTTACTGACGATGAAGGAGACGAAGCCGAAGCCCTTCGTTTGACTAGCAATAATTATGACAAGATCGAGGATGAAATGGCCGAGGACTTGCGCGAGGCCCGCCACCATGTCGTCCAGCCGCCGACAGAACAGCAACCTGCGCATGATGTTGGGATTTTGGAAGAGATCTGGAACTCTATTTTTACACCCGGTGTCAATTCGCGAGTTCAGGGCGTTATGAATCTGTCATTTGCTGGCCTATTCCTATCGCTCACCGCTCTGGCGGTGGCAACGGGAGGCAACATGCATGTGCTCGCATTGATGGCCATTGCAATTTGCCTCTTCCTTTCTGTTCAATGGTAAGCTATGTGCTCTCTCGTAAACTCAGCATGCCATAACAGCTGACTTTTACTTTTCGAAGGTTTCTGAGAGAGCTAGCACGAATGCCACCACCGCCGGCGGAACCCATTGCAAACACTGGTCCCAGCAAGAAAACGGATTAAGTGATGAGTACTAGTGAAGGAATGAAGTGAGGGTGGGATTTCTATATATGTAGCTGTATTTTTTGGTCGTATATGTGCTGATATTGTGAATACTTATCAAGTTACTGCTGTACTGTAACGAGTTCTCCGTGTAGATGAAGGTTGCGCTATTTACATGTATATCCTTCTCATCGGTAGAATATGCATACAACACAACCATTCTGATCCGACGGGATAAGCAACAAGAATATAATTCCATATCTTGTTTGCTCAACGAATAAATTGCGTGGCCGTACCATGGCATTACTGAAAAGATTTTGCAGACTCCAAGGGGTAAAAGTTCAAACAAGCTCAATTCTAATGTACAGCAAGAAGCAACAAAAACATTTCAAAAATAAAGTAAAGAATAATGAGAAACCAGCAGACTGCCATCATCCACCTCAAGTACACGCCTACCGAACCGACTGTGCACTACACTAATGCCCTACAGCTTCTTGTATATCTTCTTTCTCCGACTATCGTATTTGAAAGTTTGTTTAAACAGCCGACTCTGATAGTAAGGCTGCAGATCATGAATACGAAGTTGCCTGGCACGCATTTCCAACTCTTCCGCATCAATTTCGACGTCGTCAGGCATTGTATCCCGCCGGAAGTAGCTGAAGCGAATGTGCTCGGCAACAATCTCGGATAGGATGTGATGAAGGAGCTCGAAAAAGTCGCGATCTCTTGAGAGATACTTGTCAAATGCCTAGAACACCAATGCGCTTAGAGAGGTCGAAAAAACAATCAGCAATGATATTAGAGGATACCTTTTCCATTTGCTTCTTAACAGAGTACTTTTGCGAGCTGATGAAGCTCTTTATAGTGACGGAAATAGCTCGATCAACATCATCTTGTCGCACAAAGTCGCGCAGATGCATCCGCGCAAATGCTTCCGACATACGGATGATTGATTCAAGATAACGGACTGTGATCGGAATACCTCCAGTCATCTTCAACAGACGAATGTAAGCTAATGCGAAATTGTTTGTTTAGGACCTTCCTTGGCCGCAATTTCACATACCATGGATTCCCGCCGGAGTTCAGAATAGAGTTTTTCCAGCTTGTGGTGATCAATATCTGCAATACGAGGGTAGACCTTATCACGGGCATACATGATGTATTTTCGCAAAAGGTCTTGTGGGATAATCTAGACCAAATCAAAGTGATCAGACGGAACATCAGCTTCCATTGCACATTGTTGCAGGCTTCAAACAAACTTCAGGCTTACATCTTCGTCAACTGGAGGTGCCAATGATTCTGAACCCTCCTCCTCCTTATACAGAGGGTGGCTGCGAATATGACTGTTCACAACGAACTGAGCCAATCGCTCGTCAACTACGGGATCTGCTACATCCTTGACCACACAAAGTACATCAAAACGCGACAGAATGGGTTCCGTGAGCTCCACATTTTGTGAAAATGGAATCTGCGTGTTGTAACGACCGCGGATAGGATTTGCGGCAGCAATTACAGCACACCGCGCCTGCAAAGTAGTGACGATACCAGCCTTGGATATGGAGATACTCTGCTGCTCCATTGCTTCGTGGATAGAAGTCCTGAATAAGGGTAATATCTGGTTTCAGGGATCGGGCCGTCGAAGAGAGACGAAAGACTGGCGGGGGGGATGTATTGACTCACCGGTCCTGATCATTCATCTTATCAAACTCATCAATCAAACAAACGCCTTTATCTGCCATGACAAGTGCACCACCCTCCAGGGTCCATTCCTTGGTGACAGCATCCTTATGCACGGAAGCTGTCAGTCCGACGGCGGATGCACCTTGCCCAGTAGTGTATACCGCACGATGTGCAGTCTTTTCAGCATACTTTAAGAATTGCGATTTGGCTGTACCGGGGTCACCGAGCAGGAGAACGTTGATATCCCCACGGAGGCGATGCTTTCCTTGGGGATTTTTGAATACACCACCAAACATGGCCAATGCCAGGGCGGTTTTAATGTCTTCGTGGCCATATATAGATGGTGCGATTGACTTTATGATCTAAAAGCGTTACCGGTAAGATCGCCGCACGACCCAACTAGACATAGTGAACGAAGGTACCCTGGTCAAAATACGTGGATCCTTCGACAAAGCACGAATGCTCTTCTGATCATCTTCAGTCAAACGGAAGCTTGCAAACGCGTCCTCTTTTTTGCTGATATGATTTGTCTCAATCACGGTTGCAAAAACAGGAAAGCCGTTGCGCGTGTTCAAGGATACATCAAAATTGTTTCGGTAGATACCAGTGACCTCCTAGAAAGGAGATGCATTACTAGAACGTTCAGCGTCTCCCTCATACCGATAACCAACCCATACCACTTCTTCTCCGGGCCGCGCATAATCCACCAAGTCCCATAAACATATTACATCTTTGTGCCTTGGCAACCGCCCGGCTGGCACAGAGCCGGGTGTTTCCTGCAACGTCATACGTTGATAGTTCCGATATACGGTCTGTGGACAGAGGTTTAGGATGGGACCCAAGGTGAGCCTGACAGGAGTTGCACTGACCTCTACGCTGTTAACGTTAAACGGCCCTTTGGATTGACAATTCGGGCAGTTACCCACTCGTATCTCGGTATTTGCATCTTGATAATAAGGTCCGATCACCGCACCACACTTGACGCAATCGTACTTGACGTACTTGAGCTGAGGGAACACTCCTGTTCGTCTAGTCACCACCCCCGTTACTCTGACCAATGTATTCAGGTGACTTTGCCTGAGGTCCCTCAAAGTCTCGCACACAGGCAGGTCCGTTATCCGAACATGAATTTCACTTTTGATTTGGTCATATTCTTCAAACCCGGAGAGAACAACTTCCAGAGCCACAACATCAAAGATTTTGAGGACTTCGGCGGGTGCATTGGCAACGTAAAACGCAAGGTTTGCTTTCGTTTCAGCTAAATGCAGATAACTAACTTCCAGAGACTCTCCATTGGCTTATGCGAAACCAGATCAGTTCATTGAACACATGAACGTTCCACAGGCCCTCAGAATACCTTCACACATGGCTTTGATCCTTTCTCCGTAGACAGATTCCCCATTTTCATTGACAAAGGAGGTCAAAAAGTGATGAAATTCACGTTTGATTGTTTGCCGAGGGCCTTCCATAACCACCCATTCGTTCAAAGGCCCTCTAACATCACCAATGTCAGCTGGCACCTCCATCTGCGAAGCAAATTAGATTATGACTTCCGAGTGCGGTACAGCGTGACTCTTACATCGCCGTCCAGATCCAACTGCAAATCAGGATCAATATTCTGTCTCCTTCGTCGACGTATTGGCATAGGCCCTTCCAAATCGTCGTCGTCTAGGGCGAGTCAGAACGGTCAGAAGAGACGAAATATCAGAAATTTCATCTTATGGTTAGATCCCCACCTTCGTCCATATATGCAGCTGGAAGCCTTCCATCCCGCCGTGCCTCTTCTCGGTCCCTTCGACGCAACTTTGCCTCGACAAGCCGCCGTGTTTCCATATCCATCTGTTCAAAGTCCTCATTCTCCAGTTCTTCGTCAATCTCATATCGATCCAATCGAATATTCTCGCGATAGTCGCTAAAAGACAAGTTAAGTAAGGACACATGATCGACGTTTTGCTCGGCCGCCGCTCGTATCGCAAAGCATACTTGTCGACATTGTCCCCAAACAGATCTTCCCCGTCCCCATCCTCCTCTTCCTCGTCCACCATGTCAAGAACATCATCAATTATAGCCTCTTCTTCTACCTCGGCCTCTTCAAAGGGTGGCAGACTTGATTCCCTTTCCCTTCCAGGGTCGTCAAGTCCCGGAGAACTGGCCCGAGCATCTGGTGCAGGAGAGGTTGCACGAGGACGTTTTCTGTCAACCTGATTAATATTCGGAAAGAAACGGTAAGACGCTACGGCAGTAACTAGGGCAGAATGAAGCGATAACCCACTGAGCAAGGTGCCTTACCATTTGGTCTTGCTCACGATTTCTTAATGGTACAAGTGTTTCTTTTGAACGGAGTGGCAGATACACGAGCTATGTGTGGCCGCACAATCCCTAGCACAAGTTCTTTGCCGGGTGCGTAGGACAGATGCTGGACGGGAACGGAGGAATAGATATCTGCTCGAGGTCCTCAAAATGTGAAATTCGTGTCCGAGATGGACGGACATCCTAAAAAGGATAAATGAATATGCTTGCAGCTATGGATGTGTGTCCGAACATTTGGACTTCAACTATGAACGCTTTCGCTCTGATCAAGTGGACCAGTTACTGTCCTCATGTTAAAGCGACGTTGCAGAGAAACATTTACATAGATACATCATTACAAAGAAAGAAAAATCACAGAAAATGGACGGTGTTATCAGAGTCCGGAACAGAGGCAAGGAGTTGGCAGTTATCGACGGATTGAGCCGAGCCAAGATCCTGTGTCAGCCATCACGCTAGACGTTCCATCGTCACCCTCGTAGGCCTCCAGTGTTAAGGGATAGTCGTACTCATAATCATCTCTTGGGGCCCTATTGACAATGTAGAGCCGGTGGTCCTTGATGGAATAGCTATCTTCGTCAAGCCTCGTATATGACGAGTATTGGAGGCTAGGGACAGTACTATTCAAGGTAGTACTTTTCTCATTCTCTAGTTCCATGTTGTGAATTTCTTCTTTGGCGCAAATTGAAGAAGACATGGTCGCCGGTGCCTCACCCGGGAAGGGGACGACGGTTGGGTATTGGGCGGGATCAGTAAAATATCCCGTGGCGGGATCGGCTGGCTGAGGCGTTAGGATTGCACCATGTGCGGCATCTGTAGTAGGAGCGTAATCATCCGGATATTGGATTGCAGGAAATGGTGCCTCTGGAACATAAATGTACTCATACTGAGGTTCGTTGGCCGAAAATCCGATTGTAGGGTAATCGACGGCTTTAGAAAGGGCACCGGTGTCAGTATTGTCCATCGTTGGCGTTATGTCTATGTGTGGATTCGACGTGGTATTGGACACGGTGGCCACGGCACCGGGGTCTCGGCGGGCTTTTGCCCTCTTAAACTGGCGGTCGTATCGATTGTCCGGTTCGGTGGACAAGTCCATCTCAGCTATCAGTTTTGCGTGCATATTCCTCAGGGTTAACTGCCGACGCTTAAACGCGGCGAAATAACCAATGCCTACAACCAATTGGGACACAGCTATTCCCGCTACTACGTAAATCCAGCGATTCCGAGAATTATCCGTACCACCAGAACGGATGGTAGAACTGGGAGAACTTTGCACATCTGGAGCCACCGCAATGCCGTAGATACCCAGCGCCAATGAGGCAAACCCAATCAGGAGCGTATTAATCGACAGAATGGCATAGACCAAAAAGGGACCCTGTTGGTAAGCCTTGGTTTGGCCCCTACTGCATAACAAATGGAAGAACCCGCCCAAAGCCGTAGCAAGAAGTAAACTTCCGTATGCATAGAAACCTATGTGAAGCGCCATCGTCAATACACCGAATGTGTCCATCAAGATTGCAAGACGAACCGATTCGTATAATGGATTTCGCAATGGAGCTGTCAGTGTGCCATTGTGGAAGGGAGTATCCAAAGAGTGATGCAGGAACAATTGCAGTGTAAAGAATGAACAAAGAAACAAGTAGGGCACATGTATTGGCCAGAAGAATCCCCACTCCAAGGCGGGTTTCCGAGACACCCATGCTTTATAATGTTGACCTGTATGAGGCTTTTAGATGAAATTGGAAAACAACAACAAGACGGACGGAGCATCAAGCAAGATCTATAAGTAATTTTAAAAAATCCTGTCGGCGCAGACTCAAAAGATAAGAATCGAGGGGGGGAATCTCAGCTGCACGGGGGGAGATGGTGAACCGTCAAACGCGTGAGCGATCGACTGCTTACGTGATTCAGATCACGTTTGTTCTTAGTTATCTTGTTGGCATGGCAATTTCGTTCTCGCTTTGCTTTCGGCGGAGGCCTACAGGACTTTTTCCATTGCCCACCTTTTTTTTCATTTCACAACTTTGGCACGCAAGATGCTCGTCCTTCCAGGCTCGGTCGCTCTGTCCGCATTTAGGACAGAGAAGCTGCTGCTGGATGTGAAGACTCGATGCAATGCCATAGCCGACATACGAGCGTTCTACGTCCACTTTGTTCGCACCTCGGATGCCTTCTCGTCTTTGTCGCACGAGAAGGTGGAAACAGTCACAGCTACTCTGAACGCACTCCTACGATACGGCTCTGTGGAAGCAAACACTTTTACCAAAGAAGAGCAGACTTGGCGGCACGCTCTGGCCACTGGAAGCCGCTTGCCTGCAGATGGAAAAGACGCCCGCCAGCTCTTTCTCGTTTTACCGCGACCCGGAACCATTTCCCCGTGGTCATCGAAGGCTACTGATATTGCTCGCACTTGTGGATTAGGACAGTATGTGAAGAGAATCGAACGCGGTATCGCTTTCTTTGTGCATACCGATGGCGGGAAATCAGTCTCGGATGCCGATTTAAGCTCGTTTGCCGACCAGTTACACGATCGTATGACTCAAGTCGTTCTTCGTACCATTCCTGCGGAAGGAGCAGTCTTTAATACTGGAGATCCCGCGCCTTTAAAATCCGTCGATCTTCTTGGCGCTGTCAAGTCAGGGGGCAATCCACGAGCAGTTTTAGCTGAAGCGAACCGGGCATGGGGCCTGGCATTGGCAGAAGACGAGATTGATTATTTGGTTGAAGCTTTCTTGCACCCTCCAGCAGGAGAGAAACCTCGGAATCCCACAGATGTTGAGCTCATGATGTTTGCCCAAGTGAACTCGGAACACTGTAGACACAAGATCTTCCGCGCTTCCTGGACTATCGATGGGGAAAATCGCGATCATTCATTGTTTGACATGATCAGGAATACATACAAACTTCACCCCGAGCACATCCTCTCCGCATACTCCGACAATGCTGCGGTATTAGAAGGGCCGGAGGGGATTCGATTCTCCGCTGATCCTGCAAACCAACATATCTACAATGTCAACATCGAGAAGCTTCATACGCTTGCGAAAGTTGAAACGCACAACCACCCAACAGCCGTGTCTCCGTTTCCTGGCGCATCAACGGGCTCAGGTGGAGAGATACGTGATGAAGGGGCGGTGGGTCAAGGATCAAAGTCCAAGGCAGGTTTGACTGGTTTTACCGTTTCAAACCTTCGCGTGCCGGGCTTTGTTCAACCGTGGGAGGCCAGGGAAGACGTCGGTCGACCGGGGCACGTGGCGTCACCCTTGGAAATCATGATTCAAGCTCCCCTTGGCGGTGCAGCGTTCAACAATGAATTTGGCAGGCCGAATTTGGCGGGCTATTTCCGTACGTACGAAGATCGTATTGCCACGGATAGTAGTTCAGAAGTGCGTGGTTATCACAAACCTATCATGATTGCCGGCGGTATGGGCACCGTGAGGCCCATGCATGTTTTCAAAAAGCACATCGAACCGGGGGCAAAGCTGATCGTCTTGGGAGGGCCATCAATGCTGATTGGATTGGGTGGTGGAGCGGCTTCATCAATGAGTCAAGGGCAAAGTTCGGCTGAACTTGACTTCGCTTCGGTGCAGCGTGAGAATCCAGAAATGCAGAGGAGAGCACAGCAAGTCATTGACACGTGTACTTCTTATGGCGACGACAACCCACTTGTGGCTGTTCATGACGTTGGCGCGGGGGGCCTATCGAATGCTCTTCCAGAAATTGTTCATGATTCTGATCTTGGCGCTGTATTTCAGCTGCGTGATGTGCCATGCGATGATCCGCGTATGAGCCCTATGGAAATATGGTGCAATGAATCGCAAGAACGCTACGTACTTGCTGTCCAACCTGAGCATCTGGAACTCTTCAAAGCTATCTGCGAACGTGAAAGATGCCCATTCGCCGTCGTAGGGGTCGCTACTGCTGAGAAGCGACTGAAATTGGAGGACTCTCTCCTTGGCACCACACCCATTGATCTGCCAATGTCGACACTCTTTGGTAAGCCACCCAAAATGCATCGGACTGCGACCACGCTCTCGCCAGAGCGACCACCATTCAAAATGCCGCTAGGCGCCGACATTCAAGACGCTGCAGAACGCATACTCCGGCTTCCGGCTGTTGCATCCAAGTCATTCCTAATCACAATTGGCGATCGAACGGTGACTGGCCTTGTTGCTCGAGACCAAATGGTAGGCCCCTGGCAAGTGCCTGTAGCAGATGTATCGATTACGTTCTCGAGTTACGAAGGGTATACGGGCCAGGCGATGGCACTGGGAGAACGAACACCTCTGGCGTTAGTAAACGCCGCAGCGTCAGCGCGGATGGCTGTCGCAGAGGCGCTCACTAATTTGGTGGCAGCTAACGTCGAGGAGCTGGGAACGGTACGTCTGAGTGCTAACTGGATGTCCGCTGCGGACCATCCGGGAGAAGGTTCTGCGTTGTATGATGCTGTCCAAGCCGTTGGCCTCGACCTGTGTCCAAAATTGGGTCTGACCATTCCGGTTGGTAAAGATTCCATGTCCATGAAGACAAAATGGCGCAGTCCAGAAGGAGAGGAGAAAGCTGTTACAGCGCCGTTGAGTTTGATCATCACCGCATATGGTCCAGTCACGGATGTGCGACAGACTCTCACTCCACAGCTTCGTACTGGAGAGGAAGAGACCACCTTGATGCTGATCGATCTTGCTTGCGGAAAACAGCGGCTTGGCGGAAGCTGTTTGGCTCAAGTTTATAATGAACTGGGGACAGAAGCGCCGGATGTTGAAAGTCCTCAAGCCCTCAAAGCGTTCTGGGATGCGATGCAGATAGCCCGCAAGCAAGGACTAGTGTTAGCGTACCACGACAGGTCGGATGGTGGTTTATTCACTACTATTGTGGAAATGTGCTTTGCCGGGCACGTGGGCTGTAGTATCGACCTTTCCCCGCTAGGAGGATCTGATCCGACCGCAGCTCTGTTCAATGAGGAGCTTGGTGCAGTCATTCAGGTGCGAACTTCGCAGGTTGACCAGGTACGCCGAGTCTTCAAGGAGGCCGGGTATCCATCGGTGCACCTTCACAGTATCGGAGTTGTTGGACAGACTGGATCAGATGCAATTACCTTTTCATGGGGAGCCTCGGTACGACTAGTGGGTTCACGACTTGTCTACCACAGGAGATGGGCCGAGACGTCGTATCGAATGCAGGCACTTCGTGACAATCCGGAGTGTGCCCAGGCGGAATATGATTCTCTGTTGGATGTCCACGATCCTGGGTTACGGGCAAAATTGAGCTATAACCCACAAGAAGATATAACACAGAATATTATCTTGAAAACTCCTTCGAACAACATTCCCCGTGTTGCTGTGTTGCGTGAGCAAGGAGTCAACAGTTATGGCGAAATGGCATTTGCCTTTTATAAGGCTGGATTCCAAGCTGTAGATGTCCACATGACCGACATCCTGAGCGGCAGGGTAAATCTTGACGGTTTTGTCGGGCTGGGGTGTCCCGGAGGATTTAGTTACGGGGACGTGTTAGGCGCTGGTGCTGGATGGGCCAAGAGCATTCTGTTGAATTCGCGCGCCCGAAGCATGTTTGCTCATTTCTTCGAGCGAGAAAATACCTTTTCATTGGGCATCTGCAACGGCTGCCAAATGCTATCTGGTTTGAAATCGCTGATTCCTGGTACAGGACACTGGCCAGCTTTCATGAGGAACCGAAGCGAGCAATTCGAAGCCCGTGTGGCTATGGTTGAAGTCCTGCCGACCGCGAGCATCTTTTTGAAGGGAATGGTAGGGTCACGGATACCAATCGCAGTCGCCCACGGGGAGGGGCGCGCAGAATATCCGGGGGGTGCTAAGCAAACCGAGGCGGCCATTGTGGACGGCACAGTTGCCCTGCGGTTCATAGATAACTACGGGGCACCAGCCGGTCGTGAGCGGTACCCATTCAATCCCAACGGAAGTGATGGCGGTATCACTGGGGTTAGCAGCAGGGACGGTCGGGTCTTGGCACTGATGCCGCACCCTGAGCGTGTAGTTCGGGCGTGGGCCAACACATGGGGGATTGATGTGGATGGGCGGGCAACCGGATGGGCTGAAGGAGAGTGGGGAGGATGGATGAGAATGTTTATGAACGCTAGAGTATGGGTGGAGGAAACGAGGGCGTAAAGAGTTTGATTTTTGAACATTGTATAGAATGAGCACAATTCATTATTTTTAGTAGATTAACCGCAGACACCATGACTGGAAGATTTAGCATTTGTATGCCCACGCTTGAGGAAGAGGGAAGCGATGGCGGGATTTCATAGGGCGACCATGAGCTGCTTAACCACGCTGCAACTAAATGCCAGAGGGCAACATGTCGGTCAGCAGGTAAATTGATGTAGATCTGTGCAATATCGTCCAAAGACTGGGTGAGGCGAATTGTCAACCAACCACGACAGCCAATGTCGTTCGAGGCTGGTCTTTTTACAGACAAAGGTGACTAGGTTGAACAGAAAAGCATCTGTCTGCTGCTATTCCTATCGCAAGTTGATGCACTGACGACGATGCCGTAAGAGGCACTGATGCAATGGAGCAAACGCACCCTCTCAGGTTGGGCCGGACTCTTTCTTAAGCTCAATGAGCATCTACTCATTGAACCCACTGCCATTTAGTCTCTGAACTGCATCCATCAAATGGACGGCCAATTGTAAACGTTCCATCTGACCGAATTTCAACGGCCTCGATCGAAATGAACGCTTTGAGCGCATCCCCGCCCTTTACAAAGGAGTCCTAGCTGGGAGATTTTTCCGGGGTTCTGATTTCTCGCCAAGGTTTAACTCTTTTTCCCACCGATTTCGTTCACATTTTCCATAAAATCACCGTCGTAATCTATGAAAAATACCAAGGATGGGCAAATGTGACCATTCTCCAGAAGCAACCCTGTATCCTACCCGTTGAGGGTCTTTTTATCTTTCTTCGTTGGTCGCATTGTCCACTATACGGCACATCACGGAGGGCGATTGTCGCTATTTATAGCAGCGACAGGACTGATTTCGTGTCACGGGTAGCAAATCGCTAGGATTTCTCAACCATCGACAGCGGTTGTGCAAACGAGAACCCTTTTTAGCTATGAGCATTGCATGGTCAGATTTGATAATAGAAGAAGATATCGCGGCGGGCAACTTTGGAGTTGTAAGGAGGTATGTCCTTTCACTGGCTGCTCTCCACGACGCATGAGAAGCTGATGCTGAGAGTGTTGATTTCCAGGGCAGATTATCTGGTAATGCCAGGTTTCATTTATATCGCTCTGGTGCATATGCACTGACATGTCATATATCGATCTACCTGTAGGGCACCGACGTTGCCATCAAAGAATTCCTTGACATTGCCGATCAACCAGACTTTAATCTGCAGAAATACGTGGGGAGAGAACTGGAGATTTTGAGGTACATTGAGGACTTTTCAAAGGAAGATAAAGCGCTGGCTCATGATATGCCTTCCCCATTCTAGTGCCTCACGACATCCCAACATTGCTCAGTTTATGGGAAGTTGTGTCCATGAGAACAAGGTAATCCGCTTTTTTGTTAGCGCTACCCGGTCAGTTTTACTGATTTCTCAATTGAAGGTTTATCTCATTACAGAGTATGTCAGCGGCGGGAACTTAAAGAAATGGATTCAAAATGCCACCAAGCCGGCGTCATGGCGTCTCCGAGTTAGTTTTGCAACGGAGTGGGTACTGACTGTTAAATCTCTAAATCAAGTTGAAAAGTGCTCATTTGCGTGAACAGCATTGCTCGTGCTCTAGTGTACTTGCATGCACACAGTATCATTCATAGGTAAGCTAGGCGACATCAGCGGATTGTCGACTGGAATCCGAAATGCCTAAGAGAATGACATTGTCTGATAGGGATCTTAAATCTGAAAATTTACTGGTCACTGAAAACTGCCGTTTGAAGCTTTGCGATTTTGGGTTGTCAAGGTAGGTGAAAATAAATGTTCATTGCCGGTACTTGTGTCAACCAGTCTTCGGGAAGCATAGAGAAACAGCCAAAACAGCCGAGGAACTCAAAAGGATGTCATTTTGCGGGACCGATGGATATATGGCACCAGAGATCATGCTGGGAATGGACTTTGACGAACGTGTCGACGTTTTTTCCTTCGGGGTTATTCTATGCGAAATAGTGACATGGTCGGTAGCCGACCAGGAACACTTTCGTAGAGAAATTCCATACTTTGGAATCGATCCTGCAACCGTGGTGCCGGATGCAGGTTGTCCGCCAGAACTATTGAAAATAGCTCTCTCATGTACCGATGCCGACGCGACCAAGAGACCACAACTTAAGGAGGTACTACAACAACTGAGAAAGCTTGAAGTGGATCTCGCCAAAGAGGAACCTGTAAATCTAGGAATACTGGCCCCAGAGCTACCGCTGATCAACAGCATGCGACATTACGGATCCTCAACCAGCATCGATAGTGCAGATGGAGACTCTTCATCATCTTCCATATCACGTGGGTATTGCCAGCATACGACAACAGCTGTCTAAGCACTAACCTTTAATGATATCTCATTGTAGTCGCACGACCACGGTCTCACACTGCATCCCAAACCGATCTAAGAATAGAGACACCTCCATCTAGTGCCATTTCCTCGTCATCAAACAAATCACCCTCCCAGTCTCTTCTAACTGACGAATGCGTTGAAACCCCCGCATCTGCGTCACCGGGACAGCTCACTTCAGGGTCAAGTCCGATTCGGCGAATTGGCCATTTTGTGCCCCACCGATTTTCTCTCTTCGCGACTCCAACCCTAAATAAGTGTCAAGCGTAAGCTGCTCCTGAATCCCGCTCAAAATGGAGTTTGGTCGGCTTAGCGTTTTCTAATAGGTGCGGCAAGCGTGTTGGCCTCGGCCATAAGCATCTCTCGTGCGATGGTGAGACATGGCCGTCGCCCCTTTTGAATTATAAGAATGATTGACCGCTCATGATTTTTCAGATTGCTCTGCCGTCTACCACAGAAGATGTGCAGCACAAGCTCCACCCACCTGTGGCCTACCAGCAGATCTACGGTCTTCTTTGGCCATACTAGATCCGAGTTCCTCGCACGGCAAGCAGCGTGGTCTCACAGGTTCTATTTCGTCGAATAGAGATCACCTACAAAAGGCTGTAAATTCCCGAGAACGGGCAGCCATTAGTTAGATGTCTGTACTCAAAGGCTAGTCAAATAGTTGATGGAGGTGAAGCGCAAAACACCGACGTGCTTATGTAATGTGTGGCGATCACATTCGAACCCGCCACCTTAGATGGGTTTGAAATGCATTTTATGGGTTTGTCGCCGCCGTATTTTTTATCCCCTAGCAACCATTTCCTTGTATTGAATTTCCCGTGGACAAACGACTTCTCGTTTTTCTCGTCGCTCGCCCGCATCCTTCATCCCCCTTCATCCCCATTTTTGCATCATGATCGTGGCGCGTGGAGTCGCACGTATCAGCCGTAAGGCTGCCGCTCAACTGCGGAACCAGACTGGTGAGTGTTGCGCTCGCGTTGGGGGGAAGCACCGGCTGCCACATCTGCTTGTACGCGACCTTGGATGGCGAACCTCAAAGGCACGAGCAGGCGCATAGGGAATAGCAACACTGAAAGATATGGAGGGCTGGTTGAATCTATAATGGACTGGAGAGAGTTCCTCGTGCATGATGCGAGGTGTCCGGGAGAATGGTCAATTGCCGAGGCTGCGACGCTGTTGCAAAGTACTGCTGCTAACGTGTTTCGTTCTCCTTTTCTCCAAAGTCCGTTCCCTCGCTACTGAGGCCGGTAGCACTGGTGCAGTTCGTGCTGTTATCGGTGCCGTCGTTGACGTTCACTTCGAGTCTGGAAACTTGCCCCCAATTTTGAACGCTTTGGAGGTCCAAGGTCACGAGTCCCGTCTTGTCTTGGAAGTTGCCCAGCACTTGGGGTGAGGATTTTGTACTTTGATGATTCTACAGTTGTTGTACGAGAATTTAAATGCAACGATAATCAGTGAAAACACTGTCCGTACCATTGCCATGGACGGTACTGAGGGTCTTACCCGCGGTCAGAAGGTTCTTGACACTGGCGCACCCATTCGTGTACCTGCTGGACCCGAGTGCTTGGGTCGTATCATGAACGTCATCGGTGAACCCGTCGATGAGCGTGGTCCCATCAAGACCAAGCAGCTTCTTCCCATCCACGCTGACCCTCCGGAATTCGTGGACCAGTCCACTGTTCCCGAAATGTTGGAAACTGGTATCAAGGTCGTAGATCTTCTTGCCCCCTACTCTAAGGGTGGTAAGATTGGTCTCTTCGGTGGTGCTGGTGTCGGAAAGACTGTGCTTATTACCGAACTCATCAACAACGTTGCCAAGGCCCACGGTGGTTACTCCGTTTTCTGCGGTGTCGGTGAGCGTACTCGTGAGGGTAACGATTTGTACCACGAGATGATTACGGCTGGTGTCATTCAACTTGATGGCCAGTCTAAGGCTGCCCTTGTGTATGGTCAGATGAACGAGCCCCCTGGTGCCCGTGCCCGTGTTGCTTTGACCGGTTTGACGATTGCTGAGTACTTCCGTGACCAAGAAGGCCAGGATGTGCTTTTGTTCGTCGACAACATTTTCCGTTTCACCCAGGCCGGTTCCGAAGTATCTGCCCTTCTCGGTCGTATTCCCTCCGCTGTCGGTTACCAGCCCACTCTTGCAACTGATATGGGTGGTATGCAGGAGCGTATTACCACCACCAAGAAGGGTTCGATTACGTCTGTGCAGGTATGTTGGGATACGTCTGAGATGAAGGGGTGGCGAGAGATATTCACGTTTTGTCTATGAATCCTAAGGCCATTTACGTGCCCGCCGATGATTTGACTGACCCTGCCCCGGCTACCACTTTCGCCCATTTGGACGCCACCACTGTGTTGTCCCGTTCCATTGCCGAACTTGGTATCTACCCCGCTGTGGATCCTCTTGACTCGAAATCCCGTATCTTGGATCCCCGTATCGTTGGTGACGAGCACTACAACATCGCCACCGGCGTCCAGCAGATTCTTCAGAACTACAAGTCCCTCCAAGATATCATTGCCATTCTTGGTATGGATGAATTGTCTGAAGAGGACAAGCTCACTGTCGAACGTGCCCGTAAGATCCAGGTGAGAAATCCACTTTGTTAACTTCTATCTACGAAAGAACTCTGCTCACGATTTTTTTTATCGCCAGCGTTTCATGAGTCAGCCGTTCACCACTGCTCAAGTCTTCACTGGTTACGAAGGTCGTTATGTCTCGCTTCAGGTAAATATATTGCAGAATTCTTACCGACATGTACAATATCGTAACCTTTCTTCAATTTTTAGGATACCCTCCGGTCTTTCAAGGAGATCTTGGACGGCAAGCACGACGGTCTTCCTGAGGCTGCCTTCTACATGGTCGGCGATATTGAGGAAGTGCAGCGGAAGGCAGAAGAAATTGCTAAGCAAGCGTAAACCATGTAAAATACCATAGGGGGCTGGTGGTGCAAAAGTCTTGCGGCTGTTGTACCAAACGGTAATATATAGTTATTGTGTTGAGCACGACACGGAAGGCCCAATGGGTCCGCACAATCGTTTCATAGCCGCCGGTGAGGGTGGAGTATACCGGGCGGGTCTAGAATACAGACAGTGATCCTCATTTAACTTGCAATTCGTTTGCATACCTTGTCAGTTGGTCCTTTGGTATTCCGCACCGTATGCCCGTCGATGAACAAACAGGGACACGGAAGAGAGACTTGAGGACATGATTTTCCTTCATATTGAAGTGAGATGAGCTGGAATGATCGAGCTGGAGTCTGGATTACAATGAGGCACTCCGAGGCATTTGCGATGGTTTTAGTAAGTGAAATGATCACTGTCTGTACACGTTTTGTAGGGTTGCCTCTCGTTTCACTGCTACTTTTTGTCCATGACTGGCCATTGTTAATGGGAGACAATGGCCTACAAGCCTTCATCGCTTATTCACTTTATCAAAGTTGATTTCTGCAGTCAGGCACCTTTCGGAAAAAGGAATTATGTTCAAATTGAAAAAAATCTATATTGTAGCATCAAGGCTACTCTATTGCTTACAATACCCCCGTTTCTTATATAGTCGGCTCGAAAGATATATTCTCCGATATCTTAAATTATTCCTTCAGAGGCTGCTGACGGTGAAAATGTCAAACGATAAAGTGGAAATGAAACATGGTAGAGCATAAAGTGCGGGGTATCTAGTATCCAGTGTCCCAAGGGTAATACTTTCTAAGCACAGGCTCCGGAATTTTCCCAAGATTCTCTCGTAAAATAGAAACGACGGCGTCCACCGGTACTTTCATATCATGCTGAGCATTCTCTGATGCCAAAGCAAACGGCCAGTAGGTCTGCCCCAGTAATGCTGACTGCTCCCACCACAAGATTTGGAATCGATCTCGAGGAACAAATTCTATGAGCATCGTATTCTTGGGCGCAAACCAATGGTTATGGAATGCGCTCCCATGAGGCCCGAAAACTGCTCGAACAGATGACCAAAACGAGACCACCTCCTGCATCGTCGAAAATTTGCGGTGATCGTAAATGACGAGTTCCTCTCCCTGCTGTCGCTCCTCCACCAGCTTCGTTACGGCGCTCAGAAGGGCATCCTCGTTTACAATTCGTCGACCTCCGTTAAGCGTATTATCCTGATTTCGGGAGAGGTAAAGTACAACCTTCCGTTCGGACATTGGACGGGTGCGAGCTACACCCATGAGTTCTGCAAATCGGATCTGGAAGTAAGGGTGTATCAAAACGCTCCGGCATGGAAAGATAAGCGTTTCGGCAGTTATTGGTGAGGAGACTAGGTGGTCTGCTTTAACACCAAATGCTAGGTTCCACATCTCCTTTACTGGTTCTTGTCGCTGCTTAGCCCCGGACACAACGTAGGTATCTGTATCTATGTGCTCGCCCGCTTGAATGGCAAGGTGGGTGGTACGATCTAGAAAATGCTGAAAGCTCCACGAGTCGGGGGATGCTGCGAACAACGCCTTGCGGACCTTCTTGGCTGCTCCATTGGCAACTGGACGAAGCATCGCTGAAAAATCCGTGTCCCATGCCATGCATGCGCCTGCTGACCATGAATCTGCCAATGGAGTCGCTTCGTAACCAGCGTTTGTCAAAATGAAATTCTGCCCAAACTGCCCGGAATATCGCGCCCAGCCATTGTGAACCCAGTGCATCCGGCCATGAAAGTCTCTACGAGGGTCCGTGACTGATGACACCCAGTAGTTACGGTATGTGGCATTGTGGAAGCCGGGTTCGCGGATCTCAAAATCTGGAAAAATAAGCTCTTCAGCTTCCGCGATGCACGGTGCCGTCGGATTAAGGCTGCATGAGGATCCCTGGTTCATTCTCTCCTTGATACACGGCGCAAAATGCGCGGGCATCCATGTTGAATCGCAGCTTGAATATACATATGGTGCCCACTTTTTAGATTCCTGGCCATTAGTAGCATTATTAAGAATCCTTGGCTTGCTTTGCTTTCAAGATTATCCAGAATCACGGATATTAAAGTTAGAATACGGCACTCAAGAGACGCTCAGGTTGCGAGCAGTATCTGGCTACGATCGAACTTACTGGCACGCTGTCTTGTCGCGATTCAACTTCAACCGAGCGCGGCACGCGCAACACAGTTAATGTACTTGTTGTTGTTCTAGAGCCTGCAATGTAGGTGCCAACAAAAATCGTGACGAGCAGCACCTGCAGAATGATGACCTTCTTTGTTTTCATCTACTCTATTTTGCGTCCGGGAGGGTTGACGATCATCCATAGTCGCCATTCAGCGCTTGCGAGATCCTCGTTTGATTTCTCGGGGGTCCCCGACGCGATTACTGTGAGTTGTACGTCAGCCAACCCTCAAGTTAGGGTACCTCAAGGGACCTCATCCATACAGTTACATAACATTTGGGGATATTGTTTAATGCTGGTAGTGAAAGCGATTGTCAATATAAAATCAGGCTCAAACCATCTTACGGTAAATACAAGGCCTCATCACTGTTCATCAGGCAGTGAGGTGACAGGAGGATGCCATTCAACTGTTTCATACTGGCGATTTTTTTTTACATATCGTAGACCTTTAATCGCCTATCGTCGATAAGGAGGGATTGTCCCTAAATTAAGTTAATTCTTGTTGCTGTTGAGTCGGGCCCGCCAACTTTTGAGATCGTTGCTGCGCACGACTTGACGGCTTATCGCTTAATTAGAGGCATGACAATTAGTAGGAACTTTGTTCCTTTCAATTAATTTTGCTGAAGTTTTCTGTCTCGAATAAACGTTTTCTCCCTCTACTAGTAATAAAGAAACTGGCTGGGTTGCGATTGCCTTATTGCCTTGGACCATACCTGCGGAGAAGTACGCTTGGAATTTGCCAGAGATCATCTCGCCTCGAGATCTCGGTTAGAGACAGTTCATTGATGGCCTATTTGTGTATTGATGTACTCTGCTTTTCAAGAAGTTGGCTATTTGAAAACCTGGCAGCTTCATTCGTCCCTCATGTATTGTTGTCAAGAAGACATGGGCTGCAGGCGCAACGGTGCTTTTATGTGCCGAAACTGTATAGTTCCTCCCCAGGATCCTCTCAGGGAACTGATACCTCCTACGCTTGTGCCTCGCACTCGTAATCCTTTTTTTTCAGCGAAACTTTCTTCCAACAAAGCTTGACAAGATTCCAAGCGACATTGGCATCTTGGGATACACGCAATGTCCCCCTTTGACCACAAGTGTCATAACCAAACGGACCAAGTTGGTTCATTTTCAAGGAAACTTGATCAACATTTTACGCTGTGATGGTCCTTTCCCGGAGCGTATAGTAAATGAAGAGAGCTGTCATCAATTTCCCATAAGAGTGCTAACCAGAGCATCCGTAGTTGCTGAGAGAGATCAAAACAGCTGTTGTTTTACATAGGCGCTGCAACAGAGCTACATCAGGACGATCCCGCGGGGATGGCTATAGCCAGCGATTCGCAGGGAAACCAGGTGGGGTTGAATCAGCAACTTTGTAATTTTGTGAAGCAAATCTATCATACTTCATCTACCGATCGAAAGTCTTATGAATTATTTCCGAATCATTTCCCAAGGAGGACCACTTTTATGCGTCCATTATACTCCATTCACCGCCTCGCCTACTCTACTTAAGACGCACTGGTTTACTCTTGCAGCGCTTACACGATACAGTGTATCAAGCTCGCGATTGTGAAGGCGACCGATTATCGTCAATATCATCTACTAACCACGGATTCAACTTTATCAACTTGACTACTGCCTGGATCCAAGGCAACCTCCTCGGTTGCTTTCACTTTGTTATTATAACTCTCGATGCAATAACTAATATCCTTTCCGTTAGCATAGTGTGGAGGCGATTGAAAATGGCACTAGGACCCATTATTATCCGGATTAATCCGGTTAATCATATCGCATAATCAGAACCCCCCTCTATCGCTCAGATTGGTGTGGCATGTATTGTAATGTTTTTTTTTTAAACTGCGGTGAGGCGCATGCCAAAGGTCTATAAAAGGGGGACCTTTTCCCTCTTTCCTCTTTACCCATCCTCGAGTCGAAGCATCTGCGCAACGCTCATTGCGACCCACACAACCTCATCGCGACTCGGTCAACCATGAGAACGCCGATGTGGTGGTGTCGAGGACCTCGACCGCCCGACAGCAACCGTGATCAGAACCAGCGGCAACCAATCGGATCCGATAACAAAACCTACTATTATACTGCCACATTAGTTGAGCTTGGTTGGTATGTATCGATGGCATTTCTTGCATTTCTTGTCATCGGGTCACCTCGCTGACATGCAGTTTTTTTAGTCTCCAAGCCTTTGTCACTGAAAATCCACCAGCTTGTGATGCTGCCCAGTCGATTCGCTCCTGGATGCAAGAGTCTGGCTTCAATGCCATCAAGAGTTCTGGATCAAGGCCTAGTAGGGACCGTGTGTGGTGGTGGGCAATTATCCGGTTAGAACAACCGTTACGTATTGCGTGTATAATTGCCTAGTAGTTAGTTAGTTAGCTTTTCCGAGCCAGTTTACGCTGGTTCACTCCCTGGTGTAGTAGCTAGTGCCAGTTTCTGTCACCTCTACACTAAGTAAAACTTGTCGATTACTGTGCCACTTACTGTCTCCCATTTATTTTTACTTTGATCTTACCTAGCATGAGAATATTCAGAACTTGAAAGGATCAAGTTTATTGATGCTATGTATCTCAAACTATGGGTGACATCGCCATCCTACCATCGCAGCCGGTTCACATAATTCTCAGTGCATATAACTGGTAATTGGCAGCAGTATGCTGTGTCCTCCCAATACTAGGGTGTCTCAGAAACCGGTGATGGGAGACGGCCTGAGGTTTGGAATCTACAGTTTTATCTCTTTTCTCTGAAATTATTCTTATAGAGACATTTTATAGTGAAAGGTTGTATTTGGCGGCATTATGCAACATCGATGCTGTCACGATGGTGTTCTAGCTCATCTTCCTCAACGATAATGTCAATTTGTCTTTCATGGGGGTCTTTTGGAGGCAACAGTCCCCATTCATTCTGAGATTTTGGCATATCAAATACCACAGTTCCCGCCGAGATACCCAATACTCCAAGGATCCAGGCCACCAACCCAAACGTCATCCCTTTTCCAGGTAGCCAGGCTACGGTTGAATCGGGTATCACCAGATCGGTTGCAAAGTTCCCGTTTGGTGGCTGGAGATTGAGAAAAGCGTTGCCGCCGACAAGAAGGGCAGCCAGGAGGCATAAAATACTGAAAACGTTGAGGATTGTAACCAGGAAGGCGAGAAAAGCCAACGCAGGGTGAGTTTTTCGAATTCGACGACCACCGTGTTTGAAATCCCGCTTCAAGTGGACTAATTTGATAACAGTCAAGACCAAAATCCCTAGTACGCCGAGGCTAACAAGCACGCAGGCCGCAATGCAGAAATTCTTTGCCCATCGTGCCTGCACACAGAATGGGGGGGAATCCCTCGACGCGACAGAGCACAAGGGGCCCGAGCAGGCAAGTCGACTCGGATCCGTCAGCAGTATACAGTTTTTTAAGGGGCCGCGCCTTGATGAGAAAAGAGACCAGCGTTAACGGAAAACAAGGACGGAGCATACGTTCTACGCGAATAATCCCAACCCCGCCCGCGGACGAAATTTCATCGGTCTCACTGACTTGAGGGAGGATTCTAGCACCTGGGAGAGACTTACATGTTATCCCCTTGATATATGACCCCAGAAAAAACAGCTTGCTTCGCCCATTCTGCAGACGTGGTTGTCACATAGGTGAAAGACCTTTGGTGAAAATGATTTTTAGTATTCTAACTCCGGTATTTACAGACTAGCAGTGCAAAAGCAAGATCATGATACTGTACAAGGCAACGCAGAGGAGGATCGCCGGTGTAATGGTTATGAGACTTATGACCAAGAGTCGAAACCAGTGGCGGCGAGGAGCAGACATTTTATGCGACGAACTGATTAGCAGGCGCGAGCCAAAGAGCATACTAAGGAGGTCTTTCGTGATCAAGGGGCGGGTGGAAGGTTGCCCTCGCGCATCATCGCGCGCGCGTGTGTTGGCTGAGCCGCGTCGGCCAAGTTGAGTTGGATAGTCGTTATTTGGCCGTCCAGTCACTGACCGACACGCGGACGAGACCCGGACTGGTGCAGGAATTCAACGAGATATAATGGACAATACCCGTGTAGATGTATTTCATGTTAATATAGGAACCGGCGATAGCACGATATACTTGCTCGTCGATACCACTACCACCACTTGGGTCATCTCTGGCACCGTCAAGGCGGCCGTACTGGCAGATGGAGGCCAAAGCCCTAACGCCTACCAAGTAATCAAGAATGCTATCAAGGATATAGAACAGAAGTATCTACCGTACGCTGCGGACTCTACCGCTCTGTTGAAATTCGATGCTGTGGTACTGACCCATTGGGATGATGATCACTATCGTGGGCTGTTTGATTTGCTCCTAGACGGTTTGAGCTCGACAGCCCCACAGTGCACACGTCTTAAATACGACGACAAGGGGGCACCGACAAGCACGTTCTACGCCCCTTACGCTGCTGATGACGATCTTGAAAAAGGCGGTGTTAGACTGGTGGGCGGGGAAGTGGATCCCAAAACTCACGAATTGTCGCTGATAGCAGCGAAAGCGAAAGTCGAACGCGTGGTGAAAGTCAGGACTTTGGAGCGGAACAGTTTCCGCGCTGACGTTTTCCTTGGCACCGAACTGTTCAGCGACCGTAGTTTGTCGACCACCAGCCCTAAGGACATTAAAAGTCCGAAAGAGTTGATAGGAGCCCATAACAAAGATTACGGACCTATAGTGGCGCCGGGTTTGTATTGTGTGGCTGGCAATGAACAGTGCTTAGGACCTGCAATGTTTACGGTGGTGGACAAACCAGACTCATCAAAGAGGAACAAGTACTCGCTTTTCTTGCTTGTCATCTGGCCTACCAATCCTGTGCGTGTCGCCCACTACCTCGCGGGTGATGCTGACTACTCAATGGAGGACAAGGTCTGCCGGTGGATCAACCGTGATGGGCCGGTGGAGGTTCCCAACCTTAAGGCTAGCCATCACGGCTCTACGTATTCCACACCAACGCAGGTTATCACTGGCTTAAAGCCAAGTAATATCATTATATCAGCGTACACAGAATATGGACATCCAGGCTGGCCACTTTTATGCTATTTGGATGCATATCGCGCTAAAAACAACCCTCCGACCTTTAATGTCTACGCGACTTGCTACCCATATTACCTGGTGGAAGCCTTTGACACCGTAAAGTGGCCATTCGCGTATACTGACAGAAGTGGTTCGCTGGATCCGTTCACTGAGAATGATCCAATAAACGTGAAGTTCCAAGATGCCCTGAAAGCCCTGGATGGCAATGCGCTGAAAACAGCTTTCGAAACCGAGCGACTAGCAAAGCCAAAGGCGACCATTGGGGATATGAAAGCATGGCTTTACGAAAAAACAGCGGGCTTTTGGGCAACACTATCCACAGTAGGGAAGGAGTATCACCCTTTTGTGGGGTCAACGACAATGCTCTACATCAAGCTTCAGCTCTTATATAACGGATCTACCGTGGTTGGCGTCGAGAACCAACCTCCTTTTCCAGCTATGTTCAGAAGGAAAATTAAGACTACGAAACTCTATCCTCCCCCAAGAAGAGTTCAGCCCCCACGGGCAGCTGCTCGTGCAAGCATTAATGCCGCTGCGCCTATCGCATCTGCAACAGCTACTGACGTAATAGGAAAAGTTACCAAGAAAAGGCGCCGGTCCCTTTCAGAGCTCCGCGCAAAGATGGAGGTTCCGGCGACCGTCCGTACAGGTCCGACACCGTCAGCGGTCGAGAACCTCGTTACGCTTGCAGCTGCGGATGTGGTAGCGAATGACAATGTGACCTTTATCTTAAGTAGCTATGTGGACCCAGTTCCAGGCATGCAAAGCGCCTTAGCCTCGCTGCCACAGGCTCTGGATGTTCTTATAGGATCTTTATCATTCGGATATTTGACTTTGACAGGGCCAATGGTAACCGCTCTTCCGGGAACCGCGCTGGATCCGAACGAAGATGAGCTATCAGTCTGGCTACGCTGGTGCGGACTTGACGGAACATATGTTTCTACTGATTCGACGGGGGGCGTCATTTTCACTTGTGGTCTGCGGCTTCCAGGGCAGCCGGCAAATGGAGAGATAACATACTTTACGTCAAACAGCGCAGGGGAGGGTATCGACAGTGAATTGGTTATGCTGCATCTCCGCATGCAGCCCACCACCGCCGTGCTTGCTTGTTCGATGCAAGATATTGCACGTTTTCTCAATTTAGAGAAGATTAATATGCTGCGGTTAGCGGATGATCTGACTTTCCAAATTAACGTTGATCCAAAGTCACGGAATTGTCTCTGGTTCGTACCGCAGTCTAACTATCTGACTGTTATCAGGCTTGAAGCGAGTGCAACAGCGGAAACCATAAACAAGATCAACGGCGCCATTGGAACGATTTTTTCTGGCGCAGTCTCGGTAACTGGGGCAAAGGTAGTAGCCCGCAAGACGATGACATCTTGTCCTTATAGCGACGGTATTGTGGTTGAAAGCGTCCCGGAGCTTATCTTGTCGATGACGCTCAAGGCAAAAGATTTTGAAATGGACGCTTTTCTGGATTATAACCCGGACGTCACAATCTTGACCTTGCAATGGCGCGACGGAATTGCTCTGTCTCAAATACTACAATGGCTCGCAAGCACTTGCTCATCCGGAACAATTGATGTAGATAAATGGATACCGAACGACCACGGATCATTGAGGCTCCTACGCGCACACATAGCCATCGACAACAACCTGAAGCCGTCTGAATTCACTATTGACTTCGAGCTGATCCTCAAATTTGGAGGAAATACGGAAAGGGAAAAGCCAGTATTCCTCCTTTCATATACTTGGCCTAAAAACTCGTTTAGCGGCTCGCTTTGGATGGTACCTGATCAACCTTTTGTGGAATTGCTGCAGAAGCTACCAGACTACGAGGACTATCGCCTTCTGACTCCGAGCCCACTCGGTCCTGGCGAGTCGTATAGCTCCTCGATATGCCTCGCTAACTTGAATCCCAATGCAAAGGGTGCTGTTACAAAGCCGCCAGGTCTCCCAACTGATGTCATTCTGGCGACCCTTTCCATCGACCCGGATAGTATCGCTTTTTCAGGTATTATCCTTGCGGATGAGCCAAGTGTGGCAACGGACAATGGCGGTAAAAACTGGACACCCATTTCACTTGATGAAGTGGATCTTCAGGCAAGATATGATTGGAGGAAAAAAAGTCTGTCACTATCTTTGCATGCCGACATTACCCTCTCGCCGAGACCGAAGGAGGATAAGAAGGATAGCAGTGCTGGCAGTACTTCCATGTCGGTTGCCCTTTCCTTTAATGACGGGAAGTGGCAATTGACTGGTGAGGCGTTTGACGTAAACCTAGGAGTGCTATACAGTTTCTTTGACGACGGTCAAGCCGTTATGAGCCTCCTTGAGCACATACGGGTGCCGCATCTTGGTTTGCAATATGATTACGAGAAGGATACTGGAAGCAACTTCACGTTTGATGGTACCCTGGATATTGGCGGGGTCAGACTTACTTTCACCTACGCGTATCAGAAAGACAAGACTTGGAGCTTTAAAGCTGATCTGCGAAAAGACGATCCTCGTGCCGTCCCAACGGACTTGACCGCTGGGAAAGTACTAGCTGGATATTTTGGGAATACCGACTTATTACCTGACCTTGTGAACAACATTGAGCTTGATCGAGATAGCTTCAATCTCTCGTTAGGTTGTTCAAAGTCAACGACCTCAAACAGCATCGTCCTATATGCTTTATTATCTCCTACGAAAGACTTCCATCTTTCGTTGATTCAAATCCAAAATACCGACATGACCGCTCCTCCGAAGCGCATGGTCCACTGTGTTCTGGGTATTCCGACTCCACACTCTGTACCTCTAGTGCCCTCGTTCTCCATGCCTGTCGATGAAATAGAGTATCTGTGGATCCAACCTTCGGAGAACAGCATGGGGTTAACCGCTGATGATGTCTGTGTGATCAATACAGCTGTTCCTGATCCTTATTCTTACCTAAAATACAAGTTAACAAGCGTTAGCCCAAAGAAAACTGATGTTGTGTTACTGCCAGGATCCCATGTCCTGCTTACAGAGAGCAACAGCGGTGTCGTATTGGACTACGTTTTTGGGAAGCAAACAGGAAGCGCGAAAGCGAATACGCTCCGTTCTGGGAGAACACCAGATGGAGATACGGAAGATGCTGGAGCGACAAAGTCGCCGCTCCACAAATCTGACGGGATCTTGTCCGTTGAGAATATTGGCTTGCAATACAAAAACAAGAAACTCTACGTGCTGCTTGACGCATCAGTCCACATAGGACCGATCGAGATGGCACTACTCGGATTCGGAATCGGCGTGAATCTGTCTGCCCTCACTGACTTCTCCAACCCTGATCTCGATATTACCCTATCTGGCCTTGGGGTTGAGTATATGCAACCTCCAGTCACAATCGCTGGAATTTTTCAGAAAACGTCTTCCCCTGATGTCGAACAGTATAATGGTGGTGTCGTCATAGCGATAGCGCCATATTCTTTCCTTGCGTTTGGATCTTACGGGAAGGCTCACGATGCGACCCACCCGAGCACTGCGACTTTCAAAACTTTCTTTGTTTTTGCCAAACTGAATGGTCCTTTGATCGAACTCGAATTTGCCGAAATCACAGGCATTAGCCTTGGATTTGGCTACAATTCGAATCTGAAATACCCCAGCGTCGACCAGGTAATGTCATTTCCCTTGATTGGCAACAACGTTCCGATGCCAGGAAATGACCCTATGGTGCTGCTCGAATCTTTGAACTCGACACCAGGTGGTTGGATTTCACCCCAGGAGAAGTCGCTTTGGATAGCTGCTGGCTTGGAGGTGACAGCATTCCAAGTATTAGATGTTCAAGCTTTGGTGGTCTTGGAGTTCAACCCGTACGTCTCCCTCGGCGTATTCGCGAAGGCAATATGTAGTGTTCCAGCCAAGACGCCAAGACAGAATTGCTTTGTGTATGCTGAACTGGAGATAAGCTGTCGCGTTGAGCTGCATGCTGGCTTCATGTCAGTTGAGGCAGAGCTATCGCCAAATTCATTCGTCCTCCATCCGTCCTGCCATTTGAGAGGTGGTTTTGCACTGTACTATTGGTTCTCGCCTTCTTTGCAAGCCGGAGACTTTGTCTTTACAATCGGAGGATATCATCCAGCATTCGTCCGGCCATCCTATTATCCGAACCCAAAGCGGCTCGGTATATCTTGGCAGCTCGACCGCAACCTATCTGTTACAGGAGAGGCCTATTTTGCAGTAACTCCAAAAATGTGCATGGGTGGAGGGCGCCTCGCTGCGGTGCTGTCTTGCGGGCCACTGTCAGCCCATTTCGAGGAGCATGCCGACTTTCTCATCAACTGGGCCCCATTCCATTTTAAGGGTAAGTTCAAACCTCCACTTTCAGAAAAGATGCATTGCAAATCCTCTTCGCCCTCTGTTTAGGTAGCATCGGCATATCTGTCGGTGTAGCATTCACCTTGGACCTCTGGATTTGTACGATCCATATCCGGGTTGACATTGGCGCCATGCTCGAGCTGGAAGGTCCCGAGTTTGGAGGAGTTGTCCATGTTGACTTTTGGGTGTTTGGATTTGATATACATTTTGGACCACGACCCGGTAGGCCACCGGCGCTTAAACTCGAGGAGTTCTGGCAGCTTCTCCTGCAGCAGGATACAAATACTCCAAAGTCTCTACGAGCTGGAGACCCAAACCTGAATTTAACTGATGACAAAACAGCAGACCACCGCTTGACTGTTGAAAGTGGTTACGAACCTAATCACAAGAAGGATATGGTGACAGAAGGAGGGGCCCAATGGAGTGTTCGTGCTGGCATCCTGCGCTTCCGAATCGAGAGTAAATTCCTTGTTTCTGCGGTTACCTATCGTCAGGATCAGGCGAATCCCGTACAGGTTGGAAGGAATGTCTTTGCCAAGCCAATGCAACTCCAATCACCCTTGAGTTCCGTCCTGGACGTATCTGTCACAGGCCCCACATCAGAAGTTGTAAGCGGATTCCAATTCAGCCCCATCTGGAAACAAGTGCCGACGGGTAACTGGGGAAAATGTAGGATCTCCAGTCATTCTTCCTTACACAGTACGGGCCTTCTAACGTTATTTCTCTTGCATTGGTTTCTGTAGACTCTCCAAATGAAGATCCCAGTAGTGGAGATCGGATTGACACCCTTCTGGATCATTCGGATCACACGGAAACCACCATGGAAGCGTTGATCGGCATTACGGTGTCAGCTCCTCCGCCGAAGCTGTCCGATCCGGACAAACCTTTCCCTGCGTTCGATGCCGCAAGCGCGATGTCGTATGACGTTTACAACGGCGCGCATCCAAAGCTGCCTCCTACGACGCAATCGCAACCGTCTTGGCTTCCTCAACCCCCGCTATTGACACCAGGAGATGCACAAGTAGTTAGTCCAGAGCAGTTTGACAAAGTGTACACGATCTGGAGCAGCGACGATAAAATTCCTAGCCGCAAATCCCTGATTGATGCATGGCACGATACTACGGGATGGGTCACTACTCTAAGCCCTGAAAAACCTGTGGTCATGTTTAATGAGTTCTACGATATCTATATGGCAGCCCCCCTCCTTATGGCAGCTTAATGTGTTTATATAGTTCGTTGTGGATATTGATAGCATGTTTGTTTGACGCTGTCTGAA